CCTATTCGCCTGATGGGAGGTTCCTTGCCTCTGGCAGCGAAGACCGAACGATGCAGTTATGGGATCCTCTCACTGGAGATCATTTGGCGGTGGTGAGAGACTTTGCGGTCGGGGTCAAGACTATTCAATGGAAGAAGTCGGCTCAAGGTGAGCTAATTTTGGTGACTGGATGCAAGGAGAATCCGCTGCGGGTGTGGGAGTTGGTGGAATGGAACGAAAACATGTGCCGTCGGTATCAGCTTCGAAGACGATGGGGAGCAACTGGCGCGGAGGCTTTAGCGATCTCGGATGCCCGCTTTGGAGAGAACCATGGATTGAGTCCGATTGTTCAAGCGCTTTTGAGGCAAAAAGGAGCACTGTCTGTAGCGTAGTCGTATTCTGTTCTTTCCTTATCGCTTGAACTTTTTATTCGCATTTTGCATAAAAAAAATATTAAAACAAAACAAGCGGCCCGTTTATATTGGTTGCATGAATCGGTCCCACATTGGACAAGAATTGGGGTTGGCGGCATCTTTTTCAGTGTCGTCAAGAGACAGACGAGTCTGCTGGTTGTATGGTCGAAGAAGCAAGAAAGGGATCGGTAGAGGTGAGAGGATGCAGCGATGAAAATGAGATTCAAAAAGGGGATGCGTTGCAAGATTGTGAAGAAGCGGAAGAATCGGGGACATGACAAAGGGGATGAAAAGTGATATTGTCAGAAACGCGTCCAATGGCTGGGCAAAAAATAAGGTACAACGAATAATTTTTATTTGATCAACACGTTTATTCGTCTCAGATCCACCAAATCTGAGACAACGAATTATTCCAAAAAAGCGCGTCGTTGGCGAAGCAAAGTTATATTGAGAGTACTGAGATCGTTGACACCGTTGAACTTGGCGCCTGACATCCAAATCCCACCACTCTCCGACGTACAGATCTGCTGAGCTTGAACCCCGCCGTCCCCTTGCTCAACCAGTTGTCAGACATGTACCGCTTTAACGGCACCACGAACGGCGTACAACTCCAACCCGTTTTACATCCAAGTGACAGACCACACTCCCACCATAAATCATCAGCTCCTGCCAAACGTTGTCTCATGACCGCGTCCCTCAATCGCATCATTTTATCGTCGCTTCCAGTGGCAATAGATCGATTGCATGGGGAATAGACGATGCAATAAACATAGTTGTTATGACTGGCCAGGTTGTGTGAAGGCTCTCTTGTGGCGCAATCCCGTGCTGTAGCAGTGTGGTCCACACTGGTTGAAGAAACGTGCCGACCATTTCTCGAGAATACCACTGCTGTCACCCTGTCAGTGTCACACTCCAAGACGGTGAGTACTTTTACGGTGCTCAAACTCCAGAGTCGCACTCTTTTGTCCTCACTAGCCGAGACCAGTAAATCTCCAACTGGTGAAAATGCGAACCTTGAGATACTGATGGCGTGGTCCCGCGATATCATCCCTTGGGTTCCCGAGGCATCCTAGAAGCGGATAGTAAAATCGCTGTTTGCTTTTACAACCTGGCCATTTATTGAGAAATCGAGACGGTGGAAATTCTTTAGTTGTCTCTAATGACAGTGTCGCTTTCATCAGTCTTTGGATCCCAGAGCCGAAGAGTTCCATCTGATACTATTGAGAGGACCTGCTCAAAATTGGACGTCTGAGACAAAAGAGCCTGACTCCAAGGAACGAGACGTGTGCAAATAGGGGTCCGTCTGATTCAGTCCAAAAGCGTACGCTAGTGATAATGTCGGTGTATCCACTCAGAACAGCACCAGAGGTTCCTGAGGTGAAATACCATAACTGGATAGAGTTATCGTCATGAATAAATAAATGATTAGTCGATTCGCGATTCCAACTTTTTTTTTTTTTTTTTTTTTTTTTTGCATGGACCGACATTGAATCATCGCTGGAATCAAAATGCCTGAATCGCTTGATCATTTAATTGGATCGAATGTATCACGATCTTCTTTTTCAACATGCGAGGCTTTATAGTTTCTCTCTACCTTCAAACTCAATGAGTTACTCCCTCAATCCTATATGACCTTCTATGAAAGTTTGGAGTCCCTGCTCGAAGTATCTTGCGCTTGACCTATATGCATGATTTTACATGGGTTTGGCACATGTCAAGCTGTTTATTTTAATACCAGAAGCTCAATGCGTTCTACGGGCAACCTGAAAACTTTCCCTGTATCTTTCACTCCACTGGGATTCTAAGATAATTCTACATATGTCGTTGATGGGTTACGTCGGTACCATCTCAAGTCTAGTATTTCCGCTTAAAGTGTCTTGGAAGGGCACATAGGGATGGTGACGAAAGTGGTGTTATCGCCTGGTGGTCTGCAAGTTGCCTCGAGCAGTCAAGACTACACTGGGATTGTACAACTGGAGAGCCTTTGCACTCCTCCACGTCAAACCAGTTCTGTTGGCTGTGTCGCTTGGTCACCTGGTGGTGGATACGTGATTACCTCTTTATTTAATTGAATGTTCAATTAGAGAGGGTGGCGTTGCCTCCACTACATAAGGAGGAAGTACGCCCTCACTTTCTTCCTCTCTTTCTCTTTCCCAACAATCACCTCCCTCGACTTTCCTAACCACTCAACTCGAGCCAGACTTCATCGGTAACTCACATTGTCAACAAAAAAGTATACTACTCTTCATCCCTCTAATCCTCCATTCCCCACACCTTCAACGCCTAATCCTCATCCCCTTTTCGCGTCTTTCATTCTTTCGTTCAAGCACGTTCGAGCGAGGACATACCAATTGTTGGGGAGGCTGTCAAACGACAGTTAATTCTTACAAAAGGGTCCTCGTTCTTGCTTGCTTCATTTTGTTGTTTTTGCTGATTCCCCTCCTCTTTGGGTCACGGTTCCCCTCTTTTGCTGTTTTTTGCTCTTTTCCTTTGGAGGCAACTTCCTCTCGTGTGCGTCTTGATTCCCTTTGCATTGTCTCGTTGCTCCTTTTTCCATTTGCAAGTTGATTCTTGTTTTGCGTGGCGATTTTCTTCTCTTTTTGCTCCTTTTCCCACGGCAACAACTGCCTCAGGACGCGTGTCAGCGGTGGTTGTGGTTCACCATTTTTCTCGTACCTTCCTGTGACCTCTTTCGTGACTGTGTTTCCCTGCTACGCCTTTTTTTTTTTTTTTCTGTTACTGGTTGAAAAAGAAAGTACTACCACAAGATGAATGTTAAAGAAAGGGCCGAAAAAAACTTCCTAGCGATGAAAAACAAGGAGGAAGGAGGGGAAGAGGGGGATGACGGCATCAAGAAAAGAAAAAAAAAAAGGGCAAAGTCTTGATATCAAAAAACTTCAAGGAGCGGAGCGACATTATCAACGAACAATGACCAGCTAAAACAAAAAAAATCATTGTGGATTTATATGCTGCCCAGGGAGGGAGGGAGCGACATGACATTATCAACGAACAATGATCGGTCAAGAACAAAACAAAATATCGTTGTGGACTATACGCTGCCCGGGGTGGGTGGGAGGGAGGGCAGCAAAGGTATCAAGGAAGAAACTGAATTAGGCAGCTCAAAGACTCGACCAAAGGGCGGAGCAACATCGTGAACGAAAATGATAAGTCAAGGAAAAAAAATAATTCATTGTGGATCATATGCTGCCCGGGGTGGGAGGGAGGGTGGGCAGCAAAGTTATCAAGGAAGGAAACTGAACTAGGCAGCTCAAAGACTCGAGTGCCAAAGGGCGGAGCAACATCGTGAGCGAAAAATGATAAGTCAAGGAAAAAAAATAATTCATTGTGGATCATATGCTGCCCGGGGTGGGAGGGAGGGTGGGCAGCAAAGGTATCAAGGAAGAAACTGAACTAGGCAGCTCAAAGACTCGAGTGCCAAAGGGCGGAGCAACATCGTGAACGAACAATGATAAGCCAAGGATGCAAAAATTCATTGTGGATCATATGCTGCCCGGGGTGGGTGGGAGGGAAGGCAGCAAAGGTATCAAGGAAGAAACTGAACTAGGCAGCTCAAAGACTCGAGTGCCAAAGGGCGGAGCAACATTGTCAACGAACAATGATAAGCCAAGGATGCAAAAATTCATTGTGGATCATATGCTGCCCGGGGTGGGTGGGAGGGAAGGCAGCAAAGGTATCAAGGAAGAAACTGAGTTAGGCAGCTCAAAGACTCGAGTGCCAAAGGGCGGAGCAACATCGTGAACGAAAAATGATAAGTCAAGGAAAAAAAAATAATTCATTGTGGATCATATGCTGCCCGGGGTGGGAGGGAGGGTGGGCAGCAAAATTATCTAGGAAGGAAACTGAATTAGTCAACTAAAAGACTCCAGTGCTAAAGGGAGAAAATGCTACGAGTGGGAGGGCAGAGCATCGAACAGAAATCGCTTCGAGAAAAGAATAAAATGAAAGCGAGAATATCTGTACCCTCCCCTCAAGATAATCAAGTAATCAAGACTCGGAAGCCAAGGAAAAAAAGAACGAAGAGCGATAGAATAGAAAAATAAAGTCAATTATGGCCACCCAGATAGCTAGATAGCTAGACAGCTAGATAGAAGAAGGCAAAGTGGGTCTCTACCTTCGGGTGGGAATGGTGGCCGCTTATTTGTACCCTCCCCCACAAGACAATCTCGAAAGCCAAGGAAATCAAGAACGAAGAGCGATAGAGTAGAAAAATAAAGCCAATTGTGGCAGCTAGATAGCTAGATAGTAGATAGCTAGATAGAAGAACGCAAAGTGGGTCTCTACCTTCGGGTGGGGATGGTGGCCACTTTGGTTACTCGTTCTCCTTGGGGGTTGTAAGAAGGAGAGCGGGGTTTGTTGGGGTACCCGGCTTGCGATCTCCTCGCGATGTACCCCGGGCAACTATGCTTCTTCTGCTGGAGAGCGTAGGCTAACGGCAAGTCAACACTAATAAAAATAAAAACAAATGCACAAAACAATGCTGACGTTGAACGTTGCTTGTGGATTATTCAAGGCGATGGGTAAGATAAGGTCTTGCATTCTTCCTCAATCGCAGGAAGCTACTCGCCAAAGTTGTACTCGTCGCAAACGCTAGAGTGCTAGAATCTGCATGCCTTGTCCCGATCCATGGAGAGCCGACATCAAATTGTTCATCATAAAAGGCGCTGGCTTGAATCCTCCATCGAGCATCGTGTAGTACCATTCCATCACGTAGCGCAGGTCACCGTTCTGAGGATATACAGAGATCACGACCGAGTAGGTCAAGGCATCCGGATTGATTTGGTCGGGCTGGAGTCCCAATGCGGCCATGGTCTCGCGGATGACCATCAATCCGTCAGATTCAATCTCGCCCATACTTGCTGACAGGAGAGAGATGCGGTTTGGGAGGATCTCGCCGTTGATTATGTTCTTGAGGATCTCGATCGATTCCTGGGCAGTAGAGGGGGAATAGCCGTGTATGCGATCACGTCCGGCTGAATGTTGGCCTGTTCCATTGCTCGAAAGACCTTCCTTGCCTCTGTGAGCTTGCTCATCTTGATGTTGACGTCAATCATGGCTATGAAGGTGGTGACGTTCGGTAGGACCCCGCGTTCTTGCATGTCCTGCATGATGATCGGGACATTGGCGAACTGGTTGCCGCGCAGGGCACGGGTGATCAGAGTGTTGAAGTCGCCGACCTTCATCTCGACGTTATTGATCTTGCAATCCTTTATGGACACCTATTCTCACCCCTTTTACTATTATCACTTTCAACACACATCTCAGCATCGTCTTTCAGTCGCCTTTGGCCAACAACATATAACCCGCAGCAGAAACGTTAACGCCAACAGCACTGTCAACAACAACAAAAGCAACATGAACAGCAGCAGCAATAGCAGCAACATCATCCACGTCTTAATTCTTAACCTAAATACTTGTATCATCAACAACATCATATTTTCCCTTGTAACAGCAACATCTTTACTTGCATATTTCACTTCTTTCAGTGGATTCTCTAATTTTACAGCGCTCGCCCCTCTGGTAGTGTTGTGCGTATGTTTATTTATGGTCGGCTCTTTATCTTCCAGGCATACTGTAAATCTTCACCCACCGGCCAAGAACTACTTCGCCCTTGGAATTAAAAAGAGGGCTAAGGGGGGTATCGTTTAGAAGAAAAGAACTTGGTCCGTCTGTCTCCTCAGACCTCACATGCATGGGCGTGATTGTACGATGAGCCGGTCTGCATCGTTTATTTTGTTGCTGCTATTCAAATTTGAAGCCGACGTTGCATTGCAGGGCGGCAGGTCCAGCTCCAAAGGGCCGTCCAAAGGGGATCATATCATTCGACCTCGACTGACTAATCGACGATCCTGGCCACGCTGTCGTTCTCAGCCCTCCTAGGATCTGTAAATTCGGCAGCGTCTTATCGATCCATTGTACTTCCTCTGCGCCTAATCGGTGGTCCATGTTGTTCACTCTTAATTTTTGGAGTGCTTGTAATCCTGAGAGGAGGGCGAGTCCACTGGCGAGACTCATCTCGAGGCAGTCAGATTGGAAGCGAGGGTCAAAATAAACGGGTCCGTCCTTGCCGTTGTCGTCCACGATTAGGCTGGAGACGAAACTATCGTTTCCTAAAGTCAGCTCGCGGAGGCAAGTCAGAGAGCCGAGTTGGGTGTAGACTTTTCGTTGGAGAACTCGACTTTCTTCCATGGTTCCGTTGTGGAGAGGTGATGTCCCAGGAGGGATGGGGCGGCCCATAAAGTCGATCTGGATATCGGGTCTGGGGATCCCTGATATTTGGAGGTTGAGGGTTGTGAGTTTTGTACATGACCAGGGGCAGCGGATGCAGTCTGAGGCCAGGAGTGGCGGAAGGGCATAAGGGCGGAAGACGCGTAGAGATCGGCCGTGCTGAAAAATGGATTGTATGTCCTGACTTGAGATGCCGGCGCCACCGTCTAGGACCAGTTTGCGAAGTCCATGTTTGGATGCCTTGACGAGTGCACGTCCACAGGCCGGGCGGGGTTGTTGACCTGTCATGAGTGATAAAATGTTCCATCCTTCCTGGATCCCGTTCCGTTTTCCCAGGCTGGAGATGATTTGGGCCATTTCTGTGTCGCGCCGTGGATTATTGTAGTTGAATCCGAGAGGGATGTTGCACTCTTGTCGCAGGTGTGTCAGCTCCGTGGTTCTCTGAAGTAAGACGTCAAGGATGACTGGGTAGGAGAAAATCCAGGATCGATAGTTTTTCAGCGTAATCAGATCGTCGTCGACAGTCTCAAGGTTCTGGCATCCTCGAAGAAACGTTAATAGGACTGCAGGGACAATCATCAGATCCTTGTCGGCATCGCAACGGGTTGACAGATTGAGTATCCGAAGTTTTGGATGTGATCTACTTCCCTCCACGGGTCTTCCTAGTGTCTCAAAGTTGGGGTTGCTCTGCATGCCCCCGCAGAAGGAGACGCTCAGGGTCAAAGTCTCAAGATCCGCCGAAAGATTCTCCAAAAACGTCCTAACAGCATCCGGCCTCAACACCTTATCATGCGCCATCGACAGATCCAACTCCCTCAACCTCGGTAGCGACTCTGCAACAGACAACAACAACCGCTCCCCATCCCCATGCTGCAGACTTGGACACTGCACCGTCAAAAAGCGCAACCCCACATTCCTTCTCAACACCAAGACCAGCGAGACAACACTCTGCTCATACCAATACTGTGGCAGGAACGTAAATCTCGTCAAGTTACACAGGGCCGGGATATCGTGCAAGACAGCCAAGAAGTGCATATCAGGCGGTCGAGAACGAATGGTACGGATATGGTGACAGTATCGGTGGAGTGCTTGTTGGGTCTCGGGGGTCTTGAAGGTGGTGGCGTGGGAGTGACCAGAGACGTTGAGGGTTTTCCAGAGGTACGGGGTGTATGCTCTGCGGTATTCAGAGTTGACGCGGACGAGGGGTGAAAGGTCGTGTTGGTGCAAGTGGGAGGCGATGAGTGCTGACAACTCCGGGAGGAGGATCGAGGCCATGGTTTTTGGTGATTAGGGAGGGCTAGGAATGAATGGGTGAATGTGAAATGCAGAAAGTAAAGAAAAAAAGTGGAGTGTTCACTTTGATTTTTGATCTATCGGCTCATAAAGAAACAAACAAAAATCAAAAGGTGGGAACGGGATCGATCGCTCGGGCAGTGCTGCCATTTGATAGAGATCGAACATGGTCCATGCACTCTCTGTCAGTCTGCTCAGCAAAAGGAGCATGTGGGACTCTCTTTGTTGGAATGCCCCGCGATATCTCATATCTCATCCCCTCGTGGGAAAAAAGAAGAGAGAGAAGTATGTCCCCTGGACCCTGGTGCCTGTCATCTTAATCATCTAACTCCGACATGTCAGCACGAGACCCCGCATTCGTCGCATTCACGGTTAACTTTTTGGCGAAAAAGTGACCCTTTCCATTTTCATGTTGTTATGATTGTTCTGATCAATCGTCTTTGATGCGTCGGCGCATCGGCGCGCCCCGACGTTCGACGACGACCCGTTATCAGTAAAGAGTGGGGGGAGTGGAACCATCAGCTTATCGCCCTGTTGGAACATCAGTCCCATACGCACTTTTTAAAGTTATCTGGAACCATTCCAACGATCACCGTTTTTATTTTGTCTCTGAGAAAATTTGTGGCTTGCACTCACACAGTGCCACTTTTTCTACTTTTTGATACAAGGAGCGAATGACCCAGAACTCACAGTTTGACCACAACCAACCTCACTAGGAATCAGGAGTAACCATCAACAACGTCTACACCTTCGTCACAAGGAATCAATCTGCAAAACGAGGCACAAGAATCAGCCAACCTAATACCTATAACAACCCAGAGCAATCTACATCCCACGCCTGAACACAGGCAGACAATCGCAATGGCAATTCCATCCTGTAACGACGACGAGGGAATGAACAACGACGAGCACGAGTCCTTCTTAGAGTGGCCCCGCCTTTCCTCCTCCTCATTCTCCTCCTCCCGCCCAGCTCCCCGGTGGACGGCAATCCTCGGCCCCTGCCAAGTTCTCGTCTTCCCAAACTTCCTCTCCCTCCCCGACACTCGCGCCCTCACAGACTACCTCCTTCAAGAAATGAAACTTCAAATCGACGATAAACTCGACCCGACAAAACCTCGACCCGTCAAGATCCCTCGCCCAGGTTATGCGTTCCGGGATAATGACAGGATCCAGTTTGATTCACCAGAGTTTGCGAGTATGGTTTGGAATAAGTGTGGGTTGAGGGATAGGTGGAAGGAGCTTTGGGACCATCCTAAGTATGGGCTTGAGACTGTTCAGGGTCAGAGTATTGTAGGTGTTTTCAATTTTTTTTTGTCTTTTTTTGTGTTGCAGCATTTGAGACGATAGGTAGGGAAGACGACAAGGTCAATTGAGTGTACAAATCAAACAACTCTCTAATTAATGTCCTTTTGATCTGTCTTCAATCCTGTTCACGCCAATTGCTCAACATCTCGTACCAACTCAACAACTGCTGGACACGATATATGCAGACATCGGGAACTAGGAACAACAAAAGGATCCGCCGTGCCGTAGGCCTAAGCCGCAACATCAGGATGTACAGATACCAACAAGGTCAATCTTTCGGAGCACACTATGACGAATCCGTCATCGAAAAGGACGACGCAGGCGACGATGTCGTTTCTGAATACACTGTCCTCATCTACCTTAATGGCGAACGTGATTCGGACCTTATTGGCGGCGAAACGGTATTTTATCCAAAGGGCAAGAAGCCTATCCCTACTTCTGGCGCCACTGCACCGACAAGAGGAGGTGGCGGTAAGAAGGGAGGCGGAGCTAAGGGTTCAGGGAATGGAAATGCAGCTGCTGCTGGAGGAGCACCAGGAACAGGAGCTGCAGGGGCAGGAGGAGAGTCAGGACTGAGTTACACGCTGCCGAACGGCGGAGTTGCTGTGAAACCTGAAAGAGGACTGTTGTTGGTGCATAAGCATGGAGATGAATGTATGTTGCACGAGGCGTTGATAGTCCAGCGCGGGTTCAAGTATGTCCTGCGTACCGACGTTGTCTATGAGCTATAATAAACAAAGTGATATTATTGTCGGCAAACGCTGTCTCGGAATCATAGGAAGAGAGGGTCATCGGACACGCTGGAGGATTATTTCCAAGCTAGATTATGTTCGATGGCAGAGCGATTTGTTTATTTAGAGTACGTAACACTACTTGCAGCAGTGTGGGGAGTGAAGTTGTGGAAGAAGACAAAAAAATGACAGGCGGAGGACGAGACTCTAAAAAGCAATAAAAATGTTTATTACAAGGCGATTCGAACGATCCACTCAATTACGGTCAATTGCCTAACCATCTAATAACATCATTGAAACTACAGCATAGCGGAAAGATGAGGTTGAATTCCAGAGCCGGCCAATGCTTGCGCATCCATTCAGCTTCCTTCAGCCCCACCGTCACCTTGGTCTCGTCATTCCCTGCCCACACCGATCCATTAAACTTCCTCAACTTTACCAACCCAGCCAAATGATGCAGGTATCCTGGTCGTCCAGTTCTTTTGTCGCCAAGGCTGAGCATCCCAGGAAAGGAGTTGCGCTTGACTTTTTTCGACAGTGGGTGTAGACCCTCCGAGTTGTAGAACACCACTCCCAAGCAAAGGACCTCTACTTGTGTCAGCGTCCCGACTTGGCGATAGAGTACTTCCAATTGCTCGAATTGCGACTTCTCCGCTACTGACAGTGCTGTTAGTGGTGGTCGCTTGTAGTAAGGTTCCACGCCGAGGTGTCGATTCAGTGGCTCGTCCGGAACGCAAATGGTGAGGTTTAGTGTCCGCATGCTTGTACAATTCCACGGGAACTCGATCGCGTCATCCAAATCGATACACAATCCATGCCGCTCGCCTGTCCACCAAGTTGACAACACTTGAAGACCTCGGCATTCCACCAGAAGTGCTTGGAGCGCCTTGGAGTTGACATTGTGACATCCGCGGAAGATCAGCGTCTGCAGAGTGACAGAATGTCTCCTGAAGAGCGACGCTGCATCCAGTCCGGGGATCGTGAAGGGAGTTTCATGACAACGGAGGCGCCTGACTTGTTGCGGGGATAGCAGGTTCATGATCCGTAACATCATCGCACCGTCCATAGGATCCTGATAATGGTTTCGATAGGTTAAATCGTTTAAGGCTGGGCAGGACTCGACAATCGCTGCTGCAAGTTGGTCTGTATCCTGGGTCTCGCCAATATCGGGCATCCCAAAGTCGAGGAGGTTCGGACAATGTTGCAGGATCGATATGAGTTCAGCCTCAGGAATGATTTCCTCCACCTCCTTGAGATTGAGACTCGTCAAATGTCGCAATGGTCCCTGTCGCCGAGGCGTCGTCGTCAAGCCGCACTCCTCATCCGCCCTCTCCCACAACTCCGGCTCTCTTGGATCCAAAACACCGTAATCATCTTCGTATTCGTCCTCCTGATCGTAGTATTCGTCCAATTCCATGTCCAAGGCCTGCAAAGAGGGCGGGCAGCTGAAAAACACAGTCGGTGCGAGTGAGGGTCCGATGGGTGTCCAGTATGAGGCTGAAAGCGAGAGTTCCTGCAACTCTTCTAGACCAAAGATTGACGTAGTAAATAGAACAATGTCGCGGCCATCTTTGAATCTGAGTCCTTTGAGGACGACCCGTTGAAGGTGAGGGCTGAGTTGAAGGATCCAGCAGACTTCATTAAAAATAGCCTTCGGATCACGACAGCTCGGAAGAAAATAAGGACAGGTCTCGAGACTGTCGTATGTTGGCGTGGGCTCGATGTCAATAACAATCCTGGTCAGACGAACCATTGGCGGAATTGGTGGAACTGGGCACAAATGGGGGTCTGGTGGTGCCAGCCATAATGGTTGTGAGGGGGGTTGTCCTGCTGTTTCTGCGAGGCGATCCTGATGGACGACAATGCAGTTAAAGTAGTAGACAAGATCAATTAGGCCTAGGTCGAGTTCCCGCACATGATGGACGTTTTTGGAGAGCGCGAGGATGGGTTCAGCAGAACCGAGGATGTTGTTTTTACCGAGTCGGTAAGTGGCAGGGACGTTGCGATAGTGCGCTGGGGTGCACAGTTCCTGCAAGTGTCGACTTGTACGCATCAAGCAAGAGATTCCCTTGCGGTCGAGGTGATCTGTCAAGCAGGCGACGAGCTCAGTGATGGCGAAGAATCGTTGTGTCGCAGGTTCCATGGTGGTGCTGTTGCTGCGATGCCGGTTCCTGGATTCTGGGTTGGTCGAGCGAGAGTGGTGAACAAAGGTGAGGGAGGTGGCTTTTATCCAGGTTTAACGCTATGTCATTTCTGAGTGATCTTTTATCTGTGAAAGGAGAGCGTATTGAAGGGATTAAGGAACTGGCCGCTGTAGTACGCCACGATGTGTTTGTACAAAGCGGGTTCGAGGCAGAGATGAAGGTGTCGACTTGTTCTTGAGAGGCAAGAGCTGTCGGCTCTGTTTAGGTGTCCTGCTATTTAGTATACGAGTTTTGGGGTGACATTGGTGTTGTATGCGTGTTTTGATGGAGAAGGTGGAATGAGATGGGGTGAACGAAAAAAAGGACAATTGATTACCACGACAGCGCATCTTTTATTTTTCGACTCTTCGACTCTTCACAAAAACACACAGAAGTTGAATCTCGTCACGCGGTACCTTGCTCAGGCGGCGTGGATGTGTGGTACCAGGACCGTTTTATGTTGCTAAGATAAGGAAAGGAGAGAGTTTTGGTAAATTTTGTAATGGTTGGAGTAAGAGGGAAGTGAACGTGGGATGGTATGTGAGAGTTGCAAGGGACGACTTGGACGGGTTGTAGTAGTCAACTAAGGGGACAAAATGAGGCGACTTACTCTCTTAACGCGTTTTTTGTAGGGCGCCTTTGTTTCTTGATGATATCCCGCAAAAGGATAAGTGGAGGCGGGGGTGGGTGTCTGTCGTTTAAGTAGCTATGGTGGACCAAGAAACAGCTGACGAAATATTCAAACTCGAACCAAGACATGGTGAGCTTTCGGATACGATGAACGCTCCTGGCAAAGACCTCGGCGTGCATCCGGCAACTGCAGCAAGCTGGGGTGCCTATAGCTGCAAGCGAAATCGATCGAGCGGTAGAGAACAGGCGTGCAGAGAGTGTTCAATCGAATGTTTGTCTTGCTCAGTCTTGCAATGTCCACAGTCGAGTGCTCGAGTCGAGGACCGCGTGGAAAAGCTCGGGGATGTGGAGGACCCGAAACGCAGACGACATGGCGAATCGACGGGAGTGATGAAGGGATCAAGAGAGGTTGATGCACAATGAGCGTATACAAACGCTTTTATTCGCCCGATGGAGTGACGAAATTGGTGGCAATGAAATAGAAGTAGTCCAAAATGGATGCGCAGGTTGCACAAAACACACACACGCGAGGCTAGGAAAGCTTCCTATTACTATTTTTTTTCTTCATGCCAGACTCATTTCTCGACATCACACGCTATACCTCGTCCTACCTTGCATTATCCTATCAGTACTACAAACAAGCAGGGCTACCATGGTTGGCCCCCATCCTACCGCCCTTCTTTCTGAAGATCACAAAGCCACATCGTTCTTGCTGCCTTTTATTCACCGGTTCGCATAGGATGAAAATGCAGGAGAGATGCAAAAACATGCAATCAATGAAAACAAACAAAACAGTAGGTAACAATACAATAAAAGGCGATTGAACGACAAAAAAGGGGAGAGGGGATCAAGAGAATCGGCGGGTATCATGCATAGTAAACAATTGTGAGATGGAAAGGAAGGCAAAAGCGGTAAAAAGAGAGACGGGCCACGATGTAAGGGTGGCGTAGTGTTGTTTTACCTTTATAACAGTCCCTCTCCCCTTTTTCCATAACGCGAAAAAGAAAAGAAAGAAGACTATACATAATTCGCAGAACAAGGGAGAGGAGAAGGAGAGAGACTGAGAGAAGTTGGACGTTTCGACCAAACGTATCAATTTGCACCAACTGACATGCGCAAATTAATGTGTAAAAAAAATACCGGTGCTGCAATAACACCAGGGAACGACCAGAGTTGGGTTCAGTCTGTGATTGGTGATAGGTAGATATATTTTTTTTCCTCTTTGATAGGTAGATAGAAAAGCCGGACCGTCCAGGGGCAGAGTTGGTAGACCAAAGAGCTGGGTCACGTACACCAAAAATAAAATAAGGTTTTCATTTCGTTTATGGGTTGATCGTCTACTACTGAAGAAAACACAGCGATGACATACAAAAATGTGTGAGAGTCATTCAGGAACAAGACAGATAAAAAGAATAACCGAGTTCAGAGTTTTTGATCGTTCTACGCAGGCGGGGACAAATTTTGCACTAAAAAAGGCAATTGCGCTGACCGCAACAAGGGTCGTCAATGTGTGAAGAAAAATAAGAATTAGCGGAGAGATCGGAAAGTGATCGGGTGAATGGACGTATTGAGGGTAACTGCGCACGTATGTCTTTCTTTACCTGGGGCATATGGAAAGGTGAAAGGGAAGGACGATCAAAGTATGGAAAGAAAAGCCGACGTGCGTTGATGAGCACAGTTGAAGGAAGTGGTCCAATAGCTAACAAAAAATGCCACGTCCTCGACCTATTCGAATGCAAGGAAAGCAAGATATAATTTTTGTGCTTGGCTTTCTTTCTCTGGCCCCCAGAGGTAGCTAACTCTCAGCCTCATCTATTTCTCTCAAGGTAGCTTGACGTCAAGTTGGTACACGCACACACTCTTGGCATTACCAAGTCCTTTTTTTTCCCTCTTGGTCAAGTCAGCCAATGAACAACATCAAGGTGCAGCATGGTCATTACGGTCCTGGGCAACCAGGCGGTGCTGGCAGAAAAATCAACCGTTCATCGAAAGCGTTATAGCTTTGCACTTTTCGCTTTTCACAATCAATTTTGTTGTTTTGAACGACGTTTATTCTCTGCCTGTGCACCGAAAGAGGGAGGTGGGACTTCTATGAGTTCATACAACCAAGCCAGTATGAAGATGTCCATGTTTCGGTATATGCGCGTAGAAGGGAGTGAGGAAAAGGAAGTAGAAAAGAGACCCGTCAATTGAACATGAGCATGACGAATTCCTTTGTGTGGTCAACCTGGGTGTCCAAACAAAAAAGCCGTTAGATTGAAGCAAGCTTAATTTTACCTTCTTATCATTCTACAAGCTAAAGTCGCCCCTTACCTTTCTTCTACCATCCATTCCTTGATGTGATAGTGCTTTTTTTTCGTTGTTATCAAGATGAAGGTGAGGTTTCATTTCTAAAAGTCAAAAAGTAATGTACGCGTCAGCACCACCTGCTTGTGATCTTGTTCGACCGGAGCGGGAACATCGTTTCTCTCCGATCGAAAAAAATTGCTTCACCAAAATCCTGTGCCAAGTTCCAAGACGAATGCCCACCGGAAGGGAAAGAGGAGAAGGGGGGGAGGGAGGTGAGTAGGGAGTGGATTCGAGCTGGTTTGAATGCAAGTATATAGGGGATAATGGAACCCTTGGAGTTTCTTCTGTCTAAGAGTGAGGTGCTGCAAAGACGTATTGTCCTACGTGTCTGTGTTTTGCAGAATAGAGGGAAGAGAAAAGAGAAATTGTACACGTCTTTTGGTGCGGCTAAGTAAAACATAGCAGGGAACCATGACGGATTACTGAGTTCAGCTACTGTAGTTCTAAAAGGAGCGCACTGGCAATGACAGATGGAGACAACACAAACAAAAGAAGACGAAAGTGAATTGTTTATTTGAAGAAAACCTGCCGATCACCCAGCCTTCTTTCTTCCTCTGCCTTGCGTAACTCTTCTATCCAACTAAGCCAATCTTCGTTACCGCTTGTTGTTACCAGTGTGGTTACTCAGGTGTTCGTTTACTTACGTTTTTTTATTTCGGTTCGCTTGCGGTTACCACTGCACAGGAAAAAAAAAGTACTGTCAGCAAAGAATGAGCCGCCAGAAAAACATATATAACCCCTCAACCCCATCGCTTATTTCTCTCTTCTGTCCATTCTTCATTCAGTACTTTCTTGGTTTTCATACAACCGACCGCACCATCCCGCTACTGTTCTCCCTTTTCGCGTTCTCCTCTTCGTTTATATTTACTCGGTGACAACGCTGCTTTCAACCCCTTTCATCTTTTCCTCGTTCGACTTTTTAATCCCACTGTTCATTCTCAAGTTGATTTTTCCCTTCACACTCGCCTCTTTACACCCAACCCAACCCTTGTACCCTCAACGCTTAAAATCACACAGCAATGGAAGCTACAACGATAGCAACATCCACAAAACCCCTGCTCCCCTGGTACCGCCGGCTAAACCAGAATAAGGGACTCCTCCTCGCCCTCGTCTCCATGGCTCAGGTACTTGATCCCTTCCTTATTATACTCACCATCATCCTTCCCCACACATGTCTCACGACGTATGTTCATGGAACTCACAATCTGTTGTTCAATTCAGCAAACCTCCTTTTTTCTGACTTCCTCGATCTATTTCGTTCCTTGTCCGTGTAGATGCTGGATATTATCAACGTCGCTAGTGTGACGATTACTCTTCCTGACATCCTAAAGGAGGTCGGCTACTCGATTGACCAGCTGCAGTGGTAAGCAAACACACTTTCTTCCTCTCCTTTTTAAAATGATGACTCCCTCTTCTCACCCAATCTTCTATTCACAGAAGTGGACTAAAAGAAGCGAACGCAGGCAGGCAAAGCTTCGAATCGACTAAAACACACAGACACAACGCAACACAACTCTAACACTATTATGCATCATCCTTTTTTTTTTCGTTTCCAGGGTCACCTCAGCCTATTCCTTGGCCTATGGCGCCTTCCTCTTGATTGGTGGTCGATTTGGTGACTTGTTTGGCCATCGCCGTATCTACATCCTCGGAGTCACTTGGTTCTCGATCTGGTCTGTCGTCAATGGTTTCGCCAAGGACCCCGTCATCATGTCCGTCGGTCGTGCCCTCCAAGGAATGGGTGCTGGGTTCACGGTTCCTAGTGCCTTGGCCATCTTGACTACTACATATCCTGTTGGTCCTGAGCGCACTTTTGCACTGTCTGTGTTTGGAGGCACTGGTGCCGTTGGTTCTGTTGTTGGTGTCTTGCTCGGTGGTATTCTTGGATCTACCATTGGTAAATAACACGACAAGCATCTGTTTTTTTTTTAGAGTTTGAGGAAAGTTGATAGGCTAATCCTGTGTGGCACTTTACTACCTTTTCCCCCTACAGGCTGGAGATGGATCTTCTACTTCACTGCCATCCTCGGTTTTATTATGGCCATCCTCGGTTTCGTGGTCATCCCTGCGGAGAAGGGTGTGTCCAAGATCGAAGACCGTCGCATCGACATTTTTGGAGCCGGCGCCTTCTGCGCCGGTATTGTGTGTATCATTTTTTACCTCAGCGAGTCTCCCGTCAGCGGCTGGGCCTCTGCAAAGACCTTGGCTCCTCTGATTGTCGGTCTGGTCCTTATTGTTTCCTTTGTCGTTATCGAGCACAAGATCGACTACCCGATCATGCCCCTCCGCATCTGGAAGTCGCAGCGTCTTATCGCGTCCTGCTTGATTATTCTCTGCGTCTCGGCCGCCTTAAACGCCATGATTTACTTCTCCTCGCTCCTTCTCCAGAACGTCCTGGGTTACACTCCTCTGAAAACTTCTTTGGCGTATATTGTTCATGGTGTGGGGGCTATCGTCGCGATTGTGATCATTACCCGGATTGTGGCCAAGGTCCGCACCAAGATTATTACCATTGTCGGTTGGTTTTTCTTTATCGCCTCGGGTATCGTACTTGCTCAGATCAAGGCCGACTCGTCGTACTGGTCGATCCCCTTCCCTTCATTGATCTTGAACTTTATGGGCATGGCTCCCGTCTGGTTGTGCTGTCAGATCAACTGCGTTGCTGACGCTGATGACGATGATCAAGGTGTCGTCGGTGCTGGTACGTTACTCTACACTGTCCTGCTGATGCATCTTCAGAAAAAGGATTGTTCTCAATTGTATCTTACAAAGTTTGATGACTTACCATTCGTTCTTTCTTTCTTTCTTTCTTTCTTTCTTGCTGCCGCCGTCGATAGTATACAACGTGGCCCTGCAAATCGGCGCACCAATCGGAATCGCAGTTGCAAACATCGTCGCGAACAACAAGAACGGCCGACTGGCCGTGGGCGCAGAGCTCCTCCCCGGATACCGTTCCGCCTTCTACACCTATGCCATCATGGCCGGTGTAGGTCTGGTCGTCACCATCATTTTCGCAGCCAACAGCGATACCGCCAAGATGCACGAGACCACTGCTGAAGGTGTTGCTGCCACTGCTTCCGGTGATGGAGATGAAGAGATTGGACATGCGGAGAGCATTGACCAGATCGCGACGGATATGAAGGGGTCGTCGGGTGTTGCAAGTGCGGGCGCAACGATCTTCCCGGGCTCGTCTTCGACGTCTGTGGTGGGCGGTGAGAAGGAGGAGTTAAAGATTTAGATTTAGTCGTTTTTTTGCTTCTCTTTTCCTCTTTTGCATTTTTCATCATCACCCTAATACCCTTGACCTTTTACATTTTATCTAGTTCTATATATATTCTCATTATTCATTCTATCTCCATATATGGATTGAAGCAACTACAGGACTTGGTTGGATGCGAATATGAATGTGGGACAGGACATCATTTTCAATCGCCCGCCGTCCCTCCAGACATTGGGTTTGGATTTTTCCGAGAGGAGACACGCTGCTTGGAAAGGAATATACACAAAAGACTATCTCGATACGGACATCTGGGAACAATAATCCTGGGAGAGGGAGGACAAGGAGTGCGGCTTGACAAAGACCGTCTGGCGAAGGGCACGCTCTGGAAATTGGATAAAGAGCTCCCCAACGACCAAATTTTGCGGATTCTGCGACGCTGCCTGAATATCCGCGAGTGGGAGCTACGACCCCTTGGTCGATATCAATGACTCTAGGGGTCTTGCAAAGGAGATCGCCAAGATATGTCCGAAACTAAACTCCTTGACCCATCGGGACGATGATGAGGAGCTCACGGATGGCGAGCTGGTGCTGCAGGTCATAGAGGCGTTATCCCCGCAACAGGTGCAAGAGTTTCATTGCACAAGCCAGTCAACCGAGATCCAAGATCACGTAGGAACGATATTCAGGAGACACTCCGACACTCTGCGGAAGCTTGTCTTGTCTAATTGTCGGAGCATCAAAGACAAGGCTATCCAATTCCTGTTGGTTGAGTGCCCGACTATTGAGGCGCTAGATATCGTCTTGTTGGGTGACCGGCATGAGTTCATCATCGATCTGGAGGGCGCGATCAAGTTCCTGTGGGTCTGTACTAGGCTGCGGCGACTGAGACTGACCGTGGGCATTCCAGATGAGCCCCTGTATCTCCACACCAGCGTCGAGCACTATTACAGTCGATCACCACCGGCAACATTGTCAGCCACCGAGAAGGAGCAGTTCGATCAATTGGAACGTCTCTTTCGCCAACTGGAAAAACTCACGGACCTGGAGCATCTCAACTTGAAGGTCTTCTTCTATGACCGTCTAAGGTAATCTTCCATTATATTGGCATGTCAAGTCGAGCACCTTCCCCGGTTTGCTCAGCATCGGTAAACCACAGATCGAGACGCCCTGGCTGCCTCCTTCGCCTGCCGGACAGGAAGAGTTCAAGGAGCTGTTTGGGTCAGTCTCGGAAGTGATTCATGAGACTTGTGTGACGATGGTATTTGGGCTGCGTTAGAGAAAGCGCAGTTCTATTCAAAGAAGAATGTCGATCTTATGAAAGATGAGTTCAAATAGCGGGTGGACGAAAGAAAGTTTGGTGGGAAGCCATTAGACTTATCAAGCTCTGAATAATAAATCATATCTATTATCTTTTACACGAATGTTTTCCGAAACGCGTTTTACCTGTGTTTCGTGAAAGCAAAGTGTCGGGTTCTGATCAAGCGCCACCCAAAAAAAAAAATGTCGTTGAAATTTAAACCATCAAACCAGTTCAAGCCACTCCTTCTAGTGCTCATTTTTTCTCTTTTCTTTTCCTCCGCCGGCCCATCGCCTTCACACCACGACAAACAAGATTACCTACAATACGCATTTTCTTCAAAGTACAAGTGTTTTTCTCAAACGCGGCCACGTTGTTGTTCAAAGGCAAGACAAAATGAAAATTGTATTGAACAGAGCTTCCAAAAAAAAAAAAAAAGCAATGCAAAAAAAATAATACTAAAAAAGAGATATTTTCAAATTGTCCCGCTGTTCCTGCAGCCACTTGTAAGGCGCGCGGATATGGCAATTTCTCGGAAAGAAATTCGCCTTTTCCAGGGCCGGCCAATTGGAATATATCCACTCTGCCTCCGCCCGCCCCATCGTCATGCTGGTTTCGTCAGTCGTCGCAGAGATCGACCCGGCAAGGACTCTCAGATTTGTCAGCCCTGCCAAGTGGTGCAGGAATCCCGGACGTTCATATCTGCAGTCGCCGAGGCTCAGCATACCGGGGAATGTGTTGGACCCTGTACAATTTGATAACGGACGGACGCCTTGCGGGTCGTAGTAGAAGACTTCCAGGTTGAGACACGTCAGCTCCGTGAGTGTTCCGATTTGACGATAGAGGGCCTCCAGCTGCTCAAACTGCTCCTTCTCCGCTTCCGAGAGTGTTGTTGGTGGGGGGCGGTTGTAGTAGGGCTCAGTTCCAGTGTGCAAGTGTAACGGCTCGTCTGGAACGGCAATCGTGAGCACAAGTGACTCGACCCGGATACATGCCCATGGAATCTCGACCGCATCTTCCAGGTCAATACAAAGCTCATGTCGGTCACCACCCCAAGAAACCTCCAACCTCTCAATACCTCGACAATCATCCAGAAGGATTTTAATCGCCTTGGACCGCACATTCCGACAGCCAACCAAACAAAGAGTACGCAGTGTAGTCGAATGCCTCTTGAACAGTGTCGTTACATCCAGTCCACGAATCTTAAATGGTCTCCTCTCGCATGTCAACTGCTCAACCTGCTGTGGGGGCAGTGCATCCATGATCCGTAATAACAGCGCACCGTTCGCACCGCCGTCGATGTGATCCTGATAGGTCAAGTTGCGCAACTTTGGGCAGGATCTGGCGACTACTGTGGCTAGGGCCTTGTTGTCATCGTTGTCCTCGGTCTTATCGGTGCAGGGCATCTTCATGTTGCGGAGGTTGGGACAGTGCGCCAGGATCGATCCCATAACCCTCTGATCAACAAACTCGTCCGTATCCGTTAGCATGAGCGTCGTCAAGCGCACCAATGGCTCCTCTCGTTGGGGCACCGCTGTCAGACCACACTCCTTGTCCTCCACTTCCCATAAATGCAGCCTTCCTGGTTGTCGACGTTGATATTCGGTCGTGAGCACGCCGTAATATTCTTGTCTGTCTTCCCAACATAGGTCAATGCTCAACACCCGCAAAGACGGTGGGCAGCTGAAAAAAATGTTGGGTATCAGCTTCAGATCGGTGGGCTCCCAGTACATGGCTGAAATATAGAGATCCTGCAACCTGTCCAAACCAAATATCGATGTTGTGAGCAGGAGGGTATCCCGGTTGTCCTTGAAGACGAACCCTGCTATGGTGACACGCGTAAGATGTGGGTTGAGTTGTAACAACCAACAGATCCTGGTGGTGGTCGCCCTCGGGTCACGATAGGTCGGTAGAGAATACGGGCACACGCTCATTTCCGCAGTCTTGGATGGGTAGTGGATATCGATCTCAAGACTGGTTAGAAACATCATGGGGGGTATCGGCAGTACTGGGCAGGTATGGCGGTCTCGCGGGTAAAGCCATCGTGGCTGTTCCAATAGAGGTTGTCCTGTTTCGTGTGAGAGCCGATCCTGGTAGTCGACGACGCAATTAAAGTAATAGATAAGGTCCTCGAGTCCGAGAACGAGCTGTCGAACAAAGCTAACGTTCTTGTAGAGCGCACGGATGCATTGTTTGGAGCTAAGGAGGGTCTTGTGGCCAGGTCTGAAGTTGGAGTCGACGCTGTGATAGTGAGCAGGAGTACAGAGTTGGTGCATGAGCCTACTTGTTCGCATCAGTTTTGAAATCTCATTATGGTTGAGGCGTAGTATCAGCATGGCGAGGAGCTCGGGGATGGTGAAGAATCTTGTTGATGCGGACTCCATGCTGGTTCTGTTGATTCAGATGGCGTGTTTGTGAATCCTGCCAAGGGTAGTTGCTTGATTGCAATAGTTAGCGAGCAAAGAGCATTCCCTGGCCTCCGCTGAAAAAAAAAAAATGAAAAGTAGGAGGCTTGCCTCAGCCACTGAAAACTTTAAATTTCTACATGCTAGCCTTTACACCTTGCGATAAACCAGAAAAAGATGGTCGATACACCGAGGGTGAAGTGAACAAGGACCTTTTTTTACGTGCTCTCGAGATCCTACCGATGCAATAGCTCTTTCTTGGTTTCCCTTGACGTGTATGCAGGTATTCTTGGTTGCCAAAATGAGAGGCGGAAAGGGCGATGATTTGGCACTTCCTTCTCCTTCGTCTGGTCTCCTTGGGAAAAAGTACATTTGGTGGCGCCGAGCACTCTTTCCTAAGCCACCTATCCCTGAGCACAAAAAGTCCAAAAGAACAAAAAGGCCTTTGCCTTGAACGATCACCCCATTTTACTCTTCTTCATTCCTTCACATTCACTTCACTCATACAACAGCGCATTCAAACGCCCAACCACCTTCAGGACGAGGCTCGACAAGACTGGCGCAAACTAGACATTACCTATAACCCATTCAGCACCGCAACCACCCATCACTCTCCACTTTACCTTTTCAGGAATCCACTCTTAAAAAAAACACATCAACAAACATGTCATACGAGAACGCCAGTAGGTCCCTTCCAAGGACAGATATCATGCAACTCTTCTCCACAAAGACCCGCCCTCTCAATGTGTGCGCCCCCATGGTCAGATACAGCAAGCTGCCCTTTCGGGAACTCGTCCGGAGGTAATTCTCACATACATACAGGACATGGAGAGAGAGAGAGAGAGGAGAGAGAGGAGAGAGAGAGAAGCAACAACAACAGCAACAGACGCCTCTGCCTTCTTTCAAACAGTTCAAATTGGACATCTAGCAGCCTATAAACTAACCTTGACCTCCCTCCTCCTTCCTGCTCCTTCAAACACCCTCCAACCCAAAAAAAAAAAAAAAAAAAAAAAAAAAAAAAAAAAAACCAGATACAACTGCGACTTAGTCTACACCCCCATGATCCTAGCCGACGTCTTCGCATCTTCAAACTATGCCCGGGAGTGCGAATTCTCAACAAACATCCTCGACGACCCCGTCGTCATCCAATTCGCAGCCTCCAACGGCTTCGACCTCGCCAACGCCGCAGAACTCGCAGCGCCCTTTGTGTCGGGGATCGATATCAATTGTGGGTGCCCTCAGAAATGGGCGATTCAGGAAAAGATTGGGTCGCATTTAATGTCGGATCCGGAGACGGTGAGGGATATGGTTAGGCAGGTTAAAGCCAGGGTGAATGTGCCTTGCTCGATCAAGATCCGGATCCATCGGGACCTGAGGTATGCTGCTGGTTTCTTTTTGTTTTTGTGTTTGGGGTTGTTTTGTATCTGTGTGTTTTGTGTTTGTTTTGGGGGTTGTGAGTGAACGGACCAATGCAGAACAAACAATCGGACTCACAATGCAAAGCACAAAAAAATTCGTCACTAACCCAAATGTGGCATCATCTGCACCCTACTCCTCTTTCATTCAACAATATAGGGAAACAGAAGAATTCGTCAAAAGAGCACTATCGGTCGGAGTTGACTTCATCACGGTCCACGGCAGGACGAAGCGACAAAAGTCCACAGAACCTGTCAGTCTGGAAGGCATGAAGCTTGTCAAGGAAGTCTCAACCGTCCCTGTGTTGGCTAACGGGGATGTGTTTACCATGCAGGATGCTAATGATATTGTTGCCGCTACTGGTGTCGATGGTACGTTTCTCAACTCATAGCGTTTTGTATATACTCTACGAGCCGAAATTAGAAACATGCCCATAATCAGGAAAAAACAACAACAACAACGCACTCACAAACTATTCCTTTGTCACTCGCGTTGGATCACTACCAACAAATAGGAACAATGTCGGCAAGAGGCATTCTGGAGAACCCAGCACTATTCGCAGGACACACAGTAACACCCTGGGAATGCATTGAGGACTATGTCGACCTGGCTTTATCCTACGGGACAAACGCCTTCATCTTCCACCACCACCTCATGTACATGTTCGAAAAGAGCATGAGCAACGCAGGTACGATACTTTATTTTTATCTGATCAAATTACTGTGTATGTACTTTTTTTTTGGATCCCAGTTTTGTACCCCCTTTTTTCCTGGTATAACTAACAGCTGACTCGATTTTTTTTCTTGTGTAATTGTCGTATTTAGAGAAGAGGACATTCAACTCATTGACGACCACCTCGGCGATACTGGACTACCTCGAGGAGCACTATGGACTAGACATTGCACGGAAACGAGTCGAAAGGGCGGAACAAAAGTTGAAGCGGGATACCAATAATAACATCGATATTACTTCATAGCAAGAGCCAAGCACACAGGATCGACAATGCAAAAAAAATAATAATATGCAAAACAAAACAAGCGCTGAAAAAAAATATTACGATATTAGAGTGATCGATATTGGTTTTTATTTTGGAGGCAGTATGGTACAGGAATACAAGCAAAGAATGAGTTGGTGGGGCAAAAGTACAAGGGAGGGAGAAAAGTTTAAAACGAGAAAGAAGAAAGAAGAAAGAAGGTATTGAATCAAAAAAGCAGGATATGAACAAGGAAGACAACAAAAAGATGGCATTGGATGATCATCACGCTCAGGAAGCAGTGCCAAGGATGACAGCGCGACAGGCCTCGGCAGAAAATTTTCCGCGGAGCCCCTTGGTCGAGATCTGCTCCCAGTCGTCGCCCACTTCCAACCACGTCGTCCAAAGCCGGTTCTTATCCTCGGCTGTCCACTCTGTAATGTCGTATTGAAGATTGGGGAACGGGAAGATGGCTGCCAGCCTGGATGCTGCAGTTGTCGACTCAGGCCTTGGTTGCTGATGTTGTGTCGTTGGTGGTGCTGAGGTCAAAGCTGTACCTGATGTAGGACGTTGAGAAGGCTGTGATGTCGATGTAGGTTGCTGAGGCTGGGCAGTCGCTGGTGCTTGTAGTGGTGGAGACTCAGGCTGAGGTTGGAGTGGATCCTGAACGACTGGCGCTGGCTGAGGTGGCAAAGAAATCGGCTTGGTGGCGCTTGGTCGGTTGAGTGGGTTAGGGAAAGTCGGAAAGACAAAGGCAGGTGGACCGCCCTTACTGACTTGTTGCTCCTGTACCATTATCGTCTGTGCCTGCTGCTGTTGCTGAGCCTGCACTCCTGACCAAGACTGACCAGGCTGATCCTGAGATGTCGTCTGTGTGAGACCCTGGAGGCGGACGTTTGCGATGATGCGCTCCTGCCGTAACAGAGCATTCTTTTGAGCCTTCTGGAGGTCGACTTGGTCTTGCAAATGCTGCTTGCGCTGAATGTCTCGTTGCTGTGAGAGTTGTTGACGCAGTTGTTCGTCCATCACATACTTCTCGTTCAGTAGCTGCTGCTGCTGCTGCTGCTGCGATGCGGCCAAATTCACAGGTGCCGTGCCTTGTGCAGCCATGGGTCCCTGCGGTAGCGACAACGACGACGACGACGACGCAGGTATAATTTGCAGCTTCTGTTGTAGAAACTGGTGCTCTTGCAGCAAGGCGATACGCTCACGTTCCTGTTCCTGTCTCTGAACGTGAAGGCCTTCGAGCAGCTTTAATACTGCCATCTCGTTTCCCTGAACCTGATGCAGCTGGAGCTGAAGCAACTGAACCGCCCTCCTGGTCTCTTCCTGACGGTGAAAGAGACAATCCGCCTTCTCCTTCGAGCCCTTCTGCTGCGTCAAGAGCGCTTGAGCCTCGGCCATACATAGCCGGTGGAGATTCACCATTGCTTGAACCTGTTGAGCCACCGGAGCAGATTGAAGCGCCGTGTAGCTATGCTGCTGTGATGTTGCCAGTTGTAGCCTCTGATTCATATGCAGTTGCTTGATCTGCTCAGGAGTGACCGCGGGTTGTTGTTGCCGTTGCTTCTGTTCGCCGAGGAGGATGGCCTGCCGGAGCTGCAGGTTGTGTTGGCGGTGGACTTCCAATTTAGAGCCAAGAATCTGCTCTTTCTGATGGATCTCCTGCATCCGTCTTGTCCAGGCTTGCTCCCGCTGTCGCCACTTGTCCACCGCCGCCAAGTGCAACTGCTCGTCACTATGTCGTTGGTAGGCCAGATGTTGAGCTGTCACGAGTTGCTGGTCTGCAAGCCTCTGCCTGTCAAGTTGCTGTTGTTTGATAAGTTGTTTTTTCTCGATTGCGTGTTGTTGGTGTAGTTTGTGAAGCTCAGGACTTTTCCGGACCTGCTCCAGAAGGAACTCCTGCATTTGCTGATGGTTTGGAGAGGCCTGTGGAAACGAGGACTGAACAGGCTGCACGGGCAGACCAAGCGATTTTGTCGGTTGTGGGTGCTGTAAAAGAGGTTGCTGTTGTTGTGGTAGTTGTAGTTGTTGTTGTTGTTGTTGTCGTTGTTGTTGACTCTGCTGGAGACGTTGTTGTACAAAGTATTGTTGGCGGTGGTAGCATTGTTGAGCTTGAAGGATTTGTTGTGACTCCTGTTGTTGTTGCTGCAACGGCGGCAGCTGCTGTGGTCGGTGATCGTGCTGTGGCAGGGACTGTTGTTGCATGGCTGATGTCGCGATAGATAGGCCATGTTCGTCGTCCTCTGTCAAATCGATCACAGGCGGGGACGCAGTCTTTGGTGCTGCTGCAGGAAATTCTGGTGACAGGGAGACTGGATGTTGGTTTGGTGTGACCGGCGAAGGCAGACCCGTACGCACTGGGGTCGATTTCTCCGGAGCATTGAAGGAGGCAAGAATACGGCCCTCTGGAGGATTCTGAAAAGAGTTGGTCCTATCGTTCTCGTGGTGACTTGATGTGTTGTTGCTGTCGCCTCGCTGTCGTCGAGCCTTGGCTGCCTTAATGGCCGCGTCCCGCTGTCGGAGAAGGATATCGGTCTCAGCTCGTTGGTCCTGACACTGGAGCTCCATGGTCTGACTACAGTCCGTCAAGACCTTCTTCATCGTCGTCAGCTTCTTTATCCGCTCTTGAACATCTGCGCCCTGTGGGAATGAGGTGGGTGGGAGATTGGACAGTGTAAATGATGGCGCCTTGGGAGCTGTGTCGTGGTTGTCAGAGAGGAGAGGTGCTGGAGGGGGAGAAGTTTTGGTTGTTGACTTTATCGCTGTCGGCGTCGGAGTTGTTGCTTTTGTTTCCGTTGATGTGACGGTCGAAACACTTAAGGTTTCTGGCGAAGAGCAGCGTCGAGTGTGTTTTGAAAGCTGAAAGTCAAGCGATTCGCCCTGTGGAGACGGCGCTGGACTGATAAGCGAAGAGCAGGAGATCGAAGAGGAGGAGCGGAGTATTGGCCGTGGAACAATTGTGTCCTGCTGTGGCGGGCGATCCTCCTGATCAGCAGTGGTGGTGGTGGTGGTGGGATTGAATGTGGCGGGAGGCAATAATGCTTCCATTTTGCCAATCTTGCGCTTGTTTTCCAAGGTACTACCGGAGCTCAATGAAAGATCCTGATCCCGATCCAAATCAGCCTGGCTCCTTGATACATTACATTGTCGCTTGGCCGCTACCGACTGTATCTCCGCTTTCCTGGCCACCATTCCTCTGACAGCCATCTCCCAAGCTTTTGCTGCGGCCAAGGCCGTCTCCCGCTTGACTTTGCTGGTGCCCCGTGCATCTTCGTTCACCTCCTTGGCAGTCTGTCTTCGTGTTACTTCCGTTAATGCGGCTTCCTGCCTTGCGATGTTTTCCTGCATAAGGATGATTTTTTGTCTGGTCGCCAACTCCTTCGCAGCTATTGAGTCGCCGGATTTCTTCCTCTTGAGAACTTTCCCCACTTTCGACTCCTTCTCAGCCTTCTCTCTAGCAGCATCGGCTTTGGCCCTCCGTTTCACAGCCTTGGTCTTTTTCGCCTCGACTCGTTTGGCCTCTGCCTCGGCGGCCTTGATCCTCTCAGCCTCCAATCTTTCAGCTTCATTCCTGTCTGCCTCATCCTGCGCTGCTTTGATCACGGCTGCTTCGATTCGTCCCTCCTCCTCTCTGGCCGCCTTGATCCCAGCTGCCTCAAGTCTGTCTGCTTCCTCCTGTGCTGCCTTGGCCTTGGCTGCTTCCACTCTGGCGGCAGCGTCCTTGATGGCCGAGACCCTCGCTCCGTTCTCAATCACTGCCACCTTGATCTCGTCCAGAACATGCTGCTCCTCTTCGGTAAACGGTCGCCCATCACCAACAGTCTCCCAAATATGTTGACAGACCAAAGGCGACGAATCGACGGACCTGGCGACCTTCTCCCAGCGGCACATATCCATCCATGCTGACATCACCACAACTGGGTATAAAGTGGCAACCTTCTTAACATCCTCGCCTTCGCTGTCGTTGTCGCCATTAGTCTTGTTGTTCTTGGAGTGCCATTGTTGGTGATGATGTTTTTGGGTGCCCTTGAGGATGGTTTCTGCCCGAGGTTTAAGAAATCGTCCAACATGATCGATGACTGCATCGTTAAGTTGCTTAATTCTGTCCAGTGTCCAAAACTCCTCCAAACCAGGATCCAAAAACGAGTAGTATCGATCAAATGCCTCCTCGCCCGCAAGAGCCTCGATATCTCCCCAAGACTGCTCGTCGTCCACCATCCGAATAATTGTCTCGTCATGTTCGGATCCTTGGGATCCCGAGCTGGGGAAGCGAAAGGGGAGAGGCGGTCGGTTGCAAAAGGTGAGAGAGATGTCCTCCAAAGATGAGAGGGTTGTGGTAACTGCTTTGACTAGAGGAGTAGTAGTAGTAGAAGTCGGTGATGTTGGTATATGAGGTCGTTCCTGTTGCTGGTGTAAAGGATGCAAGATGTTGTCGGATGGAGCGGGACTGTCGCCTGCGGCCTGGTCGCTGGGCAGGTCGTCTCCTTGCGGTAGCATGTCCGTCTTGGCAGTGTGATGTGGATGTTTTTGTGCTGAAGAAAGGTCGGAGGCCTTTTGTGGAAACGTCTGTCAAGAGGAGCGTGGAACGGAGAGGGGAGAAAATCGACGCTGAAAGAGGGGAAGGGAAGGGGACTGTAGATAAGGGCCACAAGCTAGTTGTATGTATGTTGTTGTTGTTGTTGTTGTTGTTTGTTGTTTGTTGTTGGGTTGTAAGGTTGTCGATGTGATGGTGCGGGCCGTATCCTGCAGGTCCCCTTATGTAACCTTGGTGATTATGGTCGTGCAGGCCAGCGGTGAATGTGCACAAAGAGGGGGGTGGAGAAGATGGTCAGAAGACGATTCTCTACAAGGATAATACGAACGATGAATAAAAAAGACGGATAAAAAAGGGGGGTGAGCTTTGATGAAATGACACCTTATTGTTCACTGTGCCTTAATGTGCCCCCTTTACTGTAATACCTCATCTATGTTCGTTTTTGTTTGCTTGCAAAAGTCAATTTGTTGCAGTCATCTACTGTTGAGTGAGGTGAGAAACATACCTTGTGTGAGTGAGAGCGATGAGAGTAAGGATGGGAATGAGAAGAGGTGCTTGTTCGTCAGCGAGACCATGGGGATGGCCATCACATGGAAGGTGTTGTGTTTGGCGAGTAGAGTAGAACAAGCAGAAAAAGCATGTCCGCGTGCCTGTCGTTTTCTTTTTCTTTTTCTTTTTCTCATGCATGAAATGGTCACGTGCAATGATATTTTATTCACTGCTGGCACAAGAGGAAGAGGATCTACAGCCGCCTTCACTCTTGCTTTGTAACCGCTACGCCTGGACTTCAAGAACCATCATCTCCGCCTTGGCCAAAACGCGCCGCGACATCCTATTCACAAACTGATACGTCATATACACAGACTTGAACAACCCAAACACCAAAATAACAATCATCAACACCCCTCCCACACCCGCCTCTCCTTGTCGTTCTCCCCGTCCACCGCGTCGTCTACCACCTCCCAATCCAAACCCTCCAATCCTGAATATGCCCCCTCCGCCGCCCATCCACACCGACACAAATAGTTGCAGGAATCCAATGATACTGACAAAGAACGATCCAAAGACCATGTGGGTCTTGTCGATCTGAAAGACTGCCCGCAGACTCTCTGGTGTCTTGAAAATCACAATGTCCTCCCTCAACCGCATCACCTCCAGGTCTTCATCATCACTCCTATTGTAACAAAGAAAAAAGGACAAAAAAAAAGAGAGTTTTTGAGTTGACGTGTCCCTTATCTCCGATCGATCACTCACCTTCCACAGTATCAGCATCAGCTCATATTATTACAGGACGAATAACTTACAGGTCTGCGGGATAAATAAACTCCTGGGACTCGTCCATCATCAGATACATTAACAGCTTCATGGCAAAGCCAGCCGCAAACACCAACAACACGAAGGCGGCGATCGTAAGCACAAAGACCGTCAAGGGGTGGCCAAGATACCGTGCAAAGCTCGTTCGACGGAACGAGAAGGCATACTTGCAGGTGTCGCACTTGTAATGGCTCTCAGGCTTCGGGCTCCTTGTTCTCCACGCATTCAGACTAGTTGTGATGGAGAATTGAGAATCGATACCGAGAGTCAATCTCACGTTTCTTCTTCTCAAAATTACCAATAACACACGCCAAACAACAAAAAGAAACATACCATTCGATGTGCACGTATTTCATAGAACCCTTGCAGAGACAAGGAGAGATGAGATGTCCCAAGGTATCCTCTTCATCCGCACCTCCAAGACAAATCCTGCATTGTCGCTCGTCAACAGGAGGGTCGTTAAAAGGGACGGCAGCCGGCTGTGCAGGGTGACTAAAATGGTCAATGTCGGCATCCAAACCCAAATTGAGTCCTCCTGGCATAGTCGACGTCGCCCTGGATGTGCCAAAGAATGAACCGCGGATGTCATTGCGGTCGTCCTGTCGAGTCTGCGCACCTCTGTATCGCATTCCAGAGCCACCAGCGAGCTCCCCTTCTTCCTCACTACTACTCCTCACATCCTCCACTGTTGTCCTGTATCTGCTTCTGTCAACCGGCGAGGTTGTGGACGGCTGGGGAAGGGTTTGCTGACTCGAATCTTGTGTTGTCGTTGTCGTAGAAGATGTGGAGATTGGTGGTGACTGTGTGGAGAATGTAAGTGTGTTTGGTGGTGGTGGTGGTGGTGATGATGCATTCTCTCCTTGGTTGCTCGTGACACTGTGTAGCACCTCCTGGATACCCCTTGATCTGTCACTGTCATTCTTCCCTTCCTTTGTCTCTGTCGCCTTCCTCTCTGCATCCTCGGCCACCGCAGCAGGAGCAGCTGTAGCATTCATAATGTCGTCATCCTCATGGTTGCTAGCACCCTCCATGCGAGCCCTTGCTTCCGAGAAGGATGTAGGCGAGGGGGTCTGTTTTCCGCTCGAAAGACGGGAAGACATTGAAAAGTCGTCTCCCTGATCACTCCCAACCTGCACGAAATCCGAAAAAGAGGGGCTAGTGACACCAATGGATGGGGGTTGATGAGTATCACTTTCGCCTTCGTCATCCTGGTCGTCGTCGTCCTGCTGACTACTACCTAGGGAGAGCTGGTCGTCTGTGATCGCAGGGCTGCTGGAAGCATCGGAATGGGAGTGTGTAGGGGTGAGGGCATGGAAGACCGAGATGCCTGTGAGCGAGTTCTTGCGAGACTGGTCCGAGGATGGGTTGAGCAAGGAATATTCAGACTCGGAATTGGAGGAGGTAGCTGATCCTGGAATAGCGTCCTCGTCAAGGCCGAGTTGGTGTTGTTGATCGATTGAAGGAACTTGAAGGGACAGAGGAAACGATGCAGTGTCGGTCGTAGCGGCGTCTGTAGAGGACTCGAGGCCATAGTCCGAAGGAATCGAGAGCAATGAGGAAGCCAACTCGGCAAGAGTGTCACTAGGACGAGGGTCCAGGTGAGCATTGTTCTGAGAGAGACTACTACTGTCTCCAGTAGCAGTGGGGACCAAATGGTCGTCTTGGGTGGCTGTTGCTGCTTTGTGTCCTTGGGTGAAGGTGGTGGATGGCTGCATATCGATCCAGTCGTCATCGTCGTCGTCGTCGTCCTTGTCGTAGTCGTCGTTGAGGAGGAGGTTGTCGTTGTACTTGGCGTGGGTGTGGTTGTCGGGGGTTGAAGTGAAGGTGGTTGTTTCCTCTGACTTTGCTGTCAGAGGAGTGTCGACAGTGTGATGCTGTGACATTGCTTGTTACTTGGTGGTGATGATGAGTGTGTGCGTGAAGTTAGAAGATGGTGTGAAGACAAGTGGGTGGGGTGTAGAAGAAGAAAAGTGATGAAAGAAGAAGAAGAAGAAGAAGAAGAAGAAGAGAGAAAGGACACAAGAGTAATAGTGTGTGAAAGCAGTGGGGTCTGTTCCAAGGCTGAGAGCCTGGGTCTGACTGGCTGACTCTGTCTCTCTCTCTCTCGACTTTTGTGCGCTGCAAACCCAACAACGTGGAAGTTTGACAGGAAGGGAAGGGGACCTTCGCAGTCACATTCCCTCTTGAAGAGGGCGAAAGATTTATTTACACAACATACACAGCATAGTGTGAAGGAATATGAACACGGTGCGGAGGAACTCTGGAACGCGGGAAGAAACTGCACACATCAAACGACAGACGTGGCCAATGCTCAAGAATCCAGTCAACCTCCGGCGCACACTCTGCCATCTTGTAGTCCCAAGTCTCTGGAACAACACCCTTGCCAACATTCTTCAGCTGGCTCAGACCCCCCAACAAATCCAGATAACCAGGTCGACCCGCCACATTCCCCTTCAAAGACAACAAACCTGGGAACGGGACCTTTTCACCGGCCAGGTTACGCGCTATAGGTTTGTTATTCGCTGGTCTGTCAAGGCGAAGAGCCTCCATATTCGTTTGCTTCCCAATCTGCCTGTAAAAAACCTCGAGTTGCGTGAAAATGTGTTCCTCGTCCTGTGATAGGGGGGTTGGCGGCGTCTTGAGGTAGGATGGTATATATTGGATGTCGGCAGGAAGGGACAACGAAGGCATGGTGACGGCGACACTTAGCGACAAACGAATGATCTTGCTGCTTGCCCAAGGCGACCCGGCTGCATCAGACAGGTCGATGGTTGAACGAAGAATATGAATGGCTTCTAGAACCCCGCACGTCTCCGGGATCATTCGTATAGCTGAGCTGGTAATATGTGCGGTGATCCTGATCTTCCGAAGGGAGTGAGAATGTCGCAGGATGGTCGTTCTTACAACAGTTCCTTCCACTTGTCGGTTAAGGGTCCAGGAAAAGGCCAAGGTCTCTATCTGAGCCTCTGGTAAGACCTCCATGACCTTCAATGGCCACATCTCTTTGCCACCCGGGTCGTCGTCTGGTCCTAGGTATACGATATCGCGCAAGTTGGGACAGATCCGGCCAATATCCGCTCCATCCACCCCAGCCGGAACAACTGAGAAAATAATATCAAGTTTTTCCAGTCCTGGACATTGCCGAAAGATTGAAAGGAACTCCTCCGTTGTGGTTCGGTCCGTCCAACGAACCAGAGTCAGTTCTCTAATATTAATCAATGGGGATGTCCTTCTCGAAAACAATCTTTCCGCATCCTGCTCCACCTCTCCAGTGCCCATGTCAGAGTCGTCAAAGATTTCAAACTCACGGGGGTGCGCAAAGCCAATGTGCAGTCGCTCGATCGATGGTGGGCAGCTGAAAAAGAGCAGTGTTATGATTCCTGGATAACGAACTTTGCCAGCGAGGGTAATGCGCAGTTGCTTCAGATTGGTCATGCCCAGCAGTGCCGATGTGATGAGTTGGGCGCTCCATGAGTTCCTGACCGATAATGTGCACAGAGACAGGTCGCAAAGTTGTGGTAAAAGTTGAAGAAGTCCGCAGAGGCGAATGGCTGACGTCTGCGGGTTGTTGTAGTTGGGGAGATTGTACGGACATCTGAGCTCGAAGAGTCCCAAAGAAAACGTCAGTTTGAGCTTGGTCAACCGAGTCATTGCCGGCAGAGGGACTAATTGGACCAGATCGAGAGTTTTGGAAGAGAATTGCTGTGGGGTTCCTGGGATGGTTTCCGTCGGCAGAGTAACGAGCGAAGAAATCGTCGCAGTAGCGGTGGTGCTGTTGGTGTTGTTGCTGTCGTAATAGGCGGTGGTGGCGTGGTAATAGTAGACAAAGAAGAGAAGGCTACTAGACCAAGACTTGACATAATGAATGTTCCTCGCCAAGGCGTTCAATCCGTCGGGGGATTCTTGCAGGTTGGTGCCCCTGCTGCTGTCGTAGGTTGTGATGAGGTTCTTGTAAAAGATGGGTGCCATTGCTTCGTGCATCCGGCGACTGGTCATCATCAGGGGGGAGATGTCCTTCTTCTTGAGATGTGATCCGACAATGGAGGCCAGCTCGGGGATGCCGAACAGGCGAGCTGATGCGGAGGGCTCCATGGTGAGCGAAGGAGGCGTAGTTAGGCGTATTGGAGGTGTGTGAAGAAGAAGGGATCCCCTCCGCCAAGCGCGTATTCGAGTTGAGATGACGGTCACTTTTCGTCTTTAAGTTAGTAAAATCATCACCAATGGAGTCGACTCGAGACTTTGGGATCCCGTAACTGGCATCCATCATCGCCCTCACTCCTCAAGAAAGAGGACATCGCGTAACCAGGACTGGATTTTTTCATAGTTGGCAAATGTTGACTCGATCTTTAGCGTCCTCACTACCTACAAGACATCTCACCCTGGGATGCTCGCCTTGGTTGAGTATGGTGAAGGTCAACCGGGGGGTGGTTCCTGGACTTTGCTTGGAGGATTGAAGAAGCTGGAGAAAGTAGGTAGGTTGATTGTTCTAGAATCAGAGAACTTTTCGATGTCCTAGGATGCGCCTAGAAAATAATAAAAAATTGATTGGTTTATCGAACACTGGGACCAACATTGTTGTTTGAGAGCACGAGGCTCTACCCTTTCTCGCGATGGTTATCGTTGTAGTTGATCTCAGTTGTCGTAGAGGGAGGCCATCTTGTCCTCATACTTTTCCCCCCCCTCACCTTTGGATAAACAACAGAGCAAAGTCCAATGTCATATATCCTCCAACGGAGTATAATAAACCACCATCCTGAAAACAGTATCAGAAAAAAGAAAAAGAAAAAGAAAAGGACGAACAAAGGAAAGAAAAGAAATGAAGACCAACGCTTTTCCACCAAAAAAAAAACTACTCTCGGACCCATTGCTCCACCATCCATTCCAACCTTCTCCCTCCGAACCGTCAATTGATCCTTGAAGGAGGCCGCACCGCATCTCCAAACATATATGTACTCCAACTCCTTCTTCAAGATCGAGAACAAGTGTAGGAATCCGGGTCGGTTTATTGTTGAGGCGTCCCCGAGGTTGAGCATTTTTTTTTTTTCGATGGGAAGGTGCGGAAGATTGGAGGGGTGTTTCTTATTGAGGGAGTAGTCGTGTCGGTAGTCTTTAAGGTCGTTTGTCAACTGTATCTCCGTTCCCGAGCTCCAAATCTTCTTCCTCGCCAAAAACAGTAGCCTCATTCTCCTTCCTCGCTGTTTGCTGTTTGCCCATTTTCACCATGGCACACTTGTACAGGAGTGAAAACAGAGAAAGAAAAGAAAAATGGCTTTTTTTTTTTTTTCAAGGTCGCTTTTTATTGATGTGAACTTTTTCGCCACGGTTGCTTATTGTTGTTGAATGAATGAGAGAGAGCCTGAACTCAGAAGAAAAACGAAACCAACGCTAGAAGGATTTTTTTTTTTTCCGAGAGAAAAAAGGGGGGTTCATGATCCTCCAAGTGTCAAAAACCCTATCGACATTTTTGAGTTGAATGTCAGACAGACAGACACTCATTTGCTGGGCTAAGCCCATGCAGATAAGATCTATCTCAGGTACCCAGTTCGACTCTCCTATTCTGCAATTGAGCCAACTCTTTTTGCAAAATTTAAAAAAAAAATTCATTCCTGTCAAAAAAAACCCGTTCATCATAAAACAAACCAAATAATACAACATACAAACAACCATAAAAAAAAAGTAGGTGGTATCGCAAAGCCAGGATTTATTTACAACCAATTGTTCAATTGGACAGTCGCAGTAGCAGCCATGGTCGCATTGGTAGCGGCAACAGCCTTGGCCGTCGCTGTGGCAGAAAAAGAAACTTGCAGTCCTGCAGCGCCACTGTTACTGCAGCCAGCACTATCATCGGAAGGAGCCGAGGTGGAGTTTGAAGCAGCTGCAGTGGTGGCAGTAGGTCCAAGGGCAAGGGCTGCAGCCGACAGCGACCCACTGGTCAGCATAGGATCTTCCTCACAGTCCATTGTAGGCGAGGGCTCACAGGGATGCAAGTACGGCACAAACACCTGCTGAGGCGGGTGGTACGTGTGTCCTCCTGCTCCTGTTCCATTCCCAGTTCCAGGTGCTTGCTCGGTCAAAGACTCTGAAGAAAAAGAAGGCAGCACGAATGGCTGTTGAAGCTGGTCCGGCTGAATCTGCTGTCCCTCAAGAGACCCCTTCCAGGGCGAGCTCAATGCGCTCGAGTTAGGCTGAGCAGCATAGATCGACGGTGGGTGGATATGTTCACTGATAGCAGAACTGACAGTGTTCACAACTGCGGCCGCTGCGGCTGCAGCTCCTGCTGCCATGGCGGCAATTGGGTGGTGGTGATGATGTGAACTAAACGGCGACGAAAGGTTCAAAATATTCGGAGTACTTCCACACATGGCGATTGGTCCGGGAGCAGGTGAGGGGGATGATGTGACCACAGGGCTGGAGGTCGACATGAAGAGGGGAGACGAGACAATCCCGCCACTTGCTGCTCCCGCATGGTAACTTCCCGAAAGAGAGGACGATGAGATGGACTTTGACAACGAAAAAGTACTGCTGGGTGTCCTGAGCTGAGACTGGGATCCATGACTCCTCAACCCAAGATGATTGACACCGCTAGCCGCCTGCTGCTGCTGCTGTTGTTGCTGTAACAACTGCTGCTGCGTAGGAAGAGATCCCATCGACGCAGAGGCGGTCATAGATGTTGCCAGGGCTAGATTCATCGCCTTGATGCTTCCTCCACCACCAACTTTGGAGCTCTCATCTTGCAGAGTGTTCTCTCGAATCAAAGCCAGCCCACGCATAGCCGCAGGTGACAGTTCCAGCTCTCGCTTCGGTACAGATGTGAGCTGCTTCTGCAAGGGTGATCCAATATGAAGCTGCGGCCCAATTGGTGAAGGCGACAACAGCATAGGTCCTGTCTGTCCAGACGAGATCCCGATAGGTGCAGAGACATGACCTGCAGAGACCATTGCTTCAACTGTTGACGTAACTGCATTCGAGTCTGACGATGACGAGGCAACTCCTAGACCATTTGATACTCCTGCGCCCTCTGGTGGTGACACATACGAATGAGTGCTTGCCTCAGCATCACCGATCACACAGTAGTGACGAACCATCGCGACCAGGTCCTTCTGCATCAGCGGTTTGGTAACATAGCGCTCCATGCCAGAGTTGAGGCAAGCCTTCCGCGCGGTCTCCTGAATGTCGGCCGAGACTGCAACAATTGGCAGACGAGGGACTGGGCCTTTCACTTCTGTTGCATGCTCCTTCTCCAACAACCGAATCTGCTGTGTCGCCTGCACACCATCACCTATTTGTTTATGCATGAATTGAAAAATGGACATTTTAGTTAGTCCAAGGCGCAAGTAACGAAATATTGACGCAAAGGAAAATAGTTTCAAAGCGCTTACAGTTGGGCATGTGGTGGTCAAAGAAGCCCATGGTGTAGTATCCGCGAGGATGAGATTTGAACAATGCCAATGCATCAGCGCCATCGTTCGCACACGAAATGACCAGTCCAAACAACGACAGCTGCTTCGACAGTACCATCTGAGCAATCTTGTTGTCTAAAAAAAAAAAAAAAAAAAGATACACAAAACAAGTTAGTATGCCATATCCATCAGTGGTGTACTCATCAGCAGCTAGAGGGGCGAGAAAGAAAGAGATAATGTACCTTCGGCGAGAAGGATACGCATGCCGGTGATGCGGTTCGCTTCCTCCAATGATAAAGAGTTCTCAGTGGCCTCTTCGGTCACCAGCTTGGATGTTTTGGTGGGTTTGGGAGAGTTCGATCGAAGCTTTGACGCTCTGCTCGAGTTGACGGGCAACTTCTGCTTCACGGGCAACACCTTGACAGGAGGTGGAGATAAGAGTCGATCCCGCTCCTCCTGTCCCTTATCCTTGTCGTTCTCATGAGCGACTCCACCTTTGTCATTGTGATGGAGAGTTGAGGAGGAATCGTTGTCATTGACATCGCCACCGCTGCCAGAGGCAGAAAACATGGTCTTCGACGACACGACAGACGAGGGTGAGCACATCGACTGTGACCTTGGTCGCTGTTGATGATGATCAAATACCGAATCTTCCAATACGGTAACCTCCTCAACAACCTCAAGAGCGTTGACAGAACTGTTGCTGTGCCTATGACCGGGGTTGTCACTGCTGGACTCGTTCAAGTTGACGGGGCTGTCCAGTGCATCACGCGCACTAGCCTCTTCTCTCGTTTGGCTGACCACCTTTTGCTCCTGTGACTTGCTGAGAAACTGGGACGCGCTGTCCGCATTCCGAAACGAGGGTCGGGTAGGAGCAGCAATCGGTCCTGTCGTGGAGGTAGATTCCTTGACACTTGGGCTTTCCTTGGTCATGGACCCATCGAGTGTAGCCATCATCGATGCAGGGGGGCTACGAGCTGAACCGACAGGCGAAAGAGTTGCTGAGGAGCCGGTTGAGCTGGTAGGCGAAGAAACCGGCGAGTTGATGGCGGTCGCCGAAGAAGCTGTGGGGCTGGTGGGTTGGATTGGTGTCGCACCACCAGCGTTATTGACGGCTGCCTTTTTGACAGCATGAGATCCATGGATCCTGGTCGAATCATCCAAGATCTCAACAAACGCACGAAGCAGCTTCAAACGACGGATTGGCTTGGAGATACACGTGATCCTGAGGCTGTTGAGCTTCTCGGGACTGAGTCCAGGCACCTCGCTTTCCGTCGTCGATCCTGCATTGTGGCTATGGTTGGCACTGCCAATGACGGAGCCGTTGTTGTCAAGTCGCAGAGAAACCGACTGGCTGAGGGTCGGTCGCTTGCGAGTCCCAAGGGATGGGCTACCTGAGGACGAGGAAGGCGGCAACTGCAAGGACTGAGCTCGACGGATCAGGTCGGGTGATGGCAAGGGCGTGTACAACAATACGAAGTGAACATTGTTCAAGTCTGGTCGTGCTTGCAGCTCCAGCATCTTGGCGTGTTGAGGGTCGTATTTGGGGAAATCCCAGCAGACAAAGTCGAATCGGATTCCATTCACGACCGATTCCTCCAGGCGACTGGCTGCTGTTGCGGGCAAGTTGGCGACCTCAGTGTTGAAGTCAGACAAGTACGCCTGAAGGGTGGAGATGGTGGTCTCACTGGTCGAGGCAATGAGAATACGGGGTGTTCCCAAAGTACGGGTGATGCGCTTTATCTCCTTGGTCGAGTCAACGACATCAGTCTCAGGAGTAGTGCGGACGGGGCTCTCGGCAGCCGTGCCCAGCTCACACTGAATCACGAACCAGAAGGTCGAGCCCTTCTCAGGCTCAGAAACAAGTCCAATGCGACCCTTCATCAGCTTGACGAGCTCAAGACAGATTGACAGACCCAATCCTGAGCCGCCATAGGATCGGGTAGCACTTCCGTCCACCTGAGAGAAGGGCGAGAAGAGTACCTCTCGCTCCTCGACGCTGATACCGATGCCTGTGTCCTCGACCGAAAACATCAACTTGACAGACGACTCGCTCAATGGCTCAGGTGAAGAGAAGCGGCCCGAGTTGGGCGGGCGCATCTCGGACTGGCATTGACCACCGCCGTTCTTCTCATGTAGGAAGTAAAACTTGTCGTCATCAAGCAAAGAAGAAGATCCAGATGAAAGCGCCGCCATGTCCGTGTCCCGATCCAGAACTCTGCATTTGACGACAACGTGTCCAGTATGAGTGAATTTGATGGCGTTTCCGACCAAGTTCAACAAGATCTGCTTCAGCCGGTTGCAGTCACCATTCAAGACATCAGGGACATTGTCAGCCTTGAGAAAGGCAAGTTCCAGCGCCTTTTGAGAGGCCAAGGACTCGACAATGTCCTCAACCTCATCAAAAACTTCCTGCAGGTCGAAGGGCGATGCCTCCAGAGTGACTTTGTCAGCCTCCAATTTCGAAAAGTCCAGCAAGTCATCGATGATAAGCAGCAGCTTCTCGCAACTAGCCTTGGCAGTGTAGACACACTCTTGCTGCTCTTCGTCCAAACTCGAGTAGCCCAGCAACGTTAACATTCCGTGGAATCCTGAGAACGGGCTATATAGTGTCACAAATAAGCAAGACAAAGGAGTGTAAATATATCATTCTAAGGCTGCTGTAAGTTATCCCGAAGACGGATCATTTGAACAAGCAAGCATATGGACATACGTTCTCAGTTCGTGACTCATGTTGGCCAGGAAATTAGACTTTTTGTGCAATTCGGCTTTCTGCGCACGGTAAAGGTCATCTAAATAAATTGCGGTGGGCATATGTCAGACATTTTTCTTCACATGTCGCGTCAAATCACGCCCGCAAAGTCGTAAAACAGAGTATTGCTTACCGATGTCAATGGTGACACCGACCCATTTCAGGATGGCTCCGTACTGGTTCAGGACCGCGATGGCACGCGACAGATGCCAGCGGTAGACACCGTCAAATCGCATCAATCGGAACTCGCAGTCCTTGTACACTCCCGTCTTGTAGCTCTGCGAGACCTCCTTCTGGAACGCCGCCACGTCATCCGGACTATCATAATGAAGCAAACACAATCATCATTAGTTGTCCTTTGGCAGCAAAAAATACAGATTCAGCAAGGAACACACTGGGTTGTTGTTGACACTTACTGCATGGCGCTGATCCACCTGTCACTGGTACGCTTGTCGCCTGGGAATCCTGTAAACTCGAACCACGACCTCGAAAGATATCTGCGGCTTATAACTAAAAGGCAGAAAATGAAGACAACGTTAGCGTTGAAACTAGAAATAACCACTCTTATCAATATACGCAAAGCTCTACTTCTGTAATATCCTTACTATCATCGGGCTCAGCAGCCCAAACAAAGCAAGGCAGAGCTTCCATCCACGAAAAAACCTCGTCCTCGTTCTAAAGTTCAACAGGAAAAAAAAAACGTATAAGTATCATATTTCGCACCATACAGGAAGCATTCTATCCCTTTTACAATTTGGACAGCTGGAACAGTACCTTGCGAATGCGAGTATTAGTATCTTCAAGGACACGACTGCGATGGGTAGCCAAGGCCAGCTGCTTCTCAAGACTTGACACCTTGTCGCAGTACTGCAGAGAAGGCGCCAATTTTTGACAAAACAGCATCAACATGTCCTGATCTCGCTTGGTAAAGTAGAACCGAGGGTGCAAATGGTGCAAGTAGATGGCACCGACAAGTGTCGGCGAGGATGAAGTTGACGACGAGACCGAAGGTGCGGGGGAAGAAGTTCCTGGCGTCGCCCATTGCAGCTGTGTCTGTTGATGTTGCTGGGGACCGGCCACAATGGGGACACAGGCAATTGTTGGCAACTGGGAGCGGCTTCCAACAGCTGTCGAAAAGATGGGTTCCTGGGTGTCAAGTGCTTTTCGGACCAAAACCGGCATATGATCACGGCGTTCAGAGAGATCGGTCCAAGTCAAGTTAGATTGATTGGTCGTTCCTGGCTGGAATTTGTCTTCAAGGATCGCCCAGGTCCCGCCATTAGGCAAATGCTCGTCCTTTTGCCAAAGAATGATCGCCATCTCCTCAGGAGGATGGCCCACCAGGATGTTGTCCAATGCATGAGAGATGGCTCGCAGCATCACCCGCAAGTCCGAGTTGAAGCCAATATCTAGGACCAATTCCAAGACAAAGGCACGGTCCTCGTGTGTGAGACCTCCTCCGTTGGTTTCGTGAGAATGTAGCGATGATGAAGCATTGTCTGGTGCTGGGATCCTGGCTCCTGTTGCGGTGGTGTCGATTTCCTGGCTCACCCGAGTGTCTGTCGATATGAAGGAGTGAGTCGAGTTGGCAGGTGATGAAGGTCGTGCCAAGCCACTGGAAGGGTAGGATGACGGCGCCAAATGTGTCTGGGAAGGCTTTGCAATGCCGGTGTTGACAATGGTGTTGTCGGAGTGTGTCCTAAGCAAGGCCTAGAACGAAAGAGAAATTGAACGGTCAGAATTGCGAGCTAAATATTTATGAGGTACGAGTAATTGTGTAATGTTCACTGATATGAAACCAATAAGGATACCTTGTTCTCGGCCTCTTTGTTGGATGCCTCCAGTTCCTGATCCCGGATGAGTGACAGCTCCTTGCGGACCTGAATCATGCTAAGGAACCTATCCTTGGAGCTCTATTTATTCCCCATACCAAAGGTCAAAAGTTCAAGAAGTGATGGATTGTGTTAATTTATCAAATGTCCAATAGGAGCACAGCACTGCGCCAACCATTTGTACATCAACTGAAACACTGGGAAATCATCTCACGAGCTCTCGGTTCTCACCTTGGCCACCATTCGCTGGATCACATTGGCAAGACGGCTCGGCGTACTGGCTAACACGGCACCACGAGCTCCTGATTTATGTTGCTGTTCATGTCCATAGTGAATCGACGATGCTGCCAATGAGTGCTCAATCGATCCTGCAAGCATGTCCTCCGGTAACAGGATTGTATACGACGTAAGCTGGTAATAGAACATCACACCTATGCAATTACCAAAGTCAACAGTCGATTCGATTAATATTCGCTTGGCACCAGCGCTACCTCAAAGAACGCTCTCAACCATTTTCACAAACACATCAAACAAAGACACGAGCCAAAGCCCAAGACAAAAAAAAAAAAAAGAACGACAATGAGGTGGATTTCCTTACCAAGAGTGTAAATGTCGATCTGAACAGGAAGGACACATCCAGGGGGAGAATGTAATTCCTAATTGATTAAAAGAAATGGGTGGAATACAAAAGTCCGAAAGGGGATACGGTTAGCCAAGCAAACACAGACAGTAGCGGAGCAGACAACTTGTCTAACTCGTTTAATAAGGTGTAGCCGTAAATTGTTCCTTGGGCGCTCTCTCTTTGCTGTCCATTCGACTTTCAACGGTCCAAAATAAAAGACGCGAGGTTAACCAAAATACCATTAGGGTATGTGCGAACCACCCTCTATTTCATTTCCGCTTGCCCCCACTTTCCTTGACTTTCCTCTCCTTTGTCGCTTTTGTTATTGAAGGTGTTGTCGCATAGAGGTATCATCATGTCTACTATTTGCATGGATGCAATTGTGAGTAGAAGTGTGAAAATACTAATACCGCCAGTTCAAGAAGGAACGGAGTCTGTGTCGTCGAAAAAAGACTAAAACATCTTCTGACCATTTTGTGCAGAAAAAAGTGTTTTGCCTCCTCTCTTTCTCCTTTTGTGTATTTGGTTCGAGAGGAGATGCACGATGAGGTGTGTATGGACTGTGCGACCCTCCTGTGTTGGAAGTGGGGGATGTAGATGGTCGGTGTGTATTTGATGTGGGTCCTGAGCTTGCACGCGATATGATGAACAGGGACTTGAATATTCAAGCCCAAAAAACAGGCAAAGAGTAAGGTAGAAGAGGGGGGGGGGGGGGGGGGGGGGGAAGGTGGAGAGCAGGACCCTTTACCTGTGGCACATGGAGCAAAAAGTGTCTTTTGAGGACAAACGGCAATGGTGATCCTGAGGTTCCTGTGGACGTCGACCCTGATTGTGAGGTAGCTGTTGACGAGGAAGTCGATGAGGAGTGTGAAGAGGATTGGCCCAGTGTGGGTGAAGACGACGATGATGGCAAGAGCGACCGCTTGATACGCGCCATACGCGCGGCAATGGCGTCGTGAAAGACAGCTGCGCTATTGGTGTTGCTATAGGGCAGCAAGTTGGCATCAGAGGGCGAGAAGAGAAGAGGATCCTGAAACGAGCCGGCATTATGATTGGGGCTGGCGTTATTGCTGGACGCATGATTAATGTAGTTGTTCTCGGACAAGTTATTACTGAGGGCACCAGCGATTGGCGAGGAAGACGCGCTCTGAGGTGGACTTGCAAAAGGGTGATGAAAGTTGCTGCTGCTGCTGTTGTTGTTGTTGGCGTGGCTCTGGTCACGAAGACCCTTTCGGGCTGGGCTGTCTGGCGGCTCAGAGCTCTTTTCGCCAAGACCGAGGTGAGTGCAGTCAAGGACGAGTGAGTATCTCCGTTGCCTGCGACCGGGCTTGTTGCTGCTATTGCTTCCGCCAGTGCTGCTGTTGTTGCCTGTGGTATTGCCACTGATGCTGCTGTTGTTGTTGTTGTTGTTGCTGTTGTTGTTGTTGATATAATTAGTGTTGTTAGGGGTGTTGCTGGCTGTGTGTACTCGCGAGAGAGAGGCAGGGCTGGTATGGTTGTCTTTGCGACTGGGATGAGACGGATAGTTTGTGCGTGGGGAAGAAGAGGGGGGTGCATTGGTCGAAGCAATAGCTGCAGAGGGACTATTCCCGGTCAAGGTACTTGTGATGGTGAGGAGTGCAGAGTCCTGGTCAGCCTTGGTCGCTGTAGTGGTATTGTTGCTCGACGAGGTTGTTGGAGGGGATAATACCACAGAGGTGGAGGACGCGTTGGCGTGAGCGTTGGTCATTAAGGTCGTATTTGAGGTAGACTCGATAGCCTTTTTGAGCGAGGAGGACTCTTCCCAGCTGAAGGAAGTAGGACAGAGTTGACCATGGATGAGGCCGTTCTGATGGAGGGTTTCGAGGAGAACAGAGGCTTCGACTGCAAAGTCCAAGAACCGGGACATATCCAGGTTGTGTTGCTGGTACTGTTGGTGTTGGTGTTGGTGTTGTGATTGGTTCCGGTAGTGCGGGTGTGAAGAGAGCTGGTGGTGGTGTTGGTGAGACGAATTGTCTGCAGAGGAAGAAGAAGAAGACTCTTGTTCGGCCATGAGGTCAAAGAGCAGCTGCTGGTGTGGGAGGAAAGCGAGAGGGTGTTCCTGTGAGAGGGGAATGGCGGGTTGACTGAGGGAGCGAGAGTGGCTATGGGTGAAGCCGTGTGTTGAGGAGGCCATGGTATGGGAGATGGAAGGTATATGTGTATGTATAAAGGAGGAGTGTTGGGATGATGGGTTGTCGTCGGCCATGGAACGGAAAAGAGAGAAAACAAAGGAAGTCGATTATAGAAACAGGAAGGAGAGGAGGAAGCGTAGGAAGTGGAGGAGGCAGAGGAAGTAATGAAGGTAAAGGAAGTAAAAAGAAGGAGATGTGAGGGAAGGGAAGGGAGGGGATGAAGAAGAGAGACGAGAGGCGAGAAAAGATAAAGAAAGGGTTGGGGGGAGGAGAATGAAGAAAGTATATGTGAGGAATAACCAACAAAATAATTATTACGAAGGGATCTTTCTCTCGTCATTGGTTCATACCTTTCTCTCTTTTAGTTCTTTCTTTTCTTTCTTATTTTCCTTCTTATTCTCTTTCTTATTTTCCTTCTTTTTCCTCTTTCTTTATTTCTCTCTTTCTGCACATTGCGCACATGCATCAGACCAAGTACAAAGAGGGAAGGGGAGGGGCCGACGGTGTTTGTATTTGCGACAACGGTCGTAGTCAATGCCACCCTGCCCTGTCGCTCTTTCCTTTCTTCTTTCCCTTTCCCTTTCCCCTTTCCCCCCTTCAATTATTATCAAGTTGTCCAAAGGGGAGTCTACTTTCAGCTAACCATGCATCTTATCCATCTTCCTTGATCATTTTTTTTCTCTTCTTTCAACCACCAATTGCTTACTTCTTTTTCCGGTGCATGGCAATAGCCAAGGCCTATGCTATCATAGTTGCTTTGCTATGGCACTTTTCTATTCACATCATCAGTGGCCCCTTTAAGTGCTGTCGGCCAATTAACATAGGAAACAAAAGCCGCTGCTGTCACCATGCCATCATCAGCAAATGATATGATTGGGAACAAAAAACACCGTACGACACGGGTAAAGAAAAAATGGTCCAGATCGCTGGCCATCTCACTCTCTCCTACCAAAGGGAAGAAAAGGAGGACAAGGGGAATCAACAGAACGGTGTGAAGCTTGTTGTGTTGTTGTGTGTAGCAGTGGAAGTAGAAGGATACCAAAAAAAAAAAAAAAAAAAAAAAAGCGGAATCCTAAACCATAATATCCTCATTTCTTTTCGTTTCTGTTGTCATCCCCCTCAATTTGTGGTTGTTGTTTTTTACGCATTGACAGGTACATCCCATCCCCATGGTCCTATTATGCAAGGATGGAAATCGAAACAATAGAAAACGGAAGAGCATTGGAGAATGAAGGGTCGCTAGGAGACGTAGGGAGGAAAAAGGGTGACATCCGTTAGAGAAGAGAGACCCGTAATAGGAATAAAAATGGACGATGATCCCTTTTTCTCCTTCCAATAGTCTCTCCTCAGTTGTTACAAAAACTTGTCTCCGCGAGCTCAACACCAAAGGGCAGACTCAAGGAGGGTTACCTGAAGAATGTGCGCCAGTGAAGGAGGGAGTGAACAAAAAGTATAGGAATGAGAAACAGGAACTGACAATGGATGAAACGTGGTTGCCTAATCCGCGTTCATTTCATGTGCACGAACAAAAAAGAAACAGGTTCTCTCGGGCGGCTTTCGCTCTTTACCACAAACATCTGACACAACATATGTCATCCAGGTACAAACGCCACAGAATGAAATGTGACGATGATCGTTTTTCGTAGATCCTTCTCCTTCCCTTCCTTGTCCCCTGTCTGTTTACAAGAAGCCTGTCTGTCCACCGTGTTAACCCATAAGAGGATCCTGGAAGCAGAACAAAGCACCAATGCTGCCTATAGCGCCTTACTAGCGCCGATTTCTTGCTATCATTATATATTTTTTTCATCCCCCGCGATTGAATCTCGTTGTTCCTGCATGTGAGAAGGAAATGAAATAACATACCGTCATTCCATCGGCTCACAATTTTCCTCTTAATCGTTCACCTCCCCTCCTCCAGTGTTCCGCCCAACCCTCCACTCGATACATGTATCGCCGTCTGTGACAACATCTCCAGTGCGTCGAACTCTCCTATATCTCTCAACAACAATAGCTTCTGTTCTCGGAGGTGTTGGCTTTAATGAGTTTCGAGACCTAGCAACAGGCCAACAATAAAAAAAAGTCAAGATAACAAAAGTCAAAAACAAGATCCAGGCAACACGATCAACATGCCACTGCTAAGCATAAACAGAAAAACGCGGTCGCCAAAAGACCTACCTAGAACAACAGGCAGTAATAAATCTAAAGCAGATATTCGACTCAGACAATTGGTACTCTAGCGTCTGAGGGCTCTGACTGTTGTTGTTGTTGTTGTTGTAATTGTTGCCTTGCTTCTAATATCACCGTCGTCGGAAACAAGGGGGTCCAAGACCTCGATCGGGCTTGCATATCGTCTCTTCCTGTACCTTGGCTAGATAACCGCGTGATTGCAAGTGAAAGGAGACAAAAAAAAAAGTGACATCAAGAACTCTCCCCTTTTCCCCTTTCGACGTCGACGGGGGGCAAAGTCAAAACAATGCATATTATTTTTCCTCTAGTGTTGGGCGGCGAGGAGGGTAATGTCCAAACAGACAAGGCATGAATAAACAATAATGACGACATGTCATTTGCCTTACCCCTCCTCCTTTACTCCCACCTTCCCAGCTCAGTTCCTCTGTAGTAATTTTTCATGGGCATGGTATGCATGGTTGGGACACATCCACTTGCGCGTCCTTGAGGGTTCCTTCAACTCGAGTGCGTCCTCCCAGGCCGACTGATTTGTGGTAACAGGCTCAAATGGCTTGTAGTCCACCGTGTCAGCATATCCGCGATCACTCTTTGTCTCCACTAGTGAAGCATAGTTATATTCAAAGAGAAAAACTACTTCGTCCGGTATTAAACACGATCTGACACCATCTGTAGTTGTTGCTCTTGCAGTCAGAATGCATAGGTGTCGAACTTACCACCACAAAAGTACGATCGGATTTCTTGTGGGAGCTCAAAGACCCCAGGATTGCTTCGGTTGATGTTTTTCAGGAGCTGCTGAAAGAGGCCAGGAGGACTGAGTTTGGGCAGGTCCTTTTTCAGGTAAAGGAAGGAAGTTGTAGGCAGTCAGATAAGTAAAGGCTTGTGCAAAAACAAAGGCTAGCACAGATGATGGGTATGAAGAACTTACTGTGCTGGCACGACACTCAGTGCAGTACCACTCGCCAGACAGGTTCTGGGGATCCACAGGGAGGTTGGCAGCAGCTGAAATGAAAGGTTTTGGGGCAACTCTCGTAGCAATATGAGCCGACCCTTTGCATAGTAGTGAGCAAAATGTAGGTTCGTGCACAAGAGTTGGTGAGCAGACACTGCTCCCCAAACGTACCTCGGGAACAAGTGTGTTGTATTCACTCTTAACAATACCTTTCTGCACCTTTGGTTCGTTGTCACTAACAAGGAGGAGGAGTCGATATTAACAACAAAGCCCTTCTTGACTGCATTTTCACCATGTCGCGTTATAAAACAATCAACACATTCAGTTCTTCACGTCGCTTACTTATGTTCTTGTTCAGAGAGGTCTGATATATAACCAGTGCTGGACTCGGTAGCCTCCTGCATGTTCGAACTTGAACTTGCCGTGAAACTGCTGTCAGACTCCTCCTTTCTCCGTCGCCCAAAGGTCCTTTCTCGTTTCCTGGCGAGTTGTGGTGCCGACGTTGACAGGGGGACCTGAAAAGCACCAGTTGCGTCCAGGTCCTCATGCAATGATTCTACTAGAGCGGCACTTGTATGGGGCAATAGAGATATTGTGGTGGCGCTCGTAGTGGCGGCAGCTTGAGACGACGATGGGGGGCATGATCACGGAATCGGAGAAGCTGGTGAGCAGGAAGGGTATGAGACGCAGTCGATCCGCTTATTGTTATCCGATGAGTAGTAGCCTCCGAGTCCATGCCTTGCTCCTGTAACGTCCAGTGTAAGAAAAGTGGTCCTTCTTGAAAGCTCAGTATCGATGTAGTCGGCGCGGAATCCAGTGGATTGGTCAAGGAAGGAGTGCGCCTTGTGAGGAGGCGATGAAAATAATAATGATAAAGACTGAGAGAGAGAAATTAGAAAGGAAAGAAAGACAGAATGAGGCGAAATAATTTATGAGAAGGACCTTGTGTTAGGTCAATGGTTCGCGTGTAGCTACTCGGCCTTCCGGACGGCTTGCTTCGACCATGTTCACTCAAGGCATCGATCATAGCATGCCGCATGCTAAGAGACACTCTCTGTTCGCTTGATATGTTGCCAATGCGATTATTTATTTATTTAGTTGTTGTCGCGTCATGTTTGCTCCAAGCGGTAGGGAATGTACAAAAAAAAGAAAAAAAACGAAGCACATAGATGATGACGAACAGTAATTGAAATAAAAGAAAGAGAAGACAGAAAGAATGAAGTTCGTTGTTGTCTTGCTCCCCCACAGAGAACACTTCCCCACCTCTTGCATCTGCAAGCGAGTGAGTCCTTCCATGCATTTCGCCTACGGTACTACGGTGCGGAAATTATCACGTACAGCGCGGTTCATCATCGTGAATTAAACTGCAGCACTCTTGTACGTGCGATTCAAATAAAAAAAAAAGGGAAGGGAAGAAGCGTGGGGTCAGTCCAGCCCAAAAGTCTGGGACATGACTCTTCCTTCCTTCTTAATCCTCAGCAAACATTACTCCTCATCCACTCTCTCTTCCCACCTCTCGCTAATACTGCCCTCCTTCGCCTTCACACACACACACACACACACACACCATGGCCAACGTACAACAGTACCGTCAGCAAATCACAGGTATTACCTTTACTCACACCCCCTCACCGCACACTTACTACTTCACATGCATACCGACCCGCCTCATACTTGGACACAGCAATCATAATGGACCCAAGGAGACCAATCCACACACAACCTCGACAAAGAGCCTGAACTGGACCATCTGCTACCCATTCATCCAACAGCACTCGACAGCGATCAACACGACTTTATTGCTTAGAGACAGATCCTGCATTGACTACAGGACGTGACATGTTCGTGTTCCAGAACTCACTATAGTTCTAATGAAAAGTGATTGGGGTACAACTGCATGGAAAAGTCTCCCGGAAAAAGAGTGTTGTGTCTCTCTCCTTTCTGTTCTCCTTGGTGCATGGCACTCCTAATCTTCGTCACCCTCTCTCTGATTCCTGCAGGACCATATTAAACCCAATAGCTGACTAACCGGACCACTTTCCTGCTGCTCTGTACATAATAGAACTGATCCGACAGGCAGACATCACTACTGTATCAGCACGCAGTATCCGGAAAAAGGTCGAGGCCCTGGCGCGCACCGACCTGGGTCCCGTCAAGGATCAGTTTGATGAACTCGTCATGGAGATCTATGAGCAGATCACAGACGAGGTAAACTTTAATGATCCTCTCCACCACTACGTCGCCCTTTTTTGAACCAAAATGGAGCCATTGGGCGAATTGTTCATGGACTAACCTGTGCTATCTCTTTCATTGGCTATAGAACGAGCGACTAGTGCTGAGTGGCGGACCAGCGGCTCAGCAATATAATGGCGTGGAGCAGCAGAACGGACATATCCAACCCGATTACATGCCAGCAGCGGTTATGACCCCAGCACAAAGCGCCTTTAGCGGATTCGCGCTCCCACCAACATCCTATGTTGCACCCAAGCCAGCACCACCTCCCGTCAAGAAATCTGCACCGGCCAAACGACCTGTGACTCCTGAAAGCAGCCGGGAATCAGACAACGACTCGGATGCATCTTACTCGTCTGTGGAAGGATCAAGCAAGAAGAGGCCACCAAAGAAGGAATCTTCTAAAAAGTCATCGTCTTCGTCGTCGGCAGCGAAGAAGAAGAAGGAGGCAGACAAGAAGAAGAAGGAAGCAGACAAGAAGAAGAAGGAGACATCCAAGAAGAGGTCTAGCTCGAGCAAGCACAAGGACAATGATGACGATGAGCCAAAGAAGAAGCGGGCCAAGCCACTTAACGAGGACGGAACGGAGAAGCTCAATGGATTCACTCGTCCTTATGCCATCAGCGACACACTCTACCAGGTCATTGGAACATATGGCGAAACAGGACCTTCAGGACGTATCGAGGTACCACATTGGTCTTTTATTGCGGTTTTCTGGGAATCCATGGCAATTGAGTACAACCCAAACGCCCCTGTTCTCACTTCTTGCACTTTGTGATATGAACGCATAGATGCCCCGACATCAAGTAGTCAAGTTTTTGTGGGTGTACATCAAGGAGCGCAACCTTCAGGACGAAAAGGGTATGCCTTCATACATTGGTTGCTCTGTTAAAGGAAGGACGCAGGGCACGATGTTACGAGTATCGCCTTTCTGACCTCAACTACATCTTGTTCCTATGACATATATAGACAAGCGCGATATTATTTGTGACGACAAGCTAAGGGCCTTGTTTGGACTGGACAAGATCAACTGCTTTGCAATGAACAAGTACATTGGTGCCCACTTGATCAAGCCCGAAGACGTGGTCCAACCACACGCAGCTCAGTAATTGCAACGCAACGGACCAGGGACCAACACTTTGCAGGTCACGAACGGAACACAGTAACCCAGCAATACTCAACTTTAGTAACTATTGCGGACGACGCTCCAGTTTTGACTGGACAAGAGATCTACTCCAAGATCATGGTTCACATTTTTGCGGTCATTTTTGTTTTTCATGAGTTCATGGCTTGGACTCGACACTGGAGGCTGCGATTGTTGGCGTGGATAGTGTGCATTTTTCGTTTGCACTGGTTCAAGACGAGGATTTGGCTGGTCTTGCGGAACAAATTAATGCTATTCTTGGGTCGACACTCTCACAAAATAAAAACGTACATCGACAATTGCTCTAGAATGTTGGTGCTCTCAGCGGTAGTGAATGTTGATAGCAAAAGGGTTTGCAATCTTTACTGTCATTTGAGGCACACCTTTTTCTTCAATGTCACAAAGTGGAGTCTTCACAAGAATGCTACTGGGAAAAAAAGATTTTTTCTACATCAAAACTCCTGCCTCGGTAAGGATTGCGATAGCATTGGACGCTGTGGTGGGTTGTTGAATTGAGCATCAGTCCTGGATAGCTCGACGAGATCGCGGTGCTGCTTCTCGAAAATTGGGACGCTGTTTCATTCGTTCGCTCAAGAAATGAATAAAGGGCGGCTCAATGAGGTTGCGCGTGAACAATGCTCCCCACGGGATCTAATACCTTGCACCTCTGGGCTTTCGGGTCCAAGCTGCGAATGTTCATCGAGGCCCTATATCGAGCGGGAAAAAAAAGGGTATTCCAGGAGAGACCGGTGGATGAACTAGTAGTGGCTACCAGAACGAGATAGAGGGCGAGATAAAGCTGTGTGGGAGTGTATGTGTGGGCGAGAGAGAATTGTTGCCGGCATACTCGAAGAAGGATAGGGAATAGATATCTTGGTTTTTGTTTTGTTGCATGGTTTGTAGGTCTTTGTTGAGTTTCTTTTTAGATATGTTTGGGAGAAAAAGAATAACAATTCGATCTTTTAAATCCATGCAATGTCTGGCTCCAACGTCTATCAACAGCAGCATGATCTGACCGCCTTCGCTCATGCCATGTTTGGTCGCAAAAGGTGAAGAGGCGGTGTTACTCAGGGGAGAGGGTCGACGGCCAGAGTTGTAGGACCGCTGTTAAGTCCTCAATTGGTACGGGGGGGGAAGGGGGGTTGTAGGTTGGAGAGGGGGAAAGTGATAATAGCATCCTAAAAGAATCACACAAAACGATACACTGCAGTGCGCCTGCGAAACTCTTGTCAATACTGCTCTCGTCCAAGAAGTGATGTGTAAAAGGACAAAGAGCAGACAAGAGGGCTCGGCGCACTACTAATACTATGTCTACTAAAGAATATGACTGCTAACCTAAGGCATCGCCGCCACTGCCTAGCCACCACATCTTTTTGTAACAGCGGCAAAGGGTACAAATTCAAAGGTACATGGATCCTGTTCACCCTTTTGTTCATAACCCGCGCTCACGTACACGGTTTTGAGGTTGATCTGAGAACCTTCTCTTCATTTGCGGCGAGTAAAGGCGATGTAGTTATTGTCTTCTAGGTGCAGGCGTAGATAAATGTCAATAGACTTGCAGCTTTCAAGAGGATGTTGTATGCATAGCCTTGATAGTGAGGCGCGTCCAAATGGAGTGGGTGTGTAGTATGTGCGATAATTCTACCTCCCTGCGCCACCAACCACTACCAACCTTCTCCTCTCTTCTCTCTTGACTCTTCCCCCAGTTCTCTTCTTCTTCCTTTCTCGTCTCTTCTCTTCCCTTCTCTTCTTATTCTCTTATTTTCTCCTTCAACTTTCTCATTCTCTTTGCTGAATCAACTTTTGCTGAATCCTCTCATTCCCACCACCCCTCTCTTTTTGATTGCACTCCCAGCAACTCATTCACTCATTCAAAAGAAAAAAACCCCCGACAAACATGCTTGCTTTGAACCTAACGTCTCCAACACACACGCAAAATACACGCGCGTACCTCAGTATAGTACTCCCTGTGCTTGTTGACCCCTCCCTTCTTTTCGCAACTCACCCTTAACTGCCAGGTAGAGCACAGAGCACTATCATTCTTTTAAGCCATCTTCTCCCTACGCCTCACTTATGATGCTTCCCTTTTTGTTGCACCATCGCCACCTTTCTTCTCTCCTCTTTTTGTTTGTTCGCCCTCGGGACTCACAACACAGAAAACACAAACACACCCACCCACAGACAGCATGGACTCTGCTCCAACTCATCCATCCAACAGCAACCGCAGGACAATGACGTTGAATAGGACGCGCCGGATCACCATCAAAAAGACCGTCAAAAGAACGGTCACGAAGGTCGTCAAGAAGGTCCTCGGACGGGTAGACTCTCATCGGGCCTCCGGAGAGAGCAACAACTCCAACAACGATACCAGCAACCCGACAGCACTCCAAGGCGGTCACAGCGTCACAAGTACAGCTACTGTACCCGTCGCTTCTTCTCGACCACCTCAAGTTTACGAGTCTTTTGCGAGCACAATGGTCGGCGACTTCAACCCTTGGTCTAGTCAGGATTTGGTTGGCGATGATCTCACAGCATCACTGTCGGAGCTTGCACCCCTAGACTTTTCCAATATCCACTTTCAGGATGACTTGTTCACCGTCGACAAAACCGAGATTGCTGAGGCCCATGAGGGAGATACTACCATTACAGACAAAGCCGGCGGTACTGAGGAGCAAGTTATCCGAGCCGAAGGTGATACCATGGACACCGGGAGCGAAACTACTGATATCAAGGAGATTGCCACCGAAACTGACGATATCGAGGTGGATCTCTCCCCTGCGAAGCGCCACAAGAAGGACTCCAGTTACCACGAAACTTATCCATCTCCAGCTTCCAGTGGCTTGAAGCGCAATCGACCTTCACAAGCCAACCCTCGATCCTCCACTACCTTCCCAAACGACCAGCCAGGCATCCACTCAGCTCGAGGGATCTCATTTAATCCGTTCAATCACACGTCCCCTTCAAGAGTTATTCGCTCCGCTCAAAAGAAATGGATCCCTTCCCATACCCAGAGGATCAGTCATGGACGACCTCGTGGATTTGCTTCTCCTACACAAACGTCGCCGCGCCACATTCTTGCGAAAGAGTTGGAGGATAGCGATGGCGACATCAGTATGTTCGAGCAAGACTGTCCCACTGTCCCATATTTCACGACCGACAGAACAGTAAGGAGCAGTATGCCTGTTTCGGACCAATACATAACCAAGGACAATGCCTCCTCAATCCACTCCAACTATAGCATACCCTGTCTTTCCTCTTCATCGCCGTCCATCAGTTTCGTCTCCTCTTCCTCTTCCTCGTCCTCATCGCCCTCTGTCATCCAGAATATCCGATATCAAGACAGTCAGGAGAGCTCAACTTGTAGCCTGCAAGACAATACTACCAGGGTCTCTCAAAACGACGGACCAACACTTTGTCGCTCATTGCTGCCATTGTCCGACCTGGACAAGACCAACGAAACCCAGGATAAGTTGGGACTGGAAACAGAGAGGCACACCCACAACATTGACATCTTCAACACCCTCCTCAACATCCATTCCTGGATTGTCAAGGTTTCACAGCAGCTCTGCAAGCTCGGCCTCGATTCAAGTCTCCCAATCCTCCCTTTTCTTTCAAACTTGACGGCCTCGTCTAGCGAAGAGACTGCTACGGATACTACGCCTCCACCCCTGACCGGCAGAGATCGACCTCCGTTGACACTGGCAGATCTTGAATCACCAGAAGGATACCAGGATCCGCCGATCAATCTGAACTCCAAACACGATCAGAAGCATGCGGCTAGACCCGAGCAGCTTTCGAGGCGTATCGATCGATACACACAGGGTCAACATCAGCAGGAACCCAAACTTCACGACATGTGGGCGCAGCACGTCGGGTTCCCGGAGTTTGGAGATAAGGTTGCTCCAAGTGACCATGCGCAGGACAATCGCCAGCAGGCTTTGAGCCCGCGAGACGGACAGTTCTTCTTTCCTCCCGGATTTGAACTGTGGGCTTAGGCTAACCTTTTTCTATTCTTGATTCTTTGCTCAATAACGAATACAAATACAAAATTAAAAAATAAAACTGCCTCCAGATGAAGGAATGGACATGTCATTGTGGCGAAGCAATTTTTTCGAGTAATGTTGAGAGAATTCTGAGTGAGGTGGTTCAGTTGTAGTAACCTTATTATCACCATCGTGTCTTTTTCATTTTTCTTTTTCCTTTAGCTACGTCATTTGCCAGCCAGCATAGATGATTTCATGATCTGAGTGAGAGGTCTGATTGTGCACGAAGGACGTGTTTTATTTTTGTGCTTGTGCGATCATTGTTTTCGCGAGGGGAAGTGAATACTTGCGATGGCAGCATGGAGTGCAAAGAAGAAAGGGTAGAAAAGGCACATGTCGGGCACAGACGGGGGCAGAAAAATAGGGGGGAAAGGACAAATGTGACATAGAACGTGGGGTTCATACTAGAATTAAAGCCTTGTAGACCCTTATCCAGGATCAAGTTTGCTTTATCACTCAGAAAAAGTATTGACATTTGCTCGTAACACGAACCGTCAAATTGATGTGAGCGTGGGGGGTGTGGCCCCCTGTAACTGGATGATGCAATGTGGTGGGTATGATGAGGTCTCGTCTCCCATGGTTTTTTTTGTACAGTTTTTTTCTTTACCCGATTCAATCCAGTTCGCCATTACGCCTGCTTGATATACTTCAACAAGTAATAAAGAAGGAGGTATTCATTTCAGGGTTTATATGAAGCACGCGCAAGCGTTTGTCTACAAACCAAAAAAAACACGGAACCAGATAAAGTTGAGACGGCAGATAAAAAGATCTCGTGGTAGGAGAGAAATGAAAAAAATAATAGTGGCCCGTTCTCAGCCTAGGGGCGAAGACAAAGATCCACTCACTCGATATTAAACCACCTACTACAAATGACCTAGCCTTTTATGTGTCACAAATCGGTTTACATTTTTTGTTTTCACTTTGCTCCACTTGAGCTTTTTCTTTCTTTCTGTGGGACATGTCTGGAGGGTGTTGGATTCATACAGCGACCAAAAAAACCCAACATGTATCGGTTAACTTCAGCTCCGGCACTGGACAATGGACGACCTTGGAAAAAACCGAGGATCGACCATTGAGAGGAATGCGGATTAGTTTACAACTCTTTTCCATTTCATGTCTACGCTATTCGTCAATTGAACAATTAAATTTTATGTTGCGACTCTAGAGGAAATGATACATCGTATTACCAATGGGTGCAACTAACCTCTTATTCCTTTCTCACACACCATGGTTGTTGTTCATATCATCCCGCGAGTTCATTGTCTGGATGTGCAATTCCTATGTGTTTAGATGATGGTCATCTGAACAGTACTGTCCATAAAAACAGGACTGGTGTTCACATCGTCTAACGTTGGTACTGAATATTTATGTAGTTAACGCTCCGGTGTAAATCCTCAGATGCCTTCTCGGGTGCAGCGAGATATCACGAGTCTTTGATCAGCGGACGTCTGGTGGGATGGACGCATAACCAGCATGGTATGTGAGTAAAATTTATTTGAGTAAGGGTTGTCAAACGGGGGTGTCTGTGTTGTTTGTCAACTTTTGCTACCAGTGGCAATTCAAGAGACCATGGGCGCGACACACAATTCACGACTAGTGACAGGAGTGACATTTCTTGCAGTCACAGTCGTCATAGTAAAAGCCGCAACGACAAATCAGGTAAATAGCGGGACACGCACAGGCTCTTCTGTTGAGAGCGGGAGCAGAAACGGTGTTAACCGCAGGGTCAGCCATGGTTGGGGTCGCGATAAACGATAGCAAGCTGAAGATTGTGATGAACGTGGAAACTGAAAGGAAGAGGACTGCCGAGGTGGAACACTTGAAAAAATGCATGGCTATTTTCTTCTTGAGTGCGTGGATGAGTAGAGTGACAAAATGGAGGGGTGCCTGGTTTTTTTTTAAGGAAATATCGAGTCACTGTGCAAAGCAATTGAGAAGAATGATGTTTCATATCCTTACTTTTGGCGGAACTGTGTGTAGGGTGTGGATGTTGCTTGTAAGCGTTGCTGGGATGTTTTTGCTGGGACTGTAGAGAGCCTGGGAAGAACTATCTCAGTTGAGTTTCGGGATTGGCTCCCTTTTATACGCGATGCAAATATTTTCAGCACTCAGTCGATTCCACAGAGCCAAAAAAGAAGAAAATCTCAAGGGGTCGCTCTTCAAAGTCCATGGCAATGTCAAAATCAAGGGCAACACCGAATAAGGGGCAGCCAAAATCAAGGGGAGCAGTAAAATCAAGGGTACACGGGGCAAGGACATTATGGGAGACCAAGCATCGAAGAGAAAGATTAGAGAAAACGGGAGGATCAAGAGCGGCATACAAGGCATTTGAAAAGGAAAAAAAGAAAATCTAAGAGAAGGTAAAAAACAGGGAGAATCAAGGTGCAACATATAAGGCTGCAATCCATCGCTCATTATCCGTCGACATGCCAGAGGAAAAAATAAGGACAAGGAAAGCAATGAGAGGGAACAACGGGGATGTTTTCTGTTTGTGGATAAAATCCGGCGCTCACTTCGAAGTATGAAAAAAGATCAAGGAATGAGAGAAGGTCAAGGGATGAAGAAAAGACATGGCATGAACAAAAACCAACGACGAAAAATTTGTCAATTGGCTTGTCTTATCATACTCAGTCAGCATTTGAGGTGGTTGTTATGTTCCCCATGAGCGATATGTAAGGGACGAAAAAAGATGACAGCAGAAAAATACTAAGGGAAGATTAAGGGCAGAGAAAGAAGAGAAAGGCAGACCGTGCAAAGTATACGCGATCTAACCTGTGTGGGTGTTTTTGATCTTTTCGGCTAGCCTGAAAAAATAACGCAACCATGGCATGGGGACATCACTTAAGAACTAAGAGAGGTGGCAGAGCGGTGGAAAGGACGAGAGTGTAAAGAAAGCAAGGAAGGAACAAAACAAAAAAACAACCTCAAAACGCAATCACGCGCCCACAGGAGATACGAGGAATGAACGAAGAAGGAACGAAGAATGCATAGAAGCAAACACGCACCCTACAATTTACGAGGAAGGTACGAAGGATCAGAAAAGAACAAAAAAGAAGTGAAGATGTATGCTAAAGGACACAGACATAAGAAACGTCAAAAACACAACGCGAACGCGCACTCCTACAGCGAAACCAAGGAAGGCATGAAGAAGAACAGCCCAAACGCAAACGCGCACTCGGCAAGAAAAACGAGGAAAGAAAATGAGTACGGGAAAGAAAGAGTGGGAAGGGAGACACAAACGTGTTTTTATTTCCTGTTTTGCTTGAAGAAGGAAGGAAGGTTCATCTACCGGGTGTCGTTGAAACAGCGAGTGGGACTCAAACGGTAGAGGCGGGTGCCCAGGAGGGAGGCCGGAGAGGAGTGAAGAAGAAAAGAAAAGTGTGCCTTTACTGTTTAATCTTGTTCAAGCAACATGTCCGAATCCGCATCAAAAAGACCTAACCGCCATTTTAATGTAACACACAGACCTCGCGGTCAAAACCCCACCATTGCATCAGCTGCAGCGCTCGTCACAGGATTCAACAAATCCTCCTTCAACATCAATCCACCACCTCCACTGCCTCCACTTCCAACACTCTCTCTCCCACTAAAATCCCTCGCCATCATCAATCCATCCCCCGACGCAGATCCAGACCTCACTCTCACCCCTAGTCCTCCCGTCACACCTCCGCCTCCCGGACCAGCACTACTAATCTGCCACATCGGATGAAAATCCTGCTGGTGAGGTGAAAGTTGCTGCTGGAAATGGTCCTGCCCACTGGCCGCAAAGGGGTGCTGATGGTGATGCTCCCGATACAACAACGTCTCCGTGGGCGAAGGCAAAGCAGAATACTTGACACTGCCTACAGTGCTAGTAGTCGACGCTCGACGGTGTGGGTTGAACTGTGGGTGCTGGTGGTGTTGATGCAGCTGGTACTCCATCGTCACCTCCAGCCTCTCCTCCTCCTCATACACGCCTCCTTCATCAGAGGTGCCAACATCGTTATTTCTGCTGGATCCACTGCCACCACCCCCTCCGCGGACATTAGACAGCTTTGAGGTACTCAACGATCCTATCAAGAACCCTGTCCGTGGTCCTGCTGCCTTGATTGGTCTCGGCGAAATCGGCATTGTGGTCGTTGTAGACGCGTTGGCGGTGACAATCAAGGGCTGGAAAGTTGGTGTGACAGACGAGGTCACAGAATTTTGCTGTTGTTGTTGTTGCTTCTGGGTCGAAGTGGATGTGAAACTGGATAGGAGAGACCTTGGGTTGATTGCCGAGGCCAACGACCGTCCTGTCGACACTGTTGTCGCTGTAGTCGTTGTCGCCATTGGATTCACAGCAGTCGTCATTGTCGCTGGATGGCTGGTAGCAGAGGCGGACTTTGGTGAAGACGAGTTGGGTGAAGAAGATCCAGACGATGCTGCGGACGAGTTGATTGTCTGAGCTCCTGTCTGTGGTGGAATTCCTGAAGAAGCATCTGCGGCCGTACATGTCGCTGTTGCCACTGCTGTAGCGGTCGACTTATTGTTGCCGTTCAGCGAAACCTCTTTCCGCAGCGCACTCGGACTGGGAGAACGCACGGGCAGCATCAAGTCCAGTTGTGACAAAGAGGGCTGATCCAGGGGCTGAGGCGAGGTCGACAGCAAGGGGGTCCCGTTCTTGGCTGTCAAGATAGCTGTCGTTGTGGTGGTAGATGTCGAAGAATGTGTCGAGTGTTTGGGCATGGTCTGTGTCGGTTGATCCAAAGGTGGCGCTGTAGCTGATCGATTTGTGGCAGAGTTCTGGGTGTTCCTCTTGAAGAATCCTCGCCTCGTCCGACCCGTCATAACAGACACATCATCGCCGCCCAACCCTTCTCCTGTAGCGATGGTCGGTGACAAGCTCGAAGAAGTCGAAGCGCCAATCCTTTGACTGGGCGCCAAACTAGTCGCGTAAGTCTTGCGCTTGCCGAAAAGTCCCCGCCGCTTGGTCTGAGGACTGTTCTCCTGTGAACTGTCCGCCTTCTCTCCCGCAATAATCGACGTGGCCATCCCCACGCCACTACGGATCGACTCTGCAGGTGCGGACGAAATGTTGGGTAATGACTTGCTGGAGCTGGCATTCGATGTCGTAATTCCTTGATGTATCGACATGGTGTCGTCCCCGATATGACTGCTGTTGACATTACTATTAGTCGCACCACCGTTGCCTCGCTTGAAGAACCCTCCAGCCCACTGCTTCGCCCATCCGACACGCTGTCCAACGGCCCGCTTCGCCATATTAACATTCATCCGTCCCGAGTTCTTCATTAAAAAGAGCATCCCGCAGTTGCTGGCAAAGAGGACGACCAAGAAGAAATCGAAACTGCAGTAGCGCACGACAAGGGTATATGCGGTCAACATCATCAGCGTCTTGCGCCTCTGCCTCACAAATGCCGTCTCCCTCACCACTATCACAATTCGGAAATATCAAAAAGGGGGTCTGCGTTAGTCGTACGACCAACTTGCAAATCAAATACAGTAAAGGACCATGAGACAAACATACTTGCGAGTGACATGATGTCGCCAGTCTTGGGATCGGGCTCGGGGTAGGTCAAGAGCGCAATGAACTGGAAGGGTATCTCGAGGATCGGGTTGGGCTTCTCGTTCGGGTTCTTCTTCGGCTGGGGTCGATTTGGTGGTCCTTCCACCCAATTCACCAGGGCCTGCAACAGCGGTGAGGCATTCAACCAACCCAACGATCCTCCGGGAGCAGCAACAGTGTCGTCCTTGCCATCTTCCTGTAGTACCGGATTCGCAGCATAGGTTGACCGGGCCGATTTAACATCATCCAAGAGCGCCAAATCATCCACGTCCGCATCAGGCGACATTGTCCTGACTGGCCCCTGGTGATCATGATCCAGCCTATACAGCGAATACTGGTTGTCGTCGCCCAAGAGAGTGCTATAGTTGGATGCAGGTGGCCGTTCCATAGATCGATGGTGATAATACCGATGGTAGAAGGTCTGGTCGTCCGGTTGGAGGGAAGGGAGGGTATCAGAGGGAACTGGGAGGGACATGGACAACGAAGAGGATGGCCGTTCGGGTGGAGAGTCCTGATCTAGGATATGACGGTGGTTGTGATGATGGATAGCCTTGACGGTGTTGAGATCCTCCAAGGAGATGGCTCGTCGCATTAGTCTTCGGCTGGCGGTACTTTCTCTGCTTGTATTATCGTGAAGAATCGAGTCGCCTGCTGCCATGGTGATGATGCCTTCGTTTTCGTTTTCGTTGGAGGTGGTCGAGAGATCGGAGAGGTAACCTTCTTCGTCGTGGAGGAGGAGGTGGAGTTGAGGGTCGTCCTCTTCTTCGTCTTCTTCGTCTTCGTCGTCGTCGTCGCCGTCGTCGTCGCCGTCAAGAATGTCGTCGTCCTCCTGTTCTGGCGTTATTATTGGTGACTATTGTGCGTTATTGCGAGATATTGAGAGTTGCGAGGGAAAGAGAGCGATATTGACAGTGAGTGAGTGAGTGGGTGGGTGAGTGAGAGAGGCAGATAGTAAACAGTAGGGAAGGGGGGCAAAAAGTTTGAAGGGAAGGAAAGAGAGAAGAAGGAGATGGGGTAAGATGGGAAGTTTTTTTTGTTGGTGACTGGATTAACGGCAATGGGATCAAAAGTGACAAAGTAAAAAGAGTGGGCAGTGGTAGGATATATATATGGGAAAGGAACAATTGAAGAAAGCGTGAGATAGAGCACAAGCGCAACGTTTTGAGCACGGAGACAGAAGTCGGTGTGTAGCGTGTTACTATTTGGCGGGCGGGAATGAAGTAAAGAAGCACGAGAATAGCAATTGAGCAAAGGAATGAGAGTGGGAGGAGGGAGCGTTCTGAGCAGGAAGTAAGATGAATCCACAGTGCGTCGAACTAACGTGAACAAACCGAGGAACGAGAAGAAGGGAAGAAAGGACAAGGACGATGGTGGTCGTATATGTATGAAGTCGAAGAAGAAAGAAGAGATCCAAGAATGTAAGAGCGAGAAGGCAGGTAGTCAAGCCAAGTCTCCAGTAGCCATAACGGTGTTGAAGTGCAATCTCGCCCCAACAGCCATTTTTCCACTGCTAATGGTACCAAGGAATGCTTTGCCTCTTCATTCTTAAAGGTCTATGAAGTTCCCTTCTCCTTTCGAACTCCTTGCCCCTTTCAATGCGTCCACTCATACTTGTGCTTCAACGACATGTCGCTTTGCTCCTCTCAGTGGTCCTCAGACTTGTCCCATTCTTCCCTCTTTCTCTCTGTGACCCCTTGATCCCTTTGTCCTTTTAAACCTTTGTTTATTTTCATTGGATTAAGGCACATCCCACTTGCACCTCTGTTCTTTCCCAATTGTCCCTATCTCTTCCTCCTTTCGATCGCTGCGCGCGGGAAAAAAGAAACAAAAAGAAACAAAAAAAACATTCACCTTCCATGCTTCTCCTTCTCTCCCTTGCATTATTTACAATGCAGCAAGCAATACACTTACCATGATGACAGTGCCTTTGAGCCAGGTCGAAATCTTCTTGGACGTGATCTTGCCCTGGATGGCGCCGCATGCTCGATGGGAGAGCGTCGTCAATTCTTCCTGCAGCACCTCCACCGCATCTCCCTCCGCCACTTTTGTTATTCAATACGAAATGGAAACATAATGAATAGAAAGAAAAAAAAAGAGAAAGAAGAGATGAAGAATGCATGTGAATACATGAGAAGGACAAGTAGACAGAGATGGTTGTGTGTATGTGTTGTATTTGAATTAGCCTGTGCTTTTCTCCGTGCGTTGTCCTACAGGACATGATGGTCATTGCTCAAGTACTTTCTTCTTTCAGTTGTTGTTCCTGAATGTTGAACAATATGCAACCCCATAAAAAGATTCTCCCGCTTACTTTTCCTCGAGCAATTGAGCAATGATGCACATGAGAGTAGCGTGTAATTGAGTATGTGAGAGAGAGAGAGAGAGAGATAGAGAGAGAGAGAGAGAGAGGGGGGGGGTCATAGAAACGCATAGCTATTTTCCTGCCTTTAGCATAAAACCTTTACAAGATTAGAGCACAGAGAGGCCAACACGCTCTTGTCCCCGAGAATCGCATGGCTCTACCCCAGCCAATTCAAATTTTCATCCAATGGGCCATGATTTCTACGTCTTCTTCAAGGTGTTCCTCCTTCATTATGCAATGATCTTCCATTTGTCCATCCATATGTGCCTTGCTTTGCCTTGTCCCTTCTTTATCATTTGCTACTGCTGCCCGAGATATGCGAATAGTCCTCCGAGACAAAAAGGCATGGTCAATCAAGGAGCAGTAAGACAGTTCATCCCGTCCCTCCACTCTGTCTCTCATCAATCTACCCTATACTCATACATCGGCCGCCTTCAAAACACGAAAACAAAGAGAAACAAAGGTACAGCGTGGTTACCTCGGTAATGTGGGAAACCCCTAGTAATAATCCGATAGGCCCGCGTCGCCTGGCGAGGATGATGTTGCAACACAAAGATATCTGTCTGTCCAATCGCCTTCCAATTCGACCTTCCAGGGATCAGGTTCCCTACCAGTCGTGGCTGCACCACCATTCAAAAGTATTTTCTTGTAAGCTTAATTTTTTTTTTTTTTTTTTTTTTTTTGGGCGTTGTTTTTGTTTGTATGGTTGGTTGGCTGGTTGGTTGGTTGTTGGGTATATGGCTATTATCCTGACTGGACTATTGTAGGGAGAAAGGAGGTTATTGTTGTTGGAGTGACCAAGTGTGGTTCCTGTTTTCAGTGTAGGTGAACTAGAAGACGGAAGGCGGGTGAGTGCGGTTGTGGTGTTTAAGGAGAAACAAGGGAGGAAAGGAACACGAGGGAAGGAAGGGGCAAGGACTAGGAAGGACAAGGGAAGGGTGACGGCAATGAGGTTGTGAAATGTAAGGAATGCCGAAATCAGTTCAAGGGGAAGGTTGCTTCCATTGAGGTGGCAACAAACGAGGGGAGGGGGGGACGAGGCAGGGAGAAAGGAGGAGGACGACGTAAACGAGTGGCTGATGCAAGAAGAGGAAGGTAGATGTGTGAAGAAAGGAGGGGTGGTGGATGGCGAAAGTTGGAGTAAGGAAAGGGAGAGGAAAAGAGGACAGGAACAGGGTATGAGGGATGTTGTGAGAGCAACAAAACGATGGCCACTTAGTCAGTCAGTCAGGGGGTAAGAGGTAAGGAGGAAGGGGGTGTCATGATCGGGGTACACATGGAGGGAAGGAGGGAACAAAGCAGAGAGCACTTTCTTTTTCTTATTCAGAACCCATTATTGGATCATGTAATACCATCCACTTCTTTCATCTACATTATTGTTTACAGAACACATCCAGGTAGACACTCAACTGTTCACAGCCACGGAGAAGTAACACCGGAATACAAACCACCATCTCGTTCATTTCTTCCTTTTATGACATTAGCATGCTTGGTCTACTAGCTTGCTCTCTTTTATTGACAAAAAGAAGGGCAACGGGAAAAGAAAAAAAAAAAAGAAGAAAAAAAAGAGAGGCGAAAGGATCCTTCGAGTTGAATGCAAAGTTTGATCCTTCCTTAAAGTATGCGGTAACGGAGATGCTATGGGATGGGCGAAACAAAATAAAACGAAAAAGAAAAACAACGAAAGGGCAAGAGAGCAATCGGTAGCGAAATACACACAGATCATCATCGTCCTCTATACCTTCTAGACCACATTCAATCCCCTTGCAATTCAAGTCCGGAAGGACTCGACTGTAAGAACCATGGGCCACATGCGAAGGAAAATAGGAAAATAAAGAAAATAGTACGTAAACGCAATTTGCCCACCTTGCATGGGGTTAAATCAGAATGAAAGGAAAGAGAGGATGATAAATGACACATTTGTTGAAAATATAGAGTACATGGTGAAATGGCAAAGAAAAAAAGAAAAAGAAACGCAGAGAGAGGGAAACAGAACACACTAGAGGAGGCAGAGAAGGGGTGCATCATTCAAAACGAAAAGATGCAACAAGTAGGAAACAAAGAAGAGAAGAAAAGAAAGAAAAGTGGACTCCAGTCGAGCAGAAATCATGGGCAGGCAAGGCTGGTACCCCCTGGGTGTCAAAGGTACCATCCATATGAATACCGCCTCATGATCCTATCAGCCGAAAATTTAAAAAAAGGCACACTTGCTCGTCTTCCCGTCTTTCTCAGTGATCCTGCTTGTCGGTCCAAAGGCGATGAATGAACGTGAAAAAGGAGGTTATAGGTTGGTTCCTGAGAGGCTCTCCTGAGTCGATTTAGATGATGCCCCAGAGATCCTCAACACCGCAGCAAAGCTTTCCGCAGGCAACAGAGGCAGAAAGAGGGTATCCCGAAACACCAATCTTCTTGTCCACGTAGCTGTCAGCAAAGTTGTCCTCTCCGTGGGCCATGGCTCCAATGGCAACACAGATCGAGTAATCCTCAGGGATCGTGGGCAGGTACTCCCTCAATGCGACAACAGGGGCATCGTACGAGAAGGCTATTTTGCGTGACACACAATATAGATGTACAGTTGTGAGCAAAAAATGATGTTAGTTGACTCAACTCAGGCCTCATCACGATCGACCACCCTCACAAATGTCTAACATCGAATAGGTTTGAATGTTAAAAAACAACGAAACCCTGCCAATGCTTACCGAGCTTTAAGCACTTGGTGGGCAAGTGGTCTGTGATGGGGTTCTTGATGACACGGAGCAACTTTTCCGATCCATTGACAGAGCGAATCGACAACTTGTGGAGCAATTGAACTATATGATACAATGGACAATCGACGCGTTAGTTAATGAAAACTGTTGGTGAAAAATACAAAGGAGGCCGACAAAGGCCGATAAGGAACACCTCAGAACAACATAAACAAACAAGCAGAAATTTGCTCCTCTCCCCATGTCCTTGCTCTGCATTTCAATGTCAGCAGGCGATCCCTCCTCCTTTAAAGAGCACCACAATGCAGGAGGGTCAACGTACCCATCAATCCAGAGAAACGCTTGAAGGTTCTTGGGATACGGACGTGAGGGTTGACTTCAATGAGGACGTTCTTGGCAGTGTGGATGTACACCTGCAAGAGACCGGCCTTGTTCAAAGGACTGTCCAAAAGGGTAAGAAGACACTACATATAAGACAAAAGAAGGCGCACCTTGGTTAGTCATTGTTTTGCCACTCTTTGCATGATTTTTGGTCCTGGAAGGGCGTTGCCTTTTTGCCTTTTGGCGTTTGGTTGGATAGGGTCCTGTCTGTATTGCGTGCGAACTGAGCAGAACTGGGAGCTCTCCTTTGTGATTTTGTGTATCACTCCAACGATACCACCCTGCCAATGGCGCTCAAAAATCAACTGCGACAGTTGGTGCGTGCTGCTTGTCGCTTGCTGCTACAATTGCTGCATGGTCGGTGTCTCTTTGGTTTTATGCGCCCTGCGACCATCAGTCGGTTTGTTGTCTGTCGTTCGTCGTTGGAAGAGGTGGGCACAAGATAAGTGCGCGCAATTTTTATTTTCCCACAGTCGTAAAAGGAAGTATGCAAAAAAAAAAAAAAAAAAAAAAAAACCAAAGAAACAGACAAACAAAGATCCGCTGCGGCTCGTCGTCTGGGAAGAACGTGAACGTTCACAAAACCATTGCCCTTTGCTCAATGCAAACCCTCCCTTCCTGTTGTATGTTCATCGTGTCTTTTCCTTGATAAGTCGATCTGATAATGATCCATGTGTAATAAAGGGCATTGAAGTAGCCAAAATACGATTCACGGCACCCCTTGCTAAATCGAAGAAGTCTCTTCGATCCTCTGTTCCTGCTGCCATGTTGCAATCTTAATACAAAAACCTCCTCGTATACACATCGTCAACCATAAAAAAAAACAATAGGTTACCTGGTGGGTGATATCAGGACGGGCATCAGTAACCTCCTTGCCCATCTTCTTAAGGATACCCTGGTGGTCGTCACAGTTGAGCAACTGGTAGCGGGCATCCTTGTCCTTGCCGACCTTGTAGGTCTCGAGACAGGCCGACTCGAGGACGACGATGAGGCGACGGGTGCTTTCTTTTTCGCTTGTCGTCTTGGGCACCTTAGGCGCCTGGGGGACTAGCGAGATGTCGGTTGCGGGGCGGTCCATTGTTCTGTTTGTGTTGTGAAGGTGAAAGGGGGTGGTGGAGTGTTGGTTGTCGAGGGCGACTGAGAGAGGTGGTGAAGAGAGGTGGTGAAGAGAGGAGGGAGTTTAACAAACTTGACGAGAGAAGAGGAATGAGCTTTTGGTGGCAACTAAATGATCTGTGTGTAAGAAGAAGAAACGAGCAAAGAAGAAAGATGATGAACCGTGAAGGTTTTCCTATGTATCGCTCATTCAACGCCCCCCACCCTCTATACGCCCTCTTTCTGCCTCTTCAAGCCTCTCTTCACCCTTACACGGCGTGAAAGCCCTCCTGTGCTCACAAAAAAAAAAAAAAAAAGCGCGTCACGTTCTTGTTTACATTGTCATTTAGTACTCTGACGTGCTTTTTATGCGCCCTTCAACGCACCCCACGCAGTTCTTTCCTTTCACTTATCAACCAAGCCCACCCAAGCAAGGACGCCAATTCATATCCGCGAACAAGAAACAACGCGAAACTTTTCAGCACGACAAGGACCCCACCTCCCCCCCCCCACGCAATACATCGCACAAAAAAACCAGTACTTGGACTATACATCACCACAACTACAATGGATATGGATATCGATACTACAGCACCCGCAACAACACGGACGAAACCTACATCATCTGCAACTACAACGACGCCGACGGTCCTCACCCGTCTCTGTGACACCCAGGCAGAAAGCTTCTACATCTACCTCACCGTGTAAGTAGGCTAGCTACATCGCTTCCACTACAATACGGATTAATGCAACCAAACACAACGCACTAACAAACCCCACACCCTCCTCCTCCTCCTCCGACCTCTAGTGAAATGGAACCCCAAGGACCTTCACAACCTTCAGGAAACCAACAACACCAACTTTCAATCCTAACATTCCGAAAAATGCTCTCCAGCGCCGTGCAAGACCTCTTCGGTTCAGCAATGGGGGGCGGGATCAACATCGATATCCTCGGTTTTTGGACCACCGCCTCCCAAGACCCCTACAACCGCCTCCTCCTCCTCCCCCCCACCTCAAATATACCCGCAAGCAGCAGCACCGAAGGAAAAGATATCACAAAAGTGACAGTGACGCCAACATACTCGCCAACGACAGCAGCATCGTCAGTCCTACGCTGCCACTCATTAGACGTGAACCAACTCTGGAATTCATTGACGTTATTCAACACGCTGGTGGATGATTTCGAGGCTCGGTTTGAGGTTCGGTATGTGGCTTCGACGTTGATGGGTTTGCAGGCCAATTCTCGTCAACTGAAGTGGCCTGCATAGTTCGCTTTTTGTTTTTTGTTTTTATCAAGAAGGAGTAAAGAACACAAGGACAAATGACGTCGTTTTATTGTTGTGAAAGCAAGAAAATCCAATGATTGCGAGTGTGAATATGGTAAAATGTCCATGCCCGTGTGCCCCGCAAGTGAGTCACGCTACTACCACGCCCCGCCTATTCATACTTGTTATTTGTTTTTGCATAAGGGGGCGATCGTGGCGCGAGGGAGGGAGGGAGGATGGAGCGAGATGTAGGAGAACAAGGAATTGTGTTCAAAATTGAACGCCTTGAACAGAAAGTGAGAGACTATTCCAAAGGCGCTCACTGAGGCGCGCCCTGCAGGGCTGCTGCTGCCACTGCTGGTGCCTGGGCTTGTGGTGGTGCTGCCTGCTGCTGTTGTTGCTGAGACGCATTCTGCAATGTCAATGAAGGCTGATGAGGAGGATGCTGGAGCGAACCAGGGTGATGATGCGGCTGGTAATGCTGTTGGTACTGTACATGCTGTCTGCTGTTGCTCTTGGACCGATACAATGACTGACGCTCAGGGACAATGGCCGGTAGGCCTGACGACGACGACAACGAAGAAGCCATCGACAACATTGGCGACGTGGAGCCCAGTGATCCAACAGACGACGAGAACGAGGCAGTTCCAGAGTTTCCAGAAGAATAAGGCTGGTGATGGTGCGATGATGCTGGTGGATGTCCTGCTGCTGCTGCAATGGCTGCCGCTGCTGCAGACGACGAGAAACCTGCTCCTCCGTTACCCCCACCGTTACCGCTGAACCCTCCAGGGAAAGCACTGAGTGTGGGCGAAGTCGAGTAATGGGCAAATGATCCAGAACCACCACTAGGAGCAAATGGATTGGCGATGGAGTTGTGAGGTGAGAGGGTAGTACGTTGACCCGAAAAGCTGTGGTGGTTGATAGGAGCTGGGTTGGCTGGTGTGTTGGTCGGCGTTGCTGGAACTCCTCCATACGATACTCTGTTCGACCCTGACACGCTTGTGCTCGAGTTCTATCGTTTCATAAAAGGTGGCATTCTGATATTAGGACACTAGTGAGGTATCAAAAGACCTCAATCAAGACTAGTAAGAGGAGAGAAAGTGCAACGTACCCTCCGAGAGCCTCCGGTGCGGTGGGTAGAAGAGAGGACGGTGGGGAGGGTATCTTCGACGAGCAGGTCAGATCCAACTGGCAAGCCGAGTTCCTGGCGGAGTGTCAACACTTCGGACCTGTATCGGTTACACTGCTTGAACTTGATCAAATCTATGTTCCAACGCGGGCAAAGTCACTTTTAGCCTCCAATTGTACAACGACAACATAGAACATCACTTCTTGCTCTTGACATGACTAAACAAACACTTACATTCACGCTCCAGCTCGTTGAGGGTGGCCTTGGCTGCTGTCAGTTCTGCCTTCAACATGTCAATAATAGGATGCGAGGGTCCATGATCCGACGAAGAGGGCGAGTGAGAGGGGATCCACTTTTTGTGCGTAGGCGAGGGCGTGGGAGACGGATTAGCGTTGATCCGAGATGACCGTCCTCCTCCTGCAATGTTGATAGGCGACGATCCAACAGGAAGACTCGATCCAATGCTATGATCCTTGTCCTGCCAGCTCGATGCAGTCGATGTGGTGGCTGACTGTTCAGCCCGCATGACATCCAATTGCTTTTGCAGTCTGTTGACAATGTACTCTTGCTCCTGCTCCAATGCATTCTCCATATCAATCTTTTCCTTTTGCAGCTGGATTGTTTGGCAAAAAAAAAAAAGAGAAATCGAGACAACACTAGTATTAGAAATCCTTCCTCAGAACCAAGGACGTCATAGATTTTCAAGTTCAGTCGGAAGACTTGCCTGGCTCAACTTTTTCTGCAAAGTCTTTGTGAGATACTCTTCCTCCTGCTCGACCTGCAGCATTAGTTCGCCCTTTTCTTTCTTTAGACCAGAGATACGCTTCAACAGGCGATTAGAGATGTTTTCTTCCTCCTGCTCCGCGACAGCATGCTAATAATAACATTAAGAACATCGACGTGTGAGGATGAGAGGAAAGATAGATAAGTATCTCAATGTCAATCTCTATCTATCTTTTTTTGACCTTTTCATCCCATCCTTTTGCTCATCGCCCATGGTAAACTCAAAAAAAGAGAGACCAATTTGTGTGCAGGAATCACCTTTCACACTCAAAAAATAGCGAGTGTGAGAACCAAAAATAATGAGCATGGAAATCATGCATCGCTGAACCCCTGTTAACATACCATGTTTGCCTTCATCTGTCGCAAGACTTGGTTATCATGACGAAGAATCGTAGCATGCCCTCGTTCGACATCAACCTCGTGTCGCAGTTTCTTGATGACAGCCTCCTGTTGCTTCTGTTTCTCGACCGCCTCGGCCAGGGCACGGCTCAGACTCTCGGGGTCGCCTGACTGTTGCGCAATTGCCTGACTGCCTGTTGACTTTGAGGCATCGGAACCTTCTTTCAAACTGGCTGTCGTCTCTCTGGCCTGAAATATAGATTGACATAGAAACAAAAAAGAGCGTGAGTCGCTTTCTGTTGTTGGATTTTGATCATGTACAGCTCAATTGGGCATCATGCGGGTCTGATAAAAATAACGCCTTTGGAGTATGAGGAGCTGTCGAAAGGGGTGGGTGGGGTTTGGGTGGGAATGGCAACAGAAAAAACAAAGCGAGGTGCAGGAGAGGGGAACGAAAGGGAGTGGAAGTGGTACATGCAGGTTGGCCGAGACGGATAACAGCGAGGGAAGAAATTGGTCCCGGTGGAAAGAACAGTAACAAGGAAACACAGAAAGCCAGGAAAGAGGAGAAGAAAAGGCACTACTCGTAGAACCCTCCTCATCCTCACCTCCTGAACAGTAAGGATAAACAAAAGACAACGAAGGAGAGGAAGAGAGTAATGCTCGTGGAACCCTCTCATCCCCGTTTTACCATCTGCCTCTCTCCGACTCCTTATTCTCTCGTTCCTTTTTCTTTTTCTTCCTCCTTCCCATTGCCACGACGGACGCCTGTTATAGTTTCTGGCGACCCTCTTTTTGTTCCCCTTGTCCCTTGTTTGCTTATCGTCATCCCCACCATCATCATCGTTTTTTCAGGGTCACCCGGAAGGATACACCACGCCTCTTGAGGTTTCTTGAATCAAGTGTTTTTGTCTGCTCCCACACATTTGTGTATCTTGAATGTTATCTTACATGGTCCAGCTGCTTCTGCAACGAAGAGGTCATGTCCTGCTCGGTGCTTTCGATATCTTGGAGATGCTGTGTCTTGGACTAGTGAGTGTACGTCGTACAGTGTTCAACGGGAAAAAAGGCGTACAGTTAGTGTGACTGGCTGACGGAGAGAACCAACTCGGACGGTACGTGTCATGGAGTGTGTGAACCAGATAACGAATGGAAAGGAATGACTTCACACCCCTCCTTTCTGCATGTAACAGGTCATGAAGAGAGAGAGAAAGAGTACTGTGTCTTCTTACCCTGGGTCTGTTGTCGACTGGGGAAGAGTCTGTTGCTTGAGTAGCCTCGGTGGTTGTGTTCGTGGTCGAGGCGGTAGAAGTCAAGTCTGTGGTGGTTGTGGTTGTGGGCTCTTGGGTCGACTGGCTGTCGCCTCGGAAGGAGAACATTCGCGTAGGGTGTGTGAGAGAGGGAGAGAGAGAGAGAGGGAGAGAGAGAGGGAGAGAGAGAGGGAGATAGAGATAGAGAGAGAGAGAGAGAGAGAGAGAGAGAGAGAGAGAGAGAGAGAGAGAGAGAGAGAGAGAGAGAGAGAGAGAGAGAGAGAGAGAGAGAGAGAGAGAGAGGAGTGAGAGTAAAGGAGAGAAGGGAAAAGGTGTGTGTGAGAAGGAGGTATGAGAGAAGAGCGAGTGTGAGAAAGAGTGTGTATGTGTATGAAAGAAAGAAGTGAGAACGGGTGGGAAAGTTGAACCGCCGAAAAGCAGTATAAAAAAAAAGGGTGCCCCGTCGTTCGTTGCGGAGAGGGTCTATCACTAAGCAAAAAGATGTGATCGGTCAATTAGGCATCGCTTAGTTAATCAGATGACCTCTAATTGCACAATATCCTAGAATTTCGATTCGGAAACATGCGCCCATGCCAGCCAACTCAGTCTTGGAACAGAAAGAACAGCCAAAAGCACGCTCCGTTCACTTTTTGAGCAATTTTGTGAACAAAAGTTTTTACTGTGGAGGATATCTCCCTTCTTTTTGAACGCGCCTCTCGAATATGCTAACTGGCTGGCGTCTGATTCATCAGTGGTCTGACCGAAAGATTCGAAATTATCTCTCTCACTACTGAGCGCATACTTCGTCGCTGAGATGAGGAACACTGCTACCGTGTCGTCAGTTGCCTTTTCTTCTCCTTCCCCTCTTCTCTTCACAACTCGCCACCAAAAAAAAAGTATGTCGGCAACTTCATCAATCGACGGTCCAAAGCGCACCATACGTCGCAACGACGAGACAACAAAATTCTGGGCTAAGATCAAGCGTTACCACAACGACCACAACCTCTCCACGGACTCCGATAGGATTCAGGCCGTCCTCACCTTCCTTGTCAACAAGTTCAACGACGAGCTCCGTCTCACCTCCAGGGTCAAGCGAGACCTTCTTGCCGAGTTGGAAACTCTTGTTGCTGAGGGCTTTTGTATCATTAACGAGGCCGAGGACAACCAGCGCTCTGCTCGTGAACACGGCGTTACTAGGTACCTTGATCGTGTCCAAACCGTTCTCGAGAGCCGCCACCATTAGAATGACAAGGGTGTTTTTGGCTCATTTCGGGAGATAGTGCCAAGACGTTGTCGCACGCAGTCATTTCTTTTGCTGAGGAGCGTTCACAGAAAGGATCGGACGGCAATGACACACCATTATTTTTGCTACATCCCTGTACTTTATTGCTTTGCACTTTCATACACATTTTTTCCTTACAGCCTATTTTTTTTTCTAGCACGTAGCTTTCACATCCTTTCCTTTTCTTCACATATTTTTGCACACACGAACGTCAATAAACCTCTGCATACATAGGAAAGGGACCACGCGTTAATTATTTCTTTCTCGTTTTCTCTTTACACATTGGAGGAGGATGGCGCTACCAAAAGGTAATTACTGTGGGCCTCCTCGTCAGTTACTAGGGTCAATACGACAATCTAACAGGTTTGGCATGCCAAGGATAGGAAGAGAAGAGCGCTTTTCATATGGTCCCCCTCTGCTGAAGAGAGCAGAAAAATAAAATAATGTAGGCAACGAGCCGTTCGTGTGGTGATGTGGATGGTAGAGGGAACGCAACGAAATGTGCTTAGCGCCATGGTCAAGGGAACATTCTCTTCCAGAATTTCATGGGGGTCAAGATGAGGAGGGAAAGAAAGTAGGTCCACTCCTGATGCGACTGATCGGCAGATCAGGACAGGACGCGTTTTGATTGATCCTTTGGCGTTAACCCAGACAAACGCGCCTTATCAATGATCAATGATCAATGTTATGACGGTAACACGTAGTTACGTACCAGGAAAGAAAGGTATATATACCCCCTCCTCTCACTCAGACCTTGAAAAAATATATGCCGGCTGGCAAGTGACATAGCTAAGAAGAAAAGAAAAAAAAGACATCCTGGCAACAATTACCACCCGTCTCTGGTTCGACCATGTCCTTGAATAGGGCTACTGCAACTGAACTATCCCACCCAGAATTCTCTCTCGACATAATTCGAAAATTGCTTCGCCACAATGACATGTCCATTCCTTCATCTGGAGGCAGTTTTTGTTTTTATTTGATGTCGAATGTTATCTGTTATTGAGCAAAGAAGAAAGAATAGAAAAGGTTGATAATCGTGGCCAATCCGTTATTACAGTGTTGGCCTAAGCCCACAAGTCGAATCCAGGAGGAAGGAAGACCTGTTCGTGTCGCGGATTCAAAGCCCGCTGATGAATGTCCTACGAATGGTTCCATCGGGGACGAACTTGATCTGGGCTGGCAAATTGGGAGAGCGCTTGAGTATTGCATACATGGCTGACGATATCAACAGGGCTGGTCTTGGTCTCGATGGGCCAGGCCCCCATCGCAAGCTTCCCTTGGGTATAGTCTTTGTGTCCACTGCTCATGTTCACTTGGAGCAACCTGAGCTCCAAACACCGGGAACCCGACGTGCTGCGCCCACATGTCGTGAAGTTTGGGTTCCTGCTGATGTTGACCCTGTGTGTGTCGATCGATACGCCTCGAAAGCTGCTCGGGTCTAGCCGCATGCTTCTGATCGTGTTTGGAGTTCAGATTGATCGGCGAATCTTGGTATCCTTCTGGTGATTCAAGATCTGCCAGTGTCAACGGAGGTCGATTTCTGCCGGCCAGGGTTGGAGGCGTAATATCCGTAGCAGTCTCTTCGTTGGACGAGGCCGTCAAGTTTGAAAGAAAAGGGAGGATTGGGAGACTTGTATCGAGGCCGAGCTTGTAGAACTGCTGTGAAACCTTGACAATCCAGGAGTGGATGTTGAGGAGGGTGTTGAAGATGTCAATGTTGTGGGTGTGCCTCTCTGTTTCCAGTCCCAACTTATGCAGGGTTTCGTTGATCTTGTCCAGGTCGGACAACGGCAGCAATGAGCGACAAAGTGTTGGTCCGTCGTCTCGAGAGACTCTGTAGTGTTGTCCTGCAGGCTACAAGTTGAGCTCTCCTGACTGTCTTGATATCGGATATTCTGGATGACAGAAGGCGATGAGAACGAGGAAGGGGAAAAGGAGGCGAAACTGATGGACGGCGATGAAGAGGAAAGACCGAGTATGTTATAGTTGGAGTGGATTGAGGAGACATTGTCCTTGGTCACGTATTGATCACAAACAGGCATACTGCTCCGTACTGCTCTGTCGGTCGTGAAATATGGGAGAGTGGGACAGTCTTGCTCGAACATACTGATGTCGCCTTTGTTATCCTCTAACTCTTTCGCAAGAATGTGACGCGGCGACGTTTGTGCAGGAGAAGTAGATCCACGAAGTCGTCCATGACTGAACCTCTGGGTATGGGAAGGGATCCTTTTCTTTTGAGCGGAGCGAATAACTCTTGAAGGGGACGTGTGATTGAACGGATTAAATGAGATCCCTCGAGCTGAGTGGATGCCTGGCTGGTCGTTTGGGAAGGTAGTGGAGGATCGAGGGTTGGCTTGTGAAGGTCGATTGCGCTTCAAGCCACTGGAAGCTGGAGATGGATAAGTTTCGTGGTAACTGGAGTCCTTCTTGTGGCGCTTCGCAGGGGAGAGATCCACCTCGATATCGTCAGTTTCGGTGGCAATCTCCTTGATATCAGTAGTTTCGCTTCCGGTGTCCATGGTATCACCTTCAGCTCGGATGACTTGCTCCTCAGTACCGCCGGCTTTGTCTGTAATGGTAGTATCTCCCTCATGGGCCTCAGCAATCTCGGTTTTGTCGACGGTGAACAAGTCATCCTGAAAGTGAATATTGGAAAAGTCTAGGGGTGCAAGCTCCGACAGTGATGCTGTGAGATCATCGCCAACCAAATCCTGACTAGACCAAGGGTTGAGGTCGTCGACCATTGTGCTCGCAAAAGGCTCGTAGACTTGAGGTGGTGGAGAAGGAGCGACGAGTACAGTAGCTGTACTTGTGACGCTGTGACCGCCTTGGAGTACTGTCAGGTTGCTGGTATCGTTGTTGGAGTTGGAGGCCCAGTGAGAGTCTATACCGTAACTGGGGGCGTTGCGGACAGTTTTGAATTTTGAGAGCGGTGGCAGAAAGTCGACACAGTATAAGGCGCGTCTCTTTCTCTCGTCACCGCTATTGCACTCTCGCTGCCTTCTCCATTGTTGCCTCCGCTCTCACTCATATCGCTCGCTGTTGCCACCACTCTTAATTCTTCTCGTCATCTTCACACACATTATCATCAATACCATCTCTTTCTCTTTCTCTTCACCTCAACTTCATCTCACCCTCATTCACTCATTTTCACCTGCTACTCCCACATTGTTGCCTCTTCTGAACTCCACCTCCGTTTGTTAGCTGTATGCCACGGTAAGCTGTTGTCTCGAAAAGGTGGTAGCTTCTTCGTGACAATTATATAATGCTCTGGTCGAGTTCAATCGTATGAGCTGCATGAACTCTGTGTCATATTTGCACATTAGAGAGCAATTGATGCAAAGATTAGTGTTTGTCCTCCTTTATATCTTTATTCGCGTCATGGACTACTTCATACCTAACATCACTGTCGTTTTACTCATCTTCTTTACTTTGTGCCTTTCATTCCAACCTCTTTGTTTTCCTAATTCCTGCTTTGTTATTAGTACCTTCTTGTGATACCATCATCACTGTGCTCATCATCATTCCTGTCACGCTTGTCGCATTCTCCACCTTTTATGACTACGATGTCCCGGACACATGCCCTCGATCTACATGAGATTCGCTCGAGAATAGCCAGCAGCCTTGGCCTCAAAGACCTCGCAACCTGTCCGCGTGTAAGTCAGGATTGGAACGACTCATTTACACCGCCACTCTACAACTCTGTCGTGTTGTCGAAATTTGGCCCCAGCATGGAATCTGGCGAGAGACACAAGCACCTTATTCAATGCCTAATGATTCAGGGTTCGGCCTATAAAAAACTATCATCAAGCTCTGCACAGGACAATGTAATTTCTAGCGTTATGGCCAATTCGACTTTAACCATTTTGGAATTGGAGGACCACTCGATCGGATCCAACGGAGCTCAGGCGCTATCTAAGGCACTCAAGACCAACTCGAACCTGACGACTTTGTGCTTGCAGAACAACTGGATCGGTGAAAATGGAGCTCAGGCGCTGTCTGGGGCACTCAAGACCACCTCAACTCTGACCACTTTGAACTTGGAGGAACAACTCAATCGGAGCCAACAGAGCTCTGGCGCTGTCTAAGGTGCTCTCAAGACCAACTCGACTGTGGCCATTTCATTCTACCCCATAAACACAGAATAAACTTTGACAAGTTAACAAAGTATCACAATGCTATCTCGAACTAATGAAGCAAGAATTGAAAGAGCCGACATCGAAGGGTCAAAAAGCAGCGTCGCTATGAACGCTTGGCTGCCACAAGCCAGTCATCTTCTTTCCAAGGCGAGTGCTACAAAAGCAGCAGTATATACGATATGAAAGAAGATTTTTCTTCTTTCCATCGCCAATGTTACACACAGACCGTAGCATACACGAGACACTTGATGACTGGCGAACTTCTAATGGCCATATTTGATTAACTACTCTTAACTTTAGTGCATGAAAAAAAGAAGAAAATGAAGTTTGTTCTAACGAACAAATCTATAGAACAATGGGCTTAATCTCAGCAGATCGTAGCAACAAGGCTACTCTACTGATTACAATACCCCGTTCAATTAAAGTCGTCTGCAATGGATTTATTTCTTCCAATATTTGAAATTAACATTAGCAGGAACCTCACAAAGCCTTTCCGCTCTGCAAGATAACCCCACGTAGTATGATTCAGGATCCGAGGATCTATTTGTACTCAACTAAAAATCGGAAAAGGCGGTAATCGTCGCGTTCTAGCACGGGTTCTGACTTAAAGACGTTCAGCCATAACCCAACGGATGTTAGTGACGAAAAAAATAAAGAGAAGCGAAAGAGAAACGGCTAGATGTAGACTGTCTCGATCTCTTCCAACCGACAGTGGCCATCGACTTTATCTTTGCAGGAATAATACATCCCACGCTTCTCCCAACAAGGAGGACATTTACTCTTGCACACCGCACTCGTGTTTCCGGGCCTGTCTTTTCCCGCTTCCCATCCTCCTCACTCCCACTCCTACCGCTCTCACTGATACTCCTATCATTGCCATTGCTTCTGTCACCGCTACTGCCGCTACCACTTTTCCGGGCAGCCTCCCGCCGAGCACCCTCGCCTCGCATCTCCGCAAATCTGGGATTCACGGTCCCACACCCCAGGAAGGCAACTGCTGTTTTTGCTGTGGCACGTATAGTGGTCTGACTGAGGAACCCAACAGGGCGGGCAGACATCGTCTCCTAGGACGTTGCAGAACTTGTTTTGTCCCTCGATCGCGCATCGTTCTTTGGTCTTAAGTTGTTGCTGGGTTTGTGTTGGCGAGGAGGACGGTGAGGAGGGTTATGAGGTGTTTGCGGGAGTGGAAGGTCATTTTTTGGGAAGGTTGGTATGTGTGTGATGGTTTGGGTGCAGTGGGCTATTGAAACGAAATGGTAGGGGATTGGAAGCGAGAGGAGGTCAAGTATGTTAATTCAGTTTTCACTTGTGCAAGGTGATCAAAATAACGCACAGACACAAGCAAGATCTGAGAGGCCTACTTTTTTTTTTACCACAAAGGTGTTTGCAAGCAAAGAAGGTGGGAAGAGAGAGAGAGAGGGGGGTGAGGCTGGCTATTTGTCTTTTGGAGGTTGACTGGTTGTTGAATGCTAGAAGGTAGAGGCTTATGGTAGAGGGGAACCCATTTCTTGGTTGATTATATATACGCGAGTGGGTCTCTTTAGAAGGGCGAGTGCGAACGAAAAAATAAACAGTCTTTCCTTTCCCCTTGTCTTTATTCTTGAGCCAGCTCTCTTGCCTCCGTCTTTAAGACAATACGCGTAATGGTAGCGAAGCGGGGCAGTTGCACTGGCTAGCAAGCACGTTGCCTAGAGTTGATTGCCTTTTTCTATGCAGCCCAGCGGATCAGAGTCAATACCTGCTCTGGAAGTCTCATGAGTCTCTCTTAACCCCCACATCAGCTGTCCCTTCTCCAAAACACGACTCCGCTCTCTTTCTCACCCTCGTTCTCTCTTCCAAAGCAACATATCTGCAGGGGCTAACTATACAAGGAAACAGTTTTGATCCCATTTTCATCTTGGCTTCAAATTGCAAGTGGGATCATGACCGCGCATGCTTTTTTCGTTCTTTCTCTCTCTCTCTTACTCAAACCACTCTTCCCTTTCTCCAAGCTGTCTTCCCCTTATCCATATCCGTCTACCTGCGCCTCGACACACACACAGTGGTTTCAACACCACCATTCATTCACACAACGAAAGCACAAAACAATAAACGGTGTTTTCACTCTACCAACCACAAGCGTGCACACTGTCGTCTTCATGGCGAAGAAGAGGAAAAGTTGGGTTTGTCTGGCAAAAAGTGTGAAGGACATCAAGGCGTGTGAAATTAAGAAGGAAGAAAAAGCGGCGTGTGCTGACCATGCTAACAAAACTCTATTTTTGCCACTGGTATCGTTTACTGCGTCGCTTTGTTCGTGTAATATATACAAAAGAAAGGCCCTCCCTTTCTCTCCCTTTTCTTCCGCACCCTTCTTCACCACCCCTGAGATCCCCTACAACCATGCTGCTGTCTGTGCTGCCTGTCGAACTAAGGGATCAAATCATCCTGGAACTGGACGACTCGGACTTTGCCAGTCTGGCACTCGTCAATAAGGAAGAGAACGAGCACTGGACTCCGTATCTCTATCACACACTCTCCATTACCGACGAGAAGTGGGTCAAGGCCATTGCCAGCGACAGTGAACAAGCAGGACTGAAACGTAACGCACAGCACATCAAGACGGTCTATGTTCGCTCCCAAAAGGCGCTCGTACTCGACGCACTAGAGGCACTCGACACCAGATTGGATCTGAACACTCTTTTCGTCCGTTGGCAGTACTACAAGGATCAAATCATCAACCTTACCCCGTTGATCTGCCTCCTGGAACACAGCCTCAATCTCTGCCATCTGACCGTTGGCAATATTAACCAAGAACCTGTCGATTTTTTGCTTATGACAATTGCCCGCTACCTGCCTCGACTCCAATCGCTCAATCTCTTCAAGGATAACGAGCCCGTTGTTCGACCTATCGTCATCAGGGAGTTTCTAGAGACCTGTTCGTCCGAGTTGGTGACGCTGACTCTGGGTGTCAACTGTTCGTCCGATGCCATTGCCATCAAGGAGGATCTGGCTGCGATGACTCTAGCAGGACCTGTCAAGGGAAGCAGGACTCACCCAAAGCTGAAATGTTTCCACTTTGCAGAGGACGACTGGACGGATACCTCCAACTCCATCTTGCCTGCAATCCTGACGACTTTTCTTCAAGGATGTCCCAACTTGGAGATTGTGGACTATTGGATGTTTTGGCAGGGCAACCGAACTCCGTGGATCTTCAAGCACGAGGCGATTGTTGACATTGTTCGCAGGACGCTTGGCGTTCACGTCTTAGCGAGGTTCCTCAACAGCGACGAAATCAATAACATCCGGCTCGATCGAGAATTGGCCAAGGCGATATCGAATCTCGGAGTGCAGGACAATACAGGGATGCAGGAGATCTGGCAGTCGATCGACCTTGAAGTCTGTCCGACCTTGGCGTCCATGCCGGAAACGAGTCGAGCCATTGCCGAGGCAGCAGCAAGGGTACGTGGACTCCAAAAGGTCTATGTCGAGTTTGCCCAAATGATGCCGAGTCAGGATATCGAGGAGATTCTCCATCATGGTCGAGACCTGCGGATCTTTCGATCGTTTTATTATCCGATTCTGACCGTCACAGACCCATCGCTGCTGTTGCCCTGGAGGTGTCGTTGGCTGCGGTGTCTTCATATCCAGTTTGGAGGGATCCCTCGACCGGATGTCAGGATTGATTTCAGGGGTGACCCTATCCCTGCAGGAACGCCATTACACAGCGGGACGATGGAGGAGAGTCGGAGGGTGCAGAGGAAAATCTACGGTTTACTTGCTGGGTTGAGCTGTCTGGAAGAGTTGCGACTGGGGTACGATACTCGATCCAATTGGCTGGAGAAGAGAGTTGTGGATGGGAAACAGGTTTATTATGACAGCAAGTGGCAGTCGAATTGTTTGGAGGTGAGCCTTGAGAGTGGGATGGGAGTTCTATCGAGAGTGAAGGGGATGCAGTATTTGCAGGTGCAGAATATGGAGCACCGGATTGGAGTGAATGAGTTGTGGTGGATGCAGAGGAATTGGCCTAATCTATATCATGTTCTGGGAGTGACGAATGGACGGATGACCAATATCCCTCCTGGCCGGGTCTATGGGTCTGATCCCAGAGTTCTTGAGTGTGGTGTCAACATCCGCTTCCGATAATTACTTTCTCTTTCTTTTTCTTTTTTCGTATGATCCGCATCAAAATGAGCCGCATTAAAGCAAATGACCAACTCCATTTGATCCAAGCCCAGGAGAATAAGGATTACAAGTGCCTTTGGTGATCACATACAAGTACCACTCATCAGAATCTTTTATATGGTTGATATCAAACACACATTCTTATCTAATGGTCGCTGTGGTTATCGCCATGACCTGCAGAGATGTAACAAACACCATATGATAATTTGGACTTGAAAGGCCTCCATATATATCCCTATTCTTCTGGCACCTCGACGCCTCTATCGTCAGCTCTTATAGGATCTATATTGAACGGAGGAGGACCATTTCCCACGAGGACTTTCGAGTCAAGCTGGCGTGGGAGTTGGTACCGATCCAACATCAGGAAGCGTTCATGTAGGACGAACGGCGACAAAAAAGTGGTCAATAAGAATGTGCATGTCATCAATTCTCTTCTTAGACACTGCTGCGAAAAATCAATTTGTTACTCCTGCCACCAAGACACTATATGGCAATGGCCATTTCAACATAAAAACCCTAACCAACTGGTACTGCCCGACCTGCAAGGTTCATTTTTGCATGTTGCCACATCGCCGTTGCTCCACTCTCTTTTACACAATTGAATAGGCACCACTATAAAACGCTAATAACAACATTGGTATCGATTATAGGGGATAATAAAACATGCGCGCACATTCCGTGTTCATGTTTTAGACTAATGTTCTTAAACGTGAGGGGAGAATAACCGATAGTATTGCGGCCGATCCTTCACTCTTGTGTGGTGGAAGTTCTCGTACCAAGCTTTGGTGGCCAATGAAACCGAAATATCCCTTAACTGCGCAAAGGCTTGTAATCAGTACCACAACCACACACTGGCCGCGAGACTAGTAGTCTATCTGGACTGTCATCAGCATCCAGTGATCGAAAGCCACATATTTCTCCAAGATATCACCATATCTTGCGTGAACAATTCCTTTTCCAATCCTTTTCTGTTTGTTCCTTGCTGTCTGCTCCTTCCTTCTCCCTTGCCCCTCTCGTTATTATATCTCAAACATGTCAAACCCAACACTTCCCAAATCCCATGGTGAGACCATTACTGTCGTGCACCGCGAATGGGTTATGCCCTGGCCACCACCACCCCACCAGCCCACTCTCAACAGTCAACTTGTGCAAGTTGGCCGCAGTAATGTCATCTTTACACTTACAAGAAATGTAAGAAACCTATTACTTCTAAGCATTTAGCGATGTGTGCTGTTGAGATAGCTTGTTGTTGTTGTTGTTGTTGTTGTGGTATGGAAAGGTACGTATATTTACTTAAAACTCTATGGATTTGTTGTCGTTTCAATAGACTAGAGATATCGACCAACGGGTTCTGTTCGATTTCTCGATTTTCTTGGTGAAGGGTGAGGACTTCACATCTTTAATGGACATGCAAGTGGGCGAACCTGATGGTGGATGCGTCTTCGGCTATCGTTCAATGAATGTTACATTGACAACCGAACGCCCCGAACAAGGTAAAGTTTGCATGGCAACAAGAGTGATTCCCCACTTGTGATTTTTGACGTCGTTCGCTAACCTTCCCGTTTTCCTATTTCCCTATTTCACACCTATCCTTCTTCCTAGTCATCATTGGTGCTGGTATGGAGACGGATGATACACCTCCTACCGAAGTCTGTGTCACGGTCTTGTTTCGAGAGGCGAAAGAACTCTGATATTACGTCGTCCTTGCGTACTAATAGACCATTCACAAAGAAAGGATATTAAGCACTCACCACGGCTCAAATAGCAACCTTCATACTGAGCAGTTCCTCAAGCCAGTTGCCTTTATTAAAAAAGTGTTGACTAGCATTCGTTCCTCGCGCCCTAGTTCGTACTCGTTCACTCGTCTATCACCTGCTTCTTCTTTTTCGTTGTTCTGAAGTCGCTGCATATCTCCTTTGACCGCTATTGCTCTTGGTAACAGGAGCCAGAATAGAATCGAGCGTGGAAATACAACAAGAGTCGTTCAGTCTTTACAAATTCTCTTTCAACCATCATTTTGTGCCATGATTTGACTTGATAGATGTCACGGAGGACGTACCCTTTTCTCCCATCATCTTTTCCCCTTTTGTAGTCGTGATCGGGGTAGAGTAAGAAGGAGTCGGACGTGTCAACCTTCTTGGGCAGTGGCACTTTGACGGCTTCTGGCGGCTTCCGAAGCAACGCAAACTGTGGTGTCAAACATGTTGTGTTGGATGCGATAATGCGTGAAGAAATGACGGTCTCCTTAGCGAAAGACGATAAGTTTGGGTGGGTCGCCAAGCGATCCTGAGGATTTGGTGTTGGTTGTGGAGTTGGGACAGGGTCCTTGGAGGTGGAAGATGTCAGGGCAACAATTAGATCCGGTATAAGGGTCTGATATTACACCTCTTCAGTCAGGCGTTCCACCTTGACCTTATAGTTTTGCGGCTGCCCTGGTGTTCTTATGAGGCCTAGCATATGACATGACGGTTCTTGTATTAACCCATTGATGACATTTAATTACACCTGTGCTTTATATGGATGTCGAGAGGATGCCCTTGGAGGTAGACTGAAAGTTTCACTCCAGGGATTGCTACTCCAGACTCTTTTCAGCACCAAGCAAGCGTGTCTATTATTTTGTTATTGCTACTAGACGCTTCGAGAACTGAACAACCGACCTCCTGCTCCGATGATTCACTTTGGTGACGATGATGAAGACCTTTATTTTACTGTTCAAAGTTGCCGATACACAGTATTGTCGATGGGATTCTTTGACAAAATTGCTAAGAAAAGGTCGAGTAGCGATACCACGCTGCCCATTCCTTATTGCCTTTTTCACATATTATTTCAGCTTTGAGATAATGTAGAGCTCTTTTTTTTTTTTTTGCTACCACTTTGACACGAGTATATTTCTCGTGTATCGTTGCTTTTCCCGATTTTCTTTTTTGTCCAGTCTACGAAAGAACTCGATTTCAGTCGTATTTTTTGGACGAATCTAACAAGAGATTCGTCTCGTTCATAAATAAGCCGACATGTCCATCGATGAACGCGAAATAGCATTTTCTTTTGGTGTCGGAAGGTTTCAACGATTCAGCATCTTCATCTCGATAAATCACGTCAAACTCGTCATCGTCGTCGAGTACACCGTCTATCTTAATTCCATTACCGCTCGCTAATTTCCTTCTTGGCTATTCTTCTTTTGTTGCCATTGTGATGACCGATGTGCTGACATACACATGAGTTACGATGAATTGATGCCAAGCTGAATGGCGATATGGTTTGGCCCATTGGTATAGTGTCTGGCATGGCTGCTGCTAGCGAGTTTTCACCGGGTATGCGTTGGAGAGAAGAGAGCAATAACGTGAAGTGAAAGGCAGGGTGGAGAAAGACAAGAGAAGGGGGGACAAGGAAAAGAGGAAAGGAAAAATGATAGAAAAAAAGAGTTGGGTCCACATGGTTGCTGGTTATCCATCACCAAAAGTCCCATAGTTACTAGTCATCCATCACCAAAGGTCCCATGGTTATTAAGGTGTGCACCATCTATCAAATGATAGCCAAAGTCGATTGTGAACGCGTACTTTTTGCCTTCGCCGATCTTGGACGCGCACTCTCATTGTCAATCTTGGACGCGTCCTTTTTTTCCTTGACCCAAAGGGGCATTTCATTTTTTTCTGTGCATGGTATTGATGCATGGGGTGGGAGAGAGCAGGCTAGACTTGTGTCGAAGTGAAGTAAGTATTTTTCTTTCCTTGCCAGAAAAGGGCAGAAGGTGCACATCGAGGTTTGAGAATGGTGTACTGTTACTGAGTGCTGGTGGCGCATACGCGTTTCATATATTAGATGTCTGAGAGCAAGAGAGAGTCGAAGACAATCGCACGGTCAATGCTCACATGCAAGACCTACCTATATTCAGCGGGGGCGCGTTTCTTCTTTTTTTTTTTTTTTTTTTTTTTTTTTTTCTCTTGGAGAGCAATGGGGATTGCTTGACAGAAGGTTGGTGCGACGACCTGATCCACCCTTTGTACCTTTGTAAAGAGAAGATTGCTGATTTTGATTCTATGGAGGGCGATGGCCCTTGTGTCTCCGAGGAGGGCGGGCGAAGAAAACAAGGTATAGGGAGCAACAAACAGACAAACGAGTGAGCGAGAGATGTTGGTGGTGCTTGTTGTTTTGCACAGCCGGGGGGTGGCAGCTCCTTTATTCCTGTTGTGCTGACGACTTTGCTGGCGTCTTTCGCTCTCACTGTCCATGTGAGGGACAGGACCTTTTTTTGTTTGTTTTTGCGCGTGTATGTTTGTGAGTATGTGTGTGTGTATGTGTGTGTGAGTAAGCAAGGGCGGAGAAAAGAGAAGAAAAGAAAAGAAAAGAAAAAGAAGAATGATATGCGTGAGTTGGTGAGCAAAGCGGGAAGTGAGTGAGTGGATGTGCCATGTTGTTGTTTGTTGCCAACTGCTAATAAAAAAAGAGAGTCGACACCCCACCTGCTTCTTGTTGCAGCCACCTGCCCTGCTCTCATCTACTCTTCAAGCGCCGATTTCTCACACACCCTCACTCACTCACTCAAATCATCATCAGCCGCGGTCTATTTCTGCCGATACTTTTCCTTACTACTTTTACCTCTTTCTTCTCTTTTTCTCACCTCCCTTCTTCCCTCCCTTCCCTCCCTTCTCACCTTTCTACACCCCCATCCCTAACCTCCTTTCATCCTCACTTAACCCCTTCTCTTCTTTCATCTCTTACTACTCCCCACTTCCGACACCCTACTCCACACTCTCTCACTCACTCTCTCATCTGAAGACAATGAACTACGGACAGGGATACCCTCCCCAGCAGGGCGGATACAACAATGGAGGAGGAAACAGCGGCTATCCCGCAAACAACGGTGGATACGACTCATCCGCATATCCTCCTCAACAACAGCAGCATGACGGATACAACAACAGTGGCGGATACGACCCCAACAGCGGCGGATACGACCCCAACAGCGGTGCTGGAGGAGGATATGACCCTAACAACGCATACAACTCCAACTACAACAGCGTCTCTGCTCCTCCCTACTCCGCCTACCCTCCTTCAGCCAACATGCTGTCAGGTGGTGGCAACGCTATCGGTGGTGGTGGTGGATACCCCGGTGCCTCGCCCGCTTTCAATCCCATGCACCTCAACTCCAACAACTCTGTCGCTTCCTCACACGCAGGAGGAGGAATGAACAACTACTCCAGCCACGGCACCGTTAACCTCGGCAACGGTGGCAGTGGATATGACAACAGCGGATATGTCAACACCAACAACAATAACGGATATGACAACAATGGAAGCAACGGCAACTATGGTAACAACAACGGCAACTTTGGTAACAACAACAACAACAACAACAGTAACAGCAGCAACAGCAACAGCAACAGCGGCAACTACAGCTCACCCCCAGCCAACCAGTCATACCAAGCCGGACAGCTCAACTACCAAGGAACCGTTTACAACCCTAACGCTGCTTCCAACATGCAGAACAACAACAGCAACAACAGCGGCTCGCCAATAAGCCAGGGTCAGCCCCTCAACCCTGACCAGGCCAAGGCCCCTCAGCCCGAGGGCGAATACCCCGTCGTCATGGCTATCGACTTTGGTAAGTATTACCTCCCTCTACACCTGTCATCACCATTCACATTGCCTTTTTACTTGTGGAGCACAAGAGTGTACCTTCATCATCATAACTTTTTTTTTGTGTATTATTAATCGAACCTGCATAGGAACGACGTTTTCTGGCGTGGCCTATGCTCTCAAGGCTGATGGCGAAGTGCACGACATGACAAAGTGGTAAGCACCCACCCAAACACCCAAAAATAACCAGACTGGGACAACGGAGAGAGAAGGCTGTAGTGTACTTGCAGGCTTTTGCAGCAACGGTCATTTATTGGATTGCCAAGAGAATTGCTTCACTCCATGGCGCTACAGCAGCCTTCTTCCTTAGTCCTTCCTAGCTTACAAACGCATCGCCACGTTTGGGATAGTTCAGCCCATAGAAGAGATGCAGCATATTTGGGGCATCGTATTGAACTGGGTCTGGACACTCTCCAAACACAAGGACCTCCAAAAAACCATACCCCTTGCGAAATCAATAACATGACCCCGCCATTGGACAAAACACCCCTGAACTGAACTGGACTGAACTGACCCGACCCTTTGTTTTGTTACGAAATAGGCCTCGCCATTTGGCACAGTACCCCAAGACACCAACACTCAGCTTGTACAAAAAGGACTCGACCAAGATCTTGGATTGGGGACACGCTGCCCGTCTGGCCATGCTCAAGCCCTCTGCTAAGGACTTTTGCCTCCTCCGCAAGTTCAAGCTGCAGCTGGACGAGAGCCTCCACAACGCACCCCTCGAGAATGGAATTTCGGCTCTGGACGCAGTAACACACTACCTCAAGAAGCTGCACGGACACGTCATGATGGAGTTGATGAAGGGATTCATTAAAAACTACGAGCCCAACCAGTTCCAGTACTGTCTCACCGTCCCCGCCATGTGGTCCGATGGTGCCAAGAACACCATGCGTCGCGCTGCCATCGGAGCTGGACTGATTCAAGAGGGCGACCCACCAAACCGTCTTATCCTTATCTCGGAACCCGAGGCTGCTGCCATGTACTGCGAGCGCATGGTCGACCGCTTCTCGCTCAAGCACGGGGACCGCTTCATGATTTGCGACGCTGGTGGTGGAACTGTCGATTTGATTGTCTTTGAGGTCAACGAGCCCCCAGGTCAGGCCCGCCACCTGCGTGAGGTCACCCGCGGTCATGGTGCCTCTTGCGGATCCGTCTTTTTGGACGCCAACATGGAGAGATTGCTCGAGCGCAAGTTCAAGAGATACCGTCGTGGCATCAAGGCCTGCGGATGGGCCTCGCTCATGGATACCTTTGTCGACATGGTCAAGCCCATGTTCAACGGTCAGGAGGATGTTCTCATGCAGATCCCCCAGGCGACTGGACTCGAAGACTTGAACGACCACGAGATTGGATTGGAGGATGGTGTTCTCTGCGTCTCGGTCGAGGAGATGAAGGCCGAGGTCTTTGAGCCCGTCATTTCAGATGTGCTCGACTTGATCCAGAAGCAGTTGCACCAGAGTCAGAGCTGCTCGGCCATCTTCATGGTCGGAGGTTTCGGTTCCTCGCGCTACTTGGAGGAGCGTGTCCGTCAGGAGTTTGGCCACTTGGTCGGATTGGTCGCTGTCCCCCAGCGTCCCGAGTTGGCTGTCGTTCGTGGAGCTGTCTATGCAGGATTGAACACCAAGACGATCAACATGCGTGTTGCCCGTCGCTGGTACGGAGTCGATGCCAACATGCCCTTTGAGGAGGGTGTTGACCCGGAGTCGAAAAAGATTATCTCGCACGATGGTCACGTCCGCTGCAAGGAGCGTTTCTCGGTCTATGTTCGCCCCGGTCAACAGATTGGAGTGGACGAGTGTGTGTCGAAGGAGTATGTGACCTGGTCGTACCCCAAGGGTCTGGATTCGCCGTTGTATGTCTGCAACTCGCCCAACCAGCCCAAGTACATTACCGACCCTGGTGTCCAAAAGATTGCCGACTTCCACATTCCTATGCCTGAGATCCCCGGAGCCCAGCCCCGCACCCGCGTCGTCTTCAAGCTCAACCTTTACTTTGGTATGTATCTTTTCTTCTTTATCCGTAATTTCTTTGGTTGCTTTCTTCATGCATGTTCAGTCATTAACAGAATCCATTGCAATTCAATCTTGAATAGGTCTTACTGAGGTTCGCGCTGAGGCAGTGATTAACGGAAACACCTACACCACGATCTGCTCGTTTGGCGGTGGAGCTGGAAACCGATAAGAAACAACACCATAGCCCAAGGAGCGACTGTCGCGGGTTCATTATTTTTGCCCCGGCCTTTTTCCTGAGCAGGACACAGTTTTGATCATTGTGGAAGTAACCTAACCCATCTTCCTCCCCTATTCAAAAAGAACAAACAAACATACCACCACATGCAAAGAAATAAAAAAAAAAAAAAGGCATTATCAAATGAATCTCCTCCATTGTGCTTCTGGTGCTTCAAGAAAGAGATGCGGCTTGGGGGACTGCTTTCGGGCAATCGACACTTTTTTTTTTTTTTTGCTCTAAATGGGCGAACACGTTTCGAACACGTTTTCTTCGTCACGCCGATTTGCATTCACTTTCGCATTCCCTTGAACACCTACGACCTCGGTCCCGACAGAATCAGTTACAAGTAAAGGAGGACGCTTTTTCATCTAAACTCAGGAACCGACAAAGACAAAGGCCTGGAAGAGCACCCCCCCCCCCCTTCAACCCACCTCAAACCGCAACCCCATTCCACGCTCCAAGGTGGTTACCTTTCAACAAAGAAGTAAAGAATGTCGGATGCACTTGACGATTGGGAGCAGGCCGATGAACTCGAGGTAAAATACCAAGGGTGGCAACTAACAACAAAAAAAGGAGGAATGGGGGCTTCATAGCGGCGGTTTTGTACTTTGTGTGTTTTCAGCAAACAAACCTCCCCAAAAGGTTGAAACGAAAAATATCATTGACCCCCCCCCCCCCCTCCTTCTCTCTTGTTCTGTTATTATCGACATGTTTTAGATCCGGGCACCTGTGGTGGCACCAGCGCCGGTGAAGAAGATTACACTACTCTCTCGCCCTTCTACAGGGTCATTAAGCCCAACAGGACCCTCAGCTCATGCAACATCAGGAGTATCACCAGGAGGAGGAGGCATTGGCCAACTAGGAGGAGGTGGTGGGGTGCCAATGATCTTGAAACGTAATCCTGGAAGCAATAGCAGTGGAGGGAGTGCAAGTCAGCATGGACCTTCGCCAACTGGTCAAGGATCTCCTACACCGCCCTTTGGTCGGGAGAGCAGCGCCTTTGGGGATAACACCTACAGTAACAGTAACAGTAACAGTGGGCGGCGGTCCGGTGCGGGATATCAGGAAGAGGATCCGGATCTGTTGGGCGGGGACAAGTTGCGGCGGCAGATGGATGGCATGTCGTTGCGGGAACGTAATCGTACTCTTTGGGATCAAGCGTAAGTTCTTTGTTTTTCTTCCCTCTGTGGGTTGTTGGGAGAGATAACTGATGCAAGGGGGGGGGGGAAGGGGCTTACTGTGGGGAAGGTATGACTAAACTAAGAATTGCTGGGTGTGTTGTTTGGTTTTTTTTTTTTTGTGGATAGGAATGCATATGAGCAGCCGGTCATTGCAAGGGCCGACACGACACGGACAGAATACGTCCCAGAGGTAAAACAAACAAAACCCCCGCAACCTCATATTCACTTCTCCACGTCCAAGCCTGGCTACCTTGCAACCCTAGGTTATTAACTAGCATCCATGCTAATTATTTATGCTTGTATAGATCCGGATTCTGAGAAGACCAAAGAGTCCAGTACAATCAGTCCGTGTCAGCAACCAAGTCAAATCCAAACCGCTAGCACAGCGTGAAGCAGACTATAACGCCGCCCGTGAAAAGATTTTTGGACCTTCACCTACACCCACTTCTCCATCGTCCTCAAGCCCCAACAACAACAACAATGATACTACAACTTTAACGACTGGATCGCGTGGTTCGGGAAGTAGTCCGCGGCGGAATTCTCCTTCAATTGGGGGAGGATCATCGCCAAACTCGAAACCATCATCGCGCCCTTCTTCAAGGTCGGCGTCGCCTTCACAACCGCATCAGCCGGTACAGATCTATTCAGGAAGCAGTAGTGGGGCGTTTGAGACTGCGCTAGAGAATGTGAAGCCGATCGAGTTCAGGGGTGGGCCTCCACCGTCCAGACGCGGAGGCGGTAACAGTGGAGGTAGAGGTGCAGTGCAGGAGAATGTCAACACGGCGATCCGGCAACCAATGGGTCCCACATCGGCATCCAGCGGGCAGAGTGTTGGGAGTAAACCTCGAGGACGAGGAAGGGGACGAGGTGGTAGTGGTGGCAGTGGAAGTGGGACGAGATCCCCTGCAGGAGGCTCAGAAGTAGGGTCAGTAGGAGATACGGGTTCGTCAAGACAGGAAGCAGGGTCGATTGGGTTCCGGAGACCTATGGGACGAGGCGGAAGTGGAAGTACTCAGCCTCGTCCACCGCCTGCTTGATGACACTCTATACAACAGGATCTCCTACAACTTCCAAGTTACAATAGCATCCAAATCACCCATCATATCTTAATAAAAAAATAAAAAAAACTTTCTTGATCCACGTTGTGCGTGTTTCATTATTATTTACGATAGGATGCAAAATGTGAGTGAAAGAGAGGGAGGGGAGAGGGAGAGGGGATGTGGGAATCACAATGAACAAAAGAACATTTACATTGCCGGCGGTTGAAATTCCTTGATGGTTGTTCGTTATTGTTTCCGTGCAGCGGACTCGGTCTCCTCAATCAGTAGCTTCCACACCCTTGCCACCAGCTTATCCGCGTCATTATCCAGCGCCTACAGCGAGCAAATGAACAAAAGTCGTTAGCAAAAGCCATTATCATCTCACCTACAATCCTACACAATAACAAAACATACAAAAAAAAACTCACACCGCGAAGCTCAGAAATAAGATCCTGAGGTGGTTTCCGCTGCCGGATATGATCCACCACATATTTAGTCAGATCCTCTTCAGGAACACCCAACAGCTCAACAACAATCTTGGTCGCAAATGGCGTGATCTTCTCCTTCAGGATCAACCCATCATTGGCCTCCATGATCGACCACTGGACCGGCCAGTTCCACAACTCTTGTGGGTCTGAAGGAATGTTCGACGCAGAGGCATCGTTCTTCTCGGCTTCTTCGGCGGTACTGGATATTGATCCAGATCCATAAGCCTCGTTCATCTCCACATCCTTATCCTGGCTTGCAGAGGGTGTAGCTATTGCTGCAGAGTCGACCTCCATGGCGGCGCCTGCTTCTGCAGCAGCGTTAGCAACAGCGGCGGCGGCGGCTTCAACCTCCTGGGCGGCCTTCTTGGCAGCTTCTGCCAGTTTTTCTTTTTCCTCCTCGCGGTCCAGATCATCGTAGCGCTGCTCCTTCTGCAAGAACGCTTGTCTCCTGTGCCACCATCTCGATCTACAATAAATCAACCAAAACACAATGTTAGTTTCGCGGGCAAAATAATAAATAAAGCAAATGACATACAGGCATACCAAAGTCCCATCCTTACCGATCGCGGTAGTAGTCTTCATGACGGCGCTCGCGTTCAACATCATCGTTCCACTGGGCAAACCGAGCAGCCATAACATCTCGCGCAGCAAAAGACTCAGCCTGATAATCAGCATCACGGGCCTTATCCTTCTCATACAACCGCATTCTCTCAACCTCGCGTTGTTCCCACCGACGCTCACGCTCCTTGAAAGTATGTTCGGTCTCACGATCCCTCCGCTCCTGACGCGCCTTTTCTTCCTCCTCAGAGTCCATACCCGTATCCTGGCCCTGAGACGCTGAACTAGCGGCACCAGCTGAAGAAGTAGATGCAAGCGCAGACGAAGACCCGACGTCAGTATGGCTAGTCCCACTGGCTGCGACAAAGTCCATCTGGCGCGATGCACCTGCACCACCGCCACTGCTACTACCGCCCCAAGCACGGTCCCGTCCAGCTCTATGAGAAGCAGAAGACGACGCATTAGCGCCCGTGGCCGCAGAGCCAGAATCTTTCGACTGCCGATGATGATGACCAGACCGCGCCATCCTCTCTGACCGTTCCTCTTCTTCTTTACGCTCCTTCTCCTTGAGAGCCGCACGTTCTCTAAAAAAATTAATTTCGCGTGCAATCAACTCCTTTTGCTCCTCCGACATCTCTTCCTCGGTGCCGTCTTCACCCAGCTTGCCAGTTCCGTCAAGGTTGTTATGGCGTCTTGGTCTGCCGACTAGGGTAAGGTCTTCCTTGTCTTTGTTGGAGGAGGAGGATGATTCGGCTGCGGTGTCGTCTGATTTTGCGGTGGTGTCTGTTGTGTCCAGGATACCGTCCTTCATTTGCTGAATGATCTTTGTCGCATTCGCCAACGCCACTTTATCCTTCTCCGTATCATGCTAAATCAACAATTTGCCAATAAATGATTAGCAGACGAATAGAAAACGACAGAAGTAAGGCACAAAAAAAGAAAAAAGGTCGCATGAATTTGAGGGTGTCTTCCAACTTACGATAGTGCGGGGACGGCTCTCTTCATACTGATCCAAGAATTGGCGAGTCTTCTCGTCAGCCTTGACGAGGAGCGCCTTGACAACATCAGATCCATCCATGGCCTTCAATTCCAATCCGACAGGCTTCTCGCCCTTGGGCTGCTGTCCATCCTGGCCCAGAACTCGGAGTGTCCTCAACAGACTGTCAGCATCTGCATACTCTGCAAATCCAAACGCCTTCCACTTTTGCGTCGTGGGATCCTGAACATGCTTCCATTTTATCAAATTTCCTGTCGTCTAATTTTTTTTTGGCGAAAGGAACAATGATCCAAAAAAAAGTGTCAGATATCATACTTTCCGTTTCTTCTGATGAATAAAGTAAAGTAACATTAATATGATGAAGAAAAACACACAAAAAGAAAGGCTTACCCTGAGCAACTTCTCCATGGCGACCTTGTTGATTCCAGGAGCAATAGATCCAATGAAAAGAGTGTTCATCTTATCTGGCAGCGCGCCTCCAACAGCAGCCATAGCGCCTCCCTGTCCAACACCTGTACCTGTGCCCAAAGAGCTAGGTGGTCCAGTCAAGAGCGCATTGTTGCCGAGCCCAACAGTTGGTATTCCTCCTCCTGGCTTCATTCCTGGCATACCAGGGACGGGCATGGGTGGTACCACACCGCCATAAGGTCCAACCATCCCAACAGATCCCGGTAATGAAGGTGGTGGAGGTCCAGGTCCGAAACCAGGACGAGGAGGTGGTGGCATGCGATGATGAAGCTGTTGTTGATGAAGGTGGGGAAGAGGCTGGTTCTGTCCTGGAATCATACCTCCAGGGTGTCCAGCTCCTGGTGGTGGCAAAGGAGGTCCTCCTTGAGGTGGTGGGATGCCGTAGGGTGGCATGGCTCCAGGGGGTGGGCCTCCTGGGATGATATGCGGTGGGCGAGGAGGTGGGTAGTGAGGTTGTTGACCTGGTGGTGGTCCAGCGAGTGAAGGAGGAGGTGGACCTCCGGGGCCTCCTCGTCCCTGAAATTGTGGTGGTGGCGGACCCTGTTGTTGTTGCATATGGTGGGGTGGAGGTGGGTATTGGTGTTGGTTGTGTTGTCCGTAGATGGGGTGCGCTTGAGGGGGGCCTCGTCCTTGATGGTGGTGTGGTGGAGGTGGTCCTCCGTAGTGCTGCTGCTGCTGCTGCTGTCCTGGAGGGGGGCCATGCCTTTGTCCCTGATACGGGGCTATTTTTTTTTTGTGAGAGTAGAGAAGGGTGTTAGCGATGAGCAAGTCGTGAAGTTGATTGATTTCGTGTTTGTTCTGGTTGTCCGTGGTGACAGGTATGAATGAACAGACGTACGGTATTGTTGACGATAGGGATCCATTTATGAGTGCTTGGGCTTCCTGTGGTGTGGTCGGTGATGAGAGAGCAAGAGGAAGGTGGCAAAGCAGAGTAGCAGAAGAAGCGATCAACGTTCAGGGTCAACAAGAAGAAGAAAAGAAAATTGAAAATTGAAGAGTGGGGATCGAACACGTACAGGAAGCAGAGAAATAGACTCTTTTTTCATACGTAAGAAATAATGAAGGGTGACTGTGCGGCGGATGATTCGTCGATTGAATTCCTTTCCTTCAGCCTCTGCAGAGGTTGGACATTGGACACGGCCCCAAAAGAAGAGCAACAAAGGAACTTACTTTTTTGTTCTCTTGACTTCCTTTCTGTCCATCCGCACAACTCATCATCCCTCTCTCTCTCCCTCTCTCTCTTCTCACGACCTACAGGCAATAAGCAACACCCACGGAACAGGAACAGCAACCCACACTACCCAGCCAGGAGGAACACCGCAACCAAGCCGACAAAGGACCAACAACCACCCTCTCTCTCTCATCCAGAAGCAGATCACATACATACACACCACATACTAAAAAATGCAGCTGGCGTTTGGCGTATTACTGGTGGTCCTGCTCACAGAGCTGATCAACCTCATCGGAAAAACACACTTCACCGCCCTGGTAATACCTCTTTTCCTACTCTTCCGCCTTTCACAGCACGTCACTTTTTCATTCCTTTGGTTTGTGTGTGTGTCGACAAACAGCACTATGCAACGCAACGAAACCCGGATGCACCCAAAGAAGGATGAACCAACTTTTTTTTTTTTTTCTCTCTGCGCCGGCTGACAACCCCACTCTTTGCATAAAATTTTCATACTTACTCTTCCTCTCCATGCGCGTGATAATTATCATGCATTGGCTGTTTCTTTTTTTTCATTTTTCATTGTACATTAGGGCTACGATATCTACCTTAAAGTGGTGCACAAGGACAGTGTGACGAAGCAACGCGCCCTCAAGAAGGAGGTTCTGACTCTCAAGAACGAACTTGCCAGGACTTCATCTCAGGTATGGAAAAAGGCTCCTCTTTTTGTTCATCTGTCGATCGCCCCTCTTCTTTTTTCTTGGTGAAGTGTAATGATTTATTACCTTTGCTCAAACACGAGGAAAGGGGGAGGACAACGGGAGAGAGGCGCAAACTAACGTTTCGGAATACTCTTTGCTATTTTGTGTGCTTTTAGGATGAGTTTGCAAAGTGGGCAAAGTTGAGGCGCAAGATGGACAGCAAGATTGCCGATCTGGAGAAAATGAGTAAGCTAGCTACCAGCAGGATACATGATAACAAAGGAACCAGGGGAATGTGTATCTTACAAGGAAAAACATTGACGAAACAAACAAACAATCAGACAACAGGAAACATATGTGCCAAGAAAAAATCCAATTCATCGGGATAACGCCATGAGCTGACATTCAACCTCTTACTTTTATTGCTTTCTAGCGTCGGATCTGCATGTGTCAAAGGCGTCGTTTGAGATGAAGTTCAAGGGACTGTTGTGGTTTATTACTAACGGGATCCAGTTCTTGATGGTTGCCTGGTACCGCCGGTCACCCGTCTTTTATCTTCCCATGCGCTGGTTCGGTCCTGCCGAGTGGGTCTTGTCATTGCCCTTTTCTGAGCTAGGTATGCCTTGTCCTCTTGGGGGTGTCTTGTGTCACAGAACATTATTCGATCAGAATCGTTGATATGGACTCTTGCAGGACCTTCTCGGGATTTTGACCTCAACGTGGATATGGCGGTCGACTTGGACACAACCTAGGCTTTATCATAATGACAGTGACCATCAATTACAGCATGGACAATGAGATCAAGCAATAGACAGGGAGACAGATCAGACAAAGGTCAGCAGGCATAGATCTTCAACCAACATGACCAAGTCACTCACCAATGTCCATTATTACATGATCTACTATTATCCTACTAGGATCGGTGAGCACGACCATTTGGTTTTACTTTTGCCGCAAGTCTATCACACTTTTGGCATCCAACTTGGCAGAATTCATCCCCGCAGTCAAGGCATTGAAGCCTGACCAGCCAGCTGAATCGTCCAGCCCCTTTGCCGCCTTTGCCAACATGGCCAATCTTGCAGGAGCTGCCGCAGGAGCACCAGGAGCTGGTGGACCTGGAGGTGCTGCAGGAAACCCCTTTGCTGCCATGGGCGGTATGGGTGGTGGAGGAGATCCTTTTGCGGGTATGGGTGGCATGGGCATGGATGACATGGATGCGTCGGCCATGTTTGGACCAGGATCACCCTTTGCGGCCATGTTTGGACAGGCTCTCGACCCTAATGGTACGACTGGATCTGCGGGGACCTCGCCAGCGGCTTCGCGGTCTTCTTCTATCCGTGGAGCTGGCAACCTCGGTCGTGGCGAGGAGCGGAGGAGAAAAGTGTAGTCTGCCTATTGTACGCTCTCTCTTTTTTCCTGACTTTTTTTTCTTTGGAGTCATTGTAATACTACAAGGTACATAGATACAAATACATATTCAAAAATGCATTCTTTGCTTTCTTAATCCCCCTCCGTCCTCTCTCTCTTGGTGATAAATATATATCATGCGCTATATCTAACGAATATCAACTATGTTAATGCTTTTGGTATGATAGTTTTTACTTGTTTTGATAAAGAACAGGCAAAAAAAAAGAACGAAAACCGCAACGTCTACGACTGGACTGCAGGCGCAATACCTATGAGACGACGACGATGATCAAGCGTCATATAATTGTTCATGAACCAAATGTTCCCAAACACCCAATCGTCCTCGTCGTTCTTGGACGCCTGGATCCCCGAGAAGCAGAGGTTGAAGATCCCACCGATGACGGGTACGCGTTCGCGGACTAGGTCTTGACCACGGACTCTGAATTTGTTGGTCGACGTCCATTCACCGGCGGTTGTGATGTTGCCTTTTGTGAAGGATGTTGAGGATTGCGTGGAGCCTTGGGGAAAGTCCTCGCTGGTGGGTGATGCGGCGGGTGTTGTTCCTGAGGCGGCGCCATCTTGACTGGCGACAACGATCTCGGGTGCAGGAGTGGGATTGGCGGCCTGAGGCCCCAGATCGAACCAAAGATCAATCTGGCTCATATCGCACGAAACCGTATACAAGCCCGAAATATAGCTATACCCGGAATACCACCCCCAAAAGTAATCATGAATCAACTGATGCGTCCTATACGCAACCCGCGGCGGGACCAAGATAATATTCGTCGAGGTATCAAAAATCACATTCGGCACACTGATCCCGGTCCCTGTCCCGACACGAGAGTTCACTTGGTCGACGCTCCGTTTGTTCCGAGGGATCTTGTCCTTGAATTCGATCGACTTGTCGTTGATAACGGTTAGGGAGTGGATCGGGGTTGACCAGTATGCAGAACCCGCGGGGACTTGGTAGTAGGATAGGGAGCCTGTGTAGCGGGCACGGTCTTGGCCCCCAAAGGTTAGTTCTCCGCCTTGGTTGCCGGATCCGAACCAGACGCCTACTTCTGAACGCATTGCGTTTGCGTTGATCAGGTTGTCTACCGGTGTTGGGTCGCCTGTTCGGAGTTGGTTGAGAGGTTTGAGGAAGCAAGTTGTTACTATGACGGTGGACATGGAGAGCAATTGAATCAAGCGCGCACAGACACGCCAATACTTTCTCATACAACTTACCACTGAAAGTCAGGTCCATAAGTCCCAGCCCAAAAGACCCATCAATCCCGTTCTCCTTCATATCCTTCAAAGAATCTGCAACCCCAATGACCTGCCTGTCAACCACAAATCCCGCCACCTGAACCACATCCGTCCCCAACCTCCCCTTCACCGCCAGCCCATTGCTCAACTCCAAATGCCACGAGATATTGGGTGCACTCTCAAACGTACTAGACCGCTCAGCGCGGAAGCCACGACGGGCGGTGGTGGAACAGGGGCTGTTCTGGGAACAGTTTGCACGCGCAGATGTTACCCATGTATCGGAGGAGCCAATGTCAAATTCGAGGTTGAAGTATTGGTTTGGCGTGCCGATTCCTACTTGTCCCACGAACTATATATTTTAGGGGCAGGGTGAGGGAGGGAGGGAGGAGGGCCGAAGAGTGTGATAAAAGACATGTCGTAAGACGTCGTTCTTTTGGTCGTGCTCATGACATCAGACAAGAGAAACGACAACTTACGGCGACTTCAGAGGGGTTGTACTCGATGGGGACACGCTCAGAGTCAATAGCCTTGGACCGACGCGACGACGCAGAATCGAATTGTGCCAACTCTATCACTGAAGCGACCGCCTTGTCCTCCTCCTCCTTCTCGTTCTTGTCCTCCTTTTCCTTCTCCTTCTCCTTCTTATCCACACCGCCTGTATTCTTACCCTTCTTCTCATCCTCATTTCCATTCTCCAGCTCGCCGTGATCATCAACGTCGTTATCGTCGTCGTCGTCTTCATAGACATCATACTCCTTATCCGTCTTCTTATCCTTGGCGTTCTTCTCCTTCGTACCGCCAACCTCAGCACTAAAAACCGACTGAGCTTCCTTCCTCTGCTCCTGCTGCTGTTGCCCATCCTGCTCCTGCTCCTGCTCCAACCTCTGCTCCTGAACCAACGCCACTTGCGCCTGCCCCCTCAAGCGCCTCAGAACCCTAGACGGGATCCTCAACAACCGTTGCTCCAAACCTAACGCCTTCCCCTCCTCCTCTTCCTCCTTCGTTATCATCTCCTTCCGCCCTTGTTGCTCTTGTTGTTCTTTTTGCTGTTGTTGTACAATCTCGGTCATGGAGGGTTGAGAGTATCGGGCGAGGGCTTGTTGGACTTGATGACTTGTCCTTTCTGTTTCCTCTGTGCGTACTACCCTATCCAGTACCACCCTGTTGTTGTTTTTTAACAATCCCCATGATATGTGGTTGGGTGTTTTCTGATTAGTAGGGAGAGAGAGGGGGAGGGGGGGGGGGGGGTCTGTGGGGGTATCCATAGATCTCACACGTGGAACGGTTGTCTTCCTTTGTTTGTTGTGTGTCGGTGTTTTGAATGGCAAGCTCCTCCTCCTTGTTCCTGACTTACCGATGCAGATCTGGCGCAGCGGAGGCAGAGACTGAGAAGGCAGAGGTGACGACCGCCAGGCTCAAGAGCGTCGTTGTTTTCATATATGATGGAAAATGGTGGGAGGTCTTTTGATTGTGGGATAGGTGAAAAAAATAATTGTTGCTAGCTTCAGGGTTTCTTTTACTGAAAAAAAAAAAAAAAAATTAGATGAAAGTTGTTCAAAGGAAAGTTGGGGAAGGTCAAAAGAAGGAAGAACTTTAACTGTGAATAGAATTACACAAGGGCGAAAGAGGGTGAAAGAGGGTAAAGAAGGCACAGCGAAATGGGAGATGAGTATGTGATAGAGAGGAAAGCAAAAAAAAAAACTTTTTGGTATGCGTTGACTAGAAATGGGTATGAGGACAAAACCCAGGGGCCGAGGATTCCGATTTTACAGCGCATATCGCACGCTATTCCATTGTCGGCTGTTCTCTACAGTAGCATTCTCGCAAGCAGAGGGAGAGTGATATTACATGAAAGCAGTAAAAAAAGGGAAAGGAAGGGAGTGGCGACAAAGTCAGAGCAGAGGAAGCCTGCCTGCAAGTGTATGATTGTTATGTTTTTTGTTTGTATTTTTTGAATGTAAATGAGAAGTGATAAAAAGTACAACTACGAATGGGGAGTAGAAACAAAGAGTAGAACGAAGAAAGAGCAAAAAAGGACTTATGCGCTGCCCGATCTCCTGGCACGGCGACCACGAACACCCTCACGCAAGTTATCCAGCAGCACAACAGTGTTCTCCCACGAGATGCAAGCATCCGTCACAGACTGGCCATAGACGAGACCCTGGGGCCCAGCAGCGGGGATATCCTGACGGCCCTCCTTCAAATGCGACTCAATCATCACTCCCATAATCGCATCCCCAGACAACGCAGAACTGCTCATCTGCTTGGAAATATCCTCTGCGACAATCATCTGGCGCGAAAAGACCTTAGAGGAGTTTCCATGGGAGCAATCGACCATGATCCGGGCAGGCAATTTGGCTCCAACCAACTTATCGGCAACAGCCTTGACCTCAGCCTCCTCATAGTTAGGACCCTTGACACCTCCACGCAAGATAACGTGGCAAGAGTCGTTACCCTCGGTCGAGACGATGGCAGAGAGACCCTGCTTGGTGACAGAGAGGAAGTGGTGGCCCGAGGAAGCGGACTTGATGGCGTCCAGGGCAACACCGACGTTGCCATCGGTGCCGTTCTTGAAGCCGACGGGAACTGAGAGACCGGAGGCCAGCTCACGGTGGATCTGAGACTCGGTCGTGCGGGCTCCGATGGCACCCCACGAGACGAGGTCTCCGACGTACTGGGGCGAGATCGTGTCCAGGAATTCGCATCCGGCAGGCACTCCCATCTCGTTCTATTTCCATAGATTGATATAGAGGGAGAAAAGGGTTAGTGCACTGTTGTAGAAAAAAAAAGTGGGTGACTCAGTTCAGTGGAACGTGGAGGAATCAAGAAAGGAAGTGGCGAAGAGTAATTTGTTTGTTTGGATGATGCATGCCCGATGCAATCCAGTGACACGACCGCATAGCCCCATGTGCCCCCTCTTGATTCGATTGTTGTTGTTGTTATTGTTGATGATTTTGCTGTTGTTGTTGGTGTTGTTGTTTTTGTTAATGGAGTGGGGTAAAGGAACAACGGTTGCTATCCCTTATGTTTTTCTCGATGTGTCACAGAAGTGTGGCGATGGCACCATTTGTCTCTATAATCAAAGAGCTCCACCAGCCCTTCCTTCCTCCACCGCCCAGCCGTCGAAAACTATATGATTCACTCGCTTTTTTTTCACATAATAATAAGGTTTGGCGCATGCTTTTTCCGTTCGCTCTCACTCCCTCTTATAGTTCACTTTCTCCATTCATGTACTCCCTGCCTCCCTGTTCCTGGTTTCGGTTCAAGGAGAATATAGTTCATCTACCAGTCCTCTGATAAGATAGATCCTGCGCCATTGTTGTTGTTGTTGATTTGGTGTGTACTTCCGGGCAAGTTGTTGATTTTTCTGACAGCCATGAGTCAAGTCCATCAAAAAATGCCGAGAGGTATTCTCGATCCCGTACGTCCTGATCGGTACCTCTTGTCCAGCCATGCAGCTCCATTGTGAATACATGATCCACTATGTTCCTTGACATGAGGCTGATGGGGAGACAGAGGGGGTATGATATGATATCCCAAAAAGCACAAAGGGGGCGATAATAACCAGAGGAGGAAAAAAATACCTCTCAAAGTGGAACTTACCAAGTCAAGCAAAAGAGTACGGGCAACACGAAGACCCTTATTAATCTGGAAAGAGTTATTCAACTGGGGGTCATTAATTAAACCCTTCCAGCCGACGGTCGTCCTGGGCTTCTCAAAGTACACTCTCATGATGATCGCCAAGTCCTTTGATGCCTCTGCTGCATACGCCTTCAGCTTGTGGGCTAAATGGTTGATTGTATGTTAAGGAAAGGGCAAGTGAGGTGGGTAGATCGGTATTAGTCACATTACACTTTTAAGATACAATTCCACATATACCTCCATGACAAACCAACGAAAGAAAAAAAAATTACCGTATTCGATGGCAGCCTTGGTATCGTGGATGGAGCAGGGTCCGACAATGACGAGGAGACGGTCATCACGGCCCTTGATGATCTCCTCGGCAGCATGGCGTCCGAGGATAATGGTCTGGGCAGCAGCGAGGGAGAGGGGCAAGTCCTCCATGAGGATCTGAGGGGGGATTAAAGGCTTGATCTCCTTGATGCGCTTGTCATCGAGCTCGTTCAAGGCTATTTGGTGTTGTCGTGAAGAAGGAAGGAGGAGTTAAGATCGTTGTTCGTTCTCCTACTTCTTCGATGATTCTATCGTCCGTTCGTGATGAATCTCCGAAAATAAAAGGGCGAGATAACGTTGTTGGTTGTTGACAAGGTAAAAGTGAAGTTGATGTGAACGTGTGAGCGTACCATCCTTGAAGCCGATCTTAGGTCCTGATTCAGTCATGATATGTATATGTATTAGGGGTGGTGGTTGTGGTGGGGGAGAGGGTAAGTTGTAGTGAAAGTGAAGTGAAAAAAAATAATAAAAAAAAGAAGAAACGAACCTATTTATCTATATTTCTACCGGAATCAAGGTTCTCGGACCTTCTTCACCGAACAAAAAATCGATGAGCCATCCACTTTTTTTTGCTGTGAATCACACACTTTTTTCAGAGCCTGGGTGACTGTTTCTCATGATTCATAGAATTAGCACCTGCGCTATCGACCTGCAAACATTCATGCATTCGAAACACAAGCATGAACACAATAACGCGTGTCAAGAGAAAAAAGACCGATGTGGAGTATCAATGTTATTGGCAGAAATAAGTACAGCTAAAAGTAATGGGAAAAGAAAAAAGGAGGAAGCAAGGGGTTTACTCTTCGAATTGGTCAAGGGCAAGGGTCAGCGTCCTACTGCTGTTGACGCCCTGGTCGCGGTAGATGCCCACAAGACCCTGTCCACGCTCATACAGTGAACTCTTCAGTGAGATCACAATAAACTGCAGATCTGCCGACGCGTGGTCCTGCAAGTACTGGCCAATACGTGCAACATTCATGTTGTCCAGCGCCGCATCCACCTCATCCAACACAAAAAACGGTGAAGGACGGAACGAATGGATCGCAAACAGCAACGCCAACGCCGCCATCGTCTTCTCTCCTCCAGACAACTGATCCATATCCCGGAACCGCTTCAGTGGTGGCATAGCATGATACCGGATGCCATCTAAATAGGGCTCTTCCGTGTCCTCCAACGACAAGTACGCCGTGCCACCCATAGGAAACGCAGTTGACCTCGTCAAAGACTTGTAGATTTCGTCAATCTTCTCAGAGATGTGTGCAAACGCCTTCTGGAAACGGTCATAACGCTCCTGCTTCACCGCTCCAAACTGCTCCTTGATCGTCCTGGCACTCTTACGAGCCACGTTGAACTCCTTATCCGTCTGCTTCAAACGTGCCTCAACTCCGTCCAATCGCTCAATCGCCTTCATATTGGGTGCCAACCGGTCAATCTCCTCACCCAGTTGTCTCAAGCGATCCAAGAACTCGTTCTCCATCTGCTCCATAGTGCCGGCCTCAGCCTGAGGGTGAAGCTGATGCTCGGTCTGCGACGATGATCCAATCTGACTGTTGCTGGGAGGATGCTGAGATCCGGACTGGGATTGTGAAAGCGAGAGGCGGTGAAGGTCCAAACCAGCTGTTCCTGTGCCTTGGCTGTGTGATGACGATGAGCTAGGCAACGCCTGTCGCTGTTCCTCATCAAGATCCGTAAAGTCGACCTTGATTTTCCACTCTTGGCTACGGCGGCTGTGGGAAGAACTGGTGGGGAGCCCGCTGTCGGTGTCTACATCCATATCGTCCTCGTTCGCCACAGAAGGACGCAGTCCCTCGACGTCATCCAACGACACATCATCCAGAGATCCCTTCTCCATTGGCAGCTCAATTTGCTCCAGTCTACACCGTCTAAAGATGGACGAACGCTCCGAATCCAGCTTTTCCACCAAGGATTCCTATAAAGACGACAAAGAAAATGTGTGAGAAAATGCGCACAGACAATCTTGCATAAGGGACCTAAATATACACAGAAAGTAAGTTACCTTGACACCAATGTCTTTGAGCAGGGCATCGATCTGCTTTTGGACACGTGCAACCGACTTCTTGATCTGGTTCACCTCATCTGATCGAGCCTGAAGTGTCTCCTGGTCAGATGCGAGATCCTCCTTCAACTCCTCAACTTTTTCACGAATACCCGTCTGTTTGATCTGAATCTCGTCGCGCTTGCTACCATACTCGTCCAATGTCGCCATCTCAGTTGCCAGCATGGTCTCCAATCGTGAAAGGCGCTCCTTGGTCTCGTTCATCTGGGTGGTGTCGAACGACAGCTGGTTGCGCATCTTAGACAGCAAAGTCTCAAACTTGGCTCGTTTCTCCAAGAGCTCCTGAGACCGCTTCAGCTTTTGCTCCTCATACTCGCGAATGTTGGACACACCAACCTTCCTGCAAAGGGATGCAAAGACCTCATCCTCAATCTGGGAAACGGTCGCCTCGATCCTGGAAATTTCGGCCTCTTGAGCAGCCAATGCCTTTGATGACTCGTCAGCCTTGGGGCTCTTCTCCACCAGCTCGGCCTCAATCAATCGGAGCTCCTCCCGAACGCCGTTCAACTTTCTCTTAGTCGCGCTCAGGTCCTCACGAGAATAGGACAGTTTGCTCTCAATGCCAGCCAGCTCAGATCTCAAACTCTCCTCTGGAACTCCGCGCTTCTTGGTCTTGGACAACTCGTTCAACTGGACCAAAAGGACGTCGCGACGCTTCTTCAGCTCATCGACAACGCGCTCCTCCCACCGCTTGGTACTGGACCCAACGCCTCCCTGTCCTCCTGTAATCAGACCGCTTTTGTGGAAAACGGTGCCATCCAGAGCAACAGCCTTGACTTGCTGGCCGAGTCCATAGCAGACATGCTTGGCAACCTCCATCGTGTCGCAGACCAAGGCATTACCACACACGTACTGGATAGCACGCTCGAGCGTCTCGTCGTACTGAACAACGTCAATCGCCAGACGGGCTCCCTTGGACAAACTACGAAGACGGTCGTTAACGGGCTTCACGACAAGGGTATCCAGGGGAAGGAATGTCGCATGTCCAGAACGCTGCTCTCTCAAGAGCTGAATGCACTCTATAGCAGTCTTTTCCCGATCGACGATGATAGCATCCAAGTGGCGGCCAAGGATAACAGAGATAGCCGTGTCATACTTTCTCTGAGTGGGCTTGCACAGATCCGACACTCTGCCACGGACACCAGGGAAGATGCGCTTAAGCGACGACAAGGTCTCCTTCAGCTTTTGCTCCTTCTCGGACTCGCGTTGATCCAGCTTTGCCTCCATGAGTTGATTGAGGATGTTGGTTAGCTTCTCATTCAGTTCGGTCTCGGTCTTTACGATCCTGCTGCGTTCGTTGGTGAGGTTGGTGAGCTCATGCTGTGCTTTAGCCTGGTCCTGCAGGACCTTTGCAATGTGTGACTCGACATTGTTCTGGTGGCTCAGCAAGTTTTGCTCCTGCTCCGAGAGTCGGTCCTTCTTCGCCTCCAACTCTGAGACCGCCGCCTTCAATCGGCTGTTCTCCTCACGCTCACTCTTGATGACTCTCTTCAACTGACCGAGCTGCTGGGTCTGAGTAACCGTCCGCAAGGCGACTTCCTCCTTTCTAATTGTGACGAAACAGGAAGAACGACACTATTAGTGCCATATTCATGACCATCTCTCCAAAAGATGGCTCTTCCCAATCTCGAATTGTAACAAGGCAACATACTTGGAGCTGTAGGTGGCCATATCCTCTTGGTTCAGAGTCACTCCGCGAGCTTCCTCCTGGATTTTGGCCTCCTTCTCGAACTTGGTGGCGGCCTTTTCGAGCTGGGTGAGATCCGCCTGCTGCTGTGAAACACTCTTGAGCTGGGTCTCGTATGTGTCCTTGACGATTGTCCCGTTCGCCTGAATAGACTTGATCTTTTTTGCAACATGAGCAATCTTCTCGTCCAAACTCAGTGCCTCAGGATGCTATTGAGAAATAATAACGATAAAGTAATCTGAGTTTTCACAGAACAAATTGTGTCCACATGCATCAACAAGCAAACAAAAGTGTGAAATCTTACAAGATCAGCGAGAGCTTTCTCGCGTTTGGCGATCGAACGTTCCTTGCGATATGTCTCCCTCTGCGTCACAGCCTGGTTCTTCTTCGCGGATGCCAGCTCATCCTCCAAATTGTTCTGAGATGGTAAAAAGAACAAACAAGATATTAGACCTTATCGCCTCAGTTCATAGTATACAAGCACACGAGCAATATCATTGACACTTACTAACTCCACCTGAGTGGTCCTGACGGTCTGCGCCTTGGCATCGATAGCGTTCTCGGTTGTAGTAATGTTTCTCTCAATGTGGAACAGTTTCCACACCAAGTAGTTGATCAACAGGTTGGCCTATACAGTGAAGGTGCAGTGAGGTTAGAAAGCATCCTTCAACTGGGTACCGGCAAACACCAAATGTCAAAGGCTCATCGCGCGAAATGTACCTTCTCCTCCTCCAAAGTTTCGAAGCGCTCGGCTTCAGCCTTCTGTTCCTGGTACTGCTTGATCTCGGCGTTGATGGTCTTTTTCTTGTGAAAGTTGAAGGTCGAGTTCTCGACAGCACGCTCCTGCTCCTCCTGAAGACGCTCATATTCCTGCTTCAACTCCAACGATCCACTTATTTGCTCGATAAGCTTTGTCAAATCCTTTGGGGACTGAGAAGCGATCGCCTCCACATCACCCTATGTTGACAGCGCAGTATTGGTAAGGTTATTGTTTGACTCAAGATATGACATCATAGAAGAGAATTGGGGATATGATACGCACCTGAAAGACCAGAAAGTTCCTTGCTTTGACAAGAATGTTGATTTCCTGAAGTCGCTTGTCATAGTCGGCATACAACATAACTTTTCCATTGATCTTATACTCGCTGATACCGGCCATATTCACACTAATGGAGGTCAATCACAGAAGAAATGGTTAGCCAACAGTGAACTCGCCAGTGGCTGCATCGAAGGGAAACAAAAAAGGGAAGGTGTAGTTACCTGCGGGTAAACTTGACTTCGGTGCCATCATTCTTTTGATACACTGCCATAACCCAGGTCTTCCTGGGGTCCGCTTCGTTAGACGAGGCAGCTCTGGCATTCTTGCTGGCTCCAGGTCTGACGTTGTCCTCATTGTCGTCTGAGCGGTCCCGATAGATAAGTTCTCTGAGCTGGCTCGATCGTAGCTGACTTGACTTTACTCCCAAAACGAACGAGATAGCATCCATCAAGTTTGATTTTCCTATCAAGTTCAACAGAGCAAACATTCGCAAGTGTGAGAAAATTGGTGGCAAAAGTATTCGATTGAGCCTGGAACCATGTGCTTGTCATCTTCTTCCGAAGCTGATGGCAACACCAATGCAGGGCTTTGAAGTAAAAGTGAAGACTGAGTATGCATACCTGCACCGTTGGGACCGATAACGCAGGTAAAGTCGAGGAAGGGACCGATGGTCTGATGACCCTTGTAGGACTTGAAGTTTTCGAGCTCGATGCGGTGCAGTCTCCCCATCCTGACAGCTGTATTCCTGATGTATGAAAAGAGTGGGCGGTGGTAGTTGTTTGGTTGGTGAGGGGGGACGGGTCTAAGAAGTGTGAGCTGGAGAAGATGGAGTAAGGAGCAGGAGGAAGTGTAAAAAGGGGATGGCGGGAAAGAGACCAGGAAGAGAAAAGTGGCAAACAGGAGGGGAGTTTGTAAACAAATCGAACGCGTTCGCCAGTTTGTGCCTGCTTCTCAACCATTCACCAATTCATTTAGACCGAAAGTGGTGGCGCTGAGACGATCGAGTGACTGCTCTTCTCAAAATTGACCAGTGAGCTTTGTTTACTTTTTTTCTTTTTTTTTGTTGAACTGTGTGCCTTTTTCTTTTTCTTGGTGGCATTCACTCTCCTTGAACCTTTCTCCGTCCAACCACCGTCCTCTTCCTCAACCTCACACCTGTATGTAACAGACTCTGGAACAAGTCGACCTCAACGACTACTTGGCAACTGAACAGGAACCTAGAGAAATCCCTCAGCTGCCCCATTGACCAAACCCACCCTTCTTTCACACTCTCCCATTCCTCCTTTCTAGACTCAGCCAAACCCACACAAACTCACTTTTGCGCCATGGTCGAGATCAACACCATCAAGAACAAGCTCAAGAGAGAGGAGCTCTACCAGAAGCAAAAGAACGCCAAGGCAAAGGCAAAGCGTGACAGACGTACCACCCTCCAAAAGGAAGAGTCCTCCAACCCCGAGAAGAAGGAGGTAACGACAAGGGCTTGGGCCGAAGAATCCTTTATCAACTGCACTTGTAACCACAGTAGACCAAGGATAGATCATTAACCCTATTATTCAATTGGAATAGAAACGTCTGGCTGAGAATGTGCCCAACACACTGGAAAACACCAGGGAATTTGACGAGACCATCGTGGAGGAGGATGCAGAGGTCGCAGCGGACGAGGCAACAGACGAATTCTCACAGTACTTCCAAAACGGACTCACACCAAAGATCCTCATCACCACCAGCAAAGGACCCAGTGCCGTAAGTTTTCTTTCACTGGAGCAGGATCTTGGAAGACCCATTGCTATTTCTTTGGGGCACAATACATGCACTAGGAGGGACAAAAACTAACAAGCGCTTCTTTATTTCTTGTTTGTAAAACTAGTCTGTGTATGAATTCGCTACAGAGCTCGTGGATATCTTCCCCAACACCCACTTTGTAAAACGCAAGGCTCAGTTCGAAATGAAGCACATTATTGAGTTCTCCAAGAACCGCGACTTCACCGACATCATGGTCATCAACGAGGACAGGAAAGAGCCCAGTATGTTCATTCACCTTTTCATGGATCTGACGACTATTGTTTTTTCACATGCAGTCATTGTAAATCAGTGGATCATATCTTATCACATCCAAAGCAGACTACTGACCTCAACATCTTCACATTTCGCCAAAAAAAAATAACTCAATTAGACGGTTTGACGCTGATCCACCTGCCTGACGGCCCCACAGCACATTTCAAGCTGAGCTCGATCCAACTCAGTAAGGACATCGAAGGTCACGGCCGCACATCCTCCCACAAACCAGAGCTGATCCTCAATAACTTCAACACTCGCCTCGGTCACACCATCGGAAGAATGTTCACCACCCTCTTCCCCCACGTCCCTGAGTTCCAGGGTCGTCAAGTTGCGACTCTTCACAACCAGCGTGATTTTATCTTCTTTAGGAGACATCGTTATGTGTTTAAGAACGCAAAGAGGGTCAATTTGCAGGAGTTGGGACCTAGGTTTACTTTGAAGTTGAAGTGGTTGCAGAAAGGAACTTTTGATAGGAAGGGAGAGCATGAGTGGATGTTTAAGCCTGAGATGGAGACCAGTCGTCGTCGTTTCTTCCTTTAAGGAGCATTTTTTTTTTTCATTTCAAAGAGAACAAGAACAACAACAACCATGCATGTACACTACCACCTATTTTTTCAGCATTAAAACCACATCCATCATCATCATGTACATTCTCGTTGTCATGGATATCGGAAAAGAAAGAGGAAAGTCTTCGCCCGAATCGAATTGGAGGAGGCACCCCATCCAAACCACCGCGTTGCTTCAACAGCAACCGATTTACATCTCCAAGACCCACTGCTTCAACCAACACAGTCCTATCCGCCATGAGAACAGGATACCTAGCGCTCCAAATCAACTGCGCCGAGTACAACCCTTCCTCATCGTCATCATTGGCAGCAGCAACGGCACCTTTGAGCTCTTCAGACCCAGCAGTGCCACCCACAATCTGCCATACGCGAACACACCCGTCCTCACAGTCCGTCACAAACTCCAAGCTCTCAGGCCTCCATGCTACACCGTTCACATTCCCACCAAAGCTCATGATCGTAATAGCCTGCGGTCACTTCTCTCTAGGACATTCGCTCGACAACGACAACAACGACAAAGAAGGCGATGACGAGAATATCTTCCAAAGGAGTACCTTCGCTTTATTTCGCCTGAACTTTCTATAGCATCCAATTTGCGTCTCCATAATAACTCTTACTATCAATGTCCAGTTGACCTTTGAGGAACATGGTTGTCGTAATGATCCATATCGCCCCTCATGTCTTCTTACTAAGTCATCCTATCATAACAAGAAAAAAGATGGGTTACTATCATTGCACCCAAAAAGGCATTCTTCTTCTTGCCCTGGAAAGTACACCCGCGCCCATAACCTCTAAGGAAAAAGAAACAACCAACAACGATATGCACCCACAAATACAAGACACCGCCTCACCCCTTCCTAATCATCCAACAGAACAAGAACAAATCCGGGAGAGGCGTGCTACCTGTCTTAAACCCCAACCGAGACGAAGCCCCTGTCATAAACAAAAGGCCTCGTAGTTCTCTTTGGAAGCCAGTGCCGCCAGCCTCAAAAAGGAAGCTGGAAGTGCGCTTTCGCTGGTTCGGTAGTCCATGTCAAGCAGAATGAAAAGGAAATGACAAGAGGTGCCTCCCGTTTATGGATGGATGGCGTCTCTGTTTGTTCTTTGTCCCAGCATTGAGGTGGAAAGGAATGAGGATACTTTCCTTCGATGTTCCAGGAAGCTTGTTGGTAGCTGTTGGTAGCGGGTGGATGATGATAACGGTTGTATCCAGCGTGATGAAAGGTGAGAAGCAGGTAGTGAGTGGCGTATTGGTAAAGGGAAAACGGACAACTGGGAAGAAATAATAGGCGTGAAGAGGTGAAGAGACTCATGATCATGTGACCCATCCATGTACGAACTTGCAGAAAGATGGGAAGGGCCTGTGCATTGCGCATGAAATCTGCCCCTTTCTCATGCCTGTGGTGGCAAAGGAAAGGAAGGAAGCCCCTAGCGTCAATTGAACATGTTCTCTCTATAAAAACCGACTTTGTCGTTGTTCTCTTTTCTCTTTCACGTCAACACCTCCTTCCAAAATGGCATCAACCATCCACAGCAACGAGCAACCTTCTCTGCAACACGAACAGCAACAAGAACAGCAACCACCAAAGTCAAAAACAATTGAGACATCTCCACCTTCGCAAGAACGCGCCTCAGGAACGCCAGAAGAAGAGCCTCATCACTCGCCAGCAGAAGAAGAGCCCCATCGCTCGCCTCCAGTTGCCACACAAAATGCAAAAGACAAGGCAGGGACTACAACGACACAGGGTCCTTCAATCAAAGTCGCCCCTCCTCCTCTCCTCACCACCGTCCCCATCAATGTCCCTCAAGGATACGTTGTGCCGTACAAAGTACCTTCATAGTCCAAAGTGGACATGCGAATGAAAAAAAAAAAAAAAGAAGTTATTAGGTCGCAGGTCTTTTGCCGTGGTTCAGCTCATCCACGTAACGAACAACTCAAATTAACGTGCGCGTTCTTTTTCTTATGCACTGCAACAACAAAGAGGTATCGCAACTGGATGGGAAAGAAGACCTACGACGTCGTGCGACCGATCGCTGCTGTAAGTCATTTCCTGAAACAAGATAACAGAAAGACAACGTCGCTTTTGTGAGCATTTGAACTCATGCAAGGCTGTTACGTAAACAATATAGGGCGGATATGGGTCGGTACTCAAAGTTCAGTTGGACGATAAACTCTACGCTCTGAAGGTCTGTGATGCTGATGATCCCAACAAGAAGGACAGTGTAAGTCGAAAGGGACGAGTTCAATTGCTTCACGTTTGGCTCTCAGTTGATCCCAACAATGTCCGATTGTCTTCGCTTGTCTTTGAATTAGTACGACCGCGAGGCCAAAGCCTTGAGGAGGACGAACAACTGTCACATCATCAAATTACATGCAGCATTTCAGGAGCGTGGACATTTATGCCTAGCACTCGAGCTTGCAAACAAGGTACCTGAAAAGTGTCAATGGAATGGATGGTATATGATATTGTATCTACATTTTATTAACACGCATTGCGTTCTCTTTTCGCGACAATAGAGTTTGGAGGACGTACTGCGACAAACAAAACGACTCTCACTCGACGACGCCAAGCACTACGCGCGAGGGATTGCTGCTGGCCTTGACTACCTCCACCAAGAGTCAATTGTCCACCGAGATATCAAACCCAACAACATCCTGTTATTCGGCGTTGATTCTCGGGACGTCAAGCTAGCAGACTTTGGCCTCGCCGTCCGTCTTGATGGCAAAAGAAAGACGATCCGGTAGGCTCTAGTCATTGGTTTGGACGCGTTTTATTATTTTTTCCTCTTGTGCGTTTGTCATTAACAATGTTCATCATATCATCTTCGAAACCATAGGGGAGCATGCGGGACGGACGACTATCAAGCACCAGAGATGTCAGGAAGTGCACCCTACAGCTCTCAAGTAGACGTGTATTCATTTGGAGTGACAATGTATAGAATGGTCACCGGCAAACTGCCTAGGGGTCGCCTCGCTTGGATGTGAGTATCTTTACGCTACAGCACCATACTAACATCTACAACTATTAGTCCGCTCACTCGCAACTTTTTCTTCCTTTGCATAATAGACAAGGGATCGCAGCAAAGGCCTTCTTTGAGCAAGTTCTCCACAAGAACCCGGACGTGCGCTTTGATATACAGCAAGCAAAGGTTCACACCTTTCTTCAGGTTGATCAGAATGGAGGAGAACAAAGCACAGAGGACAGCATCGGATCTTCATTGGGCAAGCGACCATCAGAGGCGACCTTGGCGGAACGGGAGGAAAAGCGCGCTCGCCAAGATGCTCCAAACCCTCGAGAAGAAGATAGGGACAACGATTCACGAACGGTCGGTCGTGCAAGCACCTTGCCTATTTTCATAATTACAAAGACGACCACCTCAAAGGAAGATAAACCTGTCCACTCTCTTTGAGGAACTGTTTTTCTTCCCCGATACCCTTATGTTCATACAATAAACAACTATTTGCACTTTAGTTCCGAGCGAAGAGGTATCTGAGGATAACAGGAGGGCGACACTGAAACGTTGCGAGCAGGGATGATGATCAGTAAGTGGTCCCGCTGGTAGCGTCATCTATGGTGTGTGTCAGCGAAAGGGGTCTAGAGGTGCTGTTGCTCTTGTTTTTGTTGATTGTTGTTACTGTGCTGTTGTTGTTTCTTCGGTGAGAGGCGTCGCTGAGTGAGCGTAATGAGCTGAAACCAACTCGAGGAAATGGGTTTGTAAGAGATACGAGGTGCTCGAGTTCCAGAATGTGGCGAGATGGAAGGAAGGAGATGGGAGAAGGGTGGAATGAGTGATGGTTGAAGGTGACTTACCGGAGGTGAATGAGGAAAATGACGAAGAGAAGAGGAGAAGAAGTTGAGCCGAGAGAAATATAAAAGAAAGCCTTCGCCTTTGTTGTTGTGTGTTCGTCAAGAAGGGGAAGAAGGCAGTAGTTAAAGTTGAAGGCAAGAGACATATATAAAAAAAAAGGTCTGACACGATGTCAGACATGATTTCTCAGGAACAATGTTTCGGTCGTTGGCGAAGACGTTGTGAGAAAAGGGTGGAGGAGAAATGGCCTTCTCTGAAAGAAAGGTAATAAAGGCAACGTTGATGAGTCAAGCAACGCTATTGGCCTTCTCTTTCGACAAGTCTGGCAGGCTCTTAACATAATACCTTCGCTTTATTTCGCCTGAACTTTCTATAGCATCCAATCTGCGTCTCCATAATAACTCTTACTATCAATGTCCAGTTGACCTTTGAGGAACATGGTTGTCGTAATGATCCATATCGCCCCTCATGTCTTCTTACTAAGTCATCCTATCATAACAAGAAAAAAGATGGGTTACTATCATTGCACCCAAAAAGGCATTCTTCTTCTTGCCCTGGAAAGTACACCCGCGCCCATAACCTCTAAGGAAAAAGAAACAACCAACAACGATATGCACCCACAAAAACAAAACACCGCCTCACCCCTTCCTAACCATCCAAAAGAACAAGAAAATACGGTGTGGGCGAGCCGCCTGTCTTAAACCCCAACCGAGACGAAGCCCCTGTCATAAACAAAAGGCCTCGTAGTTCTCTTTGGAAGCCAGTGCCGCCAGCCTCAAAAAGGAAGCTGGAAGTACGTCATCGCCGGTTCAGAAGTCCATGTCAAGCAGAATGAAAAGGAAATGACAAGAGGTGCCTCCCGTTTATGGATGGATGGCGTCTCTGTTTGTTCTTTGTCCCAGCATTGAGGTGGAAAGGAATGAGGATACTTTCCTTCGATGTTCCAGGAAGCTTGTTGGTAGCTGTTGGTAGCGGGTGGATGATGATAACGGTTGTATCCAGCGTGATGAAAGGTGAGAAGCAGGTAGTGAGTGGCGTATTGGTAAAGGGAAAACGGACAACTGGGAAGAAATAATAGGCGTGAAGAGGTGAAGAGACTCATGATCATGTGACCCATCCATGTACGAACTTGCAGAAAGATGGGAAGGGCCTGTGCATTGCGCATGAAATCTGCCCCTTTCTCATGCCTGTGGTGGCAAAGGAAAGGAAGGAAGCCCCTAGCGTCAATTGAACATGTTCTCTCTATAAAAACCGACTTTGTCGTTGTTCTCTTTTCTCTTTCACGTCAACACCTCCTTCCAAAATGGCATCAACCATCCACAGCAACGAGCAACCTTCTCTGCAACACGAACAGCAACAAGAACAGCAACCACCAAAGTCAAAAACAATTGAGACATCTCCACCTTCGCAAGAACGCGCCTCAGGAACGCCAGAAGAAGAGCCTCATCACTCGCCAGCAGAAGAAGAGCCCCATCGCTCGCCTCCAGTTGCCACACAAAATGCAAAAGACAAGGCAGGGACTACAACGACACAGGGTCCTTCAATCAAAGTCGCCCCTCCTCCTCTCCTCACCACCGTCCCCATCAATGTCCCTCAAGGATACGTTGTGCCGTACAAAGTACCTTCATAGTCCAAAGTGGACATGCGAATGAAAAAAAAAAAAAAAAGAAGTTATTAGGTCGCAGGTCTTTTGCCGTGGTTCAGCTCATCCACGTAACGAACAACTCAAATTAACGTGCGCGTTCTTTTTCTTATGCACTGCAACAACAAAGAGGTATCGCAACTGGATGGGAAAGAAGACCTACGACGTCGTGCGACCGATCGCTGCTGTAAGTCATTTCCTGAAACAAGATAACAGAAAGACAACGTCGCTTTTGTGAGCATTTGAACTCATGCAAGGCTGTTACGTAAACAATATAGGGCGGATATGGGTCGGTACTCAAAGTTCAGTTGGACGATAAACTCTACGCTCTGAAGGTCTGTGATGCTGATGATCCCAACAAGAAGGACAGTGTAAGTCGAAAGGGACGAGTTCAATTGCTTCACGTTTGGCTCTCAGTTGATCCCAACAATGTCCGATTGTCTTCGCTTGTCTTTGAATTAGTACGACCGCGAGGCCAAAGCCTTGAGGAGGACGAACAACTGTCACATCATCAAATTACATGCAGCATTTCAGGAGCGTGGACATTTATGCCTAGCACTCGAGCTTGCAAACAAGGTACCTGAAAAGTGTCAATGGAATGGATGGTATATGATATTGTATCTACATTTTATTAACACGCATTGCGTTCTCTTTTCGCGACAATAGAGTTTGGAGGACGTACTGCGACAAACAAAACGACTCTCACTCGACGACGCCAAGCACTACGCGCGAGGGATTGCTGCTGGCCTTGACTACCTACACCAAAGGTCAATTGTCCACCGGGATATCAAACCCAACAACATCCTGTTATTCGGCGTTGATTCTCGGGTAGTCAAGCTAGCTGACTTTGGCCTCGCCCTCTGTCTTGATGGCAAAAGAAAGACGATCCGGTAGGTTCTAGTCATTGGTCTGGACGCGTTTTATTATTTTTTCTTGTGCATTTGTCACTAACAATGTTCATCATATCATCTTCGAAACCATAGGGGAGCATGCGGGACGGACGACTATCAAGCACCAGAGATGTCAGGAAGTGCACCCTACAGCTCTCAAGTAGACGTGTATTCATTTGGAGTTGCACTGTTCAGGATGGTTACCGGTAGTCTGCCTAAAGGTCGCCTCGCACGGATGTGAGTACCTTAATGCTACAGCACCAAACTGAGATCTACAACTATTAGTCCGCTTACTCACAACTTTTTCTTCCTTTGCATAATAGACAAGGGATCACAGCAAAGGCCTTCTTTGAGCAAGTTCTCCACAAGAACCCGGACGTGCGCTTTGATATACAGCAAGCAAGGGCTCACACCTTTCTTCAGGTTGATCAGAATGGAGGAGAACAAAGCACAGAGGACAGCATCGGACCTTCATTGGGCAAGCGACCATCAGAGGCGACCTTGGAGGAACGGGAGGAAAAGCGCGCTCGCCAAGATGCTCCAAACCCTCGAGAAGAAGATAGGGACAACGATTCACGAACGGTCGGTCGTGCAAGCACCTTACCTATTTTCACAACTACAAGGACCATTACCTCAAAGGAAGAGAAACCTGTTCACTCGTACTGATGACCTGTTTTCTTCCTCGATACTCATATATTCATACAATAAACAAGCTGATCCATCTTCTTTTTGTTCTTGATGCGTGCGCCTAATTTCACTGCCACGGTCGTGTCTCTTTGTATTTTCGCGTTTGACCATGGGTCGATTTATCTCTTCCTTTCATTCCCTTCACATACCACCTCCTTGCTAAACGCCCGTTTTTCGAAAATAAAATAAGCGTTCGAGGTTTTTAAAGTTGTCCTCTTCAGTTCTATTTTCTCTCCTCCAGAATACTCTAGAAAACTGCAATTACTTAACAAAAAGCCATACAAAAAAGACGTTGCCATTGTTCCCTTCATGCTTCCACCCTTCTTTCCCCATGGACCAGTGCTCCCTCTGAACACGCCGTCTACCGATGGTTTACCTTTATCCTGTTGGTCATCATGAATATCGTCTATTTTTAGACATATAGGGTACGGCCATTGAACCCATCGCTACATCAAAGTTCCAAAGGTTTTATCGCCTCCCGACCCTGGCAACAAAACAGTGGGAGAGCAGGTACGTAGGTATCAATGCTGCGCTTTTGAATAAAGGTCAATTGACCAATACATGATGAAGAGAAAAAAATTCACTCCAATATCATTCGTGAAGTACAGCTCTCCGCCCCCGTAAATGAAATCCTACTACCATTTGCATTAACATAACGTGGTCAAAGTACATCCACGGGTCGCCGCCTGTGAAGGTCAAAAGGTGTGTGTCTAAAAATTGGAAATTGCCAAGGAGGAAGTCATCATGGAAGCCGTAAGACATGAAAAGGAGCGCATGAATACATGTCAATTGAAAGTGCGCGTTTGCTTTGAACATTTTTATTTCCGTCAATAAATTAACACTTCTGCCTTGCCTTTCTGCTTCCAGTTCATCATAGCGAGAAAGATAGGACGATGTCGTTTGACTCAGATTTAGATTTATGTATCCTCGAAGTTGGTGGCTATTTAAATATTTAAATGGCATGGCCTACTACCTTACCTCGACAATCGTTCATTTTCTTTTCTTTGTTTACTATCGCCTGTAAGGTCCTCGACCAAGAATAATTTCCGTCTCCCTCTTTCACGATCTAGCAAACCGCGATCTGTCTCTTTCTTTCTTTCTTCTATACTCTACGCGACAATGACAAAGAAAGACGTGATCGACGAGAATAAGATTAAAGATGGTCACCCATGATTGGCTACCCCCGTTCGCCCATATTCTTTTTAAGCTTACATGCCTCATTCTTCTGTTCCAGGAAAAAAAAATGTAGAACATGCTCCATTCGCTTCCGAATACTGTCGGAGTGCATGGCGCATAGGGCATGCAAAGCTGCGCTTATCGATATACACTCCTCGGGAGGGCGATCTTTTCTTTGGTCTGTGTGTGTTTCTGTGGGGAAGGGGCGGGTGGGGCGAGGCTTCATTTTGGATCCATTCGGTCCAACAGAACACTAATTTTTCGCAATCTGAGCGTGCAGCAAAAAAAGCTAGAAATAAAGAAAAGGGCGATGGATCGGTCAGGGACAAAAAAGATATAAAAAGGGGACAGACAGGCATTTGCCCTTTTCTGATCTCTTTTCTCTTTTGTTACCGCCCACAGCAACAGCAGGCAACTGAAAGCAGCCCAACATGTCAAAGACAGAAGTCGACACCGTCGCCAACAAGCACGATGACAGGATCTCCGAGAAACATATCCCCTACCCGTCACCCTCCGATACAACAACCGTCGACTTCCCCTCCTCACTACCCACAACCACAACCCCTCCCTCTGATCCCTTCGACACCCCCTTAACCCCCCTAAACGAATTCGAAGACTCGACCAACCTCCCCCAAAACCTCACCCTCTTCCAAATCTTCACTCTATTCTTCCTCCACTTCGGCCTCCACGCCTGGGGAGGCTCCGTAGCCCAAATCGCGCTCCTCAAAACCGAACTCGTCCAGAAGCGTCGTTGGATTACCGTCACCAGATTCAACCGCGTCTATGCAGTTTACCAAATGCTCCCCGGTCCCGAAGCCGCCGAGATTTGTATGTTCTTTGGGTGCCTTGTCGGCGGGCGGTGGGGTGGGATTGTGGCCGGGTTGGGATTTATTTTGCCGGGCTTTATGGCTATGGTCCTACTGAGTTACGTGTACACGATTGTAGGACTGGACAATGTGTACTTTAACGCATCCTTTAGGGCCCTTCAGCCAGTCGTGGCCGCCATGGTGCTCCGTGCAGTCTTCCAAATCGGTCAACACGTCTTCATATCCAGCAAGACCAAAACCTTCAACAAGGTCCTTTTCATCCTCGCCATCCTGGGAGCCCTGCAATCCGCCCTCCGAATCAACTACTTCATCACTCTCGGAGTCTTTGGGATCTTTTACAACTTTTACACCCGCGGATGGCGTTGGGCCGCAGGAGCCGTCATGTTCCTCAACTATACAGGCTACATCCTCTACGTCATCTTTAAGGGCGTCCCCTCCCCAACATCCCTCGCCCTCGGAATCGCAACCGTCCCCGACATGCCCCACCTCCTCGCCCTGGGCCTCGTCGCTGGCTCCTTATCCTTCGGAGGAGCCTACACATCCATCCCCTTCATTCAAGCAGAAGCCGTCATCCTCGGCGGGTGGCTCGCAAAACAAACCTTCCTCGACGGCATCGCCCTCGGAAACATCATCCCCGCACCTTTAGTCATCTTTTCCACTTTCGTGGGCTTCCAGGGCGGACACACCTACGGCGAGGGAAGTCTCGGCTACGCATTCGGAGGCTGTGCCCTAATCACCTTAGGAATGTTCCTCCCCTGCTTCATATTCACAATCATGGGCCACTCGCTGTTAGAACGGATCTGCAGGAACGAGACCATGGCCTCCTTTTTTGACGGGATCACTGGTTCCGTCGTCGGGATCATCGCCATCACCGCCTTGGACATCCTAAAAGCATCCGTCGTCCACCTTCCAAAACCCGGTGTAGTCCTGGATGGCGAAGAGTGGCTACTGTTGGCTGCACAGAATACATTGAGCGCTGTGATCTTTGTGTTGGCGTTCATGGCGTTGAATAGTTTTAGGCATCAGTATTTGAGTGTGTTGTTGGTCCTTGTTGCTGCCATTGCTGGCCAATTCCTGTTCGTTTAGAACAAAGTATTTCCATTATGTCCTCTTCCTTTTTTTTTTGTCTGTCTTTTTCTCTTCTTTTTTTTCCAACCCATTCCATTGCTGCATATTATATTTTTTTTTTTTTTTCATACTCATAAAAACAACATTAATAATCGAAAAGAGTTCAGATCACTTCCTACCTGTTCTCCTTGTTCAAGATTCTCGATGATATCGATGATAATAGTGATGATGGCGATGATGATGAATGGAACTCTTGTTGTTGGTTCTAGACCGGCAGTGTCCACAAAACTATGTCAACACACGTACATCTTGTCAGGTAAAACTCGTTCCTGAAAAATGACAAAAGAAAAAAACGCCACCAACTCGTACAATCTCTTCATCCAAAATCACGCGTCTAGATGATCCTCTCGTTCAGAGTACCATACAACCACAAGCAACCTCATTACGATTTTCCCGTTTCAGAAAACGCGTCTGTTAACCTTTATGAACTGAGATGGTATAAAGCTCATCTCTTTTCTTTGAAACAAACAGAGAAAAAAAAAAAAGAAAAAAAAAGTAAGAAAAGAAAAAAACAATGAGCCGTCAGGAGTAACACTACAATGATCACTATCTAGAGGCCACCATGCAACTTGTCTTTATCCTGTTGCTGTTGCTGCTCCTCTGTGACAGTTGAAGTCGATCGGTCGTCAAATCCTCCAGTAGGCATGGTCCACCCAAACGGATTGAACTGTAGACCATATCCAAACACATCCGCCTCAGATCCTCCTGTAGTAGCATTGTTCGTGGATCCAAGCGCAGAGCCGCTGGTGGACTGTTGGAGTGTTCGTGAGCCTTGGCCGAACCCATGTCCGTATCCTTGGCTTTGATCCTGGTTGTGATGCTGTTGACCATACCCAAGTCCTGGTGCCACAGATGACGCCTTGGGGGCTCCGGTGTTATCCACGGCAGACGAGGTCGACAACGGGTGCTTCAATGACGACAAGAACCCAGCAGACGACAACGACGAAGGTGTCTCGTATCCACGGTGGCCACGGTTGCTGAAGTACTGGTCCGCAAACGCATGTGCATCGACTGGCAAGGGTGTACCCATATCCAGCGACGATCCAGATGATCCTGTAGGACTGGGAAGAATACCGTTCTCCATCGAAACACCTCCATATCCTGATCCCGTACCAGGTCCGCCCCAGAAACCGCGGTCAGCGGGTAGAGTCTTTCGAGGACCAAATGCCGACGACGCATTGCTCTGTGAGAACGAGGTCGCTCCATGGGGGGAGGTTGGCGAAGAAGTGTCCGAAATGTTCAGCGAACTGGAACTACCCTCAGCCTGGCTGTTCATCCTGCCCAGCGAGCCTGGTCTGCCAATGACACGATGATCCCAATGTTGGAAGGGTGCGTGGGTAGCAGTAGTTGGTGACGACAAAGGCGAGGACGTTCCAGGAGTCGAGATCGATCGAAGGTGGGAAGGCAGAATTTTGGCCTGAGTTCCCAGCGAGGAATGGCTTCCGACTGTCCGTAGATGATGGCGAAGGTCCAAGGTATCGGGCGACTCGAACATCGACTTGATCACATTCTGTTCGTTCATTTGATGGTTATTCAGGCTGCTGTTGCCCTCATATCCAAGAGTATCAGTCGAGATCGAAGGTGGCCCGAAAAAGTTGTGATAGTTGAACGTAGGGCTAGAAGTCGCATTCGTAGATCCCTTGGTGTCCAGATCTACCAATGGCGAGCGGCCGCCTGCCCCAACGGGTGCAGCGATGGGTCCAGATACGTTCTTGAGCGCACTGGATCCGGCGGCGCCCCAGGGAGAAGGAGCATGCGGGATAGGAGGCGAATGTGAGGATCCAATTCCTTGAAAGCGAGTACGAGGGCTCACGCCATGAGTCTGTGGCTTCTGAGAGCCATTGTGGAGAGTCGACTGCCGGTTCTGTTGGTACTGCTGATACGGTTGATTGCTGGCGTTGGTATCCTGATGGGACTGGTATGCATGATTCGAAAAGGCAAACGGCGAATCAAACAATGGCGACTGGAATCCATTAAAGGACGAAATGGAGGACGTCCTTGAGCGTGTTCCTTGACGCGGGTCCGACGACTCTTCTCCAAAGACATTTGTTCCTGCTCCTGGTACTGTTGTTGCAGAGGCTGATGACGAAGATGATCCCGAGCCCCCGTCAACTAAAAGGTACTCAGACGACATGATAGAAGAGGACCTTGGGCGCGCACCCCAGCCTGACTTAAGACGCTGCTGCGTCTTGGGCGGTCCGACAATGGCTTGGCTGTTGATCATCGAGGGTGATCCAGAGGTACCAATTGCACCTTGCAGTCCAGTTTCCTTGCCGTCCCGTCCATATCTTGAAAGAACACCATCCATCATCAAGGCCGAGCCAGGATCCAAGGGCGAAGAATCTCTGCGGGTCAGACCGGGTGGTGGGCCAGTCATCTTCCGCGCGGGTGAAGGTCTCACATCAGGCAGGGCCGGATCGTCCTGAAACAGTCCGTTCAAGATCTTGGTGCCGGGGCTCTGGTTCCATCCAGCATTCATCCAGCTCGATCCATGACCCTGATGCTGGAGTTCCGGGAGTGGAGAGGCAGCGGTCGCATGGCTTTCATCAGGCGAGACCCGAGCGTTGGCCTTTCTCAGCTCTGCCTGAGCTTTGCGGTGGTCATGAGCGGCGCGGACCTTGATGACGTTCTTAGTTGCCTCTGCCAAACGTTCCTGCAATTGCTGGTTTTCTTGTTTGTACTGAGCAACTTCCTCGGCAAGAAGAGCACACTTGACATCCAAATCCTTGCTCTTTTGCTCCCAGATGAGATGTTCCTTGGGCGACTGAAGCGATGCTTGAAGCTGCGAAAGTTCCACCTCCTTGGCCTCTATGGTGCTGCAGAGTGTTTTCTGGGACGCCTGCAATGCCTTGAGGGACGACTCGGTCGCCGCCACTTCCTCCTGTCGTCTCTTGAGGTTAGCCTCAAGCTCGAGCCGTTGTTTCCGGTGAGACTCTTTCTCCACCTTGAGTTTCTCCTCGCTCTGCTTGAGGGTCTGCTGCAAATTCTCGACTTTCCTCTGCTTGGCCTCGAGTTGTCCAGCTATCCTCTGTCGCTTGTCGACCTCCATTCGATGTTCCTTCTCGACCTTGCTCTTGTTGACTTCGGCCTCCCGAAGACTGTCCTGCAGTTCCTTAAGCTTGGTCTTGGCATGCTGACGGGGTTCATCCTCCTGTTTCTGTTGTTCCCGAAGCGCAGCAATCTCGTTCTTGAGGTTTTCCTCCTGTTGCCTGTACTGCTTCTCGAGATTGGTGAACTGTTGGTTCAGCATGGCATGAGAAGACTCCTTTTCCTCCAGCTCGATCCTCAGCGCAGCAATCTGCTCATCTGTCACAACTGCTGCCGTCGGAATAGGTGCCACTTGTTCTGCAGACGCAATGACATGGACGGTGGCGCTGGGGGGACTTGTCGGGGTGCTGTTATTGTTGATGTTGGCTGAGGCAGTTGCAGTCACAGACGAACTCAGGCTAGAAGCTGACGTATTCCCGTTGCTGAAGAGGCTGCCTGGATCTTGAGCTGGCGCAGTCGTCTCGGACTTTTCCGTACTCGCACTGTCCTCCTGACTAGCTGTTGAATTTTCTAGACCCTGAACCTTGGTCGTGTGCTGCGGATCCTTGTTCTCCTCAATAGATTTCTTTGCCAGTTCACTTTCCCGTCGAGCGCTCTCTACTATAATAGGCGGAATAATGAAAAAGGGTGAGAGGGAGAGAAGGGAGAAAAGGGAGGAGGGATAGAAAGGGAGAAAAACAAGGAATTAAATGTTAGAGAAAATGTTCACGCAATCCGGTCCTGTTTTGTATTGTTTTGTTTTTCTCCTTGCAAGCAATAGTGGAACACTATCGCAAGTCCTTGCACTCGAGAAAGAAGAAACTTACCAGAGCTGAGCTCAAGTTCGATAGGGACGGACGCTAGTGTCCGAACGACGACATAGTCGCTAGGGGTTTTCCAGTTACGGGTAGTAATAGCCCAGAGTCGGATCCGATAGGTGTTGTCTGGGTAGAGCCCCTGGATTACGACGCTGGTCTCCTGCTTTCCACTCTCGCCAATCAACAAGCCATCGATTTCAATCAAGTGTTTCGAGATGGTTGCCTGGGAAGAGCATTGCCAATTGAGGGTGATACTCCTGTCCTTGACCTCCTTGAGGGTAACGAGTGATGGTGCCGGTAGCGTAATCCCGAAAAAGTCCCGAAGGTCGTCTGTTGAAGCATGAAGGTATCCAAAGAGATCGTAAAGGAGCCAAAGGACACCAAAGGCTGAACAAAAGGCTGCCAGCGGTGCCAGAAAGACGATTGAGGGAACCGTCGGTGGGTTCAAGGCAGCGATGAGGGTCTGCCGTTCGAGGTATGGCTTGAGCATGTACATGGTCATGGCGAGGATGACGCCCTTGAGGTTGAGGCCGTGGATCAGACTGACCATGAGGCCAAAGGCGACTCCTGTAGCAAAGGGCGACGTGAAACTGAAGGGGACGGTGTAGAAAACAAAGGCGTTGGCGAGGCACATGGCTCCGATGGAGATGAGGACGATGGGCCCGCCGATGAAGAAGATGCGAAAGACTAGGGCGAGGATAAAGTAGAAGAGGAAGAACCACTCGATAGGCAGCTGCAGCAGGATGTCGAGAAGGATGGTCAGGGACCAAAACAAGATGCAGGCAGCCGCGCGGTGCCTATAAATTAAAGAGAACATATGACAGTGTTAGTCATGTCAAACAGTTTGGTTTGTGTCATCTTAGGCTGTAACCGTGGAACCTTCGGCTCTGAACAAGGAACCAACCCAACATAATAACGACAATAATAAGCATTTTGGATCCAAAATTGTTGAGTAGGTCCACATTTGATTGTTGTTTTTACAGTTTATCCTGTCTATCCGTCTGCATCTGCAAATGCTTACCGGGAGAGTAGTTGGAAGGTCCTGTCGGCAATATCATAGTGGCCAATGTACTTTTTCGGCTTGGGTATCGTCGCATGGACTGGCGTCCGCTGGAACCCAGACAAGGTCGACGCTGAAGCCGCTGGTGATGATGATGCTTTGTTGTTGTTATATGAGGAAGAAGTGAAAGCGGAGGTCGTGGAAGGGGAAGAGTTGGATGATCCCGATGAAGGGTCGTACGCTCCTCGCTTGTTATTGTGGCTATTGCCGTTGCTGGAGGAGGAGGAGGCAAGGGCCGACATGGCTGCGGAAGACGACTTTGACTTGTCAAGAGACGACGGCAGACACAGACGGGGCTGAGCTTGCTGCTTTTTTTGCTTAGAAAAGTTAATGAAGATGTACAAGTTGGGATGGAGGTGGGGGAAGAGGAAGTAGCGAATGACAAAGTTGACACTCCTTTGGGAGCATGGTCAGCCGGGGAGAGGCGAAGTGAGGAAGAGAAAGGGATGCAAGGGTGAATAGAAGAAGTAAGAAGGTAGCGAATAAAGCAGGCTGATTAGCTGTGAGGGATGGAAGGAGAAGGAAGGAAGGAAGGAAGGAAGTGAATGTAAATAAGGGAAAAATGAAGTGGTGGCAACGATAAAAAAAAAAAAAAAAAAAAAAAAAAGGGAAAGGGAAAGGGAAAGGGAAAGAGAAAGAGAAAGAGAAAGAGAAAGAGAAAGAGAGAAAGAGATGTGTGTCCCTGGGAACAGATGCAACGGAAAATAAAGAAAAGGAGCGTGGAAGAGTGATCCGAGTCAAGGTATGTGTTTATGATCGTGAGAGAGGGTGGATGGCATGCAACGAATAAAACGAGAAGAGGTCGAGTGGTGAGGATAGTGCACCGTTGGGAGGAGAAAAGCGGAGGGTGGTGTGGGTGTGGGTGTGGAGTGGTGTGGTAATCGCCTACTGTTGTTGTTGAACAAACAAAGCTAAAAAATAATGAAAAATAAAAAGAAACAGAAAAAAGATCGAATCCCTTCTTTTCCTCTTTGTGTTCAGAGGAAGGAAGATTGACTCGCTTGCAATGAGGATCAACAATGGGAGAGAATGGGTGGGTAAAGAGGCAAGAAGGGTGATTGCACTGCCAAGGAGAAAAAATAAAAAATATAAACGAGAGAGAAAAAGAGAGACAAGCAGGAACTAAGCTAAAGAATCACTCCGTCTCCCGTCCGTCTCCCGCAGGATGAATGCAGGTTGGACCAAAACTCAGCTCACCCAGCTCACCCTGCTCACTTTGCTCTGGCTTTCACAGGCCGATCCCATATCCCAGGCATTGAAAAAAAAAGGGTCCTACAAATGAGCTTTATTTCCTACAGAACGTGGAAGTAACGAACGACGATCATTTTAAAAGTTGCCCAATCCAAGAGCTCAGAGCTTGGCTCGGATAAGGCTGGGAGGAGCAGACCCTTGCACAAACAGCTCAGGTGTAAAAGTACCATGGAACCCAAACGGGACATGGTGCTTCAATCCAATCGTCGCCAACAATTCCATCGTCTGAGCATCCAGCACCGCAAAGTCCGTCGTCTTTCGCTTGGGATGGTACACCTGCACAACCACAAATCCATCATCTTCCTTGCGCTGATCCACCTCTCCAACAACCGCATATCCACCACGAGGGATAAAACAGGGCTCGCCCGTTACACCTTCACTCTGCCAAAACTTGGTTCCCTGTCCATGGAGGTCGTGCTTCAAGACTGCGGTGTAGTAATGGGGACGCTTGGGGTCACTCGACGCCATCATGTACGTGAACCTAGTATCCTGACCATGGCGATAAGGATGGACAGCAGGGAACTCGACCGAAGCTGAATGCAAGACTGTCTGGTAGACCAATGGTCTTTTGGACCAAACTTTGTCGTTTGACGCATTGTTAGCATCTCCAAACCGGACCTTGAATCCAGTCAACAGACCAGGTGCCTTGGACGCATTGCTCAACCACGTCTTGTTCTCAAACTCCATGTTGAACTTCTTGCCCAAACAGACAGCCGTCAAGTCCAAGCCCACAACACGGTCTTTCTCAACCAACTCTTGAACATTGCCAAAATGGAAAATGTGGCACGGTTCAGGAATGTCCGCCTCGATCCAGGAGCGACCACCCAGGATTTGGTCGGCGACTTGAGGAGTACGAGCAATGATCACCAGGCGGCAGGGCAGGTGCTCGTAGTAGCGCATGGCATCACCGGGTGAAGACAGGCCCAAGAAGAACTTGTACACATCGGCTGTCGATATGTTGACAAAGGGTGTGATCTGCACAATGTAAAAGTTCTTGCTCAGCAGCAAATCGTGAGCATAGTTCAATCCCGGGATATGGAACGTCTATATTTATGTATTTCGAAGCATAGAACAGATGCAAGTGAATAAGTAATTGAGTTGATATGAAAGATATTGAAACCGAGAAAGAAAGGCGCATACCTGGAGACTCTTGACAGCCCACTGACGACCATACTCGTTGATCTGAAGTGAAGGCAGTCGGTTGACTCCAGCCTTGGCAGACATGGTTACAAGACGGTCCATGAATGGATCATAACGGAAGTGAGCGCCCAATACATTGAGCTGAAGAGTGCCGTCCAACGTCTCTTCACCAATAGTCTCCAGCGTCATCGGGTCCAAGCAATGGGGAAGACCTGCAGATAGGATAAGCGTGAAAGCGTGAAAGATGTTAGCTGCCATATTCATGATTTCAACTGAGAACACACAAACGCGGCGCGTAGAATAAAGAACAAAGAGACGGCGATGGCGACATACTGGTTTCGTGAGCACTGAGCACTTTGCCCTAAAAAGAATGCATGTTTTGGTCAGCAAAACCTTGACCCTTGGTGGTTCTGTGGAGGGAAAGGCCTCCCAACAAACAAAGGGTAACAACAATAACAAGACACATACCTCCCACATGTAAACATTAGTATTAGATGGGTTCCTAAACGTCAAGACCGTGGAACTCTTCTCCCACCCAATCTTGGCCTTGACCAAAGCCGCAATGTTGGACTTGAAGCTATTAGGATCAGTCCCCATCTGACCACGATAAATCATCTTCTGGGCAGCCTTCTCCTCAACACGGTGACGCGATTGGACGAAACGCGAGTTGAAGTGGACGTGTCCGTCACCGGGGAAGGACAAGGCGACGATGAGACCGTCTCCGTCGATGGGGTGGATCAACTTTGTGGAGCCGACGCTGTCGTTGCCTGGGCCTAATTCCCGATAGAGTTATTTTTCGATAGAGTGGAGTTTAGAATTATGGGCCAGTGAGACGTTTTTTGTGCGGGTAGAAACGAGGAGGGCGAATGAAGGCATGTCACTGGCGGGCCGGGATTGCGGGTGAACTTGGTGTTGTTCATGCTCGTGTTCCGCGAGATAAAACGATTGTGGAGTAAAAAAAAAGGTTCTCGGAGGTGGGAGAGTTATTGTGTACTGAAAAAAAAAAAATTGACACGCCCACGCGCCCACGCACCCACTCTTTCTCGGATCGGTCGGGGGATGAAGAACAACAAAGCAATCGTATCAAAACTCTGGTTGTCCACTGTGCGTTGCTGCTGGTCATGTTTGTCTGCTTGTGGAAAAGAGGGCATAGAAGGGAGAATAAAAGTGTCCGGGTATAACTGTGAGAAAAGAGTGAGGATAGTACCGTTGCGGAAGAAGGTGCCGACGAGGTCCTTGGGTAGGGTTCCCTTGATGTCGACCTCGGGGACCCAGTAGGTGAGTGTCTCTCTGGCCTGTGTCTTCCAACCAGCAGCAGCCTCCTCAGTCGAGAAGTTGATGTGTGCCATTGTTTTCTAATGAGAAGGGGAGGTGATGGAAAACGTGTGGGGAAGAGATTTGTGGCAAAGGAATGAAAGACGGAGGGAAGAGTGAGAAGAGTGAGAAGAGAGTGGGAAGAGAGTGAGAAGAGAGTGAGAAGATGGTGAGAAGAAAGAAGGGACGTCGAGCAAAAGAAAGTAAGAAGGAAGCGAAAGAGACAAAAAAAAATAAAGGCGTGGGCGAGCATGCTGCTTGTCCGAGAGTGTGAAATATTCAACCACCCTCAAGGGTCCTTCGGGATTTCGACCTTGCTCTCTCTCTCTCTCTCTTTCTCGCATACACTTTGGCACATGAAAAGCAACACAGCGCCTCCTTCCCCGCACATCCATCCCACGCCCAAACATTCGCCTCTTCACTTCTGCTGAAACGCGTACCAATGTGGAAGGAGAAAAGTCCGCTGGGGCATTTTAGTATTTACCGCTCAGGCACCGGTCTGGGTATATCATACCTTCAATGTTACGCCGTTGAACTGTTAAACTGATGCCGGCGCCCACCCGTCAAGTCACCAGTCACTTTTGAGAAATCAAAGCGCCGTTTCCTTTTTATTTTCTTTGCATTGATTCGAGTTTGTTTCTCAAGTGTATCCCAGTCCGCCGTGCTTGCATGTATTAATGTATGCGACAGCAAAAACCAAGATGCAACGTACGCTCTCCTGCTCCTTGTTCCAGAGGGGAAAAGAGTGTTCATTGTTTTACATGGCAATCTTCGTGGCGACATAGTCAGGGTACTTGGCGCCAATAATGCCCACCAGCTCTTCTACATGGCCACAGAGATCCTGGATACTGGCATCCCATAACGTCGACAACATAGGCGCCTCATGTCCACTCAGATCCTGCTCATCCTCCTCATCGATCGCGCCAGCAGCAGCAGTCTCTCCTCCAGAACCACCAGCAGTTGCTCCTCCTGATGATCCACCGGCTCCCGAACCTCCCTTTCCGCCAGTACCGCCAAGTCGCGACTGGATACTCTGTGTACGGTCGAAAAAGATGAGGCGCTCAATTTGATCAATGCTTCCCGACATGCGTCCTTCCATCATCATCTTGCTAGCACGAGCCTCGGCTTGCTCGGGCTTGACTCCCAACAACGCGCCTAGCTCCTCGAACGAGATGTTGTTGTAAATCTTGGACGCCGACAGCAAGTTGTGCTCAATGACAGCACGGTCCAAGACTGTGGTGTTGTCAGCCAAAAGCGCCAACTGATGGGGTCTCAATGTGGTTGAAAACTCTTGAACTTCGTTACTCCTGAGGACGCGATCGAGATACATCTTTTCAAGAATCGAGAAATGTGGGAGGCGTTGAGAGCGGTCGTCCTTGTAGAGTGTTGCCAACATACGAGAACGCTGAGGTCCAGCAGGCGCCAACACAGCACACACCACAGCCGCAGACCTATCAACATTAATAACAACGCGGGTATCAGCTCCAGTTTTTGGGCTTCCTGGATAATACTCTCTAACAATACACTCAAAGCAGACTCAGGACTTACAGAGTCTGGAGACGCTCGTCAATGTCAATCTCCTGGATGTAACTGATCTCGTGATACTGCGAACTGGCCTTCAAGAAGTTGTTCTTGAAATCTGCAATTCTGGCCTGTGAAAGCTTGAAGGTCAACTGGAGGTTGATATCCTTGGTGTCCCGCATCAGGACCGCAGCACGGTTGAGGTAAGTGTCAGCCATACCTGCCTCATCGTCCTCCAGGAGCAAGCGCACAATGCGGATGTAAATCTCAATCTTGAACTCGTTGGGCACAATACTATTTGGATGTAAGTAGAAAATGTTGTGGTTAGGGTTGGGGTGATTTTCGTGGAGGAGCCTTAAAGATCCTTAAAGATATGGCGCAGTCAAGAGCAACACACGGTGGCGTAAGAAAGCAAAAAGAGCGCGCGTATGTGTGTTCCGTACCGATGACCAGAGTCCAAGGGGACGCCCATCAAGACCTGAGCAGCCTCTGCCCAGTCCTCCTCGCTCTCGTATATTGTCGCCAAATGCATCCTGATAGCCGACACCTATCACCCATGAGAAAAAAGAGGAAGTAGTCGGTATGAGATACACGTAATTAAGTCTTGCTGCCTTCCTCTTTTGCGCGTTCAACATGAAGTCAAAATAGGAAATAGCAAACACGACAAAGAACAAGCACGTACCTGCTCTTCAAAGGAGACGACTCTGCTCTGGACTCTATCAAGGGCATGCTTGTACATGCGCGACTTGCTGTCGGAGGAGAGGTGAGTGGTGGCGTCAATGGCCGCGGTGACGTCTGACAGGACCTGACGCGAGACGACAAGACCGACGGAATCCTCAGTGGCGGCATTGATGAACTGTTCGAGACGGAGCTCGGTCTCGTCCTCGCCACTTGTTGATGCAGTGTTGAGGATGGATGCAACGAGGTCCTGGTAGCCCTTGATCTTGTCCTTTTGGTTGGTGACCTGTGCTATGCTTGTGAGTTTTGCTTCGATGTCCATGGTGTTTCCTTTGTGTATTGTTGGTGGTGACTTTTTGGGTGGAGTTGGGTTATTGTGGTGTGAGGTGTGATGGCGCAGGCGGGCGTGACGATGGGTGAAGAGGAGGAGTAAGAAGGCAAAAAGGAAGAATAAAAAGTCGACCACGAAGACAGACAAGCAAGCCTTGTCTAACGTTGCGTTGGCCTTTGGACTCGCCACCACCGCCAGTCAGAGAGGTGGGTGACTTGCAGTTGACAGGGGTCAGAGGCGGTCAAGCGGGGCACGTGACCAATACTAGCCCAAGCGCAGCTTGACCAAAAAAAGGCGGGTCCACGTTTCTCTCTCATTACTTCACATTTTACACTTCAAGACCAAGGACAAGGGAACAGGAAGAGCAATGCCGACTGCAAGGACACACGTCAAGGGACAACATCACTCAAACTACCCCAGCCAACAACACCCACACCCCCATCAACAGCAGCAACAACAGCAGCAACAACAACAGCAACAGCACGACTCCCATTCAGTCATCCTCGTTACAGCTGGTTACGACCATGTCATTCGTTTCTGGTAAGACACAACATGCTGTCAAGGGGTTAAAAGGCTGGAGATACTCGTGGGAAACATGACTTACCTGACTCGATTGGATCTAACCGCTATCGATAACTACTTGTATCCTACTTAGGGAGGCATTGAGTGGTATCTGCTCAAGGACAATCCAACATCCCGACGCAGTAAGCTGATGAAAATACACACCCCAATTATTCAACCGCATCAAACAGAGTCCACCCCAAACAAACTTACTCAAACACGCTATCGCTCCATTACCTTCATGTTTCCTAGCAAGTGAACAAGTTGTGCATTTCACCAGACAAACAATACCTCGCAGCAGCCAGCAACCAACACGTCCGACTCTACGACATCAACAGTGGACACCCAAACCCCATCGTTTCCTTCAAAGGCCATACCAGCAACGTCACCGCCGTTGCCTTTCACTGCGAGGGCAAATGGATGGTCACCGCCAGTGAGGATCACACCTTGAAGATCTGGGATATTCGGTACTTATCAACTCTGTCTTTCAGAATTGGGACATTTATTTGATAGGGTATTATAAACACAATTGGACATGAAGGAATACTAATATACATTTTCATCTGTATCCAATAGGTGTCCGGATGCGCAGAGGAACTTTGACCACAAGGCTCCCGTGAATGACGTGGTAATCCACCCTAACCAAGGCGAACTCATCTCCTGCGACCAAAACGGGTCCATCAAACTCTGGGACCTAGGCGAATCCTCCTGCACACACGAACTGGTCCCCGAAGAAGACGTCCCCATCCGCTCCGTGACCGTCGCCAACGACGGCTCCTCCCTCGTCGCCGCCAACAACAAGGGCAACTGCTACGTCTGGAAAATGGCCCACACCCGAGACTTTACCGACCTCCAACCTATCACCAAATTCGCTGCCCATGACAAGTATATTACCAAATGTGTCCTTTCTCCTGATGTCAAGCATTTGGCGACTTGCTCTGCAGACAGTACGGTCAAGATTTGGAAAACGGATAATTATTCGTTCGAGTTAGAGAAGACACTTGTGGGGCATCAGCGTTGGGTATGGGATTGTGCTTTCTCGGCGGATTCGGCGTATTTGGTGACAGCCAGTTCGGATAATGCCGCGCGGTTGTGGGAGTTGTCGTCTGGGGATACTATTCGGCAGTATAATGGCCACCAGAAGGCCTGTGTCTGTGTCGCCCTCAACGATCTCTCAACGTAGTTGTCTGCTTTCAAGGAGGAATGAGGCTCAGTTGTGGTTGGGGAGGATAATAAAATACAACTGACCAAAACGACTTGTTTTTTCAGACGTGTAGTGTGTGATTTGTGCAAAGCGATTGTATTATTTCTCCGGTGGTGAGCAAAAATACGAAAACAAAAGTCTGATAGTGTGCTATCCAAGAAAGTTACATACTTTGGCTACAACTACCACCGATCTTCACTACCAGGAAGTGAGAAAAGAAAAAAGAGACTCACTACTAAACGGCCATACCGCCGTTGACCCTCAAAATCTGTCCATTAACCCACCTAGCAGCATCGCTCGCCAAAAACCTCACAACTCCCGCAACATCCTCAACCTCCCCCAACCTCCCCTCGGGATGCAATCCTGCAAAGAACCCCAACGCCGCCTCATCCTTAATATCCTGTCTCAACCCCTCCGTATCAATCGGTCCTGGTGCAACACTGTTAACCGTGATTCCGGACCCGCCAAAGGACTTGTCCTTGGCAAGAGTGCGGGTCACTTGTTCAAGTGCTCCCTTGGTCGCACAGTAGAGGAAATGGTCTCCTTGGACGAGAGATAGGGATGTCAGGGTTGTTGAGACCGTAATGATGCGCGCTCCGCCGGCGGTGTTGGGGATGGGAGTGGATTGGGCCTTGGCGAGGTGGGGGTGGGCGAGTTTCGCGAAGAACATGGGACCCTTGACGTTAGTATCGAATGCCTCAAGGTACGATTCTTCCGTCATATCATGGATCGACTCGTAGTACAACCAGGCGGCATTCAAGACCACAACATCCAAACGCCCAAACGCCGCGATTGTCTCCGCGAGGAGTTTCCTGCCCTGGTCGATGTCGGCGATGTTAGCCTGCACCGCAATCGCACGAACCGGGTTAAGATTGGTGGACGTGGGGAGGGTGTTGGAGATGAGGTCGACGACTTCTTGGGCCTTGGCGGCATTGGAGTGGTAGTTGACTACAATGTTGAAGCCGTCTTCGGCCAGGCGGAGGGCGATGGCGCGGCCGATTCCGCGAGAAGAGCCAGTAACGAGGGCGACGCGACGGGTGGAAGTCATTTGTTTTGTTTGTTGGTGCTCGGTTGGGGGAGTTAGGGGTTTTGGTTTGGTGGTGTTGTTGAAAAGAAGAGTTGCTGTTTGTGATGATGAACTATGAGAAACATGGCGATTGTCGCTCCTTATATACTCGTTCCCCGCATTCAATGCCGACTATCGTACAAACCCCACCCCTCAAACCAATTATCTATTCATCGTACATGTAAACTCGAAAAGACCTGAAGAGAACCTCATCTTGGTCAAGAAAGGCGACAACGAAGCTGTGAGCGTTCACAAGAATTATTCTTTTTTCAATCGAGCGAATCTGAGGTTCGGAGACGTTGAGCTGCGTCACTAATGAACAAGCATTCAAACCCACATGCTGCTGTTAGCCAATGAAAAGCATAGAATCAACTTCCGCCGCTTATACCTCCTGACGTGTATGAAAGCAGAGAGAAAAGAAGAGCCAGAACGTCGTGGAGGTGAGGTTGTCTCCAGGAACTCCTACAGTGTTGCAGGTTGCGCGTCCTGATAATAAGAGGGTAGGTCAGATCAACCAATCAAAATCCTGACTCGTCTCCACACACAAAAAAAGCACGCTGAACGAAATCAATTTTCCGGGCGCAGTATCAAAGGCGAGGAACAGCACTTAGGCAGGATAGAGGGAAACAACCAAGAGGCAGACGAGAAGAACCTTCACCTATTGATTGCTGTCTTCCTTCCTTCCCCTCTGTCCTCTAGTTTAAAAGGGTGCAACACCAGCTTCGAGCTCATTACAATTGGCGATTTAGCGAGAGGAATCTAAACAAGGTCCATCACTTTTATATGATTACCAGACAGAGCGAACTACGAGAACAAGAAAACAAAACGCTGCAGAGATAGAGAAAACAAAATTGAGGAAAGAAAACAGATATCATTGGTGCGCATTGATAGTAGAAGTCAAAGGAGTATGTTCCTCCTCTAAAACCATGACAATGACCGCATTGGAGGCATAGGAAGTGAAGGGGAAGAATATCGTGAATTTTTTTTGGGAAGCCTGGCTTTGCACAAAAATTGTCGCTGCTCTCCACAATGATAAAATAAAATTAGACGTGACATGAATAAAGGAGATATCTTCCGATCCTCTCCATCACTGACAACCTCCTCCTTCCCAAAACACCCTCCAACAAACGCTCGTCAGCAGCGCGTGGGTCCTTGGTCGCTCCAGGACAGGTCCCATCCTCATGTGTGGCTAGCGAAGCGCCATACGGGCAGAAACCATCGTGTGTGATGTAACCGTATCCTTGACTCCAGTCACCTCGGGGCCTGTGTACTTGGATGTCTTGTTCATGGAAGAGATACTCTGGGTCTGCTCCCACGCGATCGTCGCGGAGCACCGAGGTTTCCAGATCAGCTCCGAGGCCTGCGCCTCCAGGTAGCCAACAAACTTGTGAAGGATGTATGTTGGCGAGCTTTTTTTTTTTTTTTTTTTTTTCGTACACAATTTTATTTCTCTAACAAACAGCATAGAGAAGTTATTTGGAAGTAAAAGGGAACTACAGACCAAACTCTTCAGTGCACCATCCGCCAGTCGCAGTCCGGTCCAGAACCTGGCTCTGCGCAACAATTGTCGCTGCTCTTCACAGCTTAAACGGAAGAAAATAAAACTAGATACGAATGAAGGGGATTCTTCACATCCTCTCCATCATTGACAACCTCCTCCTTCCTAACAAACTCTCCGACAACCGCTCGTCAGCAGCGCGTGGGTCCTTGGTCGCCCCAGGGCACCTTCCTTCACAATGTGTGGCTAGCGAAGCGCCACACGGACAGAAACCATCGTGCGTGATGTAACCGTATCCTTGACTCCAATCACCTCGGGGGCCTGTATATTTGGATGTCTTATCCTTGGCAGAGATGCCCTGGCTTTGTTCCCATGCGATTGTCGCGGAGCACCGAGGTTTCCAGATCAGCTCCGAGGCCTGCGCCTCCAGGTAGCCAACAAACTTGTGAAGGACTGTCTTGGCGATGGACATTGGGGTCCGGAAAACCGCGGACCATTCAGTCAACATGCTCAAGGGGGTGATGCCGCGGAGGAGATCCGACACATTCCACATCGGTTTCTCGTCTCGATCGAGAGCTGGACTACCGCTGTGCACGGCTCGAGCTCCACCGATGGAGGAAAATCCTCGCACATGATCCGCATCCGAAGGGGGCCACCAGTGTATGGGTACTGGCCTCGGTACCTGACGACCTCTGTCCACCGCGCGTTTGTATTCTCGCTTCCTGGCTGCGTTGTAGCTGTTTGTCGCCTGCACACCCCACTCGTTAATCTTGCCCATGGCCTCCTTCCAGATCTCAGTGGTGGTCTCAGCTGCCGAAGGGCATTTCCAGACGTGATCGTTATCCTCATTCTCGAGCTCGCATCGTCGGCACACGCATGTTGGGTACAGGTTGGGCTTGCGAGCCTGCATGGAGTTCAGAGTGGGCAGCATTCCATGCAGCTTTTTGATATGATGTGTGCGTTGGTGAGAGTCCTTGCTGTTGCTGTAAAAGGTGAAGACTGCGTGCCTGTCATGGACATAAGCCAAGGTCGAGTTCCATTCCACGTCATCGATGTCAGGGATCGCCCTCTTGACCCGCCTCTGTGACGTCCAGGCCTGATGGTGACGGATTGTCGATTGTTGTTTGAGGAGCTGACGTAGATCGATTTCAACAATCCCGCCGTAACAATGTGCAAAGGTCGTGATATCCGTCTGTTGAGTGAGATCCACCATCCAGGGCACTGAACCACTCTGTGCTGCCACCTTCGCCGCCTGATCCGCAAGTTCGTTTCCGTGGATGTTGCTGTGACCTTTGATCCACACCACCTCAACCCCGCCTGGCCGAGATTCCACAACCTGACAAAGCACCGCCCAGATACCCGCATATGTACTCCTGAATCGCTTCCTCGGTAAGGTGTCCCGACGATTCTTCACCAGGCGACTATACTGTTCCACCACGTACTGATTGTCCAGCTTGACCACAATGTCCTGTTCCGGTGGCGCTGACAAGACTGCGGCTAATAAGCCCATGAGCTCGGCTTTAGCCGAGGATGCGTGACCGTCCGTTCGTCCTTGTACTGTCAGAGGGTTGTCCTGAGTGAGATCCACCACTCCAAAGGCCTGGGATACTTCTAGCGTTCCCGAGTTCAGAAGAGATCCGTCCGAGTACAGGACGCGAGGGGTGGAGTTGTCGACGTGTGTGTCCTGAACTACGCGCATGGACGCCGCCTCTACTGGAGACAGGCAAAGGGGGCCGATCTGTGTGGTCGGGGGTCCTGGTACAGGCGGTGGTTGGACTTGATGGCGTTCTTGCAAAGGAAAGCTAGCATCTGTGTCAAAGGCTGGTTTGTATCGTGGTTTCGTTTCCTTGAGGCTGGATAGGATCTCTTTTAGGCGAGCGACGACCAAGCGGTGTTGTTGACGGAGTGCTTCCTTTTCCTTTTTCTGCTGCAGTCTCCTGGCTTGGTGTTGTTGACGGAGTGCTTCCTTTTCCTTTTTCTGCTGCAGTCTCCTGGCTTGGTGTTGTTGACGGAGTGCTTCCTTTTCCTCTTTCTGCTGCAGTCTCCTGGCTTGGTGTTGTTGATGGAGCGCCTCTGTTTCTTTCTGCTGTTGCAGTTTCCTGGCTTGGGAGGATTCCAGCTGTTGCACCCTCAGTCGATCGTCCTCTGCTTTCCTGATCAGCCTGATCTCCAAATCCGAGCGAAGAGAGACAAGGCGATGAGCACGGTATTCGTTGACGGCCTCGGTGGCCCGGCGACGTATCCCAAGGGCGACGGTCTTGCGACGACTAGAAATTGACTTGATGCGGGCGGCTGCGTTGTCGGCCTGAGTATTGGTCATCAAAAGAATGGCAGCCAGTTCTTGTGGTTTCCTGGCAAGTTGACTCCGGTATCGGCTTCTGAGTCCATCATACTTTGTGTTGTCTGCCGACTGTTTTTTCCTGGTGTCGCTGTTGATGCGAAGGATCTCGGCATCGTATTCGGCCGCGGGACGGAGGAGACGCTCTCTGCAAGCGTCGTCCAGTGTGTCGACTGCTCGCTCAAAGACAAGATCGGTTGTATCAGGAGGGAGAGGTGAGGGGGTGGTGAGAGTTGCTGGAGTGGGGGTGGTGAGAGTTGCTGGAGTGGGGGTGGTGAGAGTTGCTGGAGTGGGGGTGGTGAGAGTTGCTGGAGTGGGGGTGGTGGGAGTTGCTGGAGTGGGGGAGAATGTTGGAGTAGGGGGACATGTTGGAGTGTTAGGAGTGTTGGGTGGTGGAGTACCTGTCAGAGAAGGGCCGGGACTCAAAACTGGAGTTGGAACAGTGGCAGGCGAAAGAGCCGGCGAAGAGACGGGACTCGAGACTGGAGCAGGAACGACGACCTGCGAAAGGATTGGAGACGATAATAGCGAAGGAGGAGTGGATGAGAGTGAAGGAGAAGGTGACTGAGGAGAAGGTGACTGAGGAAAGATTGACTGCGGGAGAGAGAGGAGAGAAGGGAGAGAAGAGAGAGAAGAGGGAGAAGAAAGAGGAGAGAGAGAAGAGAGAGAAGATAGAGGAGAGAGAGAAGAGAGAGAAGGATCAAAGAGAATAGAAGAGATTGGCGCAGAGAAAAGATCAAGAGGGTTGAAATTGGAGAACGAAGAGAGGGGAAGCAAAGAAAGAGGGGTAAGGGAAAAAGAGGAAGTAGAAAGAAGAGGAGGAAATATAGGAGGAGAAGAAGAGAAAAAGAGGGAAGACGATTGATTGACAATAAAAGAAGAAACGTCAAAAATAAGAGAGGTATCGGAAGAGAAAGGTACACCCAAGTGGGGCACAGACAACAAAAGAGAAGATAACAAAGGATCGGAAGAGGAAGAAGAAGAGGAAGAAGAAGAAGAGGAAAAGGTAACAAGTGGCTCACAAGGCAAGGCAGGACAAACATCCGACTCTGCGGCAGCGGGAAAGGAAAAAGAAGAGGAAGAGGACGCGTAAAAGGAATCATAAAAGGACAGAGAAGAAAGAAAAGAAGATGAAGAAGAACCAGAGCATGACCCTTGCAGGCAACACTCCTTACCCCACGCCCTCTTATCGTTAACAAAACCTGCCTTGCCAATAACAAACCCATTCCCACGCTCATCTAAGCGTTCAATTGCGCGTGTCGTTTTTGTCTTGGTCGATAAAAAAATTTCTTGTCCTTTTTTCTTTTTGTCCCTCAAGGATGTGTCCGGGTATAATAACCCCCTGTTATCGCGCTGGACCTTTTTTCCTTTTGTGTTTTCTTTATACACACCCTCAAGTCTCACCTCATCACCTCCATGGCTTTTCTTACCGCGACCCTCGCCAACATCAGCACCACCACCACCTTCAGCAACAAATGATGGAGCTGCAGTCGCCAAAGGTTGGAGGCATACCTGTATGGGGTCGACAGACGTACCAAGGTCTAGTACTGTCGTTGCGGTGGTTCTGTTAAACGCAAAGGCACGGGCTGGAGAAACGATCTCCACGCCTCTTTGTTGCCCTCGTCGGCGTTCGATGGCCCGATTGATCAATGGCTCTTCCTCGGAGGAGTCGCCGTCTTCGTACAACACCTCTGGACTTTTAGGCGTAATAGAATGGCCCTCCTCGACGATAAGGGAAGACGCCGGGGCGTCGACGGAGGCAGCAGCTGGCATAGACAAGGTGACGACTTTCACCAGTTCCTTGAACCAGCGGCGGACAGGACCTTTCAAATTGTACTGTGCTCGGATATCCTGCCATGGAGCCAGAGATTGGCCATCGTCTGTCGACACATCATCCAGAGTGACAACTCCGTCCACAAAGAGTCGGTGGGCGATTTTTGGGTATCCGCCTGGGGGCATAAGGAGGCCGATGTATCGAGAAACGTTGACAGGGATCCCTGGCGACTGGAAGGTGATACCCCTCTCGACCATGAGGCAGCAGACGTGTCCGAAGAAATTGTTGCGAAGGAATTGAGCTCCAATGGTTGGTACGTCAAAGGGGGATATCGTAAGGCGGCACTCTGCTTGATGGGCTGTTGCTCGAGACGCCATCACCATGCCCAGCAGCTCCTGGTCGTTTAGCCGCAGATGTGCAGTTGAAACTTGCTCCTCGATCATGGCATCTTCAAGGTCTCGGAGACCGTACAGTCGACGATGGAACAGGATGCTGGCCGGCGAGCCGAGGGGCAGCCCCACCTTCTGGCGAACGACGTTGGTGTACTGGCTGACGATGGTCTTTGTCTCGCGAGGGCTAAGGATTGTCACTGACAGCCGGTAAAGTATCCGTGGCAGTAGAACATTATTGAAGATGTAAATGCACTGCTTGTCGGTGATAGCCTTCCGCGAGAGTATCTGACACATCGTTGACACCTCCTCCTTCACTAGCCGGCGTGTATGGGCTCCCTTTCCGTCAGCAGAGAACCACACACCCAGGACCCTGGCAGCAGTGCCAGGAGGTAGAGCGGTCACCGTATCCGCACCGAGTCTAATAGAGGAATCAGCAGAGGTAGAATTGACCACGATTAGTTCTGATTTTTTTGGATTAATCTCAATACCATGTAATTGAAAAAAACTCATCGCTTTGTTTGTGATCTCTTGTAGCTTAGCCTTAGACGGTGCTATCCAGTCCGTGTCGTCCATGAAGGCAAGGCAGGCAATGCGGAGCGGGGTGTCAGGATGCAGTGAGTCGAACGTTGGGATCTTGTGGAACGCCTGCAGGTCATCCCTGTTAACCATAGGGTAGCCGAGGTTGGACTGCCAGATCTGGGCGAGGAGTACTTCATAGACGATGCGCCAAAGTAGGGGACACTCTACTCCACCCTGATCCAGGCCGCAGAGAGGAGAGTATTCTTCCGTAAGTCCGTATGCGGTGATGATACGATTGGTCTTGTTTCTCGCGACGTAAAGGCACAGGTCGATGAACCCCTGTGGGATCTTGAGATGTCGCAGACCGAGTTCCAGCATTCCACCTCTCTGACACGATACCGAATCAAAGCACCGCTTCATGTCCTGCAGCAGCACCCAGACCTCTTTCTTGTACTCTCTGGCGTCCTCGAGAACCGCGTTCAGGATATGGATCGGGTCCTTGGTCATGGTTCCCTTGAGCACTGAGAAGTTGGGGCCGCGAAAGATGGAGTGGCGAGACAGCACCACGGTAAGCCGTTTCACCATGATGGAGAAGAATATCTTCCTGCCGTGCTCCAAAAGTGTGATAGGGCGTACCTCACTAATCCTTCCCGACCACACCGGCCCTTTCGGTATGCAGTAGATCACCCCCTTCAGCCAATCCTCCGGCATCGCATGTTGGCGAGCTCCACCGATTTTTTTAAAAAAAAAAAAAAAAAACGCCACCAATTTTCGGCCGATATCACGTGCGGATGGCTACGTGAGACCATCGAATTATATGTTGAAGGGTGACCTATTATTTAGATTACTATCAAGCTATAAGTCAATATGGCCGAGCGGTTAAGGCGTGTGACTAGAAATCACATGGGTTCTCCCGCGCAGGTTCAAATCCTGCTGTTGACGCTATCTTTTGCTTCTTTCCATCCTTTTTTTTGCACTAGCAGGCTGGCCGGGGGCAATTTTGCACTTGACGGTGTGGTAAAGTGCAAGGCTAATAGCCATCTAAATGAAGAGGTGGTGTCTGACAATCGGGAAAACTAACCCAAGCACATAGTATCGTAGCAAGTGTGCGAGGCACCTAGCAAAAGATTATTTTTTCCTTGGCAGAGGATTGGCGAGTCAATACACGACGTCTATGCACACGCCCAAGAGGTATCGTAGCAAGTATGCGAGGCACCTAGCAAAAGATTTCATCTAACTTCCGTCACGTATCACATATAGCATCTAGTCTCCTGGTATATGGCAACGCGGGTTGGAAGATGAGAATGAGAGGAGGGTTGTCAAATAAAATGAAGATTTTCTCATTGTAATGTCAGAATATCTTTTTGTATAGTCAGAATAGCTGCTGTGTTCACACACGATTAGAGCTGTTAAGAGCTTCCTAACAGTCGTGCGTATTCGCACACCGAAGAATATAATAAAGCAATAACCATCCGGGTGCTTCGACAAGACTGTCATGACCTTGTAGATGTTTTTTTTTTTTTTTTTTTTTTTTTCACGACCGTTTCGACCGTATAGGTGTTTTCTTCCTTTGAGTGAATCTACTTGACACCCTAGACCATCTGGCTTGCCCTGTATTCAAGATACCGCAATGGAACTCCCGTTCTTAGCGGCATTATATCGGTGCATTTCCTGAGTGTCCCTTTCATCAAATTGACTGGTGGTTGTAGGAAGTATTTATTACACGCGTTCCCATCTAGCTAAAACCTGGTTTTTAATAAGAGCGTCATATGAGCATTGTATGTTAGATTATCTTATTTCCCTTTTGACAGTGGCGAAGGCATTGGTGGGTTATTTTTTGTCCTCTAGTTCACTGTCTTCTTTCCCAGAGTTGATGCCCGCACAGGCGCACCTGGGGCGATTATTCCGATGGTGCCCAAGCCATTAAAGAAAATTACACCATCACCGGACGGTTCACGGATCGCTGTCAGCATTTATGGAGCCCCCACTCTATGGGGCTGTCAAACTGCAACAGTTGGACCAACCTTCCTGGAGATATCGCGACAGCGTTGCATTTGGAGTATTCGCCCTGTGGTCGCTGGGTCGTGACTGCAAACGCGAAGGCTGTACTACTGTGGGACCTTCTGGACATCCAGGAGGGTCATGTTTTTGTTGATCTGAGTGGTACTGAAGGCCTCTACCGTGTGATGTTACCATCTCCTAAGAGGCGATTCCTAAGGAGCGATTCCTCAGCTTGCGATAACTGACTCGCTTGGTAAAGTGTAGCTCTTCGACCCACGGACAAGGAGCGTTATGAGAGAGACACGGTTGAGGAAGACAAGAGCGAGCGCCATGGCCTACTCACCCGATGGTCTGCAGCTAGCTGTCGGCAGCGATGGAGGATGCATCGACTTGTGGGACCTACTGTTGGACGTGCCTATTATCCGGCTGAACGAACGCAAGGCCAGATCACAAGTCTGGCTTATTCCTCTAGCAGTCAATGGATCGTCATTGAGTTTGACGACTAGGTTGTGCGCATATTACAGAAACAACTGGCAGTAGACAAGGAGCTGGGGGTGGAGAGGTGGACCTGTGCTGCAGCTGTGAATGCATTCTGTGCAAAGATCAATAGTATCAAGTGGAACCCTACAGAGCCGCTAGAGTTTGTCGCTGCCTGTTTAGATCGATCCGTTCGTGTCTAGCGAGTAGTAGCTAAGGAAGATAGAAGTGTCTCTGTCAATAGTTTGAAGTAGTTCTAACCTTGGGCAGTAGTGTGCTTAAGATATGACGTTCAAGGATGCTGTTGGCCTCGACGGTATCAACCAAAAGTTGCTTCTTGTAGTCGTGAATAAATTATCATTCTTTTGCTTTCAATGATCGTCACTGTTGAAGATAACGCGAACACGAAACGCGTGCGGTGATCAGCATTCATTCACGAACAACACGCATACATTCACGTATTGAATCAAGCACCCCTGAAAGTGATCTATTTACAGTCGTACGATTGTATTACTTATTGCTCGCCTGGGTAACAAACCTTACTTTACTCCCTTCGACTCTTCTTTCACCCATTTTTTCTCTTTTCTCTGTTCTCTCCTTCCTTCTCACACCCTACGCCCATACACTCTCTCTCACCTCGTCACCATCAGCCCTCGCCGCCGACAACTGCATGATCCACATGAACTACGGCCAGCAACCAAAGTCTGTCCTCGAGACCTACATCGGTAATACACACATCAACTCACGACACACCTCAGAAACTCTCCTTTCTTGTTCTACTCTTTGGGCGTGTCGTCTTGGCGCACACTCGCCATTGCCAATTCTGTCTGCATCACCTTCAAGGACAGACCAACAGGACAGCCCAAACTCATCACAATTCCCTCTTCGTTCTCAACACTACAATAGAGCGGGCCTGTGACCCTTCACGCTACGAACCAGACCTGGCCCTCAACCTCGAGATTTGCGATGTCATCAAAGAGAAACAAAAAAACACGCAAGTCAACCAGCCTACCGTTCTCAGCATTTCGGTTGGAAAGAAAACGAGAGATGGCGTTGTTACCCAGGAAGGCAGGATGGATGACTAACCACTTTTTCTGTTCATCGTCTACTTACATCACTAGGCCTAGGGAGGCGGCAGTCTATATCGTTCGCCTTATCAACAACCGTAACCTCCACGTCAGCATGCTCGCCCTTGCCGTAAGTTCAGCCTCACGCAGGAAAAATAACACTCATTCTGCTACATCGCCCACTTCTGGACACTTTCTTGCCGTCTCTAACCTTTTTTTCTACATTCTTTACCTTGGCAACTAAAAACAACTAAAAAATAGCTGCTGGACAATTGTGTCAAGAACTGCGGATACCCTTTCCACCTCCAGATCGCAACCAAGGAATTCTTGAACGAGTTGGTCAGAAAGTTTCCAGAGCGACCCCTGGCTGTGTACACGCCCGCGCAGAACAGGATCCTGGAGTTGATTCAGGAGTGGTATCAGACTTTGTGCAAGTCTTCGCGGTACAAGGAGGATCTGGTCCATATAAAGGATATGCATCGACTTTTGTCATACAAGGGATACCGGTTTCCTCAACTCAAGGGCGCTTCTGCCTCAGTGTTGAACCCTGTTAACGTAAGTCGGAACCATGGATTACCCGCGGCGCAGAGAGGCAATAGTGCTCGTTATGTTATTGCTGTGCTCTAACAACTCTTCTCTTGCACTTTACTTGTTAATCGTAGACTCTCAAATCTCCTGCTGAGCTTGAGGAGGAAGACAGAGCAGCACAGTCAGCTGTAAGTGAACAAGAAGCAATGAACAACTGCATTGGCTGCATTGGCTTTTTGTTTTTCGTCTTTATCTCTTAATTAATCGGACTATGCAATTGAACTTTTTCTCACCCCGCAATATGAATACAGAAACTGCAAGAGCTCATCCGTCGCGGACGCCCAGAGGACGTCGTGGCTGCCAACGAGCTGGTCAAGAAGATGACAGGATACGTAAGTCTCACTCACTTAACAAAAGCCTTGAGATATTGTTAAGTTCAAGTCTTGGCACAATCGATGAGCATCTGTCCGACAGACCTATCACTCATTATTCCATTTTGCGCGATTTATGATTCATGTCATGTAGGAGCAAGAAGAAAGGCCCGATTACGAGGAGGAAGCGTCGTCGGAACTTGACAAGATTCTTCTTAAAGCAATCTTGCTGACAGAGATGCTGAACGAAGTCAAGCCAGGCGAGTCCATCGGTCGCGGCGACAAGTTTGAGGTATTGATCAGGTGCGCAGGATGTTCGCCTGCACGTTTCCTTTTCACTCATTGGCAGGAATAGTCGACTCACACCTGCCCTTCGTGAACTTGTCAACTTTTCAATAGGAACTTCTCAGTGCATGCAAAGCAGCACAACCCAAGGTCCAAAAGTTCATCGGCGAGGCATCAGACGACGATGACATGGGTAAGTGCCGTCGATTTCACTTACTGATCAGGATATCAATGGAACCAGCATGCCCAGACATGATATTGACACTGTCTTTGTTCATGTTTTGGGCTCAATTAGAGAAACTGCTTCAGACCAACGATGTTATCAACAATGTGATTGAGCAATACAGCCAGGTCAAGAGTGGCCGCTTAGTTAAAGCAGCGGTTCCTTCAGTCGGACATGACGAGAACAACAACACTGGATCCAGTGGAGCACCAGCACAGAGCGAGTCATCGTTGATCGATTTGGTTGATTTTGGTGGTCCAGATGACAACAGCTCGCCAATAACAACATCAGCAGCTCCTCCACCACCTACGACAGGCAACTTGATGGACGATCTGATGAGTCTTAACTTTAATGACGGACCACCACCAGCATGGGGTGCAGCAGGAAGCATTTCTCTTGGTCGATCCATATCCCCAGCGGCTTCATTCAACTCCAACTCTTCATCATCCTTCAACACTGGTGCCCCTCCAGCTTACAATGTCCTTTCTTCGTCATTTGGAGGAAACAACACGTCTAGTTCTGGATCGCCAGCATTCTCTAACAGTCCTATGATGCAACCCATGTCGAGCTCCTCTAATACAAATACCAACGCCAACTCTGGATTCGACGATTTTGACTTTATCTCCAACACCGGAACTACCCAATCTGGACCCACCACCGGTACTATATCTCACATTTTCACTGTTGACTGACTTGTGTGGCTACAGGAAGCAGTCGTTAAGAAGATACTAACACCTGTTAACTCCTGTTCTCGTTTCCCTGTGATGTGTAGTGGTGTTGTTGAACAAAAATGGATTGTTGATTGAGCTGGATATTGAGTATGTGGTCCCAGGAGACGTGAGTTCGATCAAAGTGGTAGCACTTTTCTCCAACGCACACAGCAGCGCTATGTCCAGTCTGACATTCCGTGTTGCAGTCCCCAAGAGTTTGCAGTTGCAATTAAACCCCCAGTCTGGTCAAGTATTGGCACCGTTCTCGAAGCGATCGGTGACACAGTCGTTGAGTATCAACAACCCCACTCGCCAACAACCTGTCCGAATCAAGTACCATGTCTCGTATGTTGTTGATGCTAGAACGATAGAAGAGCAGGGCGAGTTCAACCAGTTTCCTCTGGTGTAATCACAGCTGTTTGCAGGTGCGCCTAGTAGAAAATAAACAAACAAAAATCGATATCCCATTTGATCCTGATTCGACCTGTGAATTGCGCGAGACAAGAGAACTAGTATTTTCCTTGATTTGTGCCTGAAAGCGAGAGAAACAAGAGTGTCAACGGCATCCCCCTTCACCCCAGAGATACGATCGGACTTTTTTTTCAAGTTTCAACCCACAAGAGTGATGGAGGCAGGGGAAAGAAGACAGTGAGGACTGTCTTTTCAAGTCATTTGCAAAAGAAAGAGCAAAAAGCACAAAGTTCAATTCACAAAAAGAGCATATAATCCCATAAATCCTACTATAACTCTCTATCCGTCAATAAATACCAGACTACCACTACACTAATAATTGAATCGGCCAGTCTTCAGCGAACTGGTGTGAGTCCTTGCTTTGGGCCGGTATTTGGATGATGAATTGCTCGAGGCTGGGATAACGTGTACCGCGGCGACTCAGGTATATCGCCCATTGGAAGCTCGGTGTTGACATTCTGTCCTGGACGTAGGTCTGAGGCAGGAGGCCATTAAATAACTGACTATCGTAGGCCAGCAATGGATCAACGAGAATGTTGGTAGCACTGGGCAGTCTGGTGGATTACGAGAATTAGTGGGGGTTGCGATACATGCCAGCTTTGGGTGGAGACTCCCATCCGTATCTCTTCTTTTTTTTTTTTTTTTGCGCTTATTTTGTTGGTGGTTCTGTGGTTGCAAGGTTGAGATACGACAGATCGATGGCAAGTCTTTTTTATTTGTTTTATGCTTTCGGTTGCAATGATACAGTACCCAGAAATGGTCGTATTTTTATTTGACAATGAGGAACAGACTTCGATCTTATTTCCGTTGTTAAGAAGAGCCGGGATATATATCAAAAGCAAGACTGGCACGGTTCACAAGAACGTGAAAGACGACAGAGAGGCGTATCGATTACATCGTGATCGTTCACTAGACGGGTATGGCCTGACAAGTGCAATTGAGTCGAGTACCATAGTTGGCAAAATAAGATAAAAAAGGATTCGGTAAAAGAAAGTGCGAGGGTCTCGGAGGAATTGATTGCCGAGAAGTGCATGCAAGGAAGAAGGGTTCAGTTGATAGTTTGTATGAATACGGAAAAGGAGCGATGGAATACCACGCCGTTTGAAGGTACAGGAAGAGAAAGGAAAATAAGCGCGTTTGTTCATCTCTTCTGTCGTTGTCCTTTACATACCATTGGACATCCCTTTTGAAGATGACAAAGAGCAAAGTGAAAGGAGAGAGAGCAGTCGGATCGGAATTGCACGTGCAAAGTATGGGGAAGATGTATTCACACTTTGGTAATAAATGGACTGGAGAACATACACACACGCAACACACGACAAACAATGAAGGGTGAATTGCATCCGTGGAAAACAAAAGGTAGTGCGGAGCAACAAAAGAGTGCGGGACCTTCTTTCGGTTAACGTCAAGGGTAGAGAAGCGAAACGAGGTTGTTGTTGATTTCATCCTCTAATCGGTTCTGTGTGGGGAAGGCAAGGAGGAGAATCAAAACAAAGCACTCAATGGTGCTAGAAAGGCCATTCGTAACAAATGGTTACCCTACTGAGGAAGGGAGACGAGCCGATATGTACAAATGAAAGGAACAGCAAAGAGAAACGGAGGCAAACAAAACAGAAAAGCAACATGGTAGGGATGTACAAACACAAACAGAAGAGGGATGAACTAAGAGGAAGAAAAGAAACAAGCGAAGCGAGCTGCAAGAAGCAATCGATCGTGTTTTTTTTGTGTGGACATGGAGCGGATTCCAAAGGGCGAGTGGACACTGTTGTTGTTGTTCCTTGTTTGTTCCTTTGTTTGTGTGCGGTTGATTTGTACTTTCAGCTTGATTCTTACATTTCAATGCTCCATTGAGCCTTAGGGAGGTATTTAACCTGTCCACTTTTTCACGCCCCCCGTTTCTCTTTTCTCTTTTCTTCTTCTTTGTCCACTCCACACCACCACCACTCTTCAACCAAACCCACTCCCCTCCACTCACAAACAGCAACAATGTGTAAGTCCACTCTTCATCACTCGCTCACACATTGTTAGCCTCGCCATTGCTCTTGCATGGAAGAAGGTTGTCTTGCCTTGCACACGACAGCTATACCACGACAATAAACAACAGCGACCTCGGCTTCCCAGCCATCTCCGGGGTGTATCGACCCACACTCTACCTGCAAGATAGCCTACCAGGATGGACATCACCTTTCGCCTATCTTGAAACCCCACTCTCAAGTCCCTCTTCGGTGTCCGGGCCAATTTCTACAAGTGCTGTCGTCAATGCAGTTCATAACCAACCGAGACGGGAAAAAGTCGACTCAGGATTGCCAGCAGCTGAGAATTGGGTCACCACTTGCGATCTATACCCTGAACAACAAGCCTGCAACAACAGCAGCAAAGGCAAAAACATCTTCAGAGGCGACGTGGTGTAGATACTACCATTTGTATAACCAACCGTGTTGACTCGGAAAGTAAATTAATCCGTTCCTTTCTTCGCACCCCTCTTTTACAGCTCTTATCGTCGAAGGTTTCCAATCCTCTGCTCTCCTCTCCCAGATCGACGAGCAGCTCAAGGCCCTCCCCGAGGCCGAGCGCAAGGAGCAGGTCAGCAAGGTCAAGGGTGTTTACCAGTTCAACGTCAAGAACAAGGCCGGCAAGGTCGCCACCTGGACCTTTGACTTGAAGAACGGTGCCGGTGCCGTGCACAAGGGAACCGTCGACAAGCTCAAGGCCGACATCATCATCGAGATTGCCGATGAGGACTTTGTCGCTCTTGCCGACGGCAAGGCCAACGGACAGAAGCTCTTCATGTCTGGAAAGATCAAGGTCAAGGGTAACGTCATGATGGCCACCAAGCTCGACGTTGTCCTCAAGTCTCTCAAGGACAAGGCTGCTGTCAAGGCCAAGTTGTAAATACTTTTTCTCTTTCCCTATTTTCTTGGTTCACTATTGAAAAAAGGTGCGAGAGGTTTTTCTACCTTTCCTTCTCGCGCTTTTGTACCTCGATTTGAGATCTCTCTGCGAATAAATCCCCAATGTATTCTATCTTCACTTTTGTGAATCGATTTCTTTGTTTGAACGAGTTGACGAAAGTGAGAAGAGAGGAGAGACGTAGCACAGAAGCATGTGTGTGTCCAAGATGGATTGAATTAAGCTGTCAAGACCATCTTTTTCAAGTGAAAGGGTGCAAGATTTCTCTCTCTTCTGATGACCGCACGCCCTCTGTTTGATCTCTCTCCACACAGAATGGTGACACCTCTTTTGCACATGTTACAATCAGAATCAAAAAATTGATCCCTTCGCACCCCTTAACTTGTATCACGTGTTTAGTGAGACTGCCAAATCGTTGCAATGGCAAGCAAACAGATCCCTTTCTTTTTTTTTTCTTGCATCTTTCATTCGAGCAGACAACCAAGGAACAGTACCCGCACGCACGCCTTTCAACAGGAGAACTCATCGCACATCCAAACAGGAACGGAAAAGAACGAACAGAGACTTTCCATCAACAAAAGTAACTCATACCCTCATTTGTCACCGCACAGTCTTGCATTCCCCGTGACTTGACCCGAACTACAACAACACCGGACGCCACCAAAACGAACAAAACAACTACACGCATACCAACACACACACATAGCCATGGCCTCAATAACCACAGAAGAAGAGTCTAAGCTCCTCATCGTCCTCCCAGGAGACCAACTTCCCGAATCAGGCCTTATGGAGGACTCGTCAGCAGCACACCGTTTGACACTGGGACCAGGTTTGGCACCCATGGATGACGACTCTATTACTGCGGTCAAGGCGGGGATCCTTAAACATAACGCTGTCGGCAACCGGTGGTGGGTCGAAAGCAACCAGCGTCGGGTATGTTCTTGTCTATTTTGCAGCATTAAGTACAGACAGCTCTTAAAGTCTGCATCGGCGTGGGAGTCTATTTGTCGTGTTTGTCAACAATTCTGACATCTTCAATTCCTTATATTACTTTTCCATTGATGAATAGTATGTGGCGGCACAGGGAGAGTCGATTATTGGAGTAGTCACTGGAAAGTCTGTAGAGCATTACAAGGTCGACATTGGAGCTTCTCAGCCGGCATTGTTGGGCGTTTTGGCCTTTGAGGGTGCCACCAAGCGCAACAAGCCCAACCACAACGTACGTCTTCTATTTACATCGGCATCTTGGATAACGGGATCTTTCGTTTCACGAATGACTGTGCGATGTTCACTATCTTAAATGACGCCCAGCCGTTGGCATTTTTGAGACTAACCTCCGCATTTGAATTTCCTATAACAACAAACAGATCGGAGATTTGCTGTACTGTAGAGTATCGATGGCCAACAAGGACATGGAGGCCGAACTGGAATGCATGAACCCAACCACAGGAAAGGCCGATGGGTTTGGAGAACTCAAGGGAGGATTTGTGATCAAGATCTCATTGGGTCTCGCACGTCGGTTATTGGATCCCAAAAACTTGGTGCTGAGACTGTTGGGACAGCATATCCCTTTTGAGATGGCTGTGGGTACCAATGGCAAGGTTTGGGTCAACTCTGCGAACGCTCAGCATACGATTTTGATCTGTAATGCGATCCGGAACTCGGAGTATTTGAACTCTGCAGAATGCTCTGCGATGGTCAAGAGCTTGGTTGAGAAGATGTAAGGGAAGTGTTAGAGACGCATTTTGGGAGTTAAGAGATTGGAGCAGGAGTAGAGGCAGGTTGGGTCTGCGGATTAGCATTGAACTATTAAACACACAACAACACCACGAACTAGCAAGAGTTCGTTATTTTGCATTGACTAAGTTTTTTTCTTTTTTATCTGATAACGAGCTCCTTATCATGACGGTCCCTCTTGCAAAACGACGCCGCAGAGCTCGGGACGATAATGCGTTCCAATACCCGAGTGCGTTGGGTTAAAAAATGTTGTAATTACAAGAACCGTTCACCGGTGTTGTGGTTTCGAAGGAAGTCTTCAGCAGTAATGGGGTTGAGCACTTTGTGTACGACGAGTGTATGCGTATTTTCATTTTGTGCAATGACTATCGTACCTCAGCTGCACTTTCCTAAACTAGCGGACAGAGGTGAGGTACAATCGATAGGTGAAGGTTCTCCTCGTCTGCCTCTTGTATACCAACAGAGCGGGCGTCATGGCGCGATTGGATTAAGTAATGGATTCAACTTTTCTTTGTTCAATTGCCCAATAGCAGGCACGATGACTTTCTTGGTTGTTTCCCTCTATCCTGCCTAAGTGCTGTTCCTACTGCGCCCGGAAAATTGATTTCGTTCAACGAGCCTTTTTTTGCGTGTGAAGACGAGTCAGGATTTTGATTGGTTGATCTGACCTACCCTCTTATTATCAGGACGCGCAACCTGCAACACTGTAGGAGTTCCTGGAGACAACCTCACCTCCACGACGTTCTGGCTCTTCTTTTCTCTCTGCTTTCATACACGTCAGGAGGTATAAGCGGCGGATGTCGATTCTATGCTTTTCATTGGCTAACAGCAGCATGTAGGTTTGAATGCTTGTTCATTAGTGACGCAGCTCAACGTCTCCGAACCTCAGATTCGCTCGATTGAAAAAAGAATAATTCTTGTGAACGCTCACAGCTTCGTCGTCGCCTTTCTTGACCAAGATGAGGCTCTCTTTAGGTCTTTTCGAGTTCACTTGTACGATGAATAGATAATTGGCTTGAGGGGTGGGGTTTGTACGATAGTGGGCATTGAATGCGGGGAACGAGTATATAAGGGAGCGACAATCGCCATGTTTCTCATAGTTCATCATCACAAACAGCAACTCTTCTTTTCAACAACACCACCAAACCAAAACCCCTAACTCCCCCAACCGAGCACCAACAAACAAAACAAATGACTTCCACCCGTCGCGTCGCCCTCGTTACTGGCTCTTCTCGCGGAATCGGCCGCGCCATCGCCCTCCGCCTGGCCGAAGACGGCTTCAACATTGTAGTCAACTACCACTCCAATGCCGCCAAGGCCCAAGAAGTCGTCGACCTCATCTCCAACACCCTCCCCACGTCCACCAATCTTAACCCGGTTCGTGCGATTGCGGTGCAGGCTAACATCGCCGACATCGACCAGGGCAGGAAACTCCTCGCGGAGACAATCGCGGCGTTTGGGCGTTTGGATGTTGTGGTCTTGAATGCCGCCTGGTTGTACTACGAGTCGATCCATGATATGACGGAAGAATCGTACCTTGAGGCATTCGATACTAACGTCAAGGGTCCCATGTTCTTCGCGAAACTCGCCCACCCCCACCTCGCCAAGGCCCAATCCACTCCCATCCCCAACACCGCCGGCGGAGCGCGCATCATTACGGTCTCAACAACCCTGACATCCCTATCTCTCGTCCAAGGAGACCATTTCCTCTACTGTGCGACCAAGGGAGCACTTGAACAAGTGACCCGCACTCTTGCCAAGGACAAGTCCTTTGGCGGGTCCGGAATCACGGTTAACAGTGTTGCACCAGGACCGATTGATACGGAGGGGTTGAGACAGGATATTAAGGATGAGGCGGCGTTGGGGTTCTTTGCAGGATTGCATCCCGAGGGGAGGTTGGGGGAGGTTGAGGATGTTGCGGGAGTTGTGAGGTTTTTGGCGAGCGATGCTGCTAGGTGGGTTAATGGACAGATTTTGAGGGTCAACGGCGGTATGGCCGTTTAGTAATGAGTCTCTTTTTTCTTTTCTCACTTCCTGGTAGTGAAGATCGGTGGTAGTTGTAGCCAAAGTATGTAACTTTCTTGGATAGCACACTATCAGACTTTTGTTTTCGTATTTTTGCTCACCACCGAAGAAATAATACAATCGCTTTGCACAAATCACACACTACACGTCTGAAAAAACAAGTCGTTTTGGTCAATTGTATTTTATTATCCTCCCCAATCACAACTGGGCCTCATTCTTCTTGAAAGCAGACAACTACGTTGAGAGATCTTTGAGAGCGACACAGACACAGGCCTTCTGGTGTCCATTGTACTACCGAATAGTACCCCCAGACGATAACTGCCACCAAGCGCAACAATCCCAACCACATGGACAAAAGTCACAACAATAGCTACATGGAGACCAAGTACATGAGCCTGGTCCCCATCCTTTTCGCGGCGAGGAGATCGAGCGCAAGAATTAGCGCCATATCCGTGTCCCCTGTGAGGAGATTGACTACAAGACCAGTTCATCCAGCCCGTGTCGGCGTAGGCGGACACCCACAACGCACATCCACACACCCATTTAATTTTCCAATGCCACTGTTCCACAACATTTAGCACCAACGGTAACAAACTCCACCAGCGGTAAAAAACTAGCATTTGCATTGTCAACAACAGCAACAACGGCATCATTTTCGTTTTATCGTAACCAAAAAGTAGTACTTTTCAGCCCAATACCTTGAATTTCCTTGTAAGTAAAAACCTCCATCTGAATTTATTGTTGATTTGTGTCAAAAGGGAATGTCTTGCTCCAAGGCCATCTCTTACTTTGATCTGTCGATCCTTTTTTTTATTTATTTATATGTAATGATGCCCGTCTGTGATTATCCAACTAATAGTGGTGCTGTCTAAGTGTTCCTCGTACGCACACGTAGTCTGCCTTGCTCAGTAACGCATCCTAAACCGTACCATGCACGTGAGGATGGTACAATCCGTCCTCATCGGGTCAGGAACGACGATGTTCTGGCGTACTTCGCCCAGGCACAGACAGTGAGAAAATGGTTTTCTGCACGTGACACATAAAAAAAGGAGTAAAAAAGTGTTCATTTTTCTCCTCTTCGCGCAGGCGCGTTCTCCCTTTCCTCTGCTTCCCACAACCACGACCACACTTGCTACCCTCTAGCCTTGTTACATTCGTCAACCTCCCTCTCGCTCGAATGTGCCTGTAACTCCCTCACCACTTTTCCACCTGTCGCACAACCACAGCTTGAATCAGATTCACACCAAGCTGAATCCACCCTCATCAATACTCCACTCGAGATCACCCCCCTCCATGTACTTTCCTCCGACTGCCAACTCTACCGCCAGCTCAACTGGAGACTCGGCCTGCGACGCAGACGACGAACCTCGTTTCTACCCCCCACTGTGGCAACAACGCCGAAACCTCGCTCGTCGCATCCTCGACGAGAATCATGCCACCTCGGTACGTCGACAAAGGCTTTTATACTTATTTGTGTGTGCGCTAATGTTTCCATTGGATTTTTGTGACAGTATGGGCTTGATCTTTTGTGTTCACCTATCTAACAACCTCCCCCCCCCCCCCATTCAATCTAGGTGATTGACTTTGGGTGTGGAGAGGCAGCGCTGATATCGCTGTTGATTTGGGAGACTACAGGAGACTATCCAATAACCCATTTGGCTGGTGTCGAACTGAAAGAGGATCGCCTTCAACTCGCGCGCGAAGCATGTCAACCCCAAGACTTTGAGCTGGGATCCAATCTTCGTGTCAATGAGCTCACCATTGATCTCTTCCAAGGCTCTATTGACCAGCCCGACCAGCGCCTCATTGGATATGATGCCCTTGTCTGCCTTGAAGTGTGAGTACCGCTCTTATTAACCACACCTCCTTTTCCTGATGTTCACATTCTAATCATATTAGCTTTTTGTGCAACAAATAACAATAGGGTTGAACATTTGGACCCACCTGTGCTGGATAAGTTCTGGAGCGTCGTTTTGGGATCACTCAAACCCAAGATGGTCATTGTGTCCACACCAAACGCCGAGTTCAATATCTACTTTCCTCAGCTCAACTATGGAAAGCTCAATGCCATCTTCCGGAACGACGACCACCGCTTTGAATGGACGCGTCAAGATTTCCAAGACTGGTGTGTGTCTCCTACTGTTTCCCGTGTTAGTATACGTGACTAACACTGAGCAACATTTAATTAATTACGCTCTTCTTTCTCTCACTGTGACAATAGGTGCAATGCTGCTGCTGGACAGTACGGCTACGATGTGACATACACAGGGACGGGTGCACTTCCAGGATACAACCCTGAGATCGGTCTCTGCACCCAGTTTGCAATTCTCCACGCTCAGAACCCTACACAACAACCTGCATTAGCGTCACTAGGTGCCAGCACAGAGGATCAGCCGTATCGTCTTTTCTCACGAGTCGAATACCCCATCTACAAAGAACAGCACTCGGATGAAGAAATCCTGGGATATCTTCATGAATATATCGCTTGCATCCGACCACGGTTACCTGAACCATACGATGAGACGGACGACATGGGTCACCACAATGAAACCTCATATGGGGATGCGGGTGTCGGTTATGGCGCGAAATCTTCTTTAGATCAGCCAGATGGCACCTCTTCCAACACCACAGCGGACGATCCACCAAACGAGACCAGTGTTGAACTTGGAGTTGTCTTACTAGAGGACCTGTGGATTGTCCTTGGTGTAAGGCAGCGATGCAAGAACAAGACGAACATGATCCGCATTCTCAATCTGAGTTCCTTGGTCAGGGTCGAGCAAGAAGCAGGATTGATACGGTTTGACGAGGATGACCCTTACTGGAAGGAAGCTGACAAACCTTTCGAGGCTGCTTATTCTCAGAACGATGAACAGCTCAGTCCAAGAGGATCTGACAATGGCGACTGGAGCGACTCGAGTTTCTACAAAGGCGAGAATGACAATTTTGAGGGTGAGGACGAGGCAGAGAGAAAGCCTTACGGTTGGGCATACCAAGATTTCACGGACCAGGAGGTAGAGCAACAATTTGACGTGCCTCTGGACGACAGGGGATGGTCAGCTTGGAGTGATCCGCCTGTTACTGAGGATACACCGGAGTGGTACAGTCCGAAATAACGATCGACCGCTATTTTCACATACTGGTACCCTCATTTTAGAATAAACGCTCTTGCTAGATGTTATCTGATAGTTGGTACCAATTGTTTGCACATCTTCACTTTTCCGTGTGCCGTTCCTCTGACGTTGTTCACACAATCAAATGTTCGTTTGGACGCGAAAGTAGTCCTGGCTAAAAAAAAGTGTCAAAGAACGCCGCCCTGAGCTAACGACGCGTTTGTAGGTATCGCTTTTTGCAACCACTCACCTTCAACCCACTGTTCCCACCATGCGGTCCTTTCTCCTCCCAGAACTGATTGCAACAGTTCCCATTCACTACAACTAGCATGATCTAACCCGCCTGGTCTTCATCAAGAAGGGGCTGAATGCACTCTTCACCCCCCTTCCTCTGGAATACCCCCGCCACCTATGACCTCAACCAACATTCACTTCTTTGGACCAAAGAGGCGGAAGGGGCCGCTGCCCGCAACGACTATTTCGTCCGCACGCTCTCTATCCGATCGGTAGATTAAGGTGTCCTCAATCTTCTGCACAGGAACACCCCGCACCCGCAACACCTCAACTTGACCTGCCTTGAAGTCAGCCTGAGCCCGGTCTTCCCGTTAATATTTGAACAGCCCGCCAAGGTTCCTGGAGAAGTAGTCTCAACTTCGAGAGTTACATATTGATGGCATTCCATCAGAGGGCATTGTGAGACTGTTTAATATCATTTTCCAGTTCCTTCCTAGACTCAGGACTCGTTTTACCTGTTCCAAAACACCGCCCTCTTGGTCCACCCTGTCGTGCTACGGGGATGTCTCTGAGACCTGTCCCATAGAAATGAAGGTGCTGTCGCTGAGACTCAACTGTAGCCAGAGAGAGGCGAGTGAGCTTTTGGAAGAACTGAAGGTCAGGGCGCCTGCATGATCAAGACAGCACCCAAAGCTCAAGGGGTTTTCATTTCGACACGGCTTTGTATGATATTGTAAAGGACAGGCAGGTCTTGCCTCTGGTCTTGATCCCGTTCTTGAAGGGGTGTACTAACCTGGAGGTGATCAATGTTACTGTGCCTTTTTCTTCACCTTGAAACATCTAGTCAAATAGCAGTCTGGCCTCTTTAGCTCCAGCGGTTGGATCAGAGTAACATCGTCCACCGCCGAGCGGGAGGTGGCTGTGACGATGGTGGTCTTCAGTTTGGTTTTACATGACATGAGCTGTCTATGGCGTCATGTACACTTTCTGTTGACATTAGGTGAAGGGAATACGCATAAACATCTAGTCAAATAGCAGTCTGGCCTCTTGAGCTCCAGCGGTCGGATCAGAGTAACATCGTCCACCGCCGAGCGGGAGGTGGCTGTGACGATGGTGGTCTTCAGTTTGGCTTTACATGCCATGAGCTGTCTATGGCGTCATGTACACTTCTGAAGATTTTGCGACTTTAACACGTTGCATGAAGCACTTTGCCATTACACTTGCTAACTCTTGCTCTTCTACGTGACTGAGTCATTAGAGGTCGTCCACTAATGGCAACGAGTGTTCATCTTGATTGGGCGCTCAAGAAGGAGCCCAAGAAAGAGCATGTGTCCTTTAAGAACTTTGTGATAATATTCGGCCTCACCAACAAGGAGAGCGCACACGAGGCGTACCAGTCACTCATCCATTCTTCACACATCCGTAAAAAACGACGGATGAAGCTTCATAAAGCATACAAGCTCTATCAGGAACGTGGCGAAGACACATTTTGGGCAAGCCGTACATTGAAAGCCGCCGATCATATGCTGTTAATCACCAGTGCAACTATCGCCAAAAAGGCAGGATGTATGGTCCAAGAAGCGGGCCTTAAGGAGGCAAGGGCAGGGTTAGAACGATACCCCACTAATATGCCGAACATGGAGCCTTTGGAGGTGGTTGATGTTTCAGAAGAGAAGGGGGAGGATGAGGAGGAGGTAGTCGGCTTACTAGTCAAAGGTAAGAATCATACAGTTTCTCTATTAACTCGACTCTTAAGTCATTACTGCGTTTATGCTTTTTGATAAAGCATTGAGCCAATGAACTTTGTTGACTCCATTCTAGTGCATTTGCTATTGTAGGAATGGCGGGGTCTTCAGCAACAATCAAGTCGGTATCAACCTTGTCGCCCTTCAATGTCATCAACGCAGGTGAGCAACTCGCCATATACCAATTTGTCCAAAGACCCGTCATTCACTTCGCGTTCTTTATGTTTTGACTTCTTGAACACCTTTTGTTATCATTTTACCAGCTGGCCGGAAGCGTCTACGCGATCCATATGATGAAGACTACAGAAACCCGCTCGGTAATATTTTGATTGATTGATTGATTGTATTTTGGAAATATATTTCGATTGTACTGACGCGACATGAATAATAGGAGCTCCCTCATCCTCGGCACGGACACAGCCATACCAACACGGGTCGGGACCTTCATCACCCACGATGCCCCCTCCAGAACGCCCTCGGTTCCAAGAAATAACAACAGATGGCGAGGACGAAATATCTAACCCTCACGTATCTGACGTCTTTCAAGACGATACGCCGCCAACAGGAAAATCCCCAAGCGAGACATGGATTCAGGAGAGACCTGCATTCACATTCAGGCTGCCACTTCGGAACGACTGGGGTCCAAAGGTGACGGAGTTATACGATGCGGCCAGGGCCAAAAAATCCTTCACTCACAAGAACTTGGATGAGATCTCGTAAGTGTTGACCAGTTGAATGGATAACATTTGCAATATGCAAACTGAAGACTGGTTCTCATAAGGCATATTATATTTTGTGTTAGGTTGCTGACTGGAGTCTTGCACATCAACAAGACCCACATTGGATTGAATGCGGATGATATCGCTGCTGTTCGAAGAGATATCCTTGCACGGTTTTACTCTCCTCGAATGCAAGCAAGGGACAAGGAGCGGGCTGAACATGCAGCCACGTTTTGGAACTCCATAACACAGGTTTGTTGCCTGTTTTTTTTTGCTACTTTCTTAATAATCTTTTAGTATTAATTGTTAATGATCTCTCTCATTTTTTCTCCAATGAACGGGTAGAAATGGAACTCTATGAAGCTGCGACATGAGCTTGGCAAGGCGTCTGGGGCACCTGGCTTGGCGGACCTCTCTATGCAGCCGGTTTTGGACATGATCATGGAAGCTTACAATACATGCAAAGACCAACAGATCCTCCCGCTTCATACAATTGCACAGTATGTGTTCCGCCATTTGGATGACTGGGGAACGCTTGAGAGCGAATCGGATGCTATGGCTTCTGTCATTACTCCAATTCTCCAAGAGTTCATGACGGTACCAGGTCATATCAAGTTCAAATGGTACATATATCTACACTGTCAGTGTCGGCATGTCGTTAATTTATGGGATGACCCTTACTCACCAGCTGCTTTTACTATTGATAGCCTTAATGCCTCCTGTACTGCCGGAAGGACCAGGAAGGCGACATTGGAGCATGATGGACAGGCGCGGCAACCTGATGTTGTTGGTCGAACAAAGGACAAGCGAGAGGCATACTTCGGCGAACTGAAAGGACCCCACCCAAGAACATCATCCAAGGATGCTGATCTGCTACGACTGACAGTGTTCACAAAAGACGCGCTCGATTCTTTCTCTAACGAACTTGAGCAGGATCCACCGATCTTGTCCTTTCAGTCTGTGGGTCGTGTTGTCACCTTCTTCCTAGGTGCAAAAGTTGATAACACAGTTGTTCATGCTCAACTCTCAGAGGTCAGTCTACCATCTCTTCTGACGGAACTGAGCCTTGATCAGGAGGTTTTCTACCACCTGTTCCAAGTGGAAACATTGGTGCGCGTCACAAGGGATCGGTTGGAGCGAAAAAGGGACAGACCCTTAACCGATGTTCCATTCCCAACACTTGCGATACCCCAGCGTAACGCTGCCTTGGGAATAAAGCACAAACGCAAATAGGCCGAGTTGGAAATCGACAAAATGGCGTCATCGATTTTAGTATGTGGAGTGCTGTACAAGTATGTTTATGTCACGAACCATCCCGGGCCTGTCATAACCAAACTGGTTTGACTCTGCCACTTCCTAACACCTAACATCGAACTGTGAGTGAGACGATTATTAATAAGCGTGAGTGTGAGAGAGTAATGTCTTTGTGCTCATGTATAAAAGTCAGAGAGATAATTGAGCGACATTTTCTTCAGGATTGGTTGCTTGTTTTTCAGTGGCGCACTTTTTTGGAAAGTGCTTGTTATATTGTGTAGCAAGCGATTCATGCAATCGTGTATGATCTGTGAAAATGCTTGTTTCTGTTGCTGTAGTTGTTTTGCTCTTTTTATTGTTCATCATAGGTGTGAGTAAATTTCTGAACTGAGGTTATTATTAGATAACGAAGAGGGGCACTGTTTTCTTTTGAGCTTGTGCTTGTTGACCGTTCAGGACTATTTCTTGGTTGGTTGTCCTTTGTTGTTTCTGTCGCTGTTGTTACTGTTGTTAGGCATGTTTGGCCCTATTGGTTTTTTTGAGGAAGATAAGTCAGATTGGGTTGATGCTGATTCAATAGATGAATGTGTACCTCGATTCTGGTGGTTTTTGTTTATTTTCAGTTTGTCTGCCTTCGTCTCGTTGACGTTGGTGACATGTGTGATAGACGTGGCCGCGGTGTTGGCAGCGGGTGCAGAATTTGCAGTCTTTTGTTATGTGTGATTTGTTCCAACCACATCCTTGACACCAGTTGTTGGCGCTGAGAGGAGGACGGGATTGTTGTTTCATGTTGTTACGAGGATTGAGTGGATATTGTTGTTGTTGTTGTGGGTAAGGTGGGTAATGTTGTTGCTGTTGACAGGGTGGATAGGGGGTTGCTATTGTAGTATGAACCAAAATAATAGAGCAGTATTTTTTGTTGAAATGTAATGCGGTTTTTAATAATTGCAAAGGTAATTATCTAGTTTGCGATCGACAAAACTGAAGGTTGGGCCGCTCTTGCTTCAACAACTTAATCTGGGGCGGCCAATGAACAGAACCACGTCGCCTCTCCTGTTCAGAAATAAACTCGATCGTCTCCAGACGCGGCCAGTTCTCCAAGATCCATTTCACCTCGGCCTCACCCACCATTTTCTCCATCTCTTGATTACTCAATAGGAAGGAGCCCAATAGGACGCGGAGGTTCTTGAGTTTGACAAGGCATTCGAGGAACCCTTCACGGTTGGAGTTACGGAGGGCGAGCATGCAAGTCATAGTTGTTTCTGTATAGGGCTTGCTGGCCATTTTGTTGCTGGCCATTTCGTTGCTGCATGCTGACGTCAGGTCTAAGATCTCGAGATCTTTTAAGTCGCCGAGTTGGGTGTAGAGTGCTTCGAGCATGATGTCTTTGTTGGAGCATCCGCAGTTTAGGTTGATGATGAGTCGTAGTTCCCGGAGGAGAGTACACGTCCAGGGCTTTGCGATTGCATCCTCCACTGTTAGGTATGAACGCATAGTATTGGAGCTCGCTAAGACGAGGGACGTAAGGGCCGTGCAGGTTGTGAGGATATGCTTGACGGACTTGCTCTGGATCCAGTTAATGTCCGCCAAGGAGATGGTGACAAGGGAGGCAGAGTGTCTCGACAAAGACAGGAAAAAGGGTGCCGGCATGTCCGGCTGGTCGGGTGATGTATCCTCAAACAAACGAAAATCGAGAGATTTGAGCTTGTCTTTTGGAATCATGTTCATGATATCCATGACAGTCTCGCCTTTACAGTTCCTGCTGGGGTGTGTCGAGAGATCCAAGAGCGTCAGAGGATATTGTAAGCGACCGCCGAGCTGGTCTGGTGCAAGGGTCGAAGGGACGTTGGCCCATTCTTCCAGTGCGGGGCATTGATCCAGAATAAGGTTCAGTTGCGCGAGTTTGTATCCGGTTTTGTGTTGTGGCAGCTTGAGGTATTTCAAGCCTGTAAAAAGTTTATCCTCCCAAGGTCCTCCTGCATTATCGCCGCACACGGTCGTCGTCATGCTGAAAGAGACAAGGGAGGTTGGGCAACTGAAGAAGACTCTGGGGATGATAGAAAAAGGAGGTTCAAAAGACCCCTCAGGAATAATGTCCACTTCCAAGTGAGCGAGTTTCGAGAGGCAGGAGATGGCCCGACACAGAGGGAGTGTATTAGTCGGGTCAGTATTATTCAGGTCAGCCGGGTCTGCGATCAAGACTTGAAAATGCCGGAGGCTAAGAGAGGTGAGGTGGGCAGCATTGAGGGTTATGAACTGGAAGAGCTTGGGTGCAAGCGGAAGGGCATTATTGAGACCTGCAAAGAAGGTGTCTGGGTATCGGGGCACTCGAAGTAAAGAGACGTCGAGGCGATGTAATTGTTTGATGAGTGGGAGTGGGGTTGAGAAGATGGCGGTTTGATGGGCTGGGATCCATGAAGGAGGTATGTCCTGCTGGTGCTGTTGTTGCGGCTGTGTGCTGTCGTTATCGAGGTATTGTCGTACACCCTCGAGGTAATAAGACATGAAAGCGAATCCCGCCTTGAGTGAACGGGTCTTGTTGATATTGGAGTAAGAAGCGACCTTCGAGAGTAAGATCCTTCCGTCGTATTCATCGTTGTGTTTGACGTGATAGATGGGGTCGTAGTGGGTGTAGAGCATTTCGACACGGTGGTCGGCTTCAAGATCGACGTGGCGCCAGAGGGAGGGTTCGGCTGCTTCGCGGAGAAACTTGTTGGTCTGGCCGAGCATAAAGACTTGTTTGGTAGTGAGGAATGAGCAGAGTAAGGAGACGAGTTCTACGACGTCGAAGAATCTGATGAGAGCATGGGGTGGTGGCGATGACATAGTTGAAGGAAGGGTGAGGGGAGGTGCGGCGATGAGTGAAGAAGAGTGAATGACAGGAGGTGGGAGAGGAATGGGAGCGAATAAAATAAAAGAGGAGAGGGGTGGGGTTGTTCCTGAACTTTTTTTAAGTCTTCGCCAAATATAAATGAAACACAAAGAAGAAATCGCCCGCACCCCTTGGTGAGCAAACACAAATGACACAAGGTACAAAGCGAGCATGCTTTGTTGAGCCTCGCCAGTTGTCACTGCCACGGCAATGGATGAAAATAGCAAAGGCAAAAAAAAAACGCTGGCGAGAATGGCCAAGAGCGTTGCTTGATTCATCAACGTTACCTTTTTTTACATTTCTTTTCAAAGAAGGCCATATCTCCTCTACCCTTTTCTCACAACGTTTTCGCACACATAATAGATGACACCCTGCCAGCGGAAATCTGCTATTGATCATCGTCCTTGCTCGCAACGTTTCAGAGTCGCTCTGTTTGTTTATTGTATGAATATACGGGTATCAAGGAAGAAAAACAGGTCATCATTGCGAGTGAACAGGTTCCTCAGCCTTTGAGGTAATAGTACTTGTAGTTATGAAAATAGGCAAGGTGCTTGCACTACCGACCTTCGTGCAACTTTATCCCTATCTTCTTCTCGAGGGTTTGGGGTATCTTGACGAGCGCGCTTTTCCTCCCGCTCGTCCAAGATCGCCTCTGATGGTCGCTTGCTCAACGAAGATCCGATGCTGTCCTCTGTGCTTTGTTCTTTTCCATTCTGATCTACTTGCAGAAAGGCGTGAGCCCTTGCTTGCTGTATATCAAAGTGCACGTCAGGATTCATGTGGAAAACTTGCTCAAAGAAGGCCTTTGCTCTGATCCCTTGTAAGAAAAAGTCGTGAGTAAGCGGACTAAAAGTTGTGGATATTGCCATCAAGACGGACGGCGAGGCCAAAGTCAGCCAGCTTGACTACCCGGGAATCAAGGACGAATAACAGGATGTTGTTGGGTTTAATATCTCAGTCAACAATTGACTCTTGGTGGAGGTAGTCAAGGCCGGCAGCAATCCCTCGCGCGTAATGTTTGGCGTCGTCGAGTGGGAGTCGTTTTGTTTGTCGTAGCGCATCCTCCAAACTCTATTGTCGCGAAGAGAGAACGCAGTGCGTGTTAATAAAATGTAGACACGGTGTCATATACCACTCATTTCGTTGACAATTTGAAGGTACCTTGTTCACATGCTCGAGTACTAGGCATATATGTCCACGCTCCTGGAACGCTGCATGTAGTTTGACGATGTGATAGCTACACAGCTGCGGTATCCGAAGTCGGCAATCCGCACTTTCTTTTCTGAGGCCTTTGTCTACCTTCTGACCTCTCAATTAAAGCATACAGTTGTCCGTCCTCCTCAAGGCTTTGGCCTCGCAGTCGTACTAATTCAAAAACAAGCAAATATAATCAGACATTGTTGGGATCAACTGTGAGCCAAACGTGAAGCAATTGAACTCGTCCCTTTCGACTTACACTGTCCTTCTTGTTGGGATCATCGGTATCGCAGACCTTCAGAGCGTAGAGTTTACCGTCCAACTGAACTTTGAGTACCGACCCGTATCCGCCCTATATTGTTGACATAACAACTTTGCATGAGTTCAAATGCTCACAAAAGCGACGTTGTCTTTCCATTATCTTGTTTCAGGAGGTGACTTACTGCAGCAATCGGTCGCACGACATCGTAGGTCTTCTTTCCCTTCCAGTCACGATACCGCTTTGTTGTTCCAATGCGCGAGAGAAAAAGAACGCGAACGTTAATTTGTTTTGTTCGTTACGTGAATGAGCTGGAGCATGGCAAAAGACGCGCGACCTAATCACTTTTTTTTTACATTCGCATGTCCACTTTGGACTATGAAGGTACCTTGTATGGCACAACGTATCCTGGAGGGATATTGATGGGGACGGTAGTGAGGAGAGGAGAAGGGGCGACTTTGACTGAAGGACCCTGTGTCGTTGTGGCCCCTGCCTTGTCTTTTGCATTTTGTGTGGCAGCTGGAGGCGAGCGTTAAGGCTCTTCTTCTACTGGCATTTGTCTTTACCTTTGGCGATTGTTCTTGCTGTTCGTGTTGCAGAGACGGTTGTTCGTTGTGGATGGTTTTATCAATAAAGGGGAAAGAGGGAAGGAGTGAGTGGAGCGCGGTTAAGTAGATGGAGGCAGCGAAATGGGACAAAAATGAAGTCGCAGACCAAAACAATAATCACAAACGGATTACATGTAAGAGTTAACAGTGGGAGAGACACCACCCTGACAGACAGACAGATTGAGACTATGTCCTCCGCAAAGAAAGATGTATGGTGTGTCCTATGCTTAAGACCATCATCAGATACAAATAAAAATCTCAAGTCTAATATCAACGCGCTGTTCTACACACACCCCCATGGTCAACTACTTTATTTCCAACTCTCACCCTTTGGTAGTTGCGTGTCCTTGTAATTGCACACGCTGCCAATTGGACAATGTTCGACTATCGACATCATTTCACCCCCCGTCATTTTCAAATTCAGAGTTCAGGAACAAAGACCTTGGCGAAGCTTTTCGTCGGTGGTGATTCGCTCGTTCGTCCTCTTGCTGCTTCGCCAAAATGGACTTTGGTACGCTTTCCTAGCTTTGCCATTGATTCTAACTTGCCATCTCGTGGGTCCACGGTCCGCTCACCTAGCCTCGCCAAAGTCACTTTCCATTCGTTGATCAAAAGTGAAGGAAGGAGGGAGGAGAGAGAGAGAGAGAAAACCAAAGGAAGAGGGTCAACAGAGGTATTAAAAATAAAAAGGCGGTTCATGGTAGTCGGGACAGTTCAAAGAGAGTGGTGCCCTCTCTTTCACTCTTACGAAGATTGGCGCTCGAGTGGACAACCCTGGCGAAGGAGAGGTGAAGAGGAACAAAGAACTAGAGGGAGTAGAAAGGATCAAAGATGAGGGAAGCGAGGAGAAACAGACACCACCAGTCCGTATATTAGAAGTGGTATGGATTGAGGGATTGAGTGCCACAAGGCTTTTTCTCTCTTTGTCTCTTTGTGCACACTCCCCCTTCTTTCCCCCTTTCCTTTCTAACCGTTCTTTTTGCTTTTCTTGCTGCATCCCTTCTTCTCTCTTCTTCTCTCTTCTTCTCTCTTCTTCTCTCGTTACATTCCCTCCTTCCCCTCCTTCATTCCTCTTACATCCCACCCTTTCCTGACCCCATTCCTCTCAGGTACAACTGTGCTTGCATCCCTGCCTACCCTTCGTACCTTACTCCCATCGCCCCTCATCACCAACAAGAACGCACTGTGCACCGTCTGGTCATTCATCAACCCCAGGTCACAGTCCATCCCTTCATCGCTCGAACATACGCACCAACCCGGATCGTGGGACTTGCCTGTAGGTAGGTGGAATATTCTTGACACGAAAAACACGAAAAGGAGTTACCGTCACCCGACAACCAAAATAATTAACCGTTCAATTATCACTTTGCGCGTGAAACGTAATGCCTTGTAGTGCCTCCTCGCCTCAAAGGCAGGCTACCACACTCGTTCGAGATTTCCCCTGCTGTTTCCCCTCTTTGTTTCTTCAGGAAACACCACGAAACACTATAGGACTCCCCCTGGTATGCTCTCAGTTTTTTAATCGTGCCTCTGTCGAGAGTCTTTACGCTGTGTTGCAAGCCTCAGCATCTAACCAATCGATATTCTGTTGATAGGTCTCCTCCGTAACGGAAACACACTGACTCCTTAGTGGTAACACACGAATCACCCCTTGTCAACCAGCAAACACCAAAAAGCAAAGGCGGGTCCACACTTAACCAAGGTAACCCATCGACGTCTCACTTCTATGCCTCTTTCTATTTAAATGTCAAAGATGGAAGAAATTAACCCAAAATCGCTCTTTTCTGCTGTGCTTAGTCTTCGACACTACCGACAAAAGACCCTACCCGCCTATGCTGCGCAGATACGAGGGCGACAAAGATTACAACAAGCGTCCTTGCTACGATCCACAAGAACTTGCGCGTAAAATGCAAGCCGCCACAGAGGAACAAGTGCTGAAGTTGAAGAGAGTATGCCTGGATGTCCCAGAACCCGTGATCTATATTGAACCATTCGGCTATGATCGACCACTCGGCGTCATGCGATCACACAATAACACCAGCCTGGACGCCCCGGACCCTCAAACAAAACCCTTGATGTCGATAGCGCAAGAGTTCTTGGACAGCAACAACAAGGTCTTGTTGCTCATGGGCGATCCAGGTTCCGGCAAGACTGTCTTTGCCAAGCAGCTGGAGCGCGAACTGTGGGGGAAATACAATGGCCCCAACGACGCCATCCCTATCCTCGTCAATCTACCAGAGTTCACCAACACAGCCAACGATTTTCTCCGGCAAGTGCTTAAGTCCAGAGGCTTTCACCCTAATCACATCCAGTTCCTGAGGCGCCGTGATCGCCGGTTCATCCTGATTTGCGACGGATACGACGAGGCGCAAGTACAGGGAAACATATACAACCAAAACAAATTCAACAGTGACGGACAATGGAAAGTCAAACTGATCATCGCCTGCAGGAGCGACAAAATCGGACGCTCAGACGGACGATTTCAACCCGAGGCGAACGACCGGTACAGCGGCCAGAAACTCGACGAATTTCAGAAGGTTGCTACAGCTTCGTTCACGTTTCGACAGATCAATGAGTACATCGAGGAATACGTGGCCAAGCATCTTCAAGTGGCGGTTCGAGAGTCCTCCGGACGTGGTCAGGAATTAACACAGCATTTTTCATCGGAGGTCCAGCCTTCCTCTCAGACCAGTCGTGTTTGGACTGTCCCCCAGTACAAGGAGACGTTGAACGATATCCCCAACTTGATGGAGCTGGTCAAGAACCCATACATCCTCTCCTTCATTCTGAAACTGCTGCCGGTTATCGCAGGATCGCCTCATGATGTTTCACGGTCTAGGGTCTCATTCGACGAGCTCTACAAGTACCTTTTCGGTCACTGGATGAAAGTCGGCAGGCTACGATTATACGGGAAAACGGGGAACTCCGTTGAGCAGCAGGCACTCAGCATGTTGATGGAGGACGGTTTCGAGCAGCGCTGTATGGAGTACTTGAAGGATTTGGCGGTGAATATCTTTGAGAGACAAGGAGGTGACCCGGTTGTTGAGTACGTGCACCTACGCCACAGGAACACGCCGACGAGTGGATGGAAAACCAGGTTTTTCGGTCCGGACCCAGAGTCGAGACTGTTGCAGGAATCGGTTCCCTTGATCAAGTCCGGAAACTTTTACCGCTTCGTCCATCCTTCTCTATTGCAGTATCTCTACTCGTTGGCTGTATTTGATTCTAACGGTTCTAGAGATGATGGTGACTCTGGTGATGACGACCCTCGCACTGGCGGGTGGAGCTCAGGCGATTTCGATTCAGACAACTCGAGAGGTGGCGGAAGAGGTCTTATTTCAAGATCGAATACCTGGTCGCTGTTGGAAGGAGGAACAGCCTCACGACAAGGGAGAGCATCGCAACACGCACCAGCGGTCGAGAAGGAGAAGGTTTTGGAGAAAGGGCGAGCTCTGGAGGAAGGTCACAAGCTGGGCCTCACCAACATTGCGAAGCGCTCAATTACTGTTCAATTTCTTGCCGACCGAGTTCAGAACCACCAATCCTTCAAGGAGCAGTTGGTGGAGACGGTGCGGGAATCCAGGAACAACAAAGGCATCGATCATACGTTGGCAGCAAACGCGATGACAATCTTGGTTCGCTCCGGCATGCGGTTCAACAGCGCCGATCTGCGCGGTATCAGTATCAAGGGCGCCAATCTGACAGGTGGAGAGTTCGACTCGGCCGACTTGCGGGATGCGGACCTGACTAACGTCATCTTCGACAAATGTTGGCTGCGCCAGGCAGAATTTCAAGGAGCCAAGTTGGGAGGAGCGCAGTTCGGAGAGAAGCCTTTGGACTTGCAGAACGTGCCGAATACCGCTGCCTATTCCGTCGACGGTGCCTTATATGCAGTCGCATTCACGAACGGGTCCATCACCATCTTTGACGCCACCAACTGGAACTCCATCCATACGCGCCAGATTTCCAAGAGGAGTGTCACGGCCCTGGCGTTTTCACCGTTGGGTGGACTGTTGGCCTATGGTAACAGGACTGGGATGCTCGGGACATGGAATTACAGCAGCGAAACTTTGATAGTGTTCTCCGGCAAACATGATGACTACATCAACAGTCTCGCGTATTCTCCCAACGGAAGCCAAATTGCCACAGCTGGTGATGACGGAAAAGTTGCGGTGTGGGATGCGGTCACGGGCGGATGTGTGAAGGTCATGGTCGCACACAATGAACGAGCTTCGAGTGTCGCTTTCTCACCTGACGGCAAGTTGCTTGTTTCTGGCGGTTCCGACGGCATCATTCAGCTTTGGGACGTACATACAGGCGACAAGGTTTATACCCAAGAAGGACATGACGAGGCCATATCCAGTATTCTGTTCTCCCCTGACGGACACCACATTGCATCCTCGAGCTCCGACAATACCATACGAATCTGGTCCGTATCGACAAGGCCATGGAGCCTGGAGGCGATCTGTCGTGGACATAGGGAGCGTATTACCAGCATTGCTTATTCGACCGATGGACAACATCTCGCTTCCTGCAGCGAAGACCGCACCATTCGAACTTGGGACCCTCGCACTGGTAGCTCAGGACATATCTTCCGAGGACACACCGACCAAGTCGTTAGTGTCGCTTACTCTCAGTGCGGATCACAACTCGCCTCTTGCGGCAGAGACATGGCCCTTCGTGTTTGGGACTGTCGAGCCGCCGTCAAAGGAGCCGTTCTATTTGGGCGCACCAACAGCCTGCCGAGCGGAATGTATCCCTATTCGACCATTAAGCGACATAACAACGACAGCGACAAACTCATACAGCCAACCCGCCCACGTCCTGCACGCACTTTCGGCTCAGAATCGTTCGGCACGAGAGGCGCGACTTGCATTGCGGTCTCTTCTGACGCCGTTCTGGCTGCCTCGGCGTCGATGAATGGCGGCACCTTTACTATCAATGTCTCGCTCGGAACTACCTCAGAGTATCTGTATGCTTTGAATGGCCACGCGAAGAAGATCTCCAGTATCACCTTTTCTCCCGACAGCCAAACTATTGCATCTGGGGACTCCAATGGGATCCTGCGCCTCTGGAACGCTGAATCCGGCGACGATATCTGGAACCGGAAAGAACACGACGGCAAGGTTATGAGCATCGCCTACTCTTCGAATGGGGAACAAATCGTCACCAGCGGCGCGGATAGCACTGTTCGACTTTGGAAAGCATCGACAGGAGACATTGTCCACAGCTTTGACGCCGAAGGTTGCGAGATTCAGTGTGTCGCTTTCTCGCCAAGTGGCAGTTGGATTGCGTCTGGAGGCGAGGATGGAGTGGTGAGCCTATGGGACCCCGTCAACCTCATTCCTGGACAGGTTTTCGATGGTGGCCACAACTGCAGTATCAACAGCATCGTTTTTTCACCGGACGGCATTCACATCGCCTCAGGAGGAGATGACAATAAGGTCAGGATCTGGAACATCAATACAAGAACGGAAGTGCATGTCTTAGAGGAGCACACGGATCCAGTAAGGTGTCTTGCCTTCTCTCCATCAGGAGAGCGCATCGTGTCTGGCAGTGAAGATTGCACCATGAGAATTTGGAATGTCGCGGCTGGAGTTCTCGAATCGACTTCGGAACATAAGCATGGAGTCGCGACAGTTTCATTTTCCTCGGACGGCGCAAAGCTTTGGACGGGAACAGACGACTACAAGGTTCACCGCTGGACCTTGGATTTCACTGGTCAGGAGACAGCCTTAACATCTACGTCTGCGTTTTCGAAGGATGGGCAGCACGTCGCTTCGACTCTTGGTGGAAACGCGGTTCGACTCTGGGATACCGATTCAGGAAAACCACTACGTATTCTGCTTGGCCACTCTGAGACCATTGAGTCCATTTCGTTCTCCCCCGTCGACGACTTCATCGCGACCGGCAGCAGCGATAGCACGGTTCGGATCTGGGACACAACGACAGGAAAGTGCCCTTTTCTGCTAGAGGGTCACAGCGGCATTGTCACCAGTGTGGTGTTCTCTCCTGACGGCACACAGGTCGCGACATCTGGCATGGACCAAACGTTGCGCTGGTGGGACTTGTCGTCCCCTAGGTCCGAATCTCTTTCGAGGGAAGGTGATGGAGCCTTGATCTCGCAGTTGGAGGCGCGCGCATCGGCTCCTATTGCGGTATTGGAAACGGACAGGACAGGAACTTCGATGGATGGAACACACCGAGCGATCGATGGAATGTATGTCCATGACGATTCAGGACTTTTCCATGCTCCAGTGTATTCCCCGGATGGGAACGAGATCTCGGTCATCAGCGGAGAACACGGGATCTTGCGGTTCGACACTCAGTCCAAAGCCTCTCGCCGAGCGTTGGTTGGTCACACGGCTACGGCCACTTGCATCGCCTACTCACCATCTGGCGATATGATCGCGACCAGCAGCGAGGATGGGACAGCGCGCATATGGGACCCAGAGACAGGCAACGAGCTCGTCAACTTCGTGGGACACGAGAGCAGTGTCACCAGTGTCGCTTTTTCACCTCTCGGCCATCGACTCGCCACCAGTAGTGCTGACAAGAGCATTCGGCTCTGGAACGTCGCAGCCAACACACCAGATCAGCAAGCGGTCGGTCAGATTTTGTTAAGTCACACAGCCCCGGTCCTCTGTATTGCCTATTCGCCTGATGGGAGGTTCCTCGCCTCTGGCAGCGAAGACCGGACGATGCGGTTATGGGATGCTCTCACTGGAGATCGTTTGGTGGTGGTGGAAGACTTTGCGGTCGGGGTCAAGACTATTCAATGGAAGAACTCGGCTCGAGGTGGGATGATTTTGGTGACTGGATGCAAGGAGAATCCGCTGCGGGTGTGGGGTGTAGTGGAAGGTACAGGTCGCCGGTACGAGGTTCGAAGGTACTGGGGAGCAGGAGTCGAATCGTTGGCGTTGTCGGGCACCCGTCTTGGACAGGAACATGGACTTACTGAGGTCGAGTGCAAACTGCTACGGAGGAAATGGTTGGTATCAGGAAGCTTTGACATGACGGCTCGGATCTGGGATGTTGAGACAGGGGAGCTCCGACTTATCTGCAGCGGCCACACTAATGGGATCTCAAGTGTTGCTGTCTCACCTACTGAGAACCGTTTCGCGACTGGCATTAAGGATGGAACGATGCGGCTCTAGAATGCTTCCTCTGGTAAGAGCGATGAGCCTTTGAGAGGCCATGTCAATTGTGTCTCCTGCGTCACCTTTTCCCCGAATGGCAGTCAGGTTGCTTCGGGCAGCCATGATGGGACAGTGAGGCTGTGGTGTACAAAGACCGGAGTGCTCTTTCTCATTTTGCCAAGTCAAGGCTACTTTGTCTGCAACATCGCCTTTTCTCCAGACGGCAAGTGTATCGGTTCAGCCAGCGAGGACGAAACCATTTATCTTTAGGATGCCATGTCGGGGCAACTCATTCTCACCTTTTCCGATCACGAGGGCAGTATCAACTGCATCGCGTTCTCTCCACACAATCAGCAGCTCGCGTCAGTAAGAGAAGACAGCACAGTGACGCTTTGGGACACTAGCTCAGGCGCCTCTGTTGGTGTTCTTCGGGGTCACCCAGAGGTTGTTACCAGCATGGCTTACTCTTCTACAGACTCGAGTCTTATGTCTGACAGCTGGGGCGAGACCATACGAATTTGGGATCCGAAATGAGGTGTCGTCAAGTCAGTCTTCATTAGACACACCGGTGCGGTATCGAGTGTTGCATTCTCGCCATGTGGATCGCAGATCGCTTCTGGCAGCTGGGATGGTACCGTCAAGCTATGGGACCCGGACTCTAACATGCCTAGATATGTTCTTCGAGGCCACACAGGACGAGTGAGAAGCGTTGCGTATTCAACTGACGGTCGAGGCGGAGCGAGGCGGGCGTAGTTGGAGGTGGGGCAGTGACTAAAGGGGGTGACATGCTGACAGGAACTGACACCGATCTTGTCCCGACTACTCAACACATTGCAACCATCCATGATGACGACACCATCCAGTTGTGAGATTTCGCCTCAGGAGCCTAAGGTGCTGTCCTGAGTGGACACATTGACATTATCACCAGCTTTACACTCTCACCGGACGGTCGACCTTTGGTTTCGTCAAGCAACGATGAGGCTGAACGCTTGTGGACTTACCAGACGGAGCCTGTTTACATACGTCCAGTTTCTTGTAATCTGGCTCTTTTGTCTCAGACGTCCAGTTTTCATTGAGCGGTGAGCAGGTCCTCACAAGAGCATCGGACGGGGCTCTTCGGCTCTGGGATCCAAAGAAGGCGGCGCTGTCATCAGAGACGACCAAGGATTTTCTACTGCCCCGATTTCACACCAAATGGCCAGATCGTAACGGCGAACAACGATTTCATTATCCACTTCTGGGATGCCTCGGGAACCCAAGGGATGGTATTACAGGGCCACGCCGACAGTACCTCAAGTCTCGCATTGTCAACAGCTGGAGATTTACTGGTCTCGGCTAGTGAGGACAAGACGGTGCGACTCTAGAGTTTGAGCACCGGGGATCCATTCGTCGTCTTGGAGTGCGACACTGACAAGATGACAACTGCTACATTCTCTCCGAATGATCAGTACGTTGCTTCAACCAGTGCAAAACGCACTCTTCGGATATGGGATTGCGCGTCAGGAGAGCCTTTAAACATCCTCGACGGCCATGGCGACTATGTTCGTTGCATCGTTTATTCTCCATTCATTCGATATATTGCCACTGGAAGCGACGACAGAATAATGCGGTTATGGGACGGGGCTACGGGACAATGTTTGGCGGTCGTTGATGGTTTTATTGCTGGATTTTTGTCTGTCACTTGGATGGAGAACCGGTTGAAGTTGTACACTGTCGATGCCAACAAGTCGGTGCATGTCTGGCAACTGATTGAGCGAGACGACGACGGTATTCCAGTCCAGCTGATCTGGAGGCCGAAGAGTGGTGGGCTTTGAATGTTGGGCGCCGAGTTCGACGGTGTCAACGATCTCAGTACATTCAATAGGACTTTGCTCCGCCAAAAACGCGCTTTTCTAGAATAGTACGTTATCTTGGATTTGGTAGATCTGAGACGAATAAACGTGTTAATCAAATACTTAAAAATTAGTCATTGTACCTTAATACTATTTGTTCAGCCACAGGACGCGTCCCTGGTAAAAAAAGAATGCGTTCACTTTTTTTTCCGTCGTCATGTCTGCGACTCTCTCACTTCTTCATGATCTTGTAATGCATCCGCAGCATCCCCCTTCTTGAATCTCATATTCAATCGCTGCATCCTCTCTCACTTCCACCACTCCCTTTCTTCCTTCTCTGATCATAATACCAGCAGCCTCGTCCGGCCTCAAAATATAAGAGCGATCGCGCATCGGCCATGATCGAAGGAGAGACAAAGAGTGAAGGCATCCCCTTCCTCTCTTTGGTTCTTCGACTTGTGTTTGTTTTTGTCGGTACTGCACCATGTCCTCCATTCTTTTCATCACGAATCTGATAATCGTCTAGTTCTCTAGCTCCTCCAGGTACCCAAGAGAAACCACAAATTAGACCGTCAACACCATTCTTCTACCATTGGCACCACCGTTTTTTTTCACTCAGAAAGGTTTAGTTCAACAAAACATCGACCAAAGAAAAAAAATAATACAAAAGCTTACTACTGACAAAAAAAAAAAAGAACCTCAAACGAGTACCGGAGGAGTGAACACCGCATTCCTCTGCTTCAACAAGGTAACATCAGCCTCATTCAACCCTTGGTCCCGGCCGATACGAGCGCCCGAGACAGCCAAAGCGTGAACTCCTGCACCCCAACATCTTCGAACGTGCTGGCGGATGGTTCCGTTCCGGTCCTTGTCCTCGACCAACTCCCAAATTCCCAGCGGATTCTCGACGCTTCCAGTAGCCAAGCGGTAGCCTTCTTGCGTTTCCTTCCACCGAATCGACTCAACCCCGGCTGCAAAGTCTTTCACCGTTGCTAAACATGCTCCACTGACCGCGTCCCACAATCGCATTGTCCGGTCCGCGCTGCCGGAAGCAAGGAACCTTCCATCGGGAGAGTAAGCAACACACAGGACAGGACCATCATGACCCCTCAATGAGCGAACGGAGCCAGAGTTGGCCCAATCCCAGATCCGAACGATAAATTGATTGTCGCCAGTAGCCACTTTGTCGTCAAAGGGTGCGAAGGCTATGCTGGTAATCCCACCACTGTGTTCAGATTGGAAGAAAAGCTGCTGGCCTGTATATCGGTCCCAAATGCGCGCAGTGTTGTCGCCGCTGCCTGTTGCAATCTTGTCGAGTTGGGGAGAATATGCTATGCAAGTGACAATGCCGACATGGCCGACCAGAGGCGCGGGAGAATTTACTCCGGAGCGTGTTGGATAGCGACGGACTGAAAAGTCGACAGCTCCCACCGAGATCTCTTTCCCATCTGGAGAATAAACCGGCGCCGATGTGACGTCGACTGTGTGGCCGATGGACCCTACAATGTCCTCCTGCAAAACGTCGCCTTGCTCTCCGGCTTTCAAAAGAAACTCGGGTTCAAGGTTCAATAAGCGCCACCTCGTCTCGCAACTCATCGTTATCTGTCTGCCATCGGGTGAGAATACGATACTGGTGAAAATGACGTCCTGGTCTCGCAGCACTTTCAAGCAGCCTCCTTGCACCGAGTTCCAGATCCGAACTGTTTTATCACTGCTGGCGGTGGCGATGATGTTGTGCTTAGGGGAATACGAAACGCACTCGATGGCATCAGAGTGACCGTGCAAAACCAGTCCTGGTTCTCCGGTCTCAACGCTGAACAGCTGCACCTTGTTTTCGCCAAGGCTCCAAGCGACTTGCCGACAATCCCTTGAGAACTCGGTGCTTGAGGCCGCGGCTGCTGGCTTGCGGCCAAAGACATCAATAGTCCAGGCATGAACTCCGCCGTCTGATACAGTCCATAGTTGCGCGCCGTCCGAAGAAATGGAGAGACCGTCAACACTGTTCGTATGGGCCAGAGACCCAACGAGCGCCTCAGCATCGACATCCCGTAACCCCACAGTCCGATCGGCATCGTCAGACAAGATGCGTGCTTCGGATGGAGAGCATGCAAGCGTCCCAGTAGCGACATCCCATATCCTCATAGTCAGATCGGCACCGCCAGAAAAGATGCGCATTCCTGACGAAGAGAATGCAAGGCACCTGATTGGATCCATGTGCCCCTCTAAGACATGCAATTCCGTTTCTGTGTCAATGTTCCAGATCCTGACCGTGTTATCGTCTCCTCCTGAGGCGATATGAATGCCGTCCGGCGAGAAGGCGACGCTGCTGACAGTACCACGGTGACTGCCACTCAAAACAGGTCCATCATCACCGCTGTTGATATCCCAGAGTCTCACAACCTTGTCCTCACCTCCAGCTGCAACCCAACGGCCTTTCGATGAGATGGCGACACACTGGGCCTCGCAACCTTCGGCGTCAAAGCTATAGACAATGTCTCCTGTTGATGCTTCCCAAAGTCGAACAGTGCCGTCCATGCTGCCAGAAACGATATGGTGTCCCGTCGGAGAGTAGGCGATGCTCGTGACCCTGCCTTCGTGTCCTTTCAATGTCTTGATGGTGACTCCAGACTGAACGTTCCCAATCCGAATGGTATTTTCGGGGCTCCCGGATGCGACGTGCTTATTATCTGGTGAAAAGACGACGCAAGAAATGTCCTTGGAATGGCCAATCAGAGCCTGTGAGAATGCGTTCGCCTCAATATCGACATCCCATATCCTCACAGTCCGATCGTCACCTCCAGAAAAGATGCGCATTCCCGATGAAGAGAATGCAAGGCACCTTACTGGATCCATGTGCCCCTCTAAGACACGCACTTTCGTTCCTGTATTAATGTTCCAGATCCTGACCGTGTTATCATCTCCTCCTGAGGCGATGTGAATGCCATCCGGTGAAAAAGCGATGCTGTTGACAGTGCGGTCGTGACCACCATCGAAAACCAGTCCAGAAATGAGATTGACGGGGTCCCACAGGCTCACTGCTCCATCCTCGCCTCCAGACGCAATCCAACTGCCACTTGGGGAGAAGGCGACACACTGGACCTCGCAACCTTCGGCGTCAAAGCTATAGACAATGTCTCCTGTCGATGCTTCCCAAAGTCGAACAGTGCTATCCTTGCTGCCAGAAACGATATAGTGTCCCGTCGGAGAGTAGGCGATGCTCGTGACCTTGCCGTCGTGACCTTTCAATGTCGTGATGGTGACTCCAGACTGAGCGTTCCAAATCCGAATGGTCTTGTCAGCGCTCCCGGATGCGATGTGCTGGTTATCTGGTGAAAAGATGACACAAGAAATGTCCTTGGAATGGCCAGTCAGAGCCTGTATGATCGCCTTGCTGGCACTGAGCCAGATGTTTATAGTCGGTGTGCCACTAACAGTGTGCACCGAGGCAGCCAACAGGCCATCTCCAGAAGTTGCGATGTCGGTGACTTTTGTGTCGAACAATTCGGAGGAAAAGAAGCGGCGTGAACTAGGAATAGTCGGTCGGAAGGTGGTGTCGTTGATGACCGAATACGGGTACATCCCGCTTGACTTGGTGTTGGTGCGCCCAAATAAAATCGATCCTTTGACGGCGGCCCCACAGTCCCATATACGACGTGTCCGTTCCCTACCGCATGAAACAAGTTGCGCTGTCTCCCGAGAGTAAGCAATGCTCACGATATGGTCGGTATGTCCTCGGAAAACGGGTCCAGATCCCCCGCTGCGAGTGTCCCAGAGGCGAATGGTGGAGTCTTGACTGCACGAGGCAAGTTGCCCATCAGACAAATAGACAAATCCAGTAACTGCCGCCGTATGGCCGCGAAAGACGATCTGCTTGGTTGTTGTCGACGGGGACCCCACTCGTACGGTATTATCAGAGCTCGAGGAGACAATCTGGAGTCCATCTGACGAGAAGAGGACTCGAGAAATGGCGGCATTGTGTGTTTTCAGGGTTGAAACTAGACTGCCTGTGTCCAAATTCCAAAGCTGAATGATGCCGTCGGAACCGCCAGAAACAAGCCGCTTGCCGTCGGGAGAGAAGGCAACGCAAGAAGGCCTCCCACCATCCGCGCCTAGATAAATAGTGCGTACACCCGAGCCAGCATCTGTCATGGCAGCATCCCAAATTCCAATCGCTCCGTCTTGACCAGCTGTCGCAATACGGCTTCCATCTGGAGAGAAGGCAATGTCGGAGATAGCGGCGTGTGCACTGGGTAATGGAGTGATAATAGTGGTGGCAGTGTACCTCCAAAGACGGAGCACCCCGAACTCATCACCAAAGGCCAGCGTCTTGCTATCCGGTGAGAACGCCACAGAGGTGATGGCGTCTGAGAAGTCTCTGGATCGAAAGGCGTGCGTCCAATTGGAAGTATAGTAGAAGATAATGAATCTATGGTCGAAGGTAACAGCGTGCAAGGTCCCATCTGGAGAGTATGCAGAAGCAGTGGGGACGTCTTCGAATAGAGTGTATGGTGACTCGCCAAACTTTGATCCCTCAAGCAGTGCTCTGTCTAGTCTCGCCTCGCGCAGCCAACACTTGTCGAAGGTGACATCTCTGAGGTCCGCATCCCGCAAGTCCGCAAAGTCAAACTCTCCTCCAGTCAGGTTGGCTCCCTTGATCTTGATGCTCCGCAGATTGGCACCATTGAAACGCATACCGGACTTGACCAAGATGGCCATGGCGTTCGCTGCCAGCCATTTGTCGTTTCCATCGCCGTTGGCTGATTCGTGGACCGTTTCGATTAACTGTTCCTTGAGGACCTGGTGGATCTGCACTCGGTCGGCAAGAAACTGGACGGCCATAGGTCGCTCGGATATGTTGGTGAATCCCAGCGCGTGCCCTTTCTTCAGGGCCTGCCCTCTCTCCACCACCTGTTGTTCCTGCAGCGCTCGCCCTCTCTCAGACGATTGGCCGCTGCCCGACTTCGAATACAGAGGCTCTGCGCTTCTTGCCGAATCTTCCGAGTCGAGACCATCTGTCCCTGAACCATCAGTGTCCATGTTGCCTTCGTCAGGGCCTTTAGGATCAAACACCACTAGTGAATAGAGGTAGTCGAGCAACGAAGGGAAGAGGAAACTGTATGTTTTTCCAGACCGAGTCATAGGTAACGATTCACGCAACAGCCTCGTTCTGGCATCACTCCCAAAAAATCTGTTTTTCCATTTGGCCGGATCCTTGAATGTGTGTCGAACGGACAAGGCATCCTTCCTCTGGTTCTTGAATATCTCGGCCGCCAGATCTTTCATGTGTTTCAGGCACTCTGCCGCAAAGTCGTGCTCAATCAACTCGCTGAAAGCCTCTTCGTTGCCATTCATATTTTCTCGCGAATACGAATACAGTCGACGCTTGTTTACCTCCATCCAGTTCTCGAATACGAGCTTGTAGAGAGCATCGAAAGAGACATGCGACCCAGTGTCATCTCGGGTAGGACTTGTAAGGGTCGGCAACAGGCGCAAGACGACGGAGAGGATGAAGGGGTTCCCGACCAGCTCCATCAAGTTAGGGATGTCGGCCAATGCCATCATGTATTGTTTAACGCTCCAAGTAGGTGGACTCTGGGACGACTGTGAAGCATCCTGGTGAACCTCCAACTGGGATGGGGATTCGATGTACTTCCCCACGTATTCCTCGATCATGCTGCGAGTGAAGGGAGCCATGGCGACTTTCTGGAACAGGTCGAGTTTCTTGGGGTTGTACCGGTCCTCCACCTCGGGTTGAAATTGACTCTCAAAATCACTTCCGAGTTTTTGACTCCTGCAGGCGATAATCAACTTGACGCACCCATATCCATGGCTATTGAACTTGTTGCCGTTATAAATGTTGCCCCCCACTTGTGCCTCATCGTATCCGTCACAGAGCAAGACCAATGGACGGTTATTTAGCTTGAGGGTACGGACGTGTTCCTTGTTGATTCCTTCGTTCTTGAATACTTTCGTAAGAAGTTCGAACTTGGGAGTGTCGACGCGCGAGAGATCGAAGAGGATTGGGATTGCGTCCGTGTCAGAGCCGGCATACTTTCCCCATAGCTCTCGCTCAAGTTGCCGCAGGAGATAAGTCTTGCCCGAGCCGCCATCGCCCATGACAAGTAGCACCTTTCGCTTTCCTTTCAGGAAGTCCATAACGGTTGGCAGCAATGGAGACGCAGAAGAGTCGGAGGCATCCATTGTATCCTTGCCGAGCGGCGCAATGTAATTTCCCGGCGGCTGCTCCTCCTTCTGCAGACAGCGGATCTTCAGCCTCTGCAGCTCGCGCTCAATAGGAGATTCCATTGGGTCCTCAAGTCGAAGAGAAGAGGTACCGAGACAAAGACGTTTGGTGTAATCTCTTTCGGGGCTATAGCTGTTTCGTTTACGACTCATAGCCTAAGCTGAGTGACTCAATTGTTGTTGTTGGCTGACCTCAAGTTGAGAAGACTAAACAATAAGACATACGAGTTACATATCATGTAAGTTTTAACAGTGATTTACATGTTACCATACAACGACAGGTTATATAAGTTCATGCACGTTTCGCATCATTGGCATGGAGAAGGTGGTGTAGTAATCCCTTACCAGGGGACGTGTTGGTGTTGTCGTTTTTTTATGTCTCCTGAGACAAAGCGTTGTTTTCAAACGACTATATTTGTCCGCTGCTGGAATGCGAGGTGGGACTATATACAGTGGACACATACGCGCAAGACCAATAACTCATATGTCAATTATTCATTGCCGAAATCCAGCACAGTGTTCACACGTCTAGCAAAGAGGAAAGAAAGGACTTACATAGCGATGAACTCGTGGGTTGATGTTTGGACTGTAGTCGTGGACTCTACTGGTTTCGTCTTCGGAATGAGTGAACAGAACGAAAGAAGCACAAGGGAGGTGGAGAAAAAAGTGGGTTGGTGAATGGGGGAATGAATGAAGGAAGAAGTGAAGAAAGGAAGGAAGGAAGGGGGATGAAACTGGAGGGGAAAGAGTACGAAGAAGGAGGAGGAGAAGAAGAATTAAAAAAAAAATGGGGGGTTTAAGAAGGAAAATTGTGAAACTGGCGAAGGCGTAAGTAAGGTTTGAGAAAACCAAGCTTGGCCTAGCCTTATCATCCAACGTCGCCATTTATTCATGTGGTCTGACCGAGACTTTACTGCTCTAATAAACAAGGTCTCTCCTGATACTTTGTTTTGTAGCTTTTATCTTCACCACCCACTTTCTTAGTGTTGAATGGTTGGTAGGCCAAGAAACAGTAAGGTGAGATTTTATATCGTGCTCACAAAGCGCCATGATCTCCACTATTAATTCCCTCCAAAGCGATAACGATATTTATGTGTTGAAAATAAAAGAAAATGCTAAAGAAAATTCATCCAATTAATGCTAACTCTATGCACCAACAAAATCTCGCTGGCAACAACAATGGCTCCTCTCTACCTCAGCAGTTTGCACTCGACCTCAGTAAGTCCATGTTCCTGTCCAAGACGGGTGCCCGACAACGCCAACGATTCGACTCCTGCTCCCCAGTACCTTCGAACCTCGTACCGGCGACCTGTACCTTCCACTACCTCCCACACCCGCAGCGGATTCTCCTTGCATCCAGTCACCAAAATCATCCCACCTCGAGCCGAGTTCTTCCATTGAATAGTCTTGACCCCGACCGCAAAGTCTTCCACCACCGCCAAACGATCTCCAGTGAGAGCATCCCATAATCGCATCGTCCGGTCTTCGCTGCCAGAGGCGAGGAACCTCCCATCAGGCGAATAGGCAATACAGAGGACCGGGGCTGTGAGACTTAACAAAATCTGACCGACCGCTTGCTGATCTGGTGTGTTGGCTGCGACGTTCCAGAGCCGAATGCTCTTGTCAGCACTACTGGTGGCGAGTCGATGGCCGAGAGGTGAAAAAGCGACACTGGTGACACTGCTCTCGTGTCCCACGAAGTTGACGAGCTCGTTGCCTGTCTCTGGGTCCCATATGCGCGCTGTCCCATCCTCGCTGCTGGTCGCGATCATATCGCCAGATGGTGAGTAGGCGATGCAAGTGGCCGTAGCCGTGTGACCAACCAACGCTCGGCGAGAGGCTTTGGACTGAGTGTCGAACCGCAAGATCCCGTGTTCTCCGCTGATGACCGAGATCTCGTTCCCATCCGGGGAATACACTGGAGCATGGAAAAGTCCTGAATCGTCATGGACATACATTCCATCGATCGCTCGGTGTGTTCCATCCATCGAAGTTCCTGTCCTGTCCGTTTCCATTACCGCAATAGGAGCCGATGCGCGCGCCTCCAACTGCGAGATCAAGGCTCCATCACCTTCCCTCGAAAGAGATTCGGACCTAGGGGCCGACAAGTCCCACCAGCGCAACGTTTGGTCCATGCCAGATGTCGCGACCTGTGTGCCGTCAGGAGAGAACACCACACTGGTGACAATGCCGCTGTGACCCTCTAGCAAAAAAGGGCACTTTCCTGTCGCTGTGTCCCAGACCCGAACCGTGCTATCGCTGCTGCCGGTCGCGATGAAGTCGTCGACGGGGGAGAACGAAATGGACTCAATGGTCTCAGAGTGGCCAAGCAGAATACGTAGTGGTTTTCCTGAATCGGTATCCCAGAGTCGAACCGCGTTTCCACCAAGAGTCGAAGCGACGTGCCGTCCATCCTTCGAAAACGCAGACGTAGATGTTAAGGCTGTCTCCTGACCAGTGAAATCCCAAATCCAGCTGTGAACCTTGCAGTAGTCTGTTCCCGTCCAAAGCTTTGCGCCGTCCGAGGAAAATGAAACTGTCGCGACTCCATGCTTATGTTCCGAAGTCGATTCGAGAACTCCAGCCGCGACATTCCAAATTCTCATGGTGCAATCTTCACTGCCAGACACGATGCGCTCTCCTGATGGAGAGAAGGCAAGGCACCTTACTGGATCCGTGTGCTCCTCTAAGACATGCACTTCCGTTCTTGTATTGATGTTCCAGATCCTGACCTTGTTGTCATCTCCTCCTGAGGCGATGTGAATGCCGTCCGATGAAAAAACGATGCTGTTGATGCTGCAGTTGTGGCCACCATCGAAAACCTGTCCAGGAATGAGGTTGACGGGGTCCCATAGGCTCACCACTCCATCCTCACCTCCAGACGCAATCCATCTGCCACTTGGTGAGAAAGCGACACACTGGATCTCGCAACCTTCGGCGTCAAAGCTGTGGACAATGTCTCCTGTCGATGCTTTCCAAAGTCGAACAGTGCTATCCTCACCGCTGGTGACGATTTGTTCCCCATTCGAAGAGTAGGCGATGCTCATAACCTTGCCGTCGTGTTCTTTCCGGTTCCAGATATCGTCGCCGGATTCAGCGTTCCAGAGGCGCAGGACCCCATTGGAGTCCCCAGATGCAATGGTCTGGCTGTCGGGAGAAAAGGTGATACTGGAGATCTTCTTCGCGTGGCCATTCAAAGCATACCGATGCTCTGAGGTAGTTCCGAGCGAGACGTTGATAGTAAAGGTGCCGCCATTCATCGACGCCGAGGCAGCCAGAACGGCGTCAGAAGAGACTGCAATGCAAGTCGCGCCTCTCGTGCCGAACGATTCTGAGCCGAAAGTGCGTGCAGGACGTGGGCGGGTTGGCTGTATGAGTTTGTCGCTGTCGTTGTTATGTCGCTTAATGGTCGAATAGGGGTACATTCCGCTCGGCAGGCTGTTGGTGCGCCCAAATAGAACGGCTCCTTTGACGGCGGCTCGAAAGTCCCAGACACGAAGGGCCATGTCTCTGCCGCATGAGGCGAGTTGTGATCCGCGCTGAGAGTAAGCGACGCTGACGACTTGGTTGGTGTGTCCTCGGAAGATAGGTCCTGAGCTACCAGTGCGAGGGTCCCAAGTTCGAATGGTGTTGTCATCGCTACCGGAAGCGAGATGTTGTCCATCGGTCGAATAAGCAATGCTGGTAATACGCTCCCTATGTCCACGACAGATCGCCTCCAGGCTCCATGGCCTTGTCGGTACGGACCAGATTCGTATGGTATTGTCGGAGCTCGAGGATGCAATGTGGTGTCCGTCAGGGGAGAACAGAATACTGGATATGGCCTCGTCATGTCCCTCTTGGGTATAAACCTTGTCGCCTGTATGTACGTCCCAAAGCTGAATGATGCCGTCGGAACCGCCAGAAACAAGCAGCTTGCCGTCAGGTGAGAAAGCGACACTCAAAGCTCGTTCATTGTGTGCGACCATGACCTTCACACATCCGCCCGTGACCGCATCCCACACCGCAACTTTTCCGTCATCACCAGCTGTGGCAATTTGGCTTCCGTTGGGAGAATACATGAGACTGTTGATGTAGCCATCATGTTTGCCGGAGAACGCCATCAAAGTTTCGCTATTGTAACTCCATGTCCCGAGCATTCCCGTCCTGTTACCATAGGCCAACAGTCCACCCAACGGTGAAAACGCCAGGGCCGTGACACTCCTCTTGGAAATCTGGCGCGTATGGATGGAGTTCCAGTTGGTGGCGTCAAAGATGGTGATGGACCCGTTCGTGAATGCGACTGCATATAAGGCACCGTCGACGGAATAGGCAGCGGTATTCGGCACGTTCTGCAAGTCCAAAGGCTTCTCTCCGAACTGCGCTCCTCCCAACTTGGCTCCTTGAAATTCTGCCTGGCGCAGCCAACATTTGTCGAAGGTGACGTTGGTCAGGTCCGCATCCTGCAAGTCGGCCGAGTCGAACTCTCCACCTGTCAGATTGGCGCCCTTGATATTGATACCACGCAGATCGGCGCTGTTGAACCGCATGCCGGAGCGAACCAAGATTGTCATCGCGTTTGCTGCCAACGTATGATCGATGCCTTTGTTGTTCCTGGATTCCCGCACCGTCTCCACCAACTGCTCCTTGAAGGATTGGTGGTTCTGAACTCGGTCGGCAAGAAATTGAACAGTCATGGAGCGCTTCGCAATGTCGGTGAGGCCCAGCTTGTGACCTTCCTCCAGAGCTCGCCCTTTCTCCAAAACCTTCTCCTTCTCGACCGCTGGTGCGTGTTGCGATGCTCTCCCTTGTCGTGAGGCTGTTCCTCCTTCCAACAGCGACCAGGTATTCGATCTTGAAATAAGACCTCTTCCGCCACCTCTCGAGTTGTCTGAATCGAAATCTCCTGAGCTCCACCCGCCAGTGCCAGGGTCATCGTCACCAGGGTCATCATCATCTCCAGAACCGCTTGGATCAAATACAGCCAACGAGTAGAGATATTGCAATAAAGAAGGATGGACGAAGCGGTAAAAGTTTCCGGACTTGATCAAGGGAACCGATTCCTGCAACAGTCTCGACTCTGGTTCCGGACCGAAAAACCTGGTTTTCCATCCACTCGTCGGCGTGTTCCTGTGGCGTAGGTGCACGTACTCAACAACCGGGTCACCACCTTGTCTCTCAAAGATATTCACCGCCAAATCCTTCAAGTACTCCATACAGCGCGGCTCGAAACCGTCCTCCATCAACATGCTGAGTGCCTGCTGCTCAACGGAGTTCCCCGTTTTCCCGTGTAGTCGTAGCTTGCCGACTTTCATCCAATCGTCGAAAATGTACTTGTAGAGCTCGTCGAAAGAGACCCTAGACCGTGAAACATCATGTGGCGGCCCTGCGATAGCCGGCAGCAGTTCCAGAATGAAGGAGAGGATGTATGGGTTCTTGACCAGCTCCATCAGGTTGGGGATATCGTTCAACGTCTCCTTGTACTGGGGAACAGTCCAAACACGACTGGTCTGAGAGGAAGGCTGGACCTCCGATGAAAAATGCTGTGTTAATTCCTGACCACGTCCGGAGGACTCTCGAACTGCCACTTGAAGATGTTTGGCCACGTATTCCTCGATGTACTCATTGATCTGTCGAAACGTGAACGAAGCTGTAGCAGCTTTCTGAAATTCGTCGAGTTTCTGGCCGCTGTACCGGTCGTTCGCCTCGGGTTGAAATCGTCCGTCTGAGTCGCGTCCGATTTTGTCGCTCCTGCAGGCGATGATCAGTTTGACTTTCCATTGTCCGTCACTGTTGAATTTGTTTTGGTTGTATATGTTTCCCTGTACTTGCGCCTCGTCGTATCCGTCGCAAATCAAGGTGAACCGGCGATCACGGCGCCTCAGGAACTGGATGTGATTAGGTTGAAAGCCTTTGGACCTGAGCACTTGTCCGAGAAAATCATTGGCTGTGTTGTTGATCTCTGGTAGATTGACGAGGATAGGGATGGCGTCGTTGGGGCCATTGTATTGTCCCCACAGTTTGCGCTCCAGCTGCTTGACAAAGACAGTCTTGCCGGAACCTGAATCGCCCATGAGCAACAGGACATTTTTGTTGCTGTCCAAGAACTCTTGCGCTATCGACATCAAGGGTTTTGTTTGAGGGTCCGGGGCGTCCAGGCTGGTGTTATTGTGTGATCGCATGACGCCGAGTGGTCGATCATAGCCGAATGGTTCAATATAGATCACGGGTTCTGGGACATCCAGGCATACTCTCTTCAACTTCAGCACTTGTTCCTCTGTGGCGGCTTGCATTTTACGCGCAAGTTCTTGTGGATCGTAGCAAGGACGCTTGTTGTAATCTTTGTCGCCCTCGTATCTGCGCAGCATAGGCGGGTAGGGTCTTTTGTCGGTAGTGTCGAAGACTAAGCACAGCAGAAAAGAGCGATTTTGGGTTAATTTCTTCCATCTTTGACATTTAAATAGAAAGAGGCATAGAAGTGAGACGTCGATGGGTTACCTTGGTTAAGTGTGGACCCGCCTTTGCTTTTTGGTGTTTGCTGGTTGACAAGGGGTGATTCGTGTGTTACCACTAAGGAGTCAGTGTGTTTCCGTTACGGAGGAGACCTATCAACAGAATATCGATTGGTTAGATGCTGAGGCTTGCAACACAGCGTAAAGACTTTCGACAGAGGCATGATTAAAAAACTGAGAGCATACCAGGGGGAGTCCTATAGTGTTTCGTGGTGTTTCCTGAAGAAACAAAGAAGAGAAACAGCAGGGGAAATCTCGAACGAGTGTGGTAGCCTGCCTTTGAGGCGAGGAGGCACTACAAGGCATTACGTTTCACGCGCAAAGTGATAATTGAACGGTTAATTATTTTGGTTGTCGGGTGACGGTAACTCCTTTTCGTGTTTTTCGTGTCAAGAATATTCCACCTACCTACAGGCGAGTCCCACGATCTGGGTTGGTGCGTATGTTCGAGCGATGAAGGGATGGACTGTGACCTGGGGTTGATGAATGACCAGACGGTGCACAGTGCGTTCTTGTTGGTGATGAGGGGCGATGGGAGTAAGGCACGAAGGGCAGGCGAGGATGCAAGCACGGTTGTACCTGAGAGGAATGGGGTCAGGAAAGGGTGGGATGTAAGAGGAATGAAGGAGGGGAAGGAGGGAATGTAACGAGAGAAGAAGAGAGAAGAAGAGAGAAGAAGAGAGAAGAAGGGATGCAGCAAGAAAAGAAAAAAGAACGGTTAGAAAGGAAAGGGGGAAAGAAGGGGGAGTGTGCACAAAGAGACAAAGAGAGAAAAAGCCTTGTGGCACTCAATCCCTCAATCCATACCACTTCTAATATACGGACTGGTCCTCGCTTCCCTCATCTTTGATCCTTTCTACTCCCTCTAGTTCTTTGTTCCTTTTCACCTCTCCTTCGCCAGGGTTGTCCACTCGAGCGTCAATCTTCGTAAGAGTGAAAGAGAGGGCACCACTTTCTTTGAACTGTCCCGACTACCATGAACCGCCTTTTTATTTTTAGTACCTCTGTTGACCCTCTTCCTTTGGTTTTCTCTCTCTCTCTCTCTCCTCCTTCCTTCCTTCACTTTTGATCAACTAATGGAGAGTGACTTTGGCGAAGCTTGGTGAGCGGACCGTGGACCCACGAGATGGCAAGTTAGAATCAATGGCAAAGCTAGGAAAGCGTACCAAAGTCCATTTTGGCGAAGCAGCAAGAAGACGAACGAGCGAATCACCACCGACGAAAAGCTTCGCCAAGGTCTTTGTTCCTGAACTCTGAATTTGAAAATGACGGGGGGTGAAATGATGTCGATAGTCGAACATTGTCCAATTGGCAGCGTGTGCAATTACAAGGACACGCAACTACCAAAGGATGAGAGTTGGAAGTAGAGTAGAGTAGTTGAGGTGTAGGGCCTGTGGGGCACATGAGTTGGAAACCATGGGTGTGAGTAGAACAACGCGTTGATATTAGACTTGAGATTTTTATTTGTATCTGATGATGGTCTTAAGCATAGAATACACCATACATCTTTCTTTGCGGAGGACATATCAAGCAGACTATCAATCCCCTCGATTACCACCATTGCCTCGCACTGTACGCCAATCTCAGCAATTGCAATTGCACTCAAGGTAAAAAGGATAGGTCGGACTGATTTCAGGAGCACATTCCATAGGCCAGTGCGCCTCCTTCCTCGTCTTTTCTTACACTTTCTTGGCTGTTCATGGTGCCAATTGTTGGTTCACTTCTGGATTATGCCTCTCGAGCCATTCGTTCGTCCTAGGATGAGTTCACTTTGGGACCTCTTCCTATTCTTCATTTATTTATATCTCGCTCTAACACCTTTCCTTTCTTCTCCATCCTCCACATCAAACCACAACTCCGTCAACCTCAAAAACGTTACCCCCCCCCCCATAACACAAGCACCTGCCCTTACTTCACCTCTCTTCTTCGAACCAACGCAAAGAAAAAATCCAATAGAGCATGAAACAATCCTTTTGCTGCCTTGTAGCCCTGCTTGCCATCGGCGTCGCTACAGCCGCTAAGCCCCAGAACAGCCGAAAGAAACCAACACCCAAGATTCCTCTTTGTCCAGGCACCCGGACTTGTATCTGGTACCATGACGACTGTTCCTCCAGCAAAGATTGCAAGATCCATGGCCAGACGTGCTGTCTCTTCCCTGAATGTGGACAAACTTGCATGTAGTAACATTCTTTTTTTCTTTTCCTTTTCGGTTCGATCTTCTGTCAATAATAAAATTATCCATCGCGTTTATGGAGGGTTGTTTGTACGGGAGTGGGGGGGCATTCTTTTTGTGGTAACCCCAGATTGTTTCCCATGTGGGTGGGTGGGTGGATGGGATCGATGACATGTAGGCCAAATGTGTTTCATGGCTGGACATCATGCACATGCACTCTCAGGTGAATCGTGAGCAACCTTCTTTGAGTTACTCGACGCCTTATTTCATCTTTGTTTTACCTTTCGTTTTCACTTTTCTTTCTTCACTCCTCGCTTTCACTTCACCTGACACCACTCCCGAGCTACCCCCACACACTGCCCTCGGTATCATTCCTCTTCCCCCAAGCCCCAACATTAGTCCGCAAAAGAAGGAGCGAATGTTGCACAGAAAGCAAGGAGCAACCCCCCCCCCCCTCAATGACGGAAGTGAAGAGTGAGAAATTCCCCATGGATGAGAGGGTCATTTATGGTCGATCATGTGGGATCAGGTTGGAGAGAAGTTCAAGCAGCTTTCTCCTTTTTTTTTTTACTTTTATATCAAACCAGTGGACAACACAACGGTATATCTAAAAAAAAAAAAGAAAGCAAGAAGTTCCTATTGCTTGAAATGCAAAAGGCTGGGTCCATGCGCCAGCCCTCTCTCAAGTCGCGAGTGAGAAAACGTATATTTGCTAGGATGAAAAATTCTTATTCATCTCACTTTTTAAGTCTAACACAGCTCAGTTTCCCTATCTTATCCGCCGGCACCTCAAGCTAATATACCATGAGGCAATTGGCATGTGGGAGTGAGCGAAGGGAGAGGGAGAGAAAGTCAGGACTGGGCCCCTTGTAAGTAAAGTATGTTGAGGCGGGCAAAGAAATGCGAAACCTGAATGGGTCCAAGGGGCGGGGATCGAAAACAACAACGAAATTTGGTTGGCTGAATTTTCGTTGTTCAGAAATGGTTCGATGTTCGTCTTTGCGATAGAGGGAAGAAGGGAGAGAAGATGTACATTCCACGGGAGGACAAGGCATCATTATCCAAGAAAAACAGACAATGGGTATGTGTGATGTTTGTTTGTGGTTTATTAATGTACAAGGGTAGAGTTGAGTTGAGTAGGGTTAAAGTGAGAGGAATAAACAAAATGATTAAAAAAATGAATCGATCCTGAAAATGATTGACGCTCAAGAGACATTTAAGCGCGGGCATAGGTACGACGGAACTTCTCGTCGATGCGGATGAGGTAGTAGGTGCCCTTGGCCAAGGTCGAGATGTCGCCAATGGGGTTGTAGTCCTTCAGCAGCGCAGTCTCCTCACGGAGCTTCAAGAGCTTAGCGAAAACCTCGGGGGTGACTTTGGTGCGGTTGGCAAGACGGGTCTTGATCTGGAGAGTCTCCCTGAACTTCTCGGTCGAGCTGACAACCTTGAGCGAGAAGAAGGTCGCAGCGGAGCCGGAACCGTACGAGAAGAGACCGATACGCTTGTTGATGATCTCCTCGTCGGAGGCAGACGACAACAACGAAGACAACGAGGCCCAGACAGAGGCAGTGTACATGTTTCCGACGTTGGTGGCGGCATAGAGCGAGGGGATAACCTTCTTCTGGTACTCGGCCTTGGTGAACTGCATCATAGCGCGCTCGAGACCCTTGTCGTAGTAAGACTCCTCAGAGTGGGCAAACTTGGCAAAGTCCTTGACCGAGGCATAGATCTCGTTCTCGGGATCCTGGAGCATGTCGTTGTAGGCCATGCGGCCGAAAGCCTTCTGGACCAACTTGCAGTTGGGGGCATGGAAGACGGAGTAGTCGAGATCCTCGGACTTGATCAACTGCTCGGGGTTGGGGCTGTAACGCTTGGAGTACTTCTTGGTGAAGAGGCTGTAGCAGGCATCGACAGAGCGAATGTAGCAGGTGTTGGAAAAGTGTCCATCGACGGTGGGGTATTCAGAGGCGAGCTCGGGCTTGTAAAAGTCCCAGAGATGGTTCATGTGGGTGGCACGGACACCCTGGTCAAGGACGAGAGGAGCGTTGGGTCCGATCAAGATGGCAACGGCACCAGCACCACCAGTGGGGCGGGCGGGGCCTTCGGCGTAGGAGGCGATATCGGCAGCGACGACCAAGGCGAGGCGACCGTCCCAGGAGGAGGACTCGACCCAGTTGACGGCGTGGAAGACAGAGGCGGTACCACCGTAGCAGGCGTTCTTGGTGTCGATACCCTCGACATCGTTGTTGCCAGACTCCTCGAAGAGGGACATCAAGACGGTCTTGACAGACTTGGACTTGTCGATGATGGACTCTGTGCCAACCTCCAAGAAACCAATGTCCTTGAAGGACAAACCGTGCTTCTCAATGAGGTTCTGAACGACTAATAGGTATTTTAAAGGAGGCGATTGTTTGTAAGTTTTAGTCATTGGGGATTCTTGTTTCTCGCGTCGCTTCAATGTGTCCCCCTTTTCCCTCCAGATCAGAATATCCGTTTGCGTATGTCTGTTTCATTGCTTCTGTTGCAATGTTTTTGTGGATGTTTGTCGACTCAATAGTAACAATTCATGCGCTTTGCCCAGTCAGTCTCCTGCTGTTTGTGGTTGTCGAATACGTGTTTGCTTCTTATGTGCTTTCCCGCTTTCCCGTTCGTTGGTCGCTGTTGTTGTCATGGTCGGGTCCATTGTTCTTTGCTTCTTATTTTAATATGTTGTTCATTGTTCCGATTAGAGTTGCCTTGTGTGCAACCACACGCCCTTCCTTCCTCCTTTCCCTTCAAGTGTGCGTGTCTATGCGCGCTCCAAGGCGCACAAACAGTCGGTGGTCAGGTAACAATTAAAAAAATATATGAAAAGAAAGCCTTACCGGTGAGGGAGATCGAGTTGATGTCCTCGCGGTCATCGCAGACGGCCATCTGGGTCTGACCAAGACCGATCGTGTACTTTCCGGCAGAGACGCCATCGAACTGCTCGAGCTCAGTCTGATCAACAAACTAGTTGGAGGAACAAGAGTAACACAGGAAGAACGAAAAAGTGAGAATTAATATGATGAGGGGGGAAGAATACGGAAAATAAAAAAGAGCAGTGCATGTCGTGCTTCGGAAACAGAAAGAAAGGAGGAATGAATGACGACAGCAAGGTCTGCTGTTGACAACCAAGCAGCATCCTTTAGGATGAGCGAGGAAGTTGCGCTGTTGTTTCGTGGTTGTTTGGTGCTTTGGTGTTTGGTGTTTGGTGCAGTCCAGTTGTTCGTTCACTGTCAAGGCAGTAGGATGGCTTACCTTGGAGGGGTGGTAGAACTCGAGGGCGTGGATGCCGACGTTGGCGGGGGCGGTGTTGTTGATAGATCCAACCATATTGAGAATTGTATTAGGAGAGGAGGGGGTAGTTGTTGTTGAGGGAGTTGAGGTTGACAGGACGGGTAGAGGTAAGGAAGGAGTTGAGGAAAGGGACAGGGAGCGAGACATCTGGGGTATTTATATGGATCGTGGTTTAAAGATAACAGCGATATATGAGAAAATGGCGTGTCTTTTTTCTTTATGTTTTTCGTGGCGTGAATGCGTGTATGCGTGTGAGTGAGCGAGTGAGAGTGGTCAAAGAGAGAAGAGGAGCAGAGAAGGAGGAGGAGAGGAGAAGGAAATTAAAAAAATCATTCGATTATTTTGTTGCCGCTGGGATGTCTCTCCCTCTGCCTGTGCAGAGATCAGATCACACCACTAAGTCAATTCTCTCTCATTCAAACGTTATTTGGCTATGTCCGATAGCCCCTTCATGGTGCGCCTGCCTGAAAGCCATTCCTTTCACTCCTCTCACTCCTCTCACTCCTCACTCTTACTCCGGGGGGCCATTGAGAGCCCTCCTATCATTCATTCATTCATTCAAGTCTTCTTCCTTCCTCTCTTCAACCCTCAGCATCCACTCATATCGCTTATTTCACTCGCACCGTCGTCTCTATCTCTCTCTGCATGCGCCCGTCCACTTTTCACAATCGAGCAATCCATTGGACAATGGCCATTCAGCTTACCACAAGGGAAGTCTGCCTGCACGTCAATTAACTTCAATCAACCTCCCCATCTATCTCTCTTCTACCTCTGCGTGGCAGCTATCATTGTCCTACAAAGAACCCGCCTATTAATATGTAATACGAACGAACAATAGAAAGAAAGGATTTTAGGATGGGCAACAGTGTGGCATGATCCCTTTTTGTTCCAATTGCTCTCATCTATTTCTTCCAGCCAACCAAGCCAACCAATTGGGCTTTTACATCCTTCAACGCATCCAGAGTTGTTGACTCTTGTCTGTTTGTTTTGATGTCGTTCTTTCAGGGACGGCCCTTGCCCTTCTTTTCCGCCCCTCACTTTCCCATATCTGGAGAACTCATTCATTCATTCATTCCCTTTTTCCTTCTTTTTCCTTGTCCCGCAACATGTACCTCTCAATTGACCCACCATCGGATGATTTTTTTTTCATTGTTTGACTTCTTTGATCTGAACGGTTGGGTGTTCGGATTTTTGGTTTATTATTATTTCAAGTGTCATTCTCATCGCTCAGGTCTGCTGTCGCTATGTTTTGTGTTTGAACTAGAGAAACAACTAGCATTGAATAAGGAGGTCCAAAAAAGAAAAAAGAAAAATAAAGAGGGATGTAATGTACAACTGGAGACACAAAGGAAGACACAAAGAAAAAAAGATCGGACCATATTTGTCCTCTCTTTTTTCTCATTTCCATGAAACGAAAGGATGCATGAATGGCGGTAGAAATAGGCAACCAAAAGCCGAGACACAGAGGCACAGAGGCGCGAAGGAGAAGAAGATGAAGATGGGTCCTTTCCTCGCTCCCTGTGATCACTCGATGCAATGTCTTACATAGACGCTCTCTCTCTCTCTCTCTTATCGCTCTTTCTCGGCGATGGGGTTGGCGTGGATGGTGGTGGAGAGGATACGGATCGGCTGTGTGGGTCTGTTCTTGGCATCGACAGGGATCTTTTCGATTGCATCAAGGGTCGTATCAACACCGTCGATGACTTTTGCAAAGATTGTGTACTTTGTGTCGAGATGTTGCTGTTTGTCGTAGGTGATAAAGAATTGTGATCCGTTGCTGTCTGGTCCCGAGTTGGCCATTGACACAATCCCACGTCCCGTATGCTATGTGTGCAATGCGATTATAAATGGGTGCATGTGTCAGTTGGACAATCTTTGGACTGCGACACCAAGTCAGAACCCAAAATAAAAATGAGAACGTCCGAGGAGAGAGAGATAAGCCTGTGCACACACGCACGTATAACACTCATTCACCCACACCCAACACGCCACTCGCTAATAGATCAACCCTCTCAATTATTACCTTCAATCCTCCGCGAAGTTCGTCGGCAAACTTTGTGCCCCAGATCGAGTTTCCGCCTTTGCCCGTTCCTGTTGGGTCGCCTGTCTGGACCATGAAGCCTCTGATGTTGCGGTGGAACAGGTTGTTATCATAGTATCCGCTTGCGCACAATGCCAGAAAGTTCTATAACATACAAAATAAACAGTCCGTTAGAAACCCAGGTGCTCATCATCTTTCTTTCATGAGTTGACATGTGTCTGTTTGAGCATGTCTTGCGCATTTTGTGAGCGTGTTGGTGGTTGTTGATGGGAAAGGGGAGGAGTGGGATAATGGTCCAGAGTATGGTGATGACAGTTGAGGGGGAAGAATGAGAGTAGCGGCGAGGAAGAGTGTTGATGTTGGGTGTGCGTCGAGGTAGATGAGTAACTAGGTCCGAATGCGTGCTAAATGAGTGAAGTAGGCAGGTACATTGACTTGCCTCGGCTGTTTTGGGTACGCTCTCGCAGAAGATCTCCAGCTTGAGGTCTCCTAGGTCGGTGTGCAGAGTGACAGACTACGCCATAACAAAAAAGAGTTCAAAGAGGACAGAATGGGAGAACGCGCGTTCGTTAGTTTTGTCGTTTGTTCACGCCTGGTGGTCTTTAACAATAAGAAGTTGCAACCATATTACTCCTATGTTGTTTTCGATGGTGACCAGGTGCCTCTCCTGCTGGCATTCCTGCTTACCATGGTGTATGTGTGTGTGTGTGTTGAGTGTTGAGTGCACTGTGTAGGTTAGGCTGAGCGTGAAGTGAAGACAGCCAGCGAGTGTCTGCGCCTGCTTGACAGTCCCTTTGATTGTTGGATCAAAACACTTCAGCAGTCACAAGGACACTTTTTTCTTTTTTTTGACCACAAGCAAGTAAAGGTTTACTCATTTAACCTGCAGGAACAAGGGACTCATCGTCGGCCAAGTCACCATCTAAAACTACCCCCACACCACCTAACAACACCAACAACTACATCATAATGTCAGCAAAGGTCAAGGCAGACGACATCTTCAACCTCGAGGAAGCTGATTCAGAGGGCTCCGGTTACGATTCCGAGGAGCAGCAGACCACCAAGAAGGCTTCTTCTAAGAAGGTCACTAAGACCACCGCCAGCAGAAAGAAGACCACCGCCGTCTTTGGTCTGGATCAGGCTGGAGAAAGCGATGACGAGGATGACTACAGTTCACAGGACGAGAACGCCGACGAGGAGGAGGAGAATGACAAGGAGGATACCACTATTACAGCATCCATGGACTCGAGGTTCAAGCTCACCGATGACAACAACGAGGACGGCGAGGAGGAGGACGGTTCAAAGCGGGTACGTGGCGCCAAGAAGACGAAAAAGGTCAAGCCTTTGACCCTCGAGGAGTTGGAAAAGTTCCAGGCTGTTCGTGACAAGACCGGTATCGTCTACCTCTCCAAGATCCCTCCCTTCATGAAGCCTGTCAAGCTGCGTCACTTGCTGGGCGCCTTTGGAGAGCTCGGTCGTGTCTACCTTGCCCCTGAAGGTAAACTATTCTTTCAGGAACACACAGAGTCGGAGCAATTGTTTACTCAGGACGCGGGCTGTGCCATATATCCTAACGAACGATATGACTTTCTTATTCATGGCTATTTAGACGCAAAGGTGGCAGCGCGTCGCAAAAAGTATGGAGGCAACAAGAAGCAGAACTTTACAGAGGGATGGGTTGAATTCAAGGACAAGTCGATTGCAAAGCAGGTGGCCAAGTCTTTGAACGCGACCATTATTGGCGGCAGCAAGAAGAGTTTCTACCACGACGATATGTGGAACATCAAATACCTCCCCAAGTTCAAATGGGACCACCTCACCGAGAGAATCGGTAAGTTTCCTTGGAGTCTTTTTCAAGACTTTCTACTTCTTTGCCATGTACTGAGCCATTGAACTGATATCGTTTCACTTTTGTTATCCAACTTAGCGTACGAGAATGCATCGAGGGCACAGAGACTGCAGGCAGAGATCAACCAGGCGAAGCGCGAGAACAAGTCGATTTTGACCAACATTGAGAAGGCCAAGATGATCAAGAACATGGAGGAGAAGAAGGCAGCCAAGCGACAGGCGAGCGAGATGGACTCTACACCCACCGCATCATCAACAGCATCTTCAAAGAGCCAGGTGACGACAGCAGAACCCAAGATCCGTCGTTCATTTAAGCAGCGTCGTCTGGGAGAGAGCAGCGAATCTACATCAGCAGCAGCACCAGCCAAGCCAGTGTCGGGCAAGATCAAGAGCGTCCTTGGCAATGTCTTTGGAAGGTAGATTTGGATATACGCGTAGCGCGATATTTCATTTTGATACACCTCTCTCTCTTTCTACTCCACATTGCATTCACACTCACTCACATTCATAATAAACCACAACTGCATGTAAAGGAACACGGACCAATACTTTTTTTCTCAGGAGATTGATTACAATACCAGCTAGTGAGAAAAGTTTAGCTGTGCTAGTTCGTCATGGTTGACTTTTGTATGTGTATTTGGCAGACAGAGCAATTGAATTTGTTTTCTTGCATTCTGAGTCACCTCCGAGGCAGGCCGCAGCCCCGCAGTGGACTCGTGCAAGTTGTATGCAGCGTAGATGCACGTTATGCATCCTGCCCCTTAACGCCTTCTCGCCTGTTAAATAGAAGAGCATCCTGGCCCGTTACTGGTTCACCATCAATCAACAACATACCACACACACTCACACGGCACAGATACACCCTCCTCCTACCCGCCCCTGAACAATTGTTTTGGTTTCCCACCCACTAGCCGCCTTTTAACTTTTTTTGTCAGCTTCGATTCATCTTTTTTTCTTTTTCCTCTCTTCTCTTAACCCACTCTCACTCCTCCCCTCCTACAATAACCATGTGTAAGTAGTTCCTCTTCTCACTACTCACTCACTCACCCATCGACACTTGCACACACTGCGACACTCTCTCAACAACTCAAAATGTCGAATCGACTCGGATGCTCTCACCTGGACACTCATCGCGTGTTCGTTCCTCAACTATTCAATCTCCTTTTTATTCACACTATTTTTTTTTCTCCTCTTTCCTCACGCTTATGCTCTCAAACAAAAACTAGCCGCTGAAGAAGCTGTTGCCCCCGCCGTCGTCGCTGACGCTGCTGCCCCCGCCCCTGCTGAGGGTGCCCGCAAGCCCAGAACCCCCAAGGTCAAGGCCCCCCAGGTCCCCAAGGTCAACAAGATGGCCCCTAAGGCCGCCAAGAAGGAAGCCGCCTCGACCGGTGCCGTCCAGATCGGTATCGAGTACAAGAAGGATGTTGACTTCCCCAAGTGGTACCAGCAGGTAATGCCGCAAGGAGGGGCAATTATTATTGTTGATGATATTGAGAGGATAGTTTTTGTAAAAATGTGTGTTTGTGGAGTAGGGTGACTGATTGTTATCGCTTTTTTTTTTGTATCCTATGAATATTGTAGGTCGTTACCCGCTCTGAGATGCTCGAGTACTACGATGTCAGTGGATGCTACATCTTGAGACCCTGGTCTTACAAGATCTGGCAGGAGATCCAGCGTAGGTCGACTCTCTTTATTATCTCGTCCTGGAGGCGTTTTATTCACTCGGGATACTCTCTTGTTCATGGAAAAGGAGGCGCAATGGATAAAAAAAAGGCACAAAAACAAAACTGACAAAGGAACGTACATGTCTGTTATGAATAATAGAATGGTTCGACAACGAGATTCAGGAGTTGGGCGTTGAGAACTCGTACTTCCCCATGTTCGTCCCTGCCAAGAACTTGGAGAAGGAGAAGGACCACGTCGAGGGCTTCGCCGCTGAGGTCGCCTGGGTTACTAAGGCGTAAGTTTCCTTCTCGTATTATTATGCGGGCAAATAAATATTGTCATGGGAGGATACCAGGAGCAGTATGCAGGAACTACACCAAAAAAGAGCAAATGGCTAACCATCTTCTACTTTCTAATATTTTCCAACACCTCTCGCAATCGATACGACAATCATCTGGAACGAAAAAAAAAACTAACAGTGGAAGCACCGACTTGGAGGAGCCTTTGGCGGTTCGCCCCACCTCGGAGACTGTCATGTACCCCTACTACGCCAAGTGGGTTCGCTCGCACAGAGATCTCCCCCTCCGTTTGAACCAGTGGTGCAACGTTGTCCGTTGGGAGTTCAAGAACCCCCAGCCCTTCTTGCGTACCCGTGAGTTCTTGTGGCAGGAGGGTCACACTGCCTTTGCCACCAAGGCTGAGGCCGACGCTGAGGTTTACCAGATCTTGGACCTCTACCGCCAGGTCTACGAGGATCTCCTTGCCGTCCCCGTCATCAAGGGAATCAAGTCTGAGAAGGAGAAGTTTGCAGGAGGATTGTACACTACCACCATTGAGGGTTACATCCCCACGACTGGACGTGGTATCCAGGCCGCCACCTCCCACTGCTTGGGACAGAACTTTGCCAAGATGTTTGGTATCTCCTTTGAGGATCCCCAGGGACCCCTCCCCTCCGGTGAGGCCAGACCTGCCTGCCACGCTTGGCAGAACTCATGGGGTTTGACCACCCGCTCGTTGGGTGTCATGATCATGGTCCACGGAGATGACAAGGGTCTTGTCTTGCCTCCTCGTGTTGCCTCTGTCCAGGTTGTTGTCATCCCCTGCGGTGTCAACTCCAAGACCTCGGACGAGGACAAGGCCGCTGTCGATGAGCGTGTTGCCGATATTGCCAAGCAGCTCAAGAAGGCCGGTATCCGCGCCAAGGTCGATGACCGCACCACCTACTCTGTCGGTTACAAGTTCAACCACTGGGAGCTTCGCGGTGTCCCCGTCCGTCTTGAGGTCGGCCCCAAGGATGTCAAGTCCAACCAGGCCCTTGCTGCCCGTCGTGACAACGGCGAGAAATCGACCATTTCGCACGAGACCCTCGCCAAGGATGTCCGTGAGCTCTTGGATACCGTCCAGGCTGACATGTTCACCCGTGCCAAGGAGACCCGTGATGCCAATGTGATCAAGGTCGAGGACTGGAACGACTTTGTCCCTGCTTTGGATAGCAAGAAGTTCTGCTTGATCCCCTGGTGCGAGGAGATTGCTTGCGAGGATGAGATCAAGGAGAAGTCTGCCCGCGCTGGATTGGCCACTGAGGAGGCTCAGGATGATAAAGCTCCCTCGATGGGCGCCAAGTCCCTCTGCATTCCCCTCGAGCAGCCCCAGGACAAGCCTATTATTGCTGGCGAGACCAAGTGCACCTCCTGCGGCAAGGATGCCAAGCGCTGGGCCCTTTTCGGACGCTCCTACTAAGCGACTTCTTCCTGTCTGTGCTTAAATGCATGGGGTGGGGAGTTGGTTCTGTAGACGTTGTTCGGTATGTGAAGTGTTCTGAAACTTCAAAGAGATCTCTTTTTTTCTTTCTTTCTTTTGTGATCCTTGAAATAAATATGTAAAACTCCAAATGACGTTTGTTGTGTTGTGTTGTGAAATGAAGAATGCCAGAGGGTTTTTTTGTAGCTTTAATTATTAGAGAGATGAGGGGGGAGTTGTTTTGGCCCCTCCTTGATCATACGTACTCTTCTGCCACCTCCACGCTAGAAACGAGCGGGAAGGAATTTGTCTTTGAGACGACCAAAATCTTTTTCTCCGAGTGGATGTATCCTCTGATATAGCCCTATTTATCCCAAGCGTCGTAGAAGAAAAAAAAAATTGTCAGTTTTTTTGCTTCCTTTGATTTTCTTTTCTTGTTTTTTCCCTTCACAAAAGCATAGATCCATCTCCTTGACAGAAAAAAAGAGGAGAAAGGGAGTGGGGGGGCCAAAGCAAAAGCTTACCTGGTCGAGTAAAGATCCAGTAATACACTCGATATCGCTGATATCAAAGCTACCATCCTTCATCAACACCTGCGCCACACTGACCAACAGATTTAAATCCACCCTCGGCTGACCGGCATTGAGCAACCACACCCTTCTAATCAACGACCGCCAACACAAAACCCGCAACTTTTCCTTCAGCAAGAAGTAAATCTCCTTCCCGACAAACCAGCCCAAAACCTCTGGGTTATCTAAATGGTTATCCAACAGTCCCAAGTCACCCAATTTCACAGCCCTGATTAGCGTCGAGAAGTACACATCGAGACCGTAGGCGTGGAGGAGTTGCTGGGAAGGAAAAATCCCAAGACAGAGTCGGGCGGCGACGAGGTAGATGAGGATGAGTCGAGCGTTCTTATAAGTGACCTCGTTGGATTGGGGGTCGTGGGGGTTCTGGGGCGGGCAGTTCCGGAAGGCGAAAGCGAGATGACGCTCGGCGGTTCGGAGGTCGAGTTGGTAGAGGGAGTAGCGGCCGAGGTAGTAGCGGTGAGCGACTTGTTGACTCATTGGGTACTGTTCTAGTTTTACCCCTGCCTTGGAGATGTTGGCGATCATTGTTGGAAGTAGACGCGTCGATTGGATCTGTGGGAGTTCCACGTTTGTCCCGAGAAGAAGTGGTTGCAGAAAAGGCATGTGTAAGTTTTTGGGGTGAATCGTTAACAGAGAGACGGATCCTAGCCATATCGGACAGATACGTGGAAAATCAAAAGGTTTCCTGGAACGACCGACAAAAGAAAGAGAGACTTGCCTTGAAGTAGACGCGGAAGGTGAGGTTGGCGAGATAATAAAGCGCCATCTTTTTAGAATCCTTCAAGTCGTTGCTCATCTTGTCGCTGATCACAACGTTGAACGCCCTCGATAGATGTTTTGCTGCTGCGTCGCTGACTTTGAGTTCCTTTGCGTTTGGGTTCTCCTTATCCGCCTAAGGTTGGAGAGATAGCATAATGACAAGAATGTTAGTGGTTGGGTTTAGTGCGAAAAGATGAGTCGAGGTTGAGAAGAAACGCGAAAAAGTGGAAGGTGTTTGTATGTTGTTTTTTTGGTGGTTATTACCAAGGTTGCCCAGTCGACCAGCGAATAGGATATGTTCATCATCAGAGGAGTCAGCCATTGTGCGTCGAAAGCGGTATAAAGACCCAAAAACGATCTACATGCAAACACGAAAAAAGAAGGGGGGCGGTTATTTTAGCAACGAATGATTTGATCCACGCGACTTTTAAAGCGCGTTCGAAGAAGGTTATCGCCAAGGCGAACAACAATCGACCAAAGCTGTCATGAAGACAATAAAAACTACCCGTAGCAGGTCGACAAGAGCTCGTAGATGTCAGCGAGGTCAGAGGTGTCGAGACAGGAGGCGATAGTAAAGATGAGGTAGTTTGTGATCAGGTCCTTGAGAGGCCTTGGCGCGTCCAATGATTCGCAATCTGCGGCCACAGTCGATCGTATTGACTCCTCTGTCATCTACTCTCATATAAAACAGTAGAGTGGGGAAGAGAAGAAATTAATTCCTACTCTCTGTTGTTGGGTGCGGATCAAATTATTTTGTTCCTTTTGAACGGTAACGACCGCGGTGGCTGTTCGTGTCGATATGTTGCGATCTGATCTGTTGCTGCGACTTTCTATTCCAGGGGAAACAGCGCAACGACTGTGAACTTGCCAACAAGCGTTGCTTACGTCGTAGAGGACTTGGGAGAGCTGCTCGACACGCCCACTGGAGCTGTCAAGACTGATGAGATCGCATATGGCACTCTTGTCCTTTTGCTTGTAGGCCTGAACCACCTCCCGAACAAACGACCGAATGACCTGCATTTGCTTATTGTGAACTGGACTGCGTTGGGAATGAAGGAGTGGGGAGCTCGAGGTTGCGAATTGGATGGTGGGTTGGGTCAGGGGTATGTGTCAGTCCTTGCTAATTCCTGTCCGTTGCTGCTGGTCGTGTCTCTTGGGTTGGAGGAGTGTAGTGTCAAACAAAAGGCGGGTGGGGCATCCGTTGTATGTTGCATGAGGAGAAAAGGAGGAACGAGGGGCCAGTGCAAGAGTGGCTTGTGTACTTGGGCATCAAACTTGCGCCGCCAAATTATTTCCTTTGGTTCGATAGTCCAAATAACCTTTCTTTCTCCCTACCAACTCCTCCCTCCCCTCCGCCAACTGGCAGAGCACTAGCAAAGGGATTGCTCACACTTTCGCTGTTCTCTCCCATCCGCGTCCCCTCTCCCTCCTGTTCCTTTCTCAAGCGCCTCTCACTCACCTGCACAAGCGACGAATCGGGATCCGGGAGAAGAGCCCATATACCTCCCACCATCACCTCATCAAAACAATAAACAGGATGGCAGCTTTGTCACAGGTCGCCCTGTTGGAGATGGCACGCGAGGTCCTTCAAGTCTGTCATGATAACGAGTACGACCTCCAGGACATTATCGCCGACCTAACTACGACTAAGAGCACTGAAGTAACCATCAACCGTATCTTTGATGGTCAGGTAAACGAAAAATACAAGCGGGAATCACATAATGGCTCCCTTATGGAAAATTAATAACAATGACACAGCTCCTATTATTTTAGACGTTCTTTATATTTTGCTAACGTTCCTTTTCTTTCGCGTACGATATACTTGATAGTTGATGAAGAAGGGGGCTAGGCAAGGCTCGCCCGAGTTGCCCTCGGCATCAGAACTGTTTCGTTCAAGGTCTCCGGAACAACTTCTTCCCCCTCGTACTCAGACCGTTGCCACCAGGAGTGGACCAACACCAACCCCTGCACCTGCACCAAAATCGACACCCACAACACCATCGAGCAGCAACGTGGTCGTGATTCTGTCCTCGGACGATGAAGACCACGTCAAGCCTGCCAACCCCTTTGACGACCTTTTTGACGACCCTAGCGATAATGAGGACGGTTTCGACGAGCTCATGAAGAACATTCACCTCATCAAGTCAGGAAACGCAGCACCATCCAAAAGGGCAAACGGGACTTCGTCGGCGGGAGCACCTGCGTTCAAGTCAGCAGCATCGACGCCCTTGTCTCCTCGCAAGCGAACAGCTTTATCACCACCCCTCATCCTGTCTGGCAGAAGATCGCCGATAATTGAACCCGCACCATCATCACGACCATACCGGGAACTCTCGCCATCCATGGTCGCAAGGCCTACTACAACGAAGGCGACAGCAGTATCACCAACAGCAACGCGGGCGAATGGCTTGAAACCAAAGCCTGCAGAGACCTCACTCACCAAACGGAACAATACCAGGACTGGCGCCCTGGCTTCGAAATTCACCGACAAAATGCCGTTATCATTAGAGATCTGCTCAGAGTGGGACGACATACCTCTTCTTCCAGAATCCCCATCACCTTCGCCAAAAGCAACAAAGGAAACGCCAACGAAAGCACGGGATCGCTCCAAGAGTCCTATTGTCGAGATGAGGTCTCTTTCCCCTACACCGCCATACTCGCCCTCTAAGAGAGGATGGGCACTTTCTCGATCACCCTCACCCGGATTCATGGCGCGACTCTCCAACAACGACTCTCCTCATGTGGGAACATCCACTTCCTCGAAGCCGACCACCCAGCCAGCTTTGGCCATAAAGCGTCGGTCACCTTCGCCGTTTAGCATTTCAAGGCGCAGGAGCACGGATGAAAAGAAGATCTCACCTCTTCCATCGGAGGACGACCTACTCCCGAGGACCCGAGAGTTCAATGCCGCCTCGCCTGTGAGTCGGTACTCGGATGCAGCATGGTTGAAGAGAGTCAAGGACGAGAAGCGGACGGATCGTGTGCTGGGCGAGGAGAAATCAATTTGGCTCGACGAAGACGATGATGACGAGGACGACAAGTATGGCGTAAAGAAGGAGTTCAAGCGCAGTACCAGCAGCGAGACAGTCACCAACGACGGCACCACAGATGTATTTGACCATGCTGGTCCGAACGAGTGGTCCAAGTTTGAGCATCTGGCCGACGATGATCTCAGTCCTCCAAGATTATACAAGGACGATGATGACAGCGACGACCCTCTGCGAGCCCTGGATGCCGATGACGATTGGCGGTTGGGAACGAGGAAACGTTCGCGCAACAACGCCGGACTGTCCATATCTCCATCTTCCAAGGATCTCAAAAAAAACAAGCAGGCCCCAGGCACACCGACCAAGGCAAGGGTAAAGGCAAAGGCAAAGTCTGGCGCAGGAGCTTCTTCGCCATCGTCGTCAGCGTTAGTGGTTCCAGGAGTTGATCATTTCGATTTGAGCGGGCTGGACGAATACCGGAACGAGCCCATTATACTCGACGACGATGACCTTACTGGAGACTACTCAGTCGAGAAGGAGATTGAGACACGGAGGAAGCAGCGTCAGCAACAAGGCAGGAAGGCGACGCTGAAGAGGGTCGACAGTCTGGATCTTGAGGATATGGACGACTTACCCACTGCGGCGAAACCACGGCAAAGGAATGGCAAGGCAAAAGCTGTTGACTCGGATCTGGAATTTGACGCCAACAACAGTGATGGGGAGGACGGATCTGACACGGGAGCCTCAAAGCCACTGACTGCCAAAGAGAGGAAGAAGGAGGAGGCCAGGTTGAAGAGAGAGGCGGTCAAGAAGAAAAAGGATGAAGAAAAGGCAGCGAAGGATAGAGAGAAGGCAGCAAAGGATAGGGAGAAGGAGGTTGAGCGTTCAGCGAAGGAAGCAGAGGCAGCGGAGAGGAGGGCCATGGGTCAAACCAGGGATAATGAAGCGCTGAGGAAGAGGAGAGAACGCGAGGAGGAAAGGCGAATCAAGATGGCGGAGACTGAGGCGGCCAAGCAGGCGGAGAGGGAGCTAAACGCCGCGAATCGATTGGTGCCCAAGTCTAAATCGGTCGAGGAGATGGTCCTTTGCATGGAGGAGTCGATGTTTGATTCCGAGCTGGGCAAGGCTCTGCAGACGTATTTGCAGGCGATCGAGTGCCGCATAGACCTGCTCAAGTCACCTGTCAGTACTGCCATCGCCGTTGCGGCCGCAGCCGCAGCAAACGCTTCAAGACCGATCGGCGAGTCATTGAGCTCCTCGCTTTCAGACCTCAATGGTACCAACGATGCCTGCCCTGTCCGTGACCTGATCTTTTGGAGACGCATTGTCAAGAAGCGATATGATGAGCAGATGGCTGCCGATGTGAACCTGCCCGAGGAGGAGCACACCGTCGAACTGGAGTCATACTGGCTTTGTCACATGACTGCGAAGGAGTTCTGCAAGAAGATGAAGGATGATGAGCTGCACAGGTTCCTGGACTCGGTCTCGAGAGATATGCGGACTCGGATAAAGCGACAAAAGGCGACGCAGGAGGCTATGGGCTTGATCCCGACGACGTACGAGGATCGAAGCCGACGACCGCGAGTGATCTTCATGATTATGGGACTGTCAGCTCACCTCCGAGGTTTGAAGACGATAACTTCGCGAGATTTCGCAGAAAGGGTCCGGGCTAATATGCAGGCGGAATACGGTGGTGGCGGTGGTGCTGGGAAGGCTGCTAAAGCAATCACTGGAAGAGACAGCTCAGAACCTGATGAGGACCGCATTGACAAAGAGCTTTTGAGGCTTCAGCTAGAGGAGGACTGTCTCATCATCCTCACCGACGACTATGACGAGTCTGCCCAAATGACCGTCAGCTTGACCGAGCAACTCGGTCAGCGCCCTTACAAGTAAGTTGCCCATTTCATTTTTCATTTCGCAAGAGCTCAATGTTTATGGACACGATGCTGATACCAGACTCTCCTTTTTATTGTCTCGTTGCTAGAACGGGGCGTAAGACAGGGCTCAATGTGTGCCTTGATGGTATCAAAAGTGGGACAGGCTACAAGGAGACTTGGGAAGTGAGTCTTCAGCAGATCCATATGATAACACCTCGAGTAGCCCGGTCGATCGCTGCGACATACCCGACCATCCGGTCGCTTTATGACGGTTACAGGAGGTGTGCGACTGTTCGCGACGCCCATTCCATGCTCGAGGGTATTCCCGTAAGTTACTCTTTTTTTCTGTGAATGTATGAGTGTTAAATGTACGGCTGTATGGCTGAAGAAAATACCGTCGCTTATAATTATGTTGTGTTTTTGTGCTGGTCAATTAGGTGGAAGAAAGGTCGAGTGTGATTGGAAAGGGCATCTCCAGGAGGGTGTACGATGTCTTTATGGGCGAGGATCCTGACGCAGGCGTCTCGTAGAGCGGACCCGCAAGCATGTTACAAAAGTACCCACTATATCACGTTAGATACCTTCATGATACTTCTCTCACTCGCATAGCATATTGCATAAAACCTTGTTTCTTCATCATACAACCTCATACAAAAAGATTGAAAAAGTCACATAATTTTCGTCACTGCCTGAACCAAGCCCCTTCTCCTGGCGTCCAAGGCTTTTTCGCGTAGGCTGATCAGAACGTATTCCGGGACGCATTTGGGGATTCGTCTTTTTTTTTTATAAAATTCATTTCTCACCACACACAACGGAAAAAAAACGCCAACAGAACGGAGATGTCGTTTGTTACAGGAACCACCACAGCCGCAAGGACATTGCTCCGCACCTCGTCCACAATTGCTGCTGCTCAGATTCACACTGGACCCTCGGCAGCCGTTACTTCCGCATGCACCGCCGTCTCGATCCGGAGAATCGCTCTTACTACAACACCAGGCGTTCGGAGGTCAACGGTAGCAGCAGCAGCACAAGTATCAGGATCCAGACACACCTTTTCCACCAGCGCGCGTCACTTCCAGGACCAACCCAACAACAAATCCGAGGCTGACAATTCCGGCGCAGGAGAACTGGCGACAAGGGAGTTACCACTGTCGCCGTATGGTGGCCGATTCGGAGTGCCGGAACAACCCATGAGCACTAAATCGATTGCGCAGGCCCAGGCCAACAATGGTCGTCGGTCGCCGTTTTCGAAGGCTAAGGAAGGGGTTAAGAATAAGGTTCATGATTGGACGGATGAGAAGAAGAACCTGGAGAAGCGCAAGGAGCTGTAAGTGGGTTGTTGTTGTTGTTGTTGTTTTTTTGCTTTTGCTTTTGTAGTTATTGAAAATGTACTCACATTGACTTTTTTTATGTGTGGTTTTGGATTGGGTGTAGGTTGCATGATTTCCAGTCGGGATACTTTGCGGAATTCAGCGAGTTGTCAAAGACGGGATCTAAACTCTGGAAGGCGACCTCCAACATGATCAACGCCGATGTAAGCAAAAAGCAGAAGAGCCCCTTCAATAACCCTCCAACACGACTTTCTTTTGCTCAATTGATTCGATACCTGAGCTACAAAAAAAAAAAAATCCAAACTCGTTTTTGTTTTTCTTCTCACATCAACCTTGTAGAAAGCGCTCTATATGCCTAATATCATTGGAACATCGCTAAAGACTTCAGAACCCGTGGAATTGGTGGACTTGTTGAGGGGGAAGATCAGTTTGATGGCGATTTCGGGAACCCGGTTCGGAGAGGAGCATACAGAGTCGTATATGACCCCGTTCTTGAAGCGGTGGCCCATGACTGTAGCTAACAACAGTAAAGTCCAGTTGGTCGAGGTAAAAAAAGATTAGGGAGGGCAGGGATGGAATGTACACAAGAAAATGGGCAGATCCGTGTTGATGCTTTACTTAATCCTTTGTGGTTCCTTGAAATTTGATAGCTTAATATTCAGGAGAATCCGTTGAAGGCAGGATTGGTCAGGATGATGGTTCCCTTTGTGAAAAAAACCATCCCAGAGGAGCGTCATGTAAGTCTCTATTGACACTCGATCTTTGTGTCATGAATCACTTTTGGGACAAAACTGCAAGGACGACAAAAACAAGGACCCCTCAAACTTATCACCTCAACCCCTTTTTTTTTCAATCTTGTTATTTTTTTTTCTCATAGGAAAACTACATGCTGCATTACAAGTCGATCAAGCATTTGAAGGACCCATTGAGCATGCAGAACTCGTACCTGGGATATGTGTTCCTGGTTGACAGCAACTGTAAAATCAGGTGGGGCGCACATGGACCTGCCACCGAGGCAGAAGTCAAGACTTTGCTGGAGATTGTGCAGAAGCTCTCTGAGCGCGGTGGACGATAGATACATACATTCATAGACACATACAAGAAAGAACAATGCAAAATCGTAAAGTGCTCTTGAGAATGTTTGTTCGTGCCACCAGATCGAACTTGTGTTGATTCTGACAGCAGTCGAATGTGAAGTTTTCTTGTATTAGTATTACGAATGAACGAAGCAACAAAAAAAAGAGGGAGGAAGGTGGCGCGGGGACAGATCACAGGTCGCCGATGGTCTCTTCGTACACAAAAAAAAAGTTCGTCTTCCGAAGCAAGGGCCAATGAGTCCGGATCCAGTCGGCCTCCATGGTATCCGCATGTATATTTCCATCCGCCGTCTCTGAATAACTCGCTCCTCTTCCAAGTACCTCGAGATACTTCAACCCGGCCAGGAGGTCCAGAAACCCGGGTAGATCCATTCCTCCACAGCTGCTGCTCCCGCCGGTCAACCGCAGCATCCCCGGCATTCGTGGTTTTAGCCCGTCCCCGCCGTATGTTGCCCTGCCCAGACTGAGCTACTTCAGACCTGCCTGTTTTCCGATTTGTCGATAAAAGACATCGAGTTGTGCAAAGATCCTGTTCTCGTCCGCTGATGGTGCCGCAGGCGGTGTTTGGAGATAGAATGGCGTGTATTGGGCTTATGGCGCCGAGGGCAGAGCGATGTTGAGGTCCAGTGTTAAACGAGTCAATCTGGAACTAGCCCAAGGAAACGCAACGGCATCACTCAATACAATAGAAGAACCATCCATAATAAGCTCCTCAAGGACCCCACAAGCCGCCAAAATCATCTGCATAGCCGCGCTGGTGATCGGGAAGTATAGTTTGAGTTGTCGAAGAGAACACGAGTGTCGCAAAAATGTCCGTCCTACCACAACGTCATCCACGCAGCGGCCCCCTCCAGAGTAATCCAGTATCTCTAGGCAATTGCCCGGCAACGTCTCCACAATTCCCAACGGCCCAACCTCGTCGAACCGTCTATCGTCCCACCCAACGCACGTGAAATCACGGAGGTTGGGACATATCCTCCCAATGTCAGCCCCATCCACTCCAACTGGAAAATGGACCCAGTTCAACTCCAGCTTCTCCAGTGCCGGGCAACTCTCGAACACCGACAGAACCTCCTCAGGTGTCGCATTATCCAGCCACCCCTCAATAATAATCAGCTCTCGGAGATTACCAACGGCATTGTTCTGCAAGATGGTGCCCTTGTCGCCACAGTCTGAATCGCATTCACAGAAATATTATCGCCAGGATCTTCGATTGGTGTATCATTGTCGTCGTCCTCCGTATCACAGTCGTCAAAGTAGTCAACAAATTCGACCCTTAGCTTCTCGATCAGCGGTGAAGAACCAAAGAACAGCGCGAGTCCAGAGTCTAGGTTGTCCTTTCGCATATCAGCATAGAGCTCCAGTCTTCTCAAGGTGGTCTTCTTCAGAAGAGTCGACGTAAGAAGTTGGAGGCAGCGAGGGTCCTTGACCATGACACGGTGGAGAGCCAGGTCTCGGAGTTGCGGAAGGCGGCTCAAGATCGCACAGACACGGGCGATCGCAACAAGAACGCATGAGTGTCCTGGCAAGATGTGGTTGAGGTTCTTGTCTTCCTCGCTGTTCTTGAAGAACATTGGTAGAGACAGAGAGAGACGCGATAATGACAACATCGGCGGCAAGGGGATCAGTCGAAGGGGATCGAAACTGATATCACGAGTTATTGGTGGGCACCTTATTCTTCTGTGAGACCCTTTAGTTCACGTCAGGAACAAGAGAAGCGGCGCCGGAAATGCACCGAGTCCCATGTCGCTGCCGTTTCCGCTGTTGGTACTGCCGTTGCTGTCGTAGTTGAGGTATTGTTTGATGGCAGCCGTGGCGCGCGAGATAAAGACAAGGCTGAAAAGATCGGTCTCCCAGGTCCTGACAAAATGTATGTTCCTCGACAAAGCTCTCAACCCGTCAGGAGAGTCGCAAAGATTGATATTCAAGCCTTTGGGTGTCTTGTTGCTGTATGTCCCCAGGTTGCGGTAGAACCATGGCTTGATCGTTTCGTGCATCCCACGACTGGTCAACATGAGGCATGTGAGAGCCTCTTTGTCGAGCTGAGATGCAATGATCCATGCGAGTTCGGCGACTCTGAAGACCCGCGTTGATGGTTGCATGGCTGAAGAAGTCGTGGTAATGACGTGGGATTGCAAGAAAAAGCAAAAGGCACACTGCCTTCTTCCTCACATACATCCAGTGCATTGCAAGTCAGAGGACAGTTTGCTTGCTCGTTGCGCGCTCATTTTTCTTGTTACTGCAAAAAGGCACCAACTTGACGCGACATCCATATCTCCCTCCCCCCTGGGTCTGTCTTTCGCAACTCCCTACCAAGCGGTACTTTTTTCCGTACGTTCAGTCTTACTCCACCTAGTCCCTCAACAATGCCATAAAAAAACCTCAGATGCACGAGCCACAAAAGCAAACATAATTTTCGTTATCTCCATTCTTCATTTTTTGATCTGAGAACTGCTACGCAATATTAAACAACACAGGTGTCGCACGCGCTGCTCCCTTACCACAATCCTCCTCTGTCTGCCAAATTGCCTGCTGCTTGTCAATCTGAGCGAGCAAAAGAAGAAAGAGGAAAGGCAAGGCGGTAAAGACGCCAAGGTCAAATCAGACGTGGACGGAAGTCTCCTCAGACCCCTCGGAGACAAAAGAAAAGTGCGTCTCCCGAAGCAACGGCCAGTGAGTACGGATCCACTCAGCCTCTGTCGAGTTAGCGGGCATCTTCCTGTCCCCCGCCTCTGGGCAAATCTCTCCGACAACGACCTCCAACTTGCTCAATTTTCCAAGGAGATGTAGAAATCCAGGCCGATCGATGTCGCCATTGATGCTGTTGGCACTGTTGCCGCTGCCGTCTCCCAGTCGCAACAATCCAGGAAATGGCTGATTCCTCTTGTCAGCTTCCACAGTCGACGCCCCATACTCATCACATTCCGCTCTGCTCAGCTGAAGTACCTTCAGATCCTCCTGCTTTCCGATTTGTTGATAAAGGAACTCGAGTTGGGTAAAGAGGTATTTCTCATCCTTTGTCAGCTGAGCTGGCGGTGTCTTAAGGTAAGAGGGTACATACGGGGTTCCTGCTGGGAGAGACAATGACAATAGTGTGATTTTGATATCCAGTGACAGGCTCTTCAGCTTGGAACTGGCCCAGGGGGAACCAACGGCATCGGCCAAATCGATAGAGGAACAACAAATTTCCAGAACCTCCAACGCCTCGCACGTCGCAAGAATCATCCTCATGGCCGCACTGGCAGTCCGCGAGCAGGCATGAAACTCTCGAAGTGAGCAAGAGTGCCGCAAAAGGGTCTTGCCTACAACAGTGGCATCCAACCATTGGTCAGGTCCTCCTCCATAGTAGTTCAAAATCTCCATACGATCCCTTGGCAATGTCTCCATGATCCCCAGTGGCCAAAGCCTGTCGCCAGTCATCTCCACAGCTCCATCGAATCGAAGGTTACGGAGGTGGGGACACATCCTACCAATGTCCGCCCCATCGAGGCCATCAGGAAAGGTAATCTCCATCAACTCCAGAGTCTTCAGGTTCGGACAGCTCTCAAAGATTGACAGATACTCTTCCAAAGTCGCATCGTCCAAACAAGCTTCAAGATTAATATCCCGAAGATTGGCCAAGGTTCCGCTGGTCGACCCACGCGACAATGACTCCGTTGTCGCCGTCGCCACAGCTTCGATCAGTGCGTCCTCGACATCATGAAGCGAACTCTCGTCTGAGGATCCTGTCTCAGAGTAGTGCATCTCGTACTCGTGGAACTGGATCCTCAACTTCTCCACCGACGGCGGGCATCCAAAGAACAACGACAGTCCGACTCCACAAACGCCTTCGATAATGTAAACATCGAGTTCCAGTCGTCTCAGATGGTTCATACGCGACAGTGTCGATGTAAGAGGCCGAATGCTCCAAGGGTCCTTGACCGAGAGGTGGTCAAGCGCTAGCTCCCGGAGCTGAGGAAGGTGTTGCAAGGCAACGCAGAGGTGGGCGATCGTGGCAAAAAGAGACGTGTGATTGGGCAGAGTGTGGCTGCGACTGCGCTGATTAGAGTTTGTTGTTGAGGGCAGCGACAGCTTGAGACGCGACAGTGACATCACCGGTGGCAAGGGGATCAGTAGAAGGAGGCCGAGTGTGGTCACCGAAGAGATCCGTGGGCGTCTTGTTCTTGTAAGAGACCCTTTAGTCCATGTCAAGAATGATGAGAGTGACATCGGCATGGCGTCGAGTTCCTTGTTGTTGCCGTTTCTGTTGTTGGTACTGCCGTTGCTGTCGTAGCCAAAGTATTGTTGTATAGCAGCAGTGGCGTGCGAGATAAAGACGAGGTTGAAAAGATCAGTCTCCCAGGATCTGACAAAGTGTATGTTCCTCGACAAGGCTCTCAGCCCATCAGGGGAGTCGCATAAGTTGATGCACAAACTGGCGCCAGAGTCTCTGGAGCTGCTAGGGAGCGTTCTCAAGTCGCGGTAGAACCATAGCTCGAACGCTGCATGCATCCGACGATTTGTGACCATGACTTGCGTGAGAGTTTTCTTGTCCAGGGAGGAGGCAATGATAGAAGCAAGCTCGGGGAGTCCAAAGACCCGCATCGATATAGGCTCCATAGCTGGAGAGAGGTGGTGGTGCTGTAAGGAGGGGACAAGAGAGCGTTAGCAGGAGAAGGAAAAGAGAAAAGTGTGGATGTCCCACCCGACGCGCACGGTGTAACGTTGGCGTTCTTGGTCCGATATCATTTTTTAGCAAGGGGTAGACTTCAGCTTTTATTCCCACAACCATTTGCCACGAAAAATGGCCAACATCCACGCGAAAAGCACGTCATGGAGCTTTTGCTCGTCCTTTCTTCTTTTTCTCATTCACTCTCATTGCAACCTCCTCTTCATCTTCTTCATTCATCACACCTCTCGCTCCTACCCTCTCCTCCTCCTCCTCAACAAGTTATCCGCAACTTCTTCAACCCCTTTATTTCACCGCCCGCGCTGAAACGTGTTCACCAACTCCCCCTTCTCTCTCCCTGACACCTAACTAACACACAACACCAATGTCGCTGCCACCTCAGTTCTCAGGCCACCGTATCTCGGGCAAGGCCGATGCTAATCACACCTTGGAGCTGTACCTCGATTATGTCTGTCCCTTCTCAGCCAAGATCTGGAAGCAGGTCTATGAGAATGTCTTGCCTTGGTTGGAGCAGAATCATCCTGGTCAAGTCCAGGTAACATTCGTACATTTTGCAACCCGAGGTTGAAAAAAAGGGATGGGGAAAACAGGAGGTGAAGGAATCAAGTTTTAACCGAGACGGGTTTCGCGTTTGCCTCTGTTGTAATTGCTGGTGTCTTATTCCTGTGTTATGGGGAGAAAGGGAGACCATTCAGACTTTTCGCTCAAGTCTCAACATAGCGCGCTTCACTAATGCTCCTGTTTTTGTCTCTCAATGAACATCATATCAATTGCTGGCTGCCCCCCTTAGGTCATCTTCAGGAACCAGATCCAGCCTTGGCACCCATCTTCGACCTTGGTCGCCGAGGTAAACACTCGCTTCCCTCAACCACACCGCCACCACCATATCGTGCTACGTACATGTCCAACACACGTTTACAGTCTCCGTATCGAGCAAGGATTACTAATGCGTTTGCATCATGTATGCCGTTTTTTAGGCTGCATTGGCAGTTGAGCAGATCGACCCCGCCCAATTTGCGCCCTACAGCAACGCCCTCTTTGTTAACCAAAAGAGGTGAGTTCCCCCCGTCCCCTTAATCCGTTACGCGATAATTCGTGCTCGACGCGTGCTCATCTCCAACAAAACCTTCTCACTCTCTCACACGACAACCCCCCCTTCCCCCCCCCTCTTCTCTCCTTACTAATAGCTTCTTTGACGAGGCAGTGGTGGACAAGACCCGCACAGAGCAATACAAATCCCTCTCCGCCCTGGCTGCCACCACCTCCCCATCCTTGACACACGACAAGGTCCTCTCCCTCCTCCAGATCGAACCCGTTTCGACAGCCGCAGAGGCCACCAACCACGGCAACAAGATCACCAACGAATTGAAGTACCATATCAAGTTGGGTCGTCAGACAGGTATTCATGTCTCACCCACTGTTCTTTGGGATGGGATCGTTGAGAACTCAATCTCGAGTGGATGGACTCTTGAGCAGTGGAAAGAGTTCTTTGGCAACAAGTTGTAATGATATTGACAATATGGAACTAGTGTGATACAGCAACACACAAGCGTTAACAATAAAAGCGATTTGATATGACGTTACTTTTATGTTGTTTTAATTGTGTGTGCACTTTGCTAGGAAATCAAAATAGGGTCGGGGAAGAAGGGTGAAGAAGGAGCGGGAAAGAAGAAAAGAAAGCGTAGCAAAAATGAAGAAATGAGAAGGAAGAAGAAGAAAAAAAAAAATGAAAGAAAAAGTGTCCTCGACTGCGCCAAACTATGTTATGAGGTGTACAAAGTTATTGCCGGATATTTGCTGCTTGGGGGGGTGCTTATTAGGACATGCTAAAGAAATGACTGCCATCGTCTCCACCGTATTCACTTCCGCCATACTCACTACCGCCGTACTCGCTGCCGGGACGACCGCCGTGCAGACCACCCGTCAGGTTAGGTCCTCCGGGGCTGGGACAGTACAACGAAGCACTCGACTCCATCTCGTTGTCAGAGACCATCGACGCCAAGGGCGATCCGGGCGAGGGGCTTGGTGGCAAGGGTGTGTTGACCGCGCTAGTGTACGCCTGCAGGGTGTTGGGCGACTGAGGCGCATGACCCAACAATCCCGACGAGTTCGTATAAAACGGCGGTATTTGAATGTTAATCGAAGGTGTCCGTGGATTGCTGTTGTTGTTAGGGTTGTTGTTATTGTTGATGGTGTTGGTGTTACGGACTCCGTTCATACCTCCAGAGTTCGACTCGTTCACGTTCAAATTCCCGTTAGAGTTCATCCCGAGGCCCAGATTCTGCATCGCGAAGGACGGCGACAAGGGTGAGAGCGGCGACAACGGCGAATGGTGTGGTGAAAGAGGTGAGTGAAGGGGTGAGTTGGGGCCACTGCCACCCATCGATGTCTGGATAGTCAGGGGTGAGTTGGGTCGTCGTTGTGATGGCGTTGAGTTGTCGTTGGGGAGGGTATTGAACATCATGTTTTGGTACATCTGCTGAGTCGAGCTCTCGGGGGCTGTGATGTAGATGGGAGGTCTCTCTGGCTCTGGCTTGACCTCATAATGCTCAAACGTGAGTTCTGGTGGTAATGCTAGCAACATAAAAAAGAATGGAACCAGATAACCCATCAGCATTAAAGTTCATGGTCAATGTGCGAAAGTGATGATTCCGCGTTTCACTGGCGAGGTGGCCCTGTCTCCAGTTTTAGCGATAATAACGACAACAATTCCGAGAAAAAACTTACGCTGACCGCCTGATGTCCTTTGGATATAGTCAAGCAAGCTCTTGAGCAACTGCTGTTGTGCCACCTGAATACGACGTGTGTCGGCAAGTTCCCGAGCGACCTCGCCAAAGTTGGCCTGGAGATGAGTGACTTGCTGGGCCAAGTCCTGCTGGGAGCTCTGCAACATTGTTACATGGCTGCTCACATCTGCTCCGTCCCGTCTCATCGCGTCAGACTCCATAGCCTTGCGCTTGATGTCGTCCAACAGATCCTGACGTCCCCTCAAAAACTTTTGGTGCGAAAACTCCCAGATCTGATTCTCTGCCAATGTGCGATGTCCTCTTGGCGATTTGTTGACCTTGTGGAAGCCGTACCTAATTGGTAAAAAAATGATTACGAAAGTGAAAGGGGAAAGGGAAACAAACGGGGTAGAAAAGGAGGAAGAAGTAACACATAAAAGACAGACAAGGAGGGATGTTAGTTGTTGGTAATGAAACCGGCGGCAGAACAACACAAACATCATGTCTTCGATTTGACGTTCTTGTTCAACTCAGATGGCAAACACACAAATGACCCGATAATACACTGAGTCCTCCAGTCGAATACGTTCCCCTGCCCTTGCATGGTTCCTCTCCACTGCCCATTTGTCTTTACTTCACTCCTGTAATGTCTCTTGTCGCATATACAAAAAAATGAGGGGTGCTCCTTTGGCCCTTTTTTCTTGTCTTCTTCGCTGCCAGCTTATCCTACTCAAACACAGATGAAGGGTGGGGGTGAGACCCGACTTACATGTTGAGCTGTCTCACAAAACTCGAAAAGTTGTTGTGTTTGAAATGCTTGGGCAGGACATCCCGCGAGAACTCCATGATGTTGCAGACAATGAACGACGTTCCTGTGTAATTCCAGGCAATCAAGTGCTGATATTGCTTGTCAACCACCATGCTAATAATAAAAACGAAAGGTGGAAGCGGGACATTGGTTAATAACGGGGAAACAAGGCGAAAATATTGATGATAGTTCTCCACCGAATGTCATCCAATGCATCACAGATCCACAGCAGTAATGCTTTTTCTCCATCCCCCTCTTGCGTGCGTGCGTGCGTCTGTGTGCTGCTGTAGCCGTTCGTCCGCTGTGTGTGTATGTTGTGCGTGTTGTGCAAGTGCGTGCGTGTGTCTGTGAATTCCTTCTAGCGAATTGACCTCCTCCCTGTTTTTGCAGTTGTCGCTTGTCTCCCGTCGCAACTGTCAATGAAATCGATGTACTTGTTGCCGCCTTTCGCCTTTGCCTTTGCCTTTGCGACCCGCTGTTTGGAGTTGTTGTTGTATTGATGGATGTTGTAGCGGTGCTGTTACGTTGTGTGTGCTCATAAACAACCAAGGCGCAAGAAAAAGCATAAAAAAACAACAGCACTTGAAAAAGAAAAAAAAACCTTACTTGTGCAACTTGTGGACGAAGGTATTTGTGTTGGCCTTGGCAGGAGAAGGGGGTTGCAAGGAGGTCATGGAGCCGTTGGGAGATGATGGCTGGGAACCCGAGGCGGAGGGCGAAGATGGTGAGCTGGTTGTCTGGAGCGGGTAAGGGATCTGGTTGCCGCTGTTTGCTCTCACGCCGCCGGGTTGACGGGGCTGTTGGAGGGTGGATGGAGCCTGCTGCTGGAGGGCGAGGTGCTGCTGCTGAAGCTGCTGCTGCTGAAGCTGGTGCTGGTGCTGCTGCAACTGTTGTTGCTGCTGTTGTTGTTGCTGCATTTGTGACATGAACTCTCTCTGTTGGTTCATTGTGACGAGTCAGTGCGGGTACTCAGGGAAAGGGAGAGAGAGAGTGCCTTGAGTGCTTTTATATGTGTGAAAGCGAGAAGGGTGGGAGCAGGACCCTCGATGGTTGATTGTGTCCTTTTTTCTGCTGTTCTTGTTCGCTGTGGTTACTGGTTGTCGATGGAGTTGTTGATTGTTGGTGTCTGTCTGGATGCGTGGATGGCGTATGTGATGGGAGGGAAGGGAAAAGAGAGAAGAGAGAAAAGAGGAAGAGAAAAGAAATAGCTCGAGGGAATAAAGGAGAGATAACTAGACAGTGCGGCGCAACAAAAAAAAATTCATTTTTTGTTTCTTGCAATTGCAATTGCACACAATATACAACACACCCCAAGCGTGTATGCTTATGTGCTACCGTGAAAAAGGATGAGTTAGAGTCGACTCCATAAAACATATCCTATTTCTTTATTGCTTGTTCATGATCTTGACTGCAATCGCTCTCTTTCAGATAGCAGCTGCTTGTTCATGAAAGGAGCAAAGAATAGGGCAAAGCACATTACATTGGCTTTGATCGATTTGAATATCAGCAATAATAGGGGGGGATGCGCAAGTGAGAAGGGAGGAGAAGGAAGGGAAGGCGGGTGAGCGTTGGTTGAAAAGGTGTGTATGTGAAATTTGTGCCCGTCCCCCGTCCGCTCAATAATGGAAACACAGGAAGGTGCTAGCCAACGCTGGAGTCAATTGGACAAATATTGGTGCTCTATTGCCAGAGGCAAAGATAAAAAAAGCCCAATGCCTAAAAGTGCGCTTTCGGTAGTACCCCTGGCCAATAGATCGAAACTCTCTTCCTTCCTTTTTCTTTTGTTTCCTTCTTTTTTGTTCACGTTCGCAAACAGCAACCACCACCTTCTCTTCTCCCTGACCTCGTGCACATGCATACCCCTTCTTCAATCGCCTCTTCTTTTTATATATATCATCCACCAAACGGTGACCCCTTGCTAATACCTTCGCCTCCTTCAACTCTGCAACTCAGAGAGAGCGAATTTTCATCTCTTCTTTGTTTTCACCCTTCCATCAATCAAAATGTCGACGTCACTGATTCCGTTATTTCCAATTATATCGATTGGAAATAAGGCGCATAAGATAATTAACGGTCAGTGCACAGACTTCTATGACCTAGAGATGAGCGGCATCGAGGAGGATAGGGAATATCTTGATTGTTCCTAATCCTTTTTGTTTCCACTATGCATGGACAGGACATGGGCTGCTATCCAAGAATGAATAGCAGCTCTGTCTTGGGTATACCTCAATCATTTGCTTCCTTTGAAGAGTTGGAGGCCTTGGAGTACATACGTGATAATGTCAGCTAACGAATACTTCACCTCCAAGTCTCTGCTGTCAATACCACACCAACGGTGAGGACCAATATCAGCATGGACCGTCGCTCCATCCAATGCACACAGTGCAACCGAATCAGGGGGTCGTGACCATAACGAGGCGCACAATATGGCTCGCTAACGCACTAGGCGTCCCTTGCTGGGGCTGCTCATTGTTGACATTAGATGTTTCCTCTAATAAGCTAAATAAATCACTTTTTAGTTTTGTCTGTGTTCCCCCCCCTCCCTTGACCGTTGAACCCTGAATTTCGTACTAACGTGAACCATGCATGAGCGAGTCAAACAAAAACGCCATGCCTCTTTTCCAAGCCCTTTGCATGGTTGTTTCGGAGAAACAAAAAAAACCCCCCAAAGTGGTGGAGGCGTAGCGTCGAATGAATCACAGCAGGAGGAGGAGGGGAGGCGGGAGCTTTGTCTACAGTAATTGAGTCAAAGCACTGACAAAGGTTTGATCTGCCAGTACCCATTTCCCCCCCTCCTCCCGGGGTCCTCATGAGTATAAGGTATGTGAATTGTGATGGATGGGATCTATGTCTTGATACAAAAACAATTGGAGTGGTGGAGGTGGCCAGATTAACTAATATCCACAACGATTGAAATGAATAAAGAAAACAAAGGGAGTACTTCCAGACGGATAGAGACATGGAGAGGCGAAACGATTAAACAACATGGTCCTTTTTATTTTTGGCCGTTCTGATTGTTTGAAGAAGACATGATGAGCATGGTTGGAGTAAGAAGGGTATTTGAGCGGCTCGGAAATAGATACAAGAACTCAAGGGGTGAGAGAGGGACAGATAATACGATCGCATAAAGTAGACTGCACTAGATAAACCAAGAGAAAACGGAGAATTGAAAAGGAGAAAAGGGGAAGGGAGTCGGTGTGGAGTGGCTGTGCGATGGAGAAGTAGGGCGGAGAGCCAGAACGGGAGAACCCATTTGTCCACTTTGTTCATGTCGCATAGAACCAGATCTAGACACCTCGCAGTTGAAGGCATGGCATAAGCACCAGAATTGAAAGTGAGAGGGGATCGAGTATTTTGCAAAACTTTTTATTTTGAGGTATCTGGTATGGTACATTTCTTTTTTGTTTCGTATGAAGAATGGAGAATGATGGGAAGGTAGAGTGCTTTTTGTGTGTATGTGTGTGTGTGTGTGTGTGAAGAAAGTGTGTGCTAATAACAGCAGCGCTTGTTTGCTGCTTTTGCATCTATGTAAATGGATATGATCGGGCCAAGCTCAGCTCGAAACCCGACAAAGAGAAGGCTATCAAGCCTTGACTGTGCCAAAAGTGAGGACAGATTTTACTTGGCGCGGACGTCAATGTCGGCGCAAGAGGTGTACCACTCGTCAGAGTTGAGCTTCCAGCGCCACTGCATGACAAAGTTACCGGGCTTCAAGGTGGTGGGCAACTTGAAGCATCCACCGCAGGGCCAGATGTCGGTGTCCTTTCCCTTGTCAGAGCAGTTCTTGTAGTTGAGGTCGGTGATGACGTTGGAGAGGAACTGGAGCTGGGTGGGGTCTTTCGTAGGGTTGACTTCGGAGAGGGCAATGGTCACGGGCTGGTTCTTCTCATCGGGAACAGCGTGGTTCTTGGCAGGCCAACGGACGCAGAGCTGTCCGCCGGGCTTGGAGACGGTCTGGACACCAACCGCTCGACCGCGCTTGTCCTTGCCAGTGTAGGCTGCAGAGATAGGCTTGCCCATGGTCTCATCTGCACCAGGTTCCTCACCCTGCTTGCCATCGGAGCAGGCAAGGGAGTGGTTGGGGTCGGGGTTCTTGTGCGACTGCTGGTAGTGGCGGTTGGGATCGTCAGAGTCGAGCTTGGCGAAGGGCTTGGCCTTGAGGGGGAAGCGGCGAGCAAAACCGAAGCAGGCACCGTTCTTGTCGGACCAGGAGGGGTTCTTGGGGTCCTTGAAGCGCCAGTCGATGCAGTCGGCGTAGGAGTGAGCCTCGGCCTTTTGGGTGAGGACAAGGATCATCGAGGCGATGAGGACGGCCAAGGAGGCCTTGGAGAGGGTGGTGAAGAACATTTTTGAGAGTAGGGGGTGGTTGGTTTGTCTCTGTGAGAAGAGTGGTGAGGGGAGAGGAGTAGTTGTTGAGGAGAGGAGAGGAGGGGAGGAGAGGAGAGGAGGGGAGGAGAGGAGAGAAGATGAAGAGGCTGATGAGGATTGAAGAAGGTGCGGATGGTCGAGGGTATTTATACTGGTGGAGGAGGGGAACCGTTTGTTCTGTTGCCGTCCATTACAGTGATTGTTATTGTTTCGATTCAATCGTAATTAATATGAACCATAACAAAAGAAAAAAGGGCGACGTCCCTTCTGCAGCTTTGCCCCTGGCCCTGTCTCTCCGACTGTTCTCCTTTTCTCCTGTTCGCTGTGTGAAAGTGTGTCGGTTTGATATTGTGTTCAGGCACCCTGATCGAATGTCATTAATCGATTGAATAAGAAGAAGAACTGTCTGTGCCTGACTTTTGAAACCAGACAGTTTAGAAGACTATACAGTCCGCAGGCTGCAATAAATTAACATCGTTATGTTTCCCAGACACCAATCAGTGCGCTTGGTTGTAATGAGATGATGCCCCTCTGCCTTGCCACCCACGAGGCATCGATTGCGGGTGAGGGCAACAAGATCAGGGCCAGCTGGACATTTTTCCAATTTCCATAATAAAACATTTGCGTCCGGGAAAAAAGGGAAGAAAAAAGGCCCTCGATCCTTCCCACTTTCCTCTACCATAGTCAAGCCCTACCCTGGTCTCTACTTAATCCCCAGTTCTGTACTCCTTCTCCCTCGGAGGTTGCAGGTTGGCAATTTTCACTCTAACTGTCTTCAGTAGTAAATGTCCATATGCCTCGTCTTGTTGCTTTGCTCTCATTTTATATTCTTTTTTAAATGTTGGACACACACTATCATTGCTGGCTCTTCCTCCTGGTGGCTCGGTGCTCACAACCTACAGTACGATGGCAGGAAAAAAGGAAAAAAATTGAACCAAAAAGGCAGAAAAGGGCATGAGGACCTTGTCTCTTTTTGTCCGCTCGATGTGGCCCATGTCCACCTCTCTCTCTCTCTCTGATGCCATTACAGATCATAGACTCGTTCTTTTGCTTGTTATCCACGTCCAAACGCCTTTATTTCAAAAGGTGAGGCTTGCAACAACGTATAGGTGTGCGTGGTGGCTCCAGTTTACGTTGCGCCGTCTGGTTCATCCAGAAACGAAGCTCCCCTCTGTCGTCCTCACCACAACAAAAAGAATTCCCTCATGCTTATGAAAGAGAAAAGGGTATGAAGGAGCAGTAGTAACTGTCGATGATAGAACGTTTTAATTAAGGGAGGAAGGGGAGGTGAGGGGTCATGTTTCTAGTTGATTGACCACCCTTTTTTTCTTTCTTTGTCTGATACTTTCCCTTCGACGCATTCAAACCCCATCTCTTGATCCAAAAGCCGGTTCTGGTTGTTGAGATGGAGCTTTTGCAAAGGGGAAGGGGGTAAATCATGGTCATGGTATTAGGGCTTTCTGCTTCTCGTCGACCTCACAACCAAAAAAAGCAAAATGCAATTCCTCAAAGAGCACCTTTCGATTTACCCGATCTCATCCTTCCCTTGCTCTATTGTCGACATCATCCACCCCTTTTATCTATTTATCTATCTATCCTCCAGGGTTCAGGAGTTTCGTAGAGAAACTAATTGCAATATGCGAGATAAAGGGAATGTGTTTCTTGCGCCTTTTTCTCTTTTTCTTATTCTTTGTGTTTATCGACTGTGTGGGGAGGGAATGTCATCAAGGCAGTTTTCTTGCATTGTTCACAAATGATTGCTTTGTTTTCTTTCTGATGTAGGTGAATGTGTAGGCGATGGCCATCCCCTTAGACCTGCTTGGCCGCCAGTTCCACTCTCTGGCGCAGAGCGGGGGCGTAGATTGAGTGAGAGAGCAGTAATAAGGAGAGCGCGCAGTTTTTTTGCGAGTGGGGTAAAAAGTCCCTACAACTCTTTAATTACGCCCACAAACCTTTGTTCTTCTTTTGCATACAGTACTCTACACCTTATTGTTTGATAGAAAAAAAAAGGCACGCCGCAGAGTTGGAATGCGCGAAAGAGTGCTTAATTGTATCCTAGCGCAGGTACCTTGTTTACCCTTGACCTCTTTGTCCACTTGCCCCACTTCATTCTTTACCCTGTTCTTTAAACCGTTATTGCTCTGTGTGACATTCACTTATTTCCAAAGTCATTTACACACACTCCGATCACTTTTTTTTTTTTCTCCTTGCGACATGGTTTCTACCTCTGTATACTTTTGCAGGCGTATATATTTTTTTCTTCAAGATCTTATTGTTGCACACAATGAAAATTAAGCATTTGCGGAAAACCCATTTGTCGACTGAATTACCGTTTATTGTTCGAATGGACCATGAAAAAAAAAAAAAAAAAAAAAGACAACTTTGAAGTGGTAGTCTCCTCAGCCTAGCGTGATGGTATTTCGATCTGGTCCTCCTCGCAGCGCGGTCTCGCTTTCCATAATGTGAGATGGACCATGGTTGGACCTTAGAACCACCACCTACACCGTATCTATCGCGCTTGAGTATGGTCTATCTATCCTGTCACCCCTAATGTCCTAATTTGGCAGAACCAGAAACCCAAGCTTCGTTCTAAGTGGTGCAGTTCAACTTCTTTGACGTCGTCTGCTACTTGTCCATCTCGACCAACTTCACCCGTTAAGTAAAGACTAACAGGTACAGGTTCAGGCACAAACCAAGAGAGGAGGAGGAAAGGGGGGACAGGAAGATTTGGCCATTCAGCGCCGTAATAAATGAACCAAATTGATAATTTAGAGTGAACCTCCTGATCATCGAACGAACCAGACGAATAGACAGAAGAAACTCTCTTTTTTCGATCTCTCTCTCTTTCTCTCTCTTTCTGCCACATACTGTTTCCCTCGTAGTCGCTCACTACCTATCGAATAGCAAACAAGAAGGAAGGAAGGAGGGAAAGGAGATAATGGAACCGTCTTTTAGGTCCAAACTCTTCTTGGAGATGAATGTAGTAGTAGCGGAAGATGAGAATGCCGTCAATGTGACATAAAGATGTGCTTTGTTCCTCCACCTTTTTTGAGTACAGCAAGGGTATACAAAGCGAAAAAAAAAAAAAAAAAAAAAAAAAAAAAAAAAAAGGTCGTGCAGATAGTTGAGGTGGTTATGAGTATGTGGTAGGGATGATGACGACCCTAGGATCTAAAGCAGGAATCATACTATGCCTTTTCACTACAACCCACAACAAAACAATAAGACAAAGGGGAAAACAATATGGAACAGGTGCAAAGATAACCCCTGTGCTGTTTTGGACCACACAGACACCATCAATTCATCGCAACATGCAGGGAGAGAAAAGACAAGAACTGCAGGACAGGATTGGCCAAAGCCAAAAGGCAAGGTACTGTACCTGACTTAATAGAACAAAAGGTGAAGGATATTTGGCCCTTTTCCTCGTTGATTATGCCTTTTACAATGGACCACAGCAATATCAACAATGCTGCCTATCTGGTATTATTCCGGGCGGGGTGGATAAACTCATTGAAATGAATGGTAAAGAGAGGGTGCTAACGTCGTTTGTTCAAGGTCGATGCTAGGGAAACGGGCCATGTGGTGAAAGGAAAAGAGGATCCACTTTAGTGCACTTGTCCATAGTGACCAGTGGCGGAGAAGGGAGACGAGACAAAAAGCCTTGGATGAAAATGGCATGGTCGACAGTTCATCGATAGTGAGATAGGGCGTAGTCATTTTGGATCTGGGTCACCTTCAAGCTACCACACTTTGAGAGAACGATCCCTGTACCTGCATCTCCACTCCGACTATTTTGTCTGATAGGAACCACAACCTCACACATTTCCTGACGCCTTACCTACCCCGTCTTACTGTCCTATCCTCCACTGCCTTTCGTCTCTTCCACGCTCATGCTCGCCCATGTTGAGCGGTGATAGTAATGATATCCCCTCAGCCCTCTGGTAGTTTCTCTAGTAAAAGGAAGATAAGTATGGACACACTGACCATGCGTCGACCCCGATCGGATGTCGTAGTATGAGAGCAATGATGTACGATTTAACACCAGTGCAAAGGTGAGAGCACAATTAGTGTTTTATCGGTACGAGTGTGCCCCACCACCAGGCACCGATCCCATTTTGTGAGCACTTGTCATGAACTCGGGGACAGCCGTTTTTTTTACTTCCCCATCTACTTCTCATTTCCTATTTATTATGTGGCTCAGATACGTAACCAACTGACCCTGACCTCACCGGGTCAAAGTCCTTGTGGAAAATCGAAAAAAAGGTGAGGGGAACGACGGGTACGCTGTCTTTGTTCGAAACTGAAGAAAAATCCTCGGCGAATGGGGTCTCACTCATTCTCTGTGCCCAGAGGGAACTCCCCCCCACCCCCCTCCATCCTGCTCACTAATTTATTATCCTATCATCAGGACTCGTAATTGCAATGCCTCTCATCTCTTCTTTCTCCCCTGTTCCTGAATCATCACTGTCTTTACCCATGCCTGTGGGTGAATTAACGAGATGCACACATAAAAAAAAACGTGTCAAAGGGACTCGCCAACGGTAGGGATAGGTATGGCGCAAAATATGCACAAGGGAATCATTTGCGGTATGGCGTACAGCACTGGGAGAAACCACACAGCTGCATGCATGCCCATGCACATAATTCTCATTTCGGTCCCTTCCTCCCCTCTTTTACAGCTTTTTCACTCAGCCCGCTGTATTCCAGTCCCCCAACTCTATGTTGTCCCTCTCCATGCATTACAAAGGAGAACTACCGAGGAGGAAACAAAAGGTACAAAAGGTGGCTAGACCCTTTTTCAAGGTACAGTTTTGAATTCATAAAATAAAAAAAAATGGAATGTGGACAACGCTGATCTATCTACATGTATGCGTTTATCTAAATAGTTACTCGCGCTGGTGGTCAAGGTCCGAATCATTCAACTCCAACGTCTCAAACACTGCAGCCGTGGCGGGTTCCTGAATCCAGTCTCCTTCGTCGTCTTCCTGATCCTCTTCGTTCTTGTTCGTAAATTTCGTAGGTGTTGAAGAAATGACAACACTGATACTACCCCTGTCGGTTTTGGTTTCATCAACGTCAGCATTCCCCGACGACGACGATGACGAAGTCTGCACCACTTTTTCTGCGTCTGTGTCACTCAAAGTAGAGGGTGCAAAGGAAGAGGGAAGAGAAGAGTCCGAGACAGTCAAGACCCTTTCCAGGGTCACCTCCTCAAAGATCTGAGAGAAGCTGATCTGAACAAACCCCAGCTGAGTAAGAAACAGTTGGATCGAGCCTTTGTTCTCGGTCGAAATCTTGGCTGTGATCCTCTTTGTTCCCAGAGACTGATACGCTGTTTTTTGAGGGGAGGATAGAAGAAAGATAGAGAGAGAAGGGACGAGAAACAACACCAATTACACATGGAAGAAAAGAAAGAAAAAAGGGTTAGCATTAAAAACGGCTTATAGGTGTCATCATAAAAGGGGGGTGGTTAGGGTAAGAGTGAAGGAAGGGAGATAAACAACCAAGGAATCATCCACCCCAAAACTCAATAATTAATATCCCATGCAGACAAGAACACAGGGAGGAGGGGGAAGAATTATCGCATGGGAGGAGCGGGTAACGGTACGAAGGGGATCAAGGAAGGAGCAGAGGAACAGATCAGGCAAGGGCGAAAGAAGGAGATGGCAGCAACGGGAAGAAAATTAAAGAAAAGAAAGATGTCGTTTGTGAGCAAATTGTGTAATAAGAATAAGGGTTTTCCGAAGGTGGGGGGGGGGGGGGGAGAGGGTTGTGTTACAGATCTACTCGCACCATTCCACTGGCATGTTGGTGACCATCTTATTCCGCACCACAACATCATCTCCAAAGCATTATTTGTACTGTACCATAAGTCATCATCATGCGGAGGGCCTCAAGTCCCATTCCTTTGCGTCTACAGCTTGACTCTAATTGAATCGAGTGTCAAAGCACATGCGCACATGTAATTAGTTGTTGTTTAGAGTCAATTGCTCTGTTGACTTCTGTAATAAGAACATGCAACAGTAAAAAAGATACAACGGCACAGAAACGAGAGGTAAAGACTCCGTGCCCTCAATGTCTGTATGCGAGAGAGTAATCAAGCCCACACACATAACTCCCGAAAGGAGAGAAGGAGGATGAGTTTCATGATGAGTAACAAAAATGCCTCCCTAGTCTTACCAGCGATCATGATTTCAATCTCGGCAGAGTGAGGGTCATCGTGGTCATTGAAGAACAGATTCACATCCCCGACCATGGCTAAATTGGACAGTAATAAAGGGAGAGATGAAGATGAAGGTTAGGCGAAATGGCCAAGACGAGTGATAGGTTGCGGGCACTCTAGGAGCTATGAACTAAAGAGTAATATAAACACGTCAGGGTCATACGTTGGGCAAGGGCGTTCTCAGGGGTGATCTCTTGCTCGGGGGTCTCTCGTGCCAGGATGATGAATGTGCACTCTATTGTTCATTGGGAGAGAGCAAAAGGAGAGCGAAAAAGCGGGACATTGGCGGTGGTTGAGGTCAGCATGGGCCAATGAACAACAAGGTTGCCACGTTTTCTCATAAATGTGCAACGGGCGTCGAAATCAAATCAGGGCGGTAGATGTGAAAGACGGAGGGAGAACAAATCATAGGCGACCTTACTGTTCTCATCGACACGCCACGACTCCTGCATCTCGTACTCTTCCTCGATCGTCAATGGCTCTGAAGCGGTCATCTCTAGTGGGTATAAAAAGGCGGTTTTTTGCGTAGATTTGGCGATGTTAGGGTCTAGCTAAAGTGACCGACTACAGACAAAAAGACGTAGTTTGCTCACAACGAAGCAACATTTTCCAACTTGCCTAGCAACTCGGGGGACTGCATCCACTTGTTGTAGTGCTCCACATGGCGCTTCAGGTAAGGCACTAGGATGCACTTTTGTCCGACCTATGTTTTGTATCCAGCGTAAACCAAAGGACAGTCGAGTGGTTTAGTGCACGAGTTGATGTGTGGGAATAGGTCATTCCTACTCCTGTCGTGCTGCATGTTTCATTGTGAGTTGGAATGCAATGAGTAAGAATGAAAGTGTGTACCAGGACGAGGTTCTCGTTGTCAAGCATGAAGGCGATGCGGGTATGAGTGAGTTGTAGGAGGAGGGTGATCATTCGCACCTTTTGCCCAAGAACCCAACATGCGTGACTGTCCTTCAATTCACACATTGGCGCCTCGTAAACAAACCATTTACATTTGGACCTTTTTGTCTTTTTTTCCTGCACCCTTCTCGTGTCGCTCACTTCCATTGCTCACCCTCACTCTGTCTTTCTCTCCCCTCACTGTCACACCACCTCAAGTTCCATTCACAACCCTTTACGACCCTTTTCATAATACGAACGCGACTCTTTTTTTTTTTTTCAAAGTACAAACCACGGCAGGAATGACACTCACACAGGCGCTTTGGCGCTCACTACCCACCACGACCACCACCTCGTCTTCCTTGCGACCCCTGTTACTCAGCCGTTCTTTTACTTTCTCCGCAACCTCAGTCTCGGGAACCACCATGCCGGCCATGGCCCTGAGACGGATATCAGCCTTACCCCGCCGTACTACTACTACTACTACTACTCCTACTTCCACCACAGCGTCTACGTCCGCCATGTCTCGGAAACTGTTCCATACCACCCCTACGACCAAAAATACCACTACCTTTCCCGAAGTTCCTGTAGAGCTGGAATCTCAAGCACCGAGTATTGGAAGGGTAATTTTTTTTCAAAAGAAAAGGCGCTCCTAAATAATATCCCCGCGTAATTGCGATCTCATACCCACCCACCCCGTATTGACTTTTATTTCGATTGAAACAAAAAAACAACAAAAAAAAAAAAAAACATAGTCGCCGGTGATAAAGCCTTTGGCGCGTAGGCCCAGGAACGCCCGGAACACGAGATGGACTCCAGAGCTGGACGAGAAACTCCTCGAGCTTCGAAAGGGGAACCGGACTTGGGAAGCCATCAGTCTTGCCATGGGCCGTTCGACCTCTGCCTGTGCAGATCGGTACTACACAGCTCTGGACCCAGCACTACGCAATTGGACACCGGCCATGTTTGCGAAACTGAACCAGATGGTCGAGGATGGCGAGAAATGGTCCGATATCGCGGTCGCGTTGAATGCCAAGATTGTGGCGTGTCAGAATCAGTGGCGGACGCTGGGGAATGGGAAATATAGGATCAAGGGGATCTTTATGACGTCGCAGTCCTTGTCGTGGACGCCCTACGAGATGGAGGCTTTCTGGGCGGCCTGGATTCGGTTGAGCGAGGAGGCTTATCAGGATGATTTGGGACACAAGTTGGATTGGGAGGAGTTTTCGGCAGAGGTCAAGACAAAGTCGCCGATCGAGTGTCGGAAGGCGTTCAAGTTGTTGGTTAACCATGCTCTCAAAGATGCACCTGGATGGGTTAAGCTGGAGACGGTTAGTTATGTCTCGGAGACGACCAAGGTTGCCCGGGCCCGGAAACACCTTGAACTCAAGGAGAAGAATCTGAAGAATGCGGCAGTAGCAGGAAGAGAGGCTCTGAATTTGGACGACGAGGATCTGGAAGATGACGATGATGATGAGATGACTACTGATGATGCTACAAGAGGAACAAGAAACACACCACAACAGTTGATTGCCTGGACGGACGAGGAGCACAAGGCACTTTTTGAGGCTGTGGAGCGGTATGGATTGTTCTCTGGCTGGACAAAGATCAGGAATGAAGTCAAACCTGATGCAAATGACGAGGATGTTGAGACCGAGTACTATCATGTGAGCGGAATCCAGGAGAGGCCGAACGATAGTGACATTGTTGAGATTGTGCCAGTGCAGAAAGGGACAATGATCCATGGCGAGTGGACAGTCAAGGAAGCTGCACGGTTGAGTCAGGTCCTGACGAAGTACAGTCATATGCCCATTTGGGCTGAAAGAGCCGAGGAGATAGGGGTTTCACCGACTGAAGAGGATTACGAGATCTTGTTCAAGAACAACAGGGAGCATCCGATCAAGCGACTGAGCAAGAAGGAGTTGAAGGCGCTGGAGGCTCCGAAGGATGGAAGACGGAGAGTCAGAGGGCGGGGCAAGAAGTTCCTCCTCAAGGAGGTTGAAGATCCCGCTAGACCTGGCGCCGGGATTGCAACAACACCAGCAGTACGGGAGCCAGTCCGCAGAACGGAGGAGACCATCACCCCGACCACTAAAACTACCCATCAAAATTCTGACAACAACAACGACGATGAAGAACCCAACGAGCAAAGAACGGAACTCCTGTGGAACGCCGACCGGACGCTACGCCTCCGCCGCCTTGTAGGCCAACAGCAACTCCAAGAACGCTCAGGTCACGCTATCGACTGGTCCTGGATCGCAGAACATATCGGCCCTGGATTCAACGCCAGCACCTGTATCACCAAATGGCAGTCTCTCCCCGAACACTCCTCCATCAAGGTCGAACCGGCCCGGTTCTGGGACCTGGCAGATATCCGGTTACTGGAACAAGGGATCCTGGCACACGGCAACCAATGGGTTTTTATCCAGCGCGACTTCCTCCCTGAACGGACAACAGACTCTATCCGCCGTAAAGTCAGTAACTTGCAAAAGAAGCACGAGCATCTGATCGTGGACGTCCGTGCGACCGCCGTAGCATTGAAGGGGAAATACCCGGATTTGGATGTCGAGGAAACAGTCAAGAATGCGATTCTTGCCGATGAGAGCTGTACCCTGTGGGGCCGGCTTAATGATCTGTTGAAGCAGTACCGGGAAAACCCTAGGCACGGCCCCAACGGTCCTAGAAGGCGTGAGTCCTCAACGGAGGTGTAGCATCATAAAATCCTCTTACGTTTTGCATAGAGAAGCACCATGTTTGATGTTGATGTTGTTTTAAAAAAAAACGGCGTTATGCACTATTACTTTTTAAGGTTTATTTGGGTTTTGGGAGTTTTACGAATCTCCTCCAACAGTTATCCTCTCGTCCTTCTCTGGACCTCTACTACTATTACCACCACCCTCCCCATCTTCTCCTCCTGGCCCTGATCCCGATCCAGACCCTGGAGCAGGAACAGGCAGGGAGGCAACATTATGCACATTCAACTGCTTGGCAGCGCCACCACCAACCCTCCGTCCCGAAGACTTTGCCTTCTGATACGCATCGACCGACTCCTTCAACGACGGCTCCATCGCCAAAACCTCCTTAAGCTGTTGACGTGGCAGACTAGCAATCACACTAGCACTTGTCGGTTGCATCATTTTCGCGCATCGGACAAAGCCCTTCCAAAGGACGGGGCGAGACCAGACGTTCTTTTGGATCATGCGAGCCAGGATCATACTGTTGACGAATCCAATGAGATTCTTGTAGAGTGTGATGGCTTGGATGACGGTGCGCATGAAGAGCGAGGGGATGTTGGGCATGTCGAGGAGTTGTTGCAGGACGACGGCGATGATTTCTGATTTGTAGATCTCTGGGTGGTGGAAGCAGATGTCCATCGCTAAGTTTATCATTACAACAAGAAGAGAAAAAAGGGTAAAGTTAATAAGGGCAAGTGTTCATGACGATCGACCGTGCGTGGATATAATGTATGATTATTACCTTCACAGGCAGCCTTCCATCCGACAACGTCCTCCATCAGATGAAGCTGGATCAACAGCTCCGAGGGCGACAAGACAGGGCCACGAGCCTGGATACTGACACCGCCAGCCTGGGCTGCACCAGCACTGCTATCACGCCTGGCCAAGTTCCCACTACTACCACCCTGTACTGCAGGTGCTCCATTCTGTTGACCTGCTGCTCCAGGCGCACCAGGTCCACTGTTGCTGTTGGTAGCTCCTGGCCCACCTGCTGCAGTGGCAGAAGATCCCGAAAGCAATTTCAAGAACACGTCTGTGACAGTCCTGCGTTCCCGCTCGGTACCCTTCAGGAGACTGACGATCCTTGGTAGACTGGCCAGGACCTCTTCCTTGTTGAGTCCACTAATGATGGGAACCAAAAACCGGGCATTCAAATCGTGCTGGATCACTGCTGCCTGTACTGCGCTGACCAAGCCGGGTGATGGACGAACTATAGTAAAAAGAATAAAACGAACATTAGAGAAATATTACACAAAAAAACATAGAGCCCTTACAGAAAGAAACGTCTTCCCAAAGCACAAACGTGATATATACCTCCGTCAGTCAAGATGAAAATGATCCTCAGAACGAGCATCTCTGCACCCAGCGGGAAATCGCGAATGAGGGCAAGGAGCTTGGCCGAGTCTGATTTAATCGACTTGATGAGGGGATGAATCGTCTGTCGAATCACCCGCTGCACAAACGGATCAAACGCGGTGTACTGCGACAGCAACACTCCCAAAAGACTGTGGTTTTTTGCACAGAGTGAAAAGTACAACTCGAGCAAGCGCGCAATATCGTCGTGCGCTACCCTCAGTGCCTGTTCATAGGCCTCGCTTGACAAACCTCCTTCTACTCCAGAGTTTCCTGTAGCGACAGGTGAGCGGAGATGGTCGTGGTTGTCCATGGGTTCGTCCTTGACCTCGGACTTGACAGCAGTGTCTGAAGAGTCTCGACGTGAAATCTCGGGACTTGAGCGAACAACCCCCTCCATGGCAGCACCAGATCCTTCATGAGATGAGTCCGGTGCATCGGCAGCGCGTTTGGGGACAGGGTAATCCTTGAGCGCGTCCAATTGGGCCAACGCAAAGTCCTCCACCTGGGGTCCGACGGTCGAATGTTCCAGATACCACTTCTTGGCCATTACAATCGCCATCGATCGCTGCTGCTTTTCGGGGTAGGTTGTGTAGCTCAGTAAGAGTGCCAGAGCGCGCGCTCGACTGGGTGGGCGAAGATTCACGACGTCACGTAAGCACACAATGCCCTGCTGTGCTCTCAGTGGGTCATCGCAGTACTTTTGGATCATATCCACCGCACCATCCGGCAGCTCAGGTACTTCTAGCAGGAAGCGCGTCAGACCCCGATCCTTGGCATCGTAATCGGTTCCGGATGTAATTCCATCGAGAATCTTGTAGAGACACCAGAGATATTGTGGTTCTCGATCATCCATGTCTTCACCCGACTGGCGACGGTACATTCCTTCGTAGTACCACTCTTCGTGAAGCCAAGTCAGCGCCAGCTCCCTCCGCTGCTTGAAGTCTTGGCAGATATAGTCCACCATCTTCTCCTTCATGCTCTGCACACCTGATGCAGCCACCTCGTCCGAGTTCCTTGGGAAAGCTCTTGTCAGAAGTCGCGAGACAATCGACATCCAGTCGGCCTTGGTCACCACCTTGGTAGTATGATCCTTGGCGTTGTCCTTGTCGAACGGCACAACTGCTCCCTCCGTACCTTCAGCAGCTTCGCTCTCTGAATCCTCTGGTCGGTTTCCGGACGCAGCTGCCTCAAGCATCTTTCTCCCGGTCACGCCTGGCACTGAGACCAAATGCTCCGATCCGAGGATACGCTCAAAGGCGAGTTCCAGTAGCTTCCTGGTAGGTGGTAGGGCTATATCCACGACTGGACGATCGCCTGTTGGCTCAAAGGGCTTGACTTGGAAGGTTTCCTGCTTCAAAAGCCGCCTTGATTCCTCAGAGTCTGCATTCTTGGCCTCCATCTTGACATCCTTGTCAGTGGCCTTGCCATCCTCCTCATTTGTCCGCGAAGGCAAAGCGGCGACAGTGACGGTGTCTGAAACGACAATAACGGGTCGTGAGGGAAGCTGAGTGGGAGTATGCTTGGGAGGCATGACCTTAATGCTGACCTGAATGTTATCGGGAATACGAGGGAGGGCGAGTTTGGCAATGTTGAGCTCCTTCTTGACCTCAAGCCTTGCCTCCTGCTTGACTTCAGGCATGGGTGGAGGAGGCCCAGCTCCTGGCATAGGGAAATGTCCTGGTGGTCCAAGGTGTGGAGGGTGCCCGAAAGGAGGTGGAGGAAAGGGATGTCCGTGAGGTGGTGGTGGCATCATTCCTGGTGGGAGCATAGGTGGTGGTGGTCGTTGAAGTAAGAGCCCTGGTGGTGGAGGTCCTGCTCCTGGTGGGGGCATGGGCAAGTTGCCTTCCTTCAATCCCATGATTGGCAGTGTTGACTATTTCAGTGATTAGTAGGGTATTGATATAATGTTAGGACATCTGACTTTGTATATCATCTTGACAGCAAGTGGCGACTTCATGTGGTCAAACTTACGAGGAAAGAGTGAAAGAGGTGAGGAATGTGGTTTGCAGCAAGGGTCTCGAAAATAATGTCAACAACATGATGGACTGGCAGCTGGGTAATGTTGATTTGGCTGAGCACATTCTGACCAAAGCCCGGGGGGATGTTGGGCGGCGGCGGTGGTCCCGGTGGTCCCGGTAATGTTGGCGGCCCTGCTGGAGCAGGCATAGGTGGTGTGTTTGTGCCGCGGGTGTCAGGCTCTTGCTTCATCCTCTTCAACTCCATATCCTCGCCGTCTTGGTTATTGTTGGACCTTCCACGCTTTGATGATCGCCTAGAATCGTCGTCTGGGTGAAGAAGTTGTTGCTGCTGTGACCGACTCAATGGGTTGCCGTTGTACTTGACGCCGTAGCTGGAAAGAGTATCTGTGACAATTTGAAGCTGCGGGGGCTGCAATTGCATCCTATGAAAGATAATGTGTGAAATCGTTGATGTGAGTCGTCAAAGTCTGAGAGTGGTTTGACGTGGGTAAAGATACATTTGCACGTCCAGAAATCCTGTGCTTGACTCTTACTTTGAGATGGACAAAAGTTGTATCCTGATCGCTTTGTCGATGAATCTGATCTGGAGCGGGGTGAAGTGTGGTGGAGGCGAAGGTTTGATGAAGGATGTCCAAGTTCCGAGAATGGCGGGTATAAACTGAGGTCGAGCTCGTTGCAAAGCACTGGTCTGGTTGATGATCGCTGTGACAACGGTGGAAGAACTAAAAGGTTGAAAAGGTGGGTGCGACAAACAATGTTAAGAGGGATGCTGTAATTTGATGGGAGGTACAACCGCGCCACCAAAATAAACTTCGCCACCTGCAAACTCTCCAATACGTACATCATTGGCCGCTGAATAACAGACAAAAGCTCCCGCAATGAAACGTCAGACTCGTGTTGAAGAACTCCAGCGTTCAAGAACGGGTGAGTAGATGGGATCTTGTTGAGCGACAATGTCTAATGCGAGAATGAAGGCACATAATGAATAACTCTTGGTTAGTGTCTGAAGATTCTTCCTGTTCTTGAATGAAAGGTGAAATATTAGCCCTTATTGGCAATCATTCCTGCGATCCTGAAATAGTACCTCCGAATCATGAGCCATAGAGTTCCGTTGACTGTGAGACTGGATCTGGACAACAGTCTGCATGTACTTGGAGATCGCCAAGAGAATACCCTCGTTGGGAGTTCCAAGATGACCCAACACAGCCTGCTTGATCCTGACAGCATATTCCCCCCAGAGTTTAGTGAGATCCGCAGACTCCTGACAACTAATGAGTGTTGAAACAAGTGGTATACGATGTCAGCGTCCTGTTTGCGTAGTATTTTCGCCAGAAAAACAACAACAACAACAGTCTTCGATTGCCATACCAAATCTGAAAGACGACTGGGTAGATGGAAGCACATGTTTGGACAGCGCGCTTGACCACTGTCGCCGAAGGACTCCTGACCAGTTCCGCCAAAATATCCACTGCCTTCAGTAAAGCTGTTGTTAAATAATGAAAAGGTAGTTGAACGTGGTGATGTCAATAATGCAAGCTTTGGAAGCAATTGGCCGTTGTGAACAGAATAAAAGGTCGATCCTGACAAGTTACGATCTGTGCATACCATCTCTGAGATCGACTGAGAATGTGTCGATAGCCTCGCTGAGGGTAACGTCCTGTAGGTAGCCGATCCACCACAGAGCAACCATCTCCAAGTTAATGGTTGATCTCCTCGCCTCCTGCATGACTCCGAGTGCTGCATCGAACTGGTCGAGACTGGGCTCCTTCTTCCAATCACGCGTGAAGGCTTGGAGGTGCTTTGTTAACTCTTGCGGGTTGGTGGCAACAGTGGCGTGGTTTAGGTGTGCATGAAGCACGAGCTGAAGGTCCAGTGAAGCCATGTGGCGTGTGATGTTTGTAGATCAGATTTGAAGGAGTTGGCGCCGCTGGCTGGGAGTGATATCCTTCGTGAGTCGAGGCGACTGTCCCGGTTCCTGTAGTGGAGTATAGACAGATCCTTCCTGGTACTGAAGGATATAAGTATATAAAGGCGTCCGGCGTAATTGTCTCGATGGAGGAACGAGAGAGAAGTGAGTGAGGGGACGTTGGGCAAAATTGCATAGACAGGGTTTTAGCGAAGCATGTGACGTCACATATCCAATTTTTAGGGAATCTTTCAAAGATATGCCTACTCGCACTCTTCGTTTCTGGATGCTCGTTTTGAAACGCGTCAAGCACCTTGGTCGTCGTGAGGATTCGATCTTGTATTTTGACAGCGAACCAGCGCAGGAAAAGCTGGAAACACGCCAGCGGAGAGCCGGAAACCATGACAAGGCTTTAAAGGTTGCCGAGGAGAAGGTCGATGAGTTTTCTGAGCGGGACTTGGAAGCAGCACTACATCGACATACACAAGATTCAAGTGTGATTGTGTAGCAGTCAAACATAGGGTCGTCGTTGCAATTGTGCTGGCGATCCAAGGTAGAGTACCCCATGCAGGCACCCTTGTTTGGCGACCGGTGGGAACCTTTTGCTTTGCATTCACCATCCCCCTTTTTCACCGCTCCTTTCACATCTGTTACGACCTCAATTTCCACCGTTCCTTTCACTTTAATTATGTTTGGGGAAAGGTGTTATTCCTTCGCGCACATTCAATTGTGATTGTGTAGCAGTTCAAACATAGGGTCGTCGTTGCAATTGTGCTGGCGATCCAAGGTAGAGTACGCCATGCAGACGCCCTTGTTCGGCAACCGGTGGGAATCTTTGCCATTCCCCTTTTTCACGGTATCTTTCAATTCAATTATAACCTAAACTATTGGGGAAAGTATTGCTCTTTACTTGATGATCTCATGAGGGTTTCCAACCCTGTACCAGCTCTGAACCGGTATATCTTCACAGCATTCCAACCACTGTAGGTATACATTCTTTAACAAGCACCTGTTTTTGGAAATAATACAATACTAACAGATATGACTTACTGGATTTAGCCGCACTGCCTTCATGTACAGTACACAGGAACCCACCAGCCAAGACATAAACGAGCGCCACTACTTCCGAGACTATGTCGTAGAGCTGCTTCGAGGCGCACTATCCGTTCATGGCATTCCCTACACGTGGAGTGAGATTTATGTGCCCCGCAGTTTCATACCGATGCTGATGCTACAGGACGTGGAAAGCTTGCTGATGGAGTTTCTGAGTCAGAAGGACAACAGATTTTGCTATCTGAAAGCAGCAAATTGCACCGGGCACCGGCGTCTAAGGATCAGGACGACAAAATGAAATTGATGCTCCATGATGTTTTCAACTTCACCATCCTGGAGATGACAAAAAACAAGGACCGAGTAAAGCCGAAATTGAGAGTCTTCGGATCACGGACATTCAAGGACACAATGGAGCTGATCGCCATGGACTATCATGGAATGTATAGGACATACTCCTTCGGGTCGTTCAAAATTGTGTCGACGGCGAATAATGTTAAAAATCTGAAGGAGTGCTTCGAGATGTGCCTCAGATTTTCCATGGCGGTAAAAGGGCAGGTCACTGAGCGGTCGGAGATGAGAAGCTGATGGACGCGGAAGTCATTAAATTGACGAAGGCGGCAAGAAAGCTACTTACCCACACATCCTTCACCCCTCCAAAACCGCCTACTCAAGTATCTTATAGCCCTTCCAAAGCAGCGGGTGCAGCGGGCACAACAACAGCTGCGACAGCGCAGAATACATCAATTAAAGAATACGGTTCAGTTGTTCTAGGGTAGCCTCCGGTTGTTCATGGGCGGCATCCGAGCTTGCTTGGGTAGCTTATAAGTGGTCGTAGGTAGCCTGTAATTGACCTTGGATAGTTCTCCATCATCGCTCGATGGCATCCGACCTTGCATTGATAGGTTTTAAGATTTCTTTAGCATTCTTCAACCTGCTAGATAACCTGTGGTGCGCAAACAAACTTTGGTGTCAGGACTCAGAGCGATCAATGCCTCCCTCTGGTTCGAAACCCAGTTGATGCGATCAGTTTTACGAAAAATTTAATAATTGGTTGTGTCTCAAACACATTTTGGGTGATGGATCCGAAGGTGCCAGAAAGCTTGATTGATAATAGGGGCGAAGCAATAACAATCATGGCTGCTTGATCTAGTAGCCACATGGGTCTGGTAGCAATAGAACGAGTGGGGTGGGTGACAAAGCAAGTAAGGCAACGGAAGGGTGTGAGTCAAAGGGCTACAAGTGAATGAAAGGGGCGGTGGGGATGGACCTGCTGACCATGAGGTTGTCTGCTTCTTTGGGGATAATGTCTGCCCCTGTTCGTTCCCCTGAGTTTTGCCTTGGCACGACTGCATACATGCAATCAAAATACATACAACTTTGTGCCCTGTCCACCTTCAGTGTACAGAGCACACTTCTTCTTCTTCACACTCCTTTCCTTGCCCCCATGTGAATCTCTTTCGTCTCTCTCTCCTTCACACCTTTTTATCTTTTTATTCATTACCTCTCCTTTGCTCATTGTTGGTGACATTCCAATCCCTACTTTCTTCTTTTTCCTCGCTAATAAGGACCCCCTTCTACTTTTCCTCTTCCCCCTTGACCGATTGAGCGACACCAAGAACGATGGTCTCCTCAAAACCACTGCCGCCCATTCCCGCCCCTCCTCCTTCCGAAAAACGCGCCCATCATCTCTTCTCATCAGTTACCAACCACCACAGGAAAAAGTCAGAGTCTGCTGCTGCTGCTGCTGCTGCTACGACGACAACAACTACTACCGCAACAACAAGCACTACAACCCCGACTACTGTCGCTCCAAACACGGGTGTAGTGACAAGTGCAGCAGTCGCTCCTTCAACGACAACAACAGCTGCAACCGAGCAGCAACCACAACCACAAGCGCAGTCTATTCCTGCCTCCAACAGTTTCTTTTCTTTCTTTACCTCTGCCGTTTCCACCATCCGCACGACAAACGCAGTAACAACACCCACTGCCACAAGGTCATCGTCGCCCGCTCCTACCATCGCTGGCCCAACGGATGAAGCGACTTTGTCCTCCTTGACCGATACCACCGACACTGCCATAGACAACAACCTTAATACGACGCTAAAACCACCCATGGTCACGCTGGACCAGCGGTCATTTCAACACCTACGCGCCATCGCCCGGCAGTCGATTGCGAGTTCTTGTCTCGAGCTGGAGTTCCTCTGGCTTGGCTTATTGATGGACATGCTACAGAAACTCGCTGCCAATATGTCGGATGCCTGGCAGCAGATAGAGGCGTCGTTCGAATCAACAAACCACTTGGATGCCCTCGATACTTCCAACACCGCCACCACTGTGACCGAAAAGAACGCAAAGGACAAAGCCATGGACAAAGTCAAGAACAAGGAGAAAGACGAAGACAAAGAGAAGGACAAGGACAAGGAGGATGTCAAGAGTCTCCCTCAATTTGGATATAGCATCCAGCTGGTCAAGAACATCAGCACCAGTCAAGAATGCACTTTTACTGCAGGGCAGTTCAGAGGCGAGTCTATCCTCCTGGAGGAGCGCACTATCGAGGAGAGAAGTCGACGTATGTTTTGTAATGACTGAGCAATGGTCATCACACCTGTTTTGTTTTGTTTTTTCTTGTTTTTTTCAGCGTGTGCGAGTGATGATCGATGGTCAGTGTCCGTCCAAGGGCCGAGTAGTCTTGTTTTATTCAGACTCCGCCAATGAGATAATTAACGCTTTGCCTTGTTGCTTTCTGTCCTCAGCGCCGAAACAGGAACCGATTCAAATCTTACTTGGAGGAACAATTGCCCTTGCTGCTGGTGCGGATGACCTAGCAAAGGTCGAAAAGATTCTGGAACTGCTCGTCTTTGCACTCTGTTCGATGCAGCTCGAGATGTACCTCATGCAGGACCACGACATTGTGCGACACGAACCCTCACTTTTCTCACCAACCTCGCACGACCCAGAACAACGGAAACCCTCCATCCCAATCCAACAAAACGCCATCAATAACTCCAAGCGTGCCTCCAAGGGCTCGATGATCTTTTCGTGGCTCTCCCGTGGAACCCTTCCAGCAAAGTACAAGAAGGGAACCACTCAACTCTCGGCACAACTAGACAGTCAGGCCGGTCGGGATGGCAAGTCATCAGGTCAAAGCGCGGAAACGCCAAGTTTGGCAGAGGACTTTGGACTCGGCGAGGATCTGCACAGTTACCAAAGTTACCGGTTTGCAAAGATCATCCAGCAGGTTGAGAAGGCTATCATCTCAGTCTCGCCCGATGTCAGCTTTCCACCACCACATCTTTTGCTCCGCCTTCGGGATGAGGAAGCTATCGGGCCGGACTCCAAGCGCAAGTCCTATACATGGGAGGATGTCGAGTTTGTAGCCAAGAAGATTGGATTTGGCAATCGAATGGGACGACCCAAGATGGGTGGAGCTCTGGGTCTAGCCACTCGTTTCGGAACAACCACCTCGACTGCGACGAACCAGACCGGTGCTACAGGAAAGGGAAATCGACTACCGATCGACTCGCGAGCAGGACTGGAGCACTTGATGACCAACGGAAACGCTCTTCAAGGAATCTTCAACCACCAATCGATATCCTTTTCACACTCGTACTACTGGTCCGCAACAGCTGCAGCCCCATGCGAACCGCCTCGCATCATCACAATGGAGTACTATCGGAAGGAAGGGACGTACGAGGACATGGATCTCGGAGAGATGATCGAATACCTTTGCATACGAGCACGCCATCCTTGCAATGACAAGAAATGCGGCCACCAGCGACTGGAACATATTTCGACTTACACCCATGGCGAGGCACGGATCAACATCACGCTAGAGCAGCCCAGACCCGACTCTGCGACAGATTTCGACTCGGAGGAGTTTACACCGTTTTTGAACAACAACAAGACGATGGCGGTGTGGACTAGGTGCAAGATGTGCAAGACCAGGACGAAACCACGGATGGTCTCTCGAGCGTCTCGGATCTATTCTTTTGGAAAATATCTGGAGCTGTTACTGTATAATCACCATTTCGAGCCCGGCCCTCGTCCGCTCTGCGACCATGCCTTATCCAAGGATGCTATTGCTCGTTGTTTCCTCTACCGGGGACTGGTGGTCAACTTTGAGGTGGAGAGTATTGACCTTTTTGAGATGCGGATATCCCGGCTACAGGTCAACGAGGACTTTCCAACTATGCCTCGGCTATCTCCAAGTGCCTGGAATGACGACCCCCACGACTTTGCAAGCTCCAACGCATCCACAGGACCGCCCTCCTCGCAAGTCAGTATGGTCTCGATGTCGGCACACTGCGACTATATCACGGACGCGGAGCATTCCAACCAAATCAACGCCACAAGGATAGAGATCATGCATTTCTACGAGTCTTGCAAGAAGATCATTGTTGCGATGGAGGAGTACTTTGGAGAGACAAAGTCGGTCGTGAAGCGGACAAACAAACTGGATTCCTCACCGCAAAGGGCCGCAGTGGATCCAATCAAGAAGGCAGCCCTGAGGAGCCTCGATGATTTGGGCGACCGATGGAAGACTGACGAGTTCGACCTTTACGACCAACTAAAGAAGATCCCGATCACTCGACTGAACGACTTACGCAACCGGTTCAAGGATTATATCAAGCGGACCATGCGATCAATGGAGGCATGGCAGACGGAGCACTATCCCGAGCTGACACAGTCCCTGAACTCTTGGACTCTTCCAGAATATGTTACGTAAGTACACGCTGTCAATTGCTTGCTGATAATTGTTCTTACTGTATGAAACGATATCATTGACTGAAGCGTGTTGTTCACGTCTACATTAAACTAGGTCTGACATTCTTCATACATTCCCGAGGTCCTCGGTTATTGTGCGTGAGAACGAGCCCAGCTCCATCATTGCATCTACACTCAGGTATGATCTCAAACTATATCTATTCGATATCCTTTCACAGCAACGTCAAACAAATATTTATTTTACGCTGCGAACATGCTTATAACATATTATTTTTCTTTGCGTAGCTCGATGGACTACTTGACACTGTTGTCGTCAATGTGTAACCTGGATGTTGATTTCACAGATGAGGAAGAGACGGCACCTAAACCACCAGAGAAGGACCTCTTCATGAGAGGAGCGAACCTTGGCGTGCCTACCCCTGGACCTTTGAGGACATCGCGGTCAGCTGGAAGTACCACATTGGTGGCACGCAAGAGCGGGAGCAGCGACAGCGAGGCGAGCACAGCAGTCAACAGCGCCGCAAATGGGTCTCCCGACAAAGGCGACAACGTCAGTCAAGCGAGTGCGCAGGATGACGATGATGATGAGGGAGATGAGGACTTTTTGGTGGTCGACGGATATGAAACGGCAGTCAAGTTTGTACGACCGACAAAGTTGGATATCTCGAGCATGCTCGCCAACGGAACAATGTCGCCTCGGAACACGATGGGTATACATTTCGCGAGTGGTCGCCATGGGAAGAACTCGACTCTGGGTCTAGGATCGATTGAGAGGCGAGCAGACGGGACTGCTGCTCGACCTGTCAGTATGATGGCTCTCAATAGTTCAACTCCCATCTTTTCAGCGTCACCCTTGGCAACACCATCGGAGAACAACAACCAGTCATCGTCTTTCTTTATCTCACCGCCCGACAGTCGCTCGACGACACCGACTCCTGGAGCAAAATCCAAGAATCCGTTCGGATATCATGCTCTGACATCGGGACTCAGTGGTACGATGAAGGGTCTCAGCCTGAACTCCCTCTCAGAGAAGATTGGCAGCGGATTCACGAGCTATGGCGCGTCCAGCGCGAACATCGATAAGGCGGACAAGGAGTTTTTCAAGGCTGAGGGGACTGAACGGTCGATGCGGGAAACACTTGCATTGGAGCAGGAACTAGAGTCGAGCGTGCGAAGTCCTCACCTGAAGGCTCGTAAGTGCCCCCAAGTAATCGATTCGACGAGAGCTGTCACCTTGTTTGAAGTTGATATTTGCGCGTGAAAATGATTCCTGTTCTGCTGCCTTATCAACACTAAACCACATTTTTGATGTAATCTAGGATTCTCACACGGGAAGACATCGTTCTCATGCACGGTGTATTATGCGGCCGAGTTTGACACGCTGCGTCGTCGATGTGGTATCCACCAAAACTATGTCCAATCGCTCTCAAGGTGCAATGTTTGGAACGCCAACGGCGGCAAGAGCAAGAGCAGCTTCTACAAGACCAAAGGTAAAAAAGCACATCATCATCATCTCATCATCATCATCATTCTTCCCCTTTTCTCTGGCCCTTCACCGTTGACTGTTCACTTTAAGGCGCCTATTCATATCTCTTTTCCCGTCGTTGTACATGCGGTGGAATGTATACTAAACTACCCCTCTTTTCATCTTTATTGGTCTTTCGTCCTGGTGCGCTTTTTCTGCTTATTCATGCAGATGATCGGTTTGTGGTCAAGCAGATGGTGTCGAGTTGGAATATTGCCGAAAAGGACGAACTACTCAAGTTTGCGCCAAAGTACTTTGACTACATGGAAAAAACGCACGAGGCCCCGACGGTTCTGGCCAAGATTTTTGGATTCTACACCTTCAAGATCAAGAATGGCCAGTCGGGACAGGTCATGAAGATTGATGTTCTTGTGATGGAGCACCTCTTTTACAACCAAAAGATCACCAGGGTATGTCCAACTCGTTTCTGTTTATTACAGTTAGCGTTGTTGCTTCCTTTGGTACCTTTGTGTTTGTCAGGATGTGTTCAAGCTGCGCTGTCATGCTCACAATTTCGATGTGTCTCGCTCTTGTTGCTGTACTCTTTTTTTCTTGTTTTAGACGTTTGACTTGAAGGGAATCCAGGATCGACATGCGGGTTCGAAACCGAACACTACGGGCGGAGGATCAACTACGCTGTGGGACGGCGACTTTATTGAGGGTCGGTACAGGGCGCTTTTGTTGATCCACTCGCACTCGAAGAAGATTATCCGAGAGTCACTCCTCAACGATACCGAGTTTTTGGCAGGCGCCAACATCATGGACTATTCCCTCCTCGTCGGTGTTGATGACGAGCGCAAAGAGTTGGTCGTTGGCATCGTCGGTAAGTTACTGGTGGTGTTGTTAATTCTTTTGAATTTGAAGCGTTACAAGGAGGATTCTTTTTTACGGCGCCGAGAGTCAGCGTCAAAGAATGTGCATTGTGATTACAGCATGCACACTAACCCCTTTGTTTTTCTTTGTTGGCTCTATGGTAGATTTCATTGGCGCCTACACGTGGTACAAGAGGATCGAGTCCAAGGGCAAGACGACGCTGCGAGGCGCCAAGGACAATGTCACGGTGTTACCACCACAGCAATACAAGACCCGATTTAGAGAAGCCATGGAGCGCTATTTCCTGGCCGTCCCTGGTATGTTTCATTACCTTTGGTTATGTAGCAGCATTCAGAGAGAGAGAGATGTGAGGTGCCTCGGAAATGGAAGAATGCTCTGACTTGTCGTTAACAAGGTACTGGTGTGAACTCGTATGCAAAAATAGATAAATGGTCAAAGGCCGCACTAGAACAAGAATCCACACCACCAGCAACAGCAATCACCGCCACCATGGGGATTACAGGTACGACCATGACCGCCAGTCGGAAACCGAGCGCGGTCGATGGCGCCTTTGTTGCTGCTTCGACGACACTCCTCCTACCGTCTACCATCCCTGAGGGATCCAAAGAGAGTCTAGCAACGCCAACGCTAGAACAATCGATCAAGAAGAAGACTTCGGGGTATTTGGAAAAAATGTCCAAGGCTATTATTATGTCGTCCGGTAGAACAGGTGGAGGAGTTGTGGAGACCGAGTCGGGGACGACTACTATTGCAACGGCCCTTGAGCAAGGCGATGCGGCGGCGCCGGCGATTGCGGTGGTTGGGGATGGAGAGACGGAGTTTTGTGTGAAGAAGCTTCCAAGAGTGTTCTACCCTTTAGACTAGAGTGTAGATATGTAGAGCGTGATTAATACACAATAGTCTATTTGTTTATTGATTATGCATGCTGTACCCCTTGTGTTTGTGATAGAAGTATTGTTTGTTCTTGTGTGTGTGTGGTTCGTGTTTGTGTTTTATTGGGCTGTCCTGCATGCCAATGCATCCAAGATCTGTCAGCATGAAAAGGTCAAAAGGCAATGAGCAAATCCTTCTCATTATCGACTTTGTTGGAGTGCATAACGGAAAATCAAATGAGCCATTCATTCGATGAGAGAAATAAAAACATGAGCACGTCCCAATGTCGAAGAAGCTCAAAAAACGATGGCGAAGGAAGCGAGAGGGAACATATGCTTGTCTATGTTCTCTCTAACCCGTTTCGATCCCTCGTGCATTATCAACACCAAAGAAAAGAGGAAAGGAAGAAGGAGGGAATAAAAGAAGGATATTGGTCATAAGCCCTCTTTCCTCCCCATTTAACATGCGCCCAAAAAGTTGCCTCGCCCCCCGCCTCAGAGGGTGACACTGACACTGACACATTCACAGGAATGTTCTTCTGTCTGCGATGAAAATAATCGGGGAACACAACACCCATAAGCTATATCAACAAACAAGTATAGTACACAACAAACAGCAGGAAAACAAATGTAATCTTAACTGTTTCTGGGAGGCCGGCGGCTCTGCTCAAAAGCTGTCCCGGCTTCCCTTGCCCCCGATGATTTTTTTAATGTGTGTGCTCAGCCCAAAAAAGACAATAAAGCTTCTCTCGCTCTCCAGCTTCTCCCCCTCACCAACTTCTCTCCCTTCCATGACCAACCCGTATCACCCTTCGATATTCCGAATGACAAATTTTTACATACACTTTCTCTCCCTTCTTCTCTCATCTCTCTGACTCTGTCTCATTCGCGCCATCATCACTACCACTCTTTATTCAGACACTACAAAACTCCCGTTTACATCAGGAGAGGGCTTCTTTTTTCAATGATGCACAAAGAGAAGGGTGGTGAGCCTGAAGGTGACTAACAGTAAGAATAATAAAGCACGCGATGCTCCTTCCATTCGCTGTTCTCTTCTAACCCAACCCAAACAAAACAAAAAAGAATTGGCTGTATGTCAGCACCGATGTTTCTGTGCTTCTGCAGTCATATGTCACTCCCCCTCCTTCCCAAAACAATAAGCTCGATGGAAAAAACTTAGCTTCTCGGGCGAAGCACAAAAAAAAAAAAAGAAGCTACTCCATTCTTTTCCCACATGCTTTTCTCTCCCTCTTCTGCTGATTGACTGGCTAAAAGATTCAGGAACCGAAACTAGTTCAGGAACCGAAACAATAGTTTTCCAAGGTGCAAAAGGATAATTCCCAGTCCGGGGATCGAACCCGGGCCTTGTCGGTGAGAGCGACAAATCCTGACCACTGGACCAACTAGGAACTTGTATTGTTGAATACTTGAATACTTGATTCCTTTGAGAATAATTGAACAGTAAGCTAGCGAGATCTGTGAGTTTTTGCCCTATGGAGGCGGGATCCGGGGCTGGGACCTCGATTTCTTCCGATGGTAAGGTTTGTGTGACCCATGGGTGCATTCATGGTTACTTTGAAGGTGCATTGATATGCAAGGGCACGAGAAAATAACCAAAAACTTGGTTTTTAGGGTGCAAGGTATTTTATTTTTTTCCATTCCTCCCCCTGGTTTCACTCGCCCACTCTAATGTAATAAAGAGCGTTGGTTTTCTTCTGTGTTATGTGGCGTATACCGACCTCGCCTTTACTTTTATTGTTCTCTTTCTCTTTGAGACCTCAACGCCTCGTCCTTGACCATTGAATAACTCGCGTAAGAATAAGTCGCATTTGAAAACGACATGGAAATTTAACGGTTTTGCATCATTATCCTGCTCTTTCTTCAGCCTGTCTGCCAGAAAGAGAGAGGAGCGAAAAAAAAGGAGAGGGGAGGAAGAACTCATGAGTAGAATGGAGCTGATTCCAGTGAGTGGCGTGTTATTGGGTTTTTTTTGCTTGTTTGAAATCGAACGTACTCAAGTGTGCGAGTGTTTGATGGTGCCTGAAAATCAGTCTCCTGTTTTTCTGTTCCTGAAGGTCTTATTGTGCCTGAACGTATGATATCTCAACCTCGATATTCATCCTTCATGATAAAAACAACCTCCAAGTATTACGCACAATAGATGCACACAAATTAAACACAGGACATGTATCGAATGGTGAATCTGTCTGTGTATTAGCAATGATGAGAAAAAGAGTGAAAAGCGCGCTGGTTGTAGTTGAAATATATGCTTGAAAACAGGATAAAAAAAAGAAAGAAAATGCCAAAAGAAAAAGAAAAGAATGAATATGGATGATGTCTAGATGCCGAGTACATGTCCTCAGGCCAGCTGAGGCAGCACTCAAGCTCCAGATTCATTCCGATATGATGCTTGTTGAGTGGTTGTGTCTGTGTATGAAAAGATGATGTTCTATCTGTGAAAGGAATCAGCGAGACACCATCAAGAAAGGTGTTGAAAAAGTATGCGGTGGACAACAGAAGACTCGAGCAAAGAAAAAAAAAGCGATAGGGTGGGAAGGTAGAACTATGTACAAGAGGATTACTCCTCCCACACTGAATAAAAAAAAAAAGAGTAAAAAAGGGGAGTGTTAATATCACTCAACTGGTGGCCAGTGGTGTCGAGAACTGGCGCCGTAGGGAGGAGTCGTCATCGAAGGCCGTCTGCTAGCTCCCCTCTTGTATCCTGTCGGACTGGCCACCGAAGAGGTCGAAGTATGAGAGGGGAAGGTAGCGCCGGCACTACTACCCTCTTTTCTTGATCGAGAAGGCGACACGGGTGTCATAAGGCCCAAACCACTCGAGCCAGCTGTGGGGCTGACGTGGTCGACAGACATATCCCTTCCTGAAGACGAGGACGAAGACTGCTGTTGTTGCTGCTTCCTCTCCTCCTCTTCCTCGCGCGCCAGCAAAAGCCCCCACATGATCGAGATCCCACCCTGCGACCGCTCTGGCAAGTACTTTTCCTGGATCTGGCTCCAAGAAGGTCCAAACTCTTCATAGCCACGCTTCAATTGCGCAATCTCCTCGTCTGTTCCAGCACGGCGACGCATAATCTCCCATTTGTTCTTGCACTGCTTCCGCGTGAACGTGTTGCCCATCTGTGAGGCGACCCAGACCCAGTTGATACGGTAGCCGCCGGGGAAACAAGTCTCGATCAAGTTCTTAAGCTGCTCCGACTGCTGAAGCGTCCAGACGCGGACAGTTCGTGTGGGTTTGGCGTCACCACCATCGCCTCCTGTCACACCCCTGGCAGCCGCAGCCGCAGCGGTAGCAGCCCGATCGGCTGCAGCAGCTGCCGACCCTCCTCCGCGACCTCGTTTCCCGCTGCTGCCTGTTCCACGTGATTTTGGTGTTGTCGGAGATGGTGCATGGTACGACGAGTCCCGGTCCCTCATCCGCGTGTCGCTCCCACCATCGTGGTCGTGATCATAACCTTCATCAGGGCTCCTGGAGTGCATCGACCGGTTGGTCTGGTTCGAAGGCCGGCGTGAGGTCGACTGTGTCGAGTGTGGGTACGGGTAGGACCCATACATCTCCTGAGACGATCGACGGCTTTGAGTGGCTGGAGTGAGCGCAGGTGTAGCAGCGCCGCCGGCGGCATGGTAAAGATTAGGGAACGAGGACCGGTAGGTGGGTCCTGTTGACGAGGCAGCCGAACCAGGGGCAGGGTCATAGCCGGACGAGGACCAGTCATCATCATCGTCATCGTCATAATCAATATCGGATTCGGGCAACTCGCCATAGATGCGGGTGTATTCTTGTTCAATTTCCTCCAGTGAGCGGTCAAGCTGCATCCGTTCTTTCACATCAGCCCACCGGCCATAGAGATGGTGTCGTTCGACAGCGACATAAAGCGCCTCCTGTTCGGCGTTGGACCAGTGGCGATGCGAGGTGGTGTCGATCGGGGTGAGTTGACGGAATGTTTGTTTGAGAGGTCGCTCAAAGTTCTCCATGTTGCCTTCGTTGTCGTTGTCATTGTTGCTGTTGCTGGTGGCGTTGGGATGGGTCGAGTCGATACTCATGTCGCGTGGATGTTGGTTTTCGTAGGCCGAAGGAGGAGACATTGTTGAGGAAGAGCGCTTCTTGTGCTGGCCCAAATCGACGGAGACATAGGATGGTGACGAGGCAATGGTCTCGTCCATATCGCTCGATGTCATGGAGATGTGGACGCGGGTAGGGTGTGGGGACAGAATGGTGGATACGAGTGTGCTCGGGGGGATGGATTGAGGGGAGTGGGTGTTGTGAGGAAATAAAAAAAGAAAAGAAGATATTGAATGAAAGAGGAGAGAGTGAGAGTAAGAGAAAGGAAGAAGAGGTTACAAAGGGCGAAAGAGGCCTGAGGATGACGATGCGTCGTTGGCGGCAGCAGCGATGGTGGTTGTCGATGTCGATGGGAGGTTGCCGAAACCTAGGATAAACACGTGCACACAGAAGATTGAAGTAGGTACCAGTCAGTGAAAACTCTCTTTGGCCTGGCTGTTCACACACTACCTTTTCTTTCACCTTCTCTTTCACGTTCACATTCATTCAGGGGAAAAAAAGAAACAGCCACAAAAGGGGTATGGAGGTACAAAGGAGATATGATAGAGGGAAAAGGAAGGTGAAGTGAACTTATAAAAAGAAACGAGGACAATGCGAGGGTGGAACGTTAAAGAAGACAACCAAAGAAAGGCAACCGATGTGGTTTTTTTTTTTTTTTTTTTGGTTTCTCGACGGCAACTTACAGGTCCTTGTCATAATCACTCAGAATATAAGACGAGGTATGAAGAGAGAAGCAGGGCTGTCTCTGTGTGCGGTCGATCCAGGGTCCACTGCGGCGTAGTAGTAACAGAAGAGGAGCTTGAGATTCGGTCCGACCAAGGTGAGGATGAAAGAAGAGGCGGGCAGGCAGACAGACAAAGTAGTCAGGAACGACGGTTGATCAATCGACGGCTGAAAAGAAGAAGGAAGAAGTAGAGGTTCTTGATGCGTTTGGAGCAGACAGGAAAGACTGAAAGAGTCTCGAGCGGCGCGTTATTCGTCGAGTTTTGGACAGTTCCTGAAACAGATCAGTTCTTTGAAGATCAATTAGTCAATCGATCAACACGCGAATGAGAGTGAAAGCGTAGGTTGGTAGACTGATAGAAGGAAGAAGTGAGTAAAGTCGATTGACAACGCGTCACAAGGGAGGGTGGAGAAGGTGGAGAGGTTGATGTAGATAGGAGGATAGGTCAAGTGAAAGGAATGGTGGATGGCCGCAGAGTGAAAAAGAAAGAATAAAAGAGGAAAGAAAGCGAGGGGAGTTAGTTGGATTAGCTGATAGTGACAAATTACCGATTTGAATGAAAGGTCAACGTTGATTGATGGTTGTGTGGGCGATGCCGAAAAAAAGTAAAAGAAATGAATGTGATGCTACGATTGAGTAATCTATCGAACAAAAGATGTTGTGCAATTGAGAGAAAGACTGGGGAAGGAGAGAGGAGAGAAGACGAGATAGAAAAGAATTGAGCAGATTGAGGATAGGGAGGACAACGGCCGGAAGAGGATGGAGGAGGAAGGAATGGGGAAGGAGATGAAAGTAAAGGGGAAGTATGGTACGAAAGAATGAAAAGATAAAAATAATAGCGGATTCAATTGCGTGTGAGTATTGTAAAAACAAGAATTCTGAAGCGTTTTGGGCAAGGGGGCCAAAGGATGGTCTGAGAAAAAAAAAATATGAAAAAAGCTGTGGGTTCGGGCAAAGGAATGATTTTTTTATGGTGAACGATAAGTGGGCGATTGTGTCTACAATTATCGTTCTTTTGTTATTTTTGTGATGGGATGGATAACTGGGCGATGAGTTGAGTAGGAATAATAATACAAACGATGCGTACAAGAGTGTGAAATGCCAAATAGGGAATAACGCCAAGGGTAGAAGAAGAAAGGGAGAGAAGAGGCAAAGAAGGAACGGACGATGGAAGGATTAAAAAAGGAAGGAATTGAAGGACAGGAAGGATGGAAGGAAGGGCGGGCCAGAGAAAAAAAGGAATGTGAAGGGAATAGAACAGGAGACAACGAAAAGGCGAGACGTTGAGTAGAATGACAGATGAGCTTAAAACCACTGTTGAAATGGCTAATTGGGTGTAAAATAGGGAGAGAAGGGAGCGAAGTGGATCGAGGTGTGGAAAGAAGGAAAGGGAAAGGAAAGAGAAGAAATAAAAAGGAAGGGCGGATCACGGCGAGAATGAGCAAAGGAATATATAAAAAAGAAGCAATTGAGTCGTTTGTTTTGTATTTAATACTTTACTTTGTACTGTCGACTTGTTCCTTTCTTTGTCGTTGTCAGGACTGGGTTGCAGAACAGCTGGAGCAGTAGCAGAAGTGAAAAGGAAGTCAATTGGACAAGTAAAAATCGAAAGTAACTCCTCTTTTTCCTGAATGTTTCGGTCGTGTGGAATGAATGAGAATGAGAATGAGAAAGATGGAGTGAAGGTGAATGAATGAATGAATGAATGAGAACAACAGGTAGACAAGAATGACTGATGGCAAGAAAAGAAAGGAGAAAAGAATAAAGCGAAGGAGAACTCTTGTAAGAAGGAAGGAAAGGGTCGTTCAGTCAGCAAGTGAATAAAAAAAAAAAAAAAAAAAAAAAAAAAAGAAAAGGGAAAATTGAGAAAGGAAGACGGAAAGTGAGGGCAAAGTAGTGTGATAATAAGACAAGCACAACGACCGAGGGAAGGACGAGAGAGAGTGAGAGAGTGAGAGAGCAAGGGCAAAGAGGGTTTCGGGATGGGAGACAATGAGAGAAGCGAGACGAAAGAGAAAGAAATGTGAATAGAATAACAATATATATATAATTGTTATTTTTTTGAGCGTGTGGGTGGTCAGTGCCAAAACCAAGGCTAGCGAGTGGATGGAAAAGAGTGATGGAATGAATGAACGAAAAATACGAATACAAAAAAAAATGTATTAAAATAAAACAATAGAAAACGGAAACGGAGGGGTTGCGAATGAGGACGAAAGAGTAGTGGAATGGAGGGGGGTGGGGGAAATGAGAGATGATGAAGAGGAATGGGAGAGATGAGGGGGAAACGATGAGTGAAGAAGAGAGAAGAGAGAGAGAGAGAGAGAGTGGAAGTGAAGGTGACAAAGAGAATAGAAGAGAAGAAAGAGAGAGAGAGAGAGAGACAGAGAGAGAGAGAGAGAGAGAGAGAGAGAGAGAGAGAGAGAGAGAGAGAGAGAGAGAGAGAGAGAGAGAGAGAGAGAGAGAGAGAGAGAGAGAGAGAGAGAGAGAGAGAGAGAGAGAGAGAGAGAGAGAGAGAGAGAGAGAGAGAGAGAGAGAGAGAGAGAGAGGGAGAGAGAAGAAGGTAGAGGAAAAGACGGCGGAGAAGGGGAGAAGGAAAGAGAATTAGGACTACAAACAAATAAACCGAAGAGAAGGACTCTGACGATGTATTTATCGCAAACAATAGACTTGACTTTGCATAACACTCTATCACCGTCCATCACCTTAAAAACTCACTTATAGAGCACTCTCGTCGTCATCGTCACCACCACCGGTATCTACGTCAGTGCCAACATCATTCATCATTAAACAAGCTTTTTTGTTTCTACTGCTTCCATCACAGGCAATCAGTCACTTACGTCCATATGTCTTTCTATCAAGCATTTCTTCATTTTCTTAGTGCCCCTCTGAACTATCCCGTTCATTGCTCGTGCGTTCATCACTTTCACAATTCCATTCCACATCCTGTCTCCAAAAACGAATAAAAAGCTTCTTATGCTTCCTCAACCATGCTCCACCTCTTTCCGTTTAACATTGCATGCTATGTTTCTGAATACTTACTCAATTAGCCCAAGCCATCCCAAGTCAATCATGTCGACCGACATTTCCGACCGGCCAAGGGACAAGGACCGAGCGAAGAGTAAAAATGGGGTTCCGGTTGGGTTCCAAACACAACAAACAAAAAAAATAAATAATCGAGGTCCCTCTCTCTCTTTCTCTCTCTCTCTCTCTGTTGCATAGTACCGGTCTGACTTTTTTTTATTTTTGTCTGTCCGCCATTTCCACCAAAAGGTGGAGAAGTGGATATGAGAGAGAGTGAGGGAGTACCTCTCTGCTCTTTTTTCACTATTTCGGCAATTGACTGCTCCGGTCAGCCAGTCGGTTCCCTCACCTTCTCTCGGACTCCTCTGTTCAATGCTTCATTCATGCTGTTCGTGGACCTGTTGTGGTTATGCCTTTTCATTTCGCACATGTGGTTGGTGGCGGAGGGAAGGTGTCTAGTAACACAATCATCAACTTTATTCGAGTCAACCAGGTACAGAAATAACAAGAGTGATGGGTAACGACGGCAAAAGGATAGGAGTAGGATGGGACAGGGTAGGGGCATGGTGTACACGCACATGAGTTGACAATGGATAGATCGGAGAGATAGATGACTGGGTAGGGTAATAAAAAGATTACGCTGGTGTTGTTACTCATCATCATGGCCACAACTCAAGAGTTCCCAGATGTTGGTTCAAAGTGAAAAGAAGGCGTGAATGGTCGCTTTGTGGAAACATCCGCATCAAAAAAAGTAATGGGGGTGCGGCCAATAAAGGAAATATAAGTGGCGGTGGCAATGACTGTTTGAAATCATAAAAACGCGATGTGGATGTGGGAATTGGGTAATGTAGGATAGCTACATGAAGACGCGCTACAATTATCTCACACACACACACTTGGTCCTAGTCCTTGTCATTGTCTTCTGCAATCTGACCATCCCCCTTATACTTCGAACACAGCAGAAAATGATAGGGTAACAACAGCGGGCAAGGGGAGGAATTGTATCCAATAACAAGTAGGCAAGGGAGACAACAAAAAGAGAAGTGGAGGGACCTTGCATGAACCTGCCCTGTGTTTGTTTGTTTGCGTCCTCTGTTTGTCTGTGTGAAAAGGTGTGGGTTCGTGCCAACCGAGGAGGCAAGAGGCAAGTAGCCCTTGGACTGCTATTTCGAATAATTATGTCATATGCAAGGGCTGGTTCCTTCTCTCTGTTGAATGCCAGCTTATGTTTTTCATTTGTTCGATTGGATTAGGCAAACAATAGCTGATGGAATGAATGAAGGGAAAATCAGTTGCCAATCAAATCAAATCGATTTCAGGAACAACAACAACAACTAAAAATAATACTGTCGGCGTCGATTGCATTGACTT